CGCCGGCGCGGCCGGACGGTCGATCGTCACCATGGCCATGGTGGGGGATTTCATCATGAAAGAGGCTGCCTCTCGCCCGTCGCTATTATCCCGAATGCCCATTGCAAAGCTTCTGCCGGATCTCCATGAGAGGACGAGACGAAGAGCCCGAGGATTGGTATGCTATGAGCGTCGACACGACCGGGGTAAGCGCCCTTGTAGAAGAGGTCATTTTAAGCTGATAGAGAGATCAACGATGACGACAATAGAGGAGACGGATGGATGAGGGGATATCAGATGAGAGCGGCGGCGCGCGTCAGGTGAGAGTCGCGATGGCCGCATGGGCTGTGGGTGCCAAGAAGGGCGGAATCAGTCGACGGCCATCGCTGGGAGAGTGATTGTCAGGTGGAAGACTCGAGGCGTTCGACGGGATGCTGATCTGGGTTGGGATGATGGTGGTAGGAAGAGAAGAAGTGACAGTGGTGGGTGAAAGGGAGAGAGGGAGGAAAGCAGAAAGCAACGAGTTGAGGCTAAACCTTCTTGATCCCGCCCAGGCGGGGGGATTTGTTGTTGTCCACCCCTTCTTTCCCTCCTCATGTAAGGGGCTTGCAACCTGATCTCAACAGCCGCGTCGTTATCAGCTGCTTCCTCCATCAGGACTGAGGAGATCCTGTGGCTGATATCTCCCTCGCGACTCAGCTTTCAGTTGTCTGATCTACCTATCCGACTTGATGACCCGCCATCTACTTGAACGGCGGTGGATCTGCACATCTGTGCCAGGTCTATCATCCCCGGATGGAGACAAAGATGAGGGGTTACAGGTACATGACTATCATTGTGTGGTGATTTGTGACTGGCAAATTCCGTTCACGCTGAGCAGACACGCCGATAGAGCATCCTGGTGAGGTTCCCAGTCGGCTGCAGCTGGTTCAACCGGCTGGGGAAGTAGGTCCTGCACCGTCTATCGAGTCCTGACCGAAGAATCAGTTGCGACAAATCCATACAGCTCAAAACTGCCTCAGGTGCCATGCGCAAGTGGTGTGTTGGTTCGCAATAACGGCAGTGGAGATCGATGGTTTGCAACCGATGTTTACTCTGAAAACATGATTTGTCTACAACAGCAGGCTGAGGACCGCCACCGTATCTTGTGTGTTCAGTCGGAACACGCCAGATCCAGTCGAACGTACAAGCAAGCTGCTGATACATCCAACGAGGAGCCAGTGTTAGGATAGCTGGTCAAATGAGACTATGATTGCCCCGCTTCTCTAGTCTACGAGTAACAGTAAGGTTGAACCAGATCGACTTCGCGTCTTGCATATCAGAAGAATGAGAAGAATTACAACAAAGACATAATAATGCATCGTAAGATGGGAGAGTATGAAATCAGAGCCCACCAAGCGGCGGCTTCGTCGCCTGCTTGACGGGCTAGGCTCAGCTCATCCAGCTCAGGGCATCTGAGACCATCTTCACTGGCACCGGTATGGATCCTGATCATTGATTTGACCACTGCGTCTGATGTCTTATGTTCTAACATAGAGACCCTTCCTGCAGCATATCCACACTGGAGCACACAGCGAGCTTGTGCATAGGCAATGGCGGACTCAACGACCGAGACTTGGCTTCGCTTGGATCGGCCACGGATGTTGGTGCAACAACACTATTGTGGCGATGTTTCTTGCCGGTGATTCGCGCGGCCGTCCCATCCGGTATGCAGTAAGCAGGGTCTTCTAGTAGCGAATGCAACGTCAGTTGGGAACAACATCTGCGGGCAGACAGCCTGAATCAGGTAAGAGACTGGTTCCACAAGCAGCCTATACGACTCCTGGGACACGTGGATCTTCCCGCGTTTCAGAACCTAGATATCAAGTACCATGCTTGCAGGGTGCATGTTTTCTGTCAGCTGATGAGAATATGTTGGATGCGTCGACTTGAGTATCGTGAACATAGACATGAAGTTACGACGCCATGTGTCCTGGTGCAGAGAGAACAAGTTGTGTCACATAGGCGTCGCCACGCAAGGCGTAAAGAGATCAGAGAAGCTTATTGGTGAAGTGCTACCAGTAGACCAAGCTGGATCATGGGGGCTGGATTGCAATCGCAGCGGTGCGAGAGACAGCGGACCCTGGCCTATTTGGATCTTGCAGGTCGTGCTAGTGCAAACTAGGCACTAGGTCCGAGCAACACGCATCTTCGCACCGCAATTTTGCGCCAAAGTCCAGGGCACAGTCTGGAGCCTAGTACAATTAGATCCCAAGCAGCATCATGGAGAAAAAGAAACGAGAGGCAATCGCGAGCAGCCTGCGCTTGCGTAACTGCCTGAGCTGACCGCAACACGCGCATACATCCGAGATTGCCGTTGCTTTGCTCAACTTCCCAGTTGAATGACATATGCACCTGTCCGAGAACGACACTGCTCGAATGCTCAGTCGAGTCTAAGATGCTTGAGTTTGCGGGGTGTTGTGTGTAATGTCCATCTCAAGATCCGGGTCGACTTTTTCAACGGAAGCCTATAGAATTGCACACAACACCCTGCTAGGTCCTAGTTAGAAGACTTCTGAACGGAAACGACTGAAAAAAGCACACAGGGAATATCCCATGGTTGAAACTTAAGTACTATGCACGAAGTGTGATTCCGTCATCTGCTATGTGGTTCGAAAAGGCAAGAGGGGAGCTGGAGTCGGGAGCTTGGACGGGGAGGAGAACCGTGCGGCGAAAGCCCACGCATGCCAGTGATGACAAGCTTGCCATTGGTGGGATGGTTGAGGTCGTTGCCTGGGCCTGGTCGCCTAAAGTGGTTGGGCTGTAGCTGGCCAGGTTTAGACGGACAATAGAGGCCCGTGTCGGGGGGGATAATGTTGAGAGTTGAGACTCGAGAGATGAGACAGACCAAAAAGAGGGGTTCCAGTCCAAGCGGTGTGCCGAAAATCCCAGACGGGAAATGGGAAAATAAGGCGAAACGAGAGGAGAACCCATCAGATCTGATAGATCGCACCCGGTCAGCATCTACGCGTAGCCTAAGTCTGGAGCAACCCTGCCCAAGCCCCAAGGGTTTTTTCCAAGAAAGCAACCAGCGGAAGAAGGCTAGACCAGTGACGGACCTACCAACCGCTTATCGTGCTGACTGCTGACTGCTGCAGGCGGCTCCGACCAGGCGGTGCCGGCTGGCCTGAATCGCTGGCTGGGTTGGCTGGCAGAGAGCCCGCCGACGAACTGACTCGGGTGCCGGCGCCCATCCCGAATGCCGAGTCTATCTACTACTACATAGTACATACCTACATATGAAAATTGGAGAGGCATCAGAATGATGGATGCGAGGGATCATCCCCCCCTCCCCTCACCAAACGACTCCGTGGCAGGATTATCCAATATTATCATATCAAGCATGGATCATATTGAAAATATTAATAATATTATGTCCTGGTGTGGAAATCCATGGAAGCCCCTGCTTACCGATGGTTGCGACCAGTCCTAGGAAGGATGATCTATTGTAGAGGAAGGATGTTGTAGATAGATTAGATACCCCCGTAAGTACGGAGGCACTACTGCTTACTGCTGACGAAGACCAACTGACGGCGATGAATAATAGTCCGCAACGGTGGAATCGGATGTAGCCAGAGGGTAGAAACTAGAAAGGATGAGTGCTGGAGAAGTCTTGGAAGTTGGAGAGGTGCTCGTGTCGAGCTAACCGGATGGGGAGGCCGCTTGCAACATTTGCGGCATGGCGCCTTCCCCGTGGAATGGCGCAGGAAACGCAAAGGAAGATGATTTCCGGCCGGGTGTGACGGGGGTGGATGGGGTCTGGGCCAATAAGCAGGCGGGAATGACAGGCGCGTCCACTTAACACCGCCAGCTTATCTCCGGCCCACCGTTTTGATGACGGACAGCGCTGGCACTTGGGCGGTCGTTTCGTCGCTCCTTCCACTTTGGAGAGCGATTCGGCTCCAGCCGACCCCTGGACCAAGCCGCGGCCGGCCAATCAACGGGGCGGAGAGTGACACCCGGCGGGACTCATCTTGAGTCATGCTGGGCGACCCACCGATTCCACGGCGATTGCAGCTTCCATGGCCTTCTTGCGGCGGACCGAATTGTCAGCACCAAGTCCTTCCAGCATCCACTATCAACTTGTGGGCCTCCCTTCGCCTGGTGCGTCTTCCGTCTCGCTGCGCTCTCTGATTGACTGGTTAATTCCGTCTGCTGCTGGCCACTGCTAGCTGAGACGGATATGGACCCTGGTCCGTTCAGGATGGCCGTGTTTCTGGTTGAAGCCTGACAAATCCGCTCGAATTTTCCCTGCCAAAATTTCAGGTGTCCGGCGTTAGGCTTAATAACCCCGGCCCCAGTCGCCTCCAACCATGATGCAACGACCTTCAAACTGCCGGGACGCTGGTTTATTTAGGCCTCGTTCCCCCAGCCTGTTGGTCCAGTTCGTTTCTTTCTCTCTTCCGTCGATTTGGTTACGGTCCGGACCCTCTCCCCTCTTCCAGGCGTGTGCTGGAGCTTCCTGGAGCTCGCTAGTTCGGTGGTCTTTCTTCCCCTTGCCGTTCTAATTATCTTATCTGTCGGCTGTATCTATATATCCTCTATACATACCTGTCCCATCTAGTCCTTGCAGTCCTCCATCCCTTGCGCTCCATTATTCGTGCTTTATCCTCTATTAATAGCTATTTATCACCTGCGACGCTCTCTTGTTCCTCATTCGGATTCAATACCAGCTCGCCGGCCATTGAACCCCCCCGACGAATTGACCCGACACTCGCGTCAGACTTGCAGATCCCCACTTCGGAATTGGTCCTACAGAAGGAGGTGTCACATCTACCATGGCTGACGAGGTCCGTCGGCCGGATGCATTGCACAATGTACCGACTGTCACGCAGGAGCGCTCCGACGCCCAGGGAAGCTCCCATGTCCTCGCTTCGGATCAAACCGTGACCTCCCAGTCCACCAGCGAGACCGACCTGTCGTTAGATGGTCGCTGGGGAGAACAGGAAGCAGAACCCGTCTCCCGCCGCGGTGCAATGGAGGATTTTCAGGAGATGCGCAGGGAACTGACCCGGCTCAGTCTGCACCAAACCCGGTCCGCCACCCGAGACGCGCAGCGATTGCGCTCGCGAGCAAGCCAGGCCCGTGATGAAGAGAAGTCCATCGATGACGATGGGTTGTCCGGAACCACGGAGAGCGCGTATGGTGGATTTGATCTCAGCGAGTTCTTGCTGGGTGGCCACCTTGAAAGACGGACGACAGCGGGCGAGCCAGCCAAGAAGGTGGGTGTGGTGTTCAAGAATGTCACCGTTAAAGGTGTCCAAACGGGCGCTTCCTTTGTCCGCACTCTCCCGGATGCCGTCGTTGGTACCTTTGGGCCCGATCTCTACAATCTGGTCTGCAAGTTTGCCCCCCAGCTTCGCTTTGGCCGCAAGCCTCCCGTACGAGACCTGCTTCATGACTTCACAGGCGCGGTTCGCGAAGGTGAGATGATGCTCGTGCTAGGAAGACCTGGCGCGGGTTGCTCTACATTCCTGAAGACCATTGCGAATGATAGGGGCGCCTTTGCCGGTGTCGAGGGTGACATCAGCTACGGCGGCTTGTCAGCGGAGGAGCAAAACAAGCACTTCCGTGGGGAGGTCAACTACAACCAGGAGGATGACCAGCACTTTCCCAATCTCACCGTTTGGCAGACACTGAAGTTCTCTCTCATCAACAAGACCAAGAAGCACGACACGGCAAGTATCCCGATCATTATCGATGCATTGTTGAAGATGTTCGGTATCTCCCACACCAAGAACACCGTGGTGGGTAACGAGTATGTCCGGGGTGTATCTGGTGGAGAGAGAAAGCGTGTGAGTATCGCTGAGACGCTGGCAACCAAGTCCTCAGTCGTCTGCTGGGACAACTCCACCAGAGGCCTGGACGCCAGTACCGCACTCGACTACGCCAAGTCCCTTCGCATCATGACCGATGTCAGCAAGCGGACGACACTCGTCACCCTGTACCAAGCAGGTGAAAGTATCTATGAGCTCATGGACAAGGTTCTGGTGATCGACGAGGGACGCATGCTGTACCAGGGACCCGCCAATGAAGCTAGACAATACTTCAAGGACCTCGGTTTCCACTGCCCCGAACAATCGACCACGGCGGATTTCCTGACTTCCTTGTGCGATCCTAACGCCCGGCAATTCCAGCCAGGCCGGGAGGCGTCGACCCCGAAGACACCGGAAGAGCTCGAAACAGTCTTCCGCCAAAGCAGCGCCTACCAGCGAATCCTCTCCGATGTCTCCGGCTACGAGAAGCAGCTCCAGGATACCAACCAGGAGAGCACCCGTCGTTTTGAGAAGTCTGTCGCACAGTCCAAGAGTAAGACCGTTTCCAAGAAGTCTCCGTACACGGTTTCCCTGGTCCGCCAGGTTGCGGCCTGTGTGCGTCGCGAGTTCTGGCTGCTCTGGGGTGACAAGACCTCCCTCTACACCAAGTATTTCATCATCCTGTCCAACGCCCTGATTGTCTCGTCCTTGTTCTATGGTGAATCGTTGAATACCAGCGGTGCCTTCTCGCGTGGTGGTGCTCTGTTCTTCTCTATTCTGTTCCTTGGTTGGTTGCAGTTGACGGAATTGATGCCAGCAGTCAGTGGGCGTGGCATTGTCGCCCGTCACAAGGACTATGCTTTCTACCGGCCCTCGGCGGTTTCCATTGCACGTGTGGTGGTCGACTTCCCAGCTATCTTCTGTATGGTCGTCCCATTCACCATCATCGTCTACTTCATGACCGGACTCGACGTGGAGGCTTCGAAGTTCTGGATCTACTTCCTCTTCGTGTATACGACCACGTTCTGCATCACGTCGTTGTATCGCATGTTCGCGGCTCTATCTCCATCTATCGACGACGCTGTTCGATTCAGTGGTATTGCACTTAACGTGTTGATCCTGTTCGTTGGCTATGTCATTCCCAAACAGTCCCTCATCGACGGTTCGATCTGGTTCGGTTGGCTCTTTTATGTGAACCCGCTGTCTTACAGTTACGAGGCCGTCCTTTCTAACGAGTTTGCTGGTCGTATCATGGAGTGTGCCTCCTCCATGCTGGTACCTCAAGGTCCTGGCTTTGAGTCAAGATACCAGGGATGCGCTCTCACTGGGTCGGAGCTAGGCCAGACCGTCGTCTCAGGCACCAGGTACCTGGAGACGACCTACCAATTCACCCGCCATCATCTCTGGCGCAACTTTGGTGTTGTCATTGCCTTCACCGTACTCTACATCCTGGTGACGGTCTGGGCCTCTGAGTTTCTCTCTTTCGTCGGTGGCGGCGGCGGCGCGTTGGTCTTCAAACGCTCCAAGCGTGCCAAGCAACTTACGGCGCAGATCGGCCAGGGAAGTGACGAGGAGAATGTTCAGGGCGCCGGCGTGCAGGCACAGTCAAACAGCAACAGTGAGACCTTCAACCGCATCTCATCGAGTGATCGAGTCTTTACCTGGTCGAATGTTGAGTACACGGTTCCCTACGGCAACGGAACAAGGAAGCTTTTGAACGGCGTCAACGGCTATGCGAAGCCCGGAGTTATGATTGCCTTGATGGGTGCCTCGGGAGCTGGTAAGACCACCCTGTTGAACACCCTAGCCCAACGCCAGAAGATGGGTGTGGTGACCGGTGATATGCTTGTCGATGGTCATCCGCTTGGCACCGACTTCCAACGAGGCACCGGTTTCTGCGAGCAGATGGATCTCCACGACAATACTGCGACGATTCGCGAGGCTCTGGAGTTCTCCGCACTCCTTCGTCAGGACCGGAACACCCCCCGGCAAGAGAAGCTCGACTACGTCAACCAGATCATCGACCTCCTCGAGCTTGAGGAGATCCAGGATGCTATCATCGGCTCCCTCAATGTTGAGCAGAAGAAGCGTGTCACCATCGGTGTCGAGCTGGCTGCCAAGCCCAGTCTTCTTCTCTTCCTCGACGAGCCTACCAGTGGTCTGGATAGTCAAGCAGCATTTTCCATCGTCCGATTCCTGAAGAAGCTTTCCCAAGCAGGACAGGCGATTGTGTGTACGATCCATCAGCCTTCATCGATGCTGATCCAACAGTTTGACATGATCCTGGCTCTGAACCCCGGTGGTAACACCTTCTACTTCGGTCCGGTCGGCCCCGAAGGTCGCGATGTGATCAAGTACTTTGCAGACCGTGGTGTTGTCTGCCCGCCTTCGAAGAACGTCGCCGAGTTCATTCTCGAGACAGCAGCTAAAGCGACGAAGAAAGACGGCAAGAGCTTCGATTGGAACGAAGAATGGAGGAATTCGGATCAGAACCGGAAAGTCTTGGAGGAAATCAAGTCGATCAGGGAGGAACGCAGCAAGATTCCGGTCAGTGAACAAGATGTGCAGTATGAATTTGCTGCTCCGGTTACGACCCAGACGTATCTCCTCATGGTGAGGCTTTTCAGACAGTATTGGAGAGATCCCTCTTACTACTACGGAAAGCTGTTCGTCAGTGTCATCATCGGAATCTTCAACGGTTTCACTTTCTATATGCTCGGTAACTCGATCTCCAGCATGGAAGACCGCATGTTCTCCATCTTCTTGATCATTCTTCTCCCGCCCATCGTCCTGAACAGTCTTGTTCCCAAGTTCTACATTAATCGAGCTCTTTGGGAAGCCCGTGAGTACCCCAGTCGTATCTACGGATGGATTGCCTTCTGCACAGCCAATATCGTCTGCGAGATTCCCATGGCGATCATCTCTGGCCTGATCTACTGGCTGCTATGGTACTACCCGGCTGGTTTCCCTACGGACTCGAGCAATGCGGGATATGTCTTCCTCATGTCGATCCTTTTCTTCCTCTTCCAGGCCAGCTGGGGACAATGGATTTGCGCCTTTGCCCCGTCGTTCACCGTCATCTCCAACACCCTTCCGTTCTTCTTCGTCATGACCAGCTTGTTCAACGGTATTGTCCGCCCATACTCTGCGTACCCCGTGTTCTGGAAGTACTGGATGTACTACGTCAACCCGGTCACTTGGTGGCTCCGTGGTGTTATTTCGAGCGTTTTCCCCAGCGTCGACATCGAGTGCGCTTCCTTGGAATCCACCCACTTCAACCCGCCTCCTGGTCAAACCTGCACCCAGTATGCCGGCGATTGGGTCTCGAGTGTTGGAGTGGGCTATCTGTCCAACCCCAACGCCACTTCGGATTGCCAGTACTGCCCTTACGCAAATGGCCAGCAGTACATGCACACTCTCAATGTGCATGACGGCGACAAGTGGCGATGCTTCGGTATCTTCCTGGCCTACGTGATCATTAACTGGTTCCTGGTTTACTTCATGATCTACTGTGTGCGCGTGCGCGGATGGTCCTTTGGAATCGGATACATTTTTTCTGCAGTGGGTATGATGTTTGGCGGCATCAAGAAATTGTTCTCTAGAGCTCCTAAGAGCCAGAACTGAGTCTGCTATCCTGATAAGCTCATCCGTCTATTCCCTCGATGGATGATGCTTGAGACATCTACCCAGTCTCAAAAACAAAAACAACCAAAAAAAAAAAAAAAAAAAAAAAAAAAAAAACAAAACAGAACAAAACAGCTTCTGTGGAACCTTGACCAACAGTTACAGAGATACGAGACTAATAAAATAAGAGGAGGAATAGAGAAAAGTAAATGTTCTGGTCTTTCTATTCAATCTCGTTTAGATAGAGATGCATCAGCGTGTGTGTTGGGTTGATTTTTGTTTTGATTTATTCCCTTTTCATATCTTATTTATTTCTTGGCTATAGTAGTTCTATAATAGATAAATAATGCATAACATACTCATAGGAATTATTGTCGTGGAGTATTCAATGTTATTATCATAATCCACCTAAGCTAAGTCAAGCCAACCTAGCCTATCCTATCCATCCCAATAAAAAAATGTCCGCCTGCTTGCCTAAATTCATCAATCAATCATCTATCAATTAACCAGCCAACCAAGACCTTCCCTCCTTCTTCCTCCTCTTGAGCTAGGACCCGATCCAGTCCATCATTACATTCCTCCGCCAATCAACCCAAATAACATCAAATCGTCTCAGATAATGCAGATTCACATCTCCATAAAAAACCACGGTTTTTGCCCATTTTGATATCGCTCCCCAGGAACTTGCATCGGAACTGGGACCGTATCCCCGAACACAGATACGAGATTGGCGCCATCGTCACTCAATGCAGACGACGCAGGCGCTTTCCCCTTACCCTTGGTTGTTTCGGACCCCTTGTGCTCATTCTGGGGGCTGGGGCCGGATTTCTTATCTTCAATGATGGGGACTAGAACACCACATTCCCAGTTTCGGCAGTTTATTTTAAGAGTCTTTGTGGCACGGTCTTGGACGAGACGGCCCCTGTGGGTTCGTCCTCGTTAGTTTTGTGTGTGTGTGTGTTGAGGACAGAGAAGAAAGGTGAAGGGATGGCAGATGAGTAGGAAGACCGGATGGAGGGGCATGGATAACGTACCAAGCACTCTCAGACATATTGGCACTTCCCACGTAAGCCCACGCTCGGCATTGTGTGGTATCTGATAGAGAGATAGGGTCATCGGGTCGGACATAGAGTATCTAGTACATCGTAGATGAGAGTTAGCATTTGACTGAACGGCCAGGTATTTATTTTAGGGGGGGGGACCTTATTATGCATCAGGAGTCCCTCTCTCTGGCTTTTGCAGTCACGAAGTACATGGCGTGGGAACTTAACGCTTTCGAACCACTTCGACTGGAAGCAGACGGTGCCTGCGTAGCCGGAACCACCTTTCGACGAGTTTACGGTGGCCTGAGAGGGGAAATAGATCCGGAAACGGTCTTTCCATTCGGCCGCCGTCTCTTTCTTGATTGTGACGGAGGAATCGTCGCGTCGTGGCGCCGGAAATTTCTTTGCGGTGCGGAGGGTGAAATCTGTAAGTCCGTTGTCTCCTTTGTTGTTTTTGGCTCTTGTGTTAGTCGTGGGGCGGACCTGGGATATAGATGGGTGGGTGGGTGCTTACCCTGTGAGGCGAGATATATTGTGCGGAGGAGCTCGTCCGTGATAGCGCCGAGGGAGGAGGACTTGTGTTGGTGAGTAGGAAGGGCTGCGTAAGGAGAGATGGTGCATGCTTACGACAAAGTCCACATTTATTGGCGAGGACGTACGGAGTCCCAGTTTCTCGATTGCGCTCCCTAGGCCGCAGTAGCCGGTTCTTTTCCACCTGCTGCGGGTGTGCGTGCCACCGCTGGGATTGTTAGGGATAGTCGATGCGGTGAACAACGTGGGAGCTTACATGGAGTGGACGAATGCAAACTTTGACGTCTTGCTAAAGTCAAATCCATCGAGCTTAGCCACGATGTTATCATGAAGCGTGCTAGCCTCCAGGAAATAGACAAGTTCCTCGTAGAAAGACGTCTTTGGCTGGCCATCGAAGAGGGTGTTCCGCTTCTCAGGAAGGTCAATTAAAAATACAGTCTAAATATGTGTTAGCAGAAAGTATCAAGGGGAGTTGGTTGTATGGAGAGTAGCACATTCTCCATGACGCCCTTCTCCTCGCCCCAGTCAAATGGAACCAAGTTGGCCGTTGGTATGACGATACGCAGGTATCCCGGATGGAATAATAGCATGAGTTTGGAGTGCATGCAATTTACTTGCCCGTCCATGGGAGGGAAGCATAGTCGCAAGTTAGGCATATACGCCGTTTCTGATTCGTACTGGCGTTTCTTCTCGTGTGGTTAGCTTTGTATGCCAGATGAACTAGCATAGAAGACGGGTGGGACACTGAAGAAGATTGTGGGAATACTGACCTTGGCATCATCCTCGGCCTGCATCATCAAGATAAACCGAGTGCGTCCGATATCCATCTTTGAAAAGAGCCATTCCATCTCCCACATATATGAGCTCAGAACAGCAAGCTGCAGATCGGATTTTTGGAACACTTCCCCGATTTTTATGTCGTCGCCCTGCCGGAGACTACCGAAGGCCCATGTCTTCTTGACGACGCCCTCTGGAAATTGGATAGATGGTGACGAGGATGGCGTCGAGCTAGAGCTTCCAGCTTGGGACGGGGATGTAGTCACATATCTAGTAGCTCTCTTTGGTTCGGAGACCGAAGTCTTCGAAGCCGAATTAGTTCTGGACTGTTTTGTCGGACGCTGATCAGCCAAGGTAGTGTCCTGGGCTTTCCTCTTCGCCAGGCGTGCGAGGCGCTCTTCCTCCATTTGCCTTCTGTCCAAACCCAGGATACCCATCGGCCTGGCCGGTTCCTGGCTGCTCGGTCTAGCTTCAACCTCGGTTACGGACGGAGAGTCAGTGTCCTGGCTTTCGCCATCTTCTGAGTCAGTACTTTGCGAGGCTTCAGAAGAAGTGCTTTCTGAGCCCCCAGAAGAATTAATATCCGAAATCTGTCCGCCAGCTTCTTGGATCGATAAGGCGATGGCAGCTCGCAAAGCCTCATCGTCATCCTCATAATCCTCCTCTTCTGTGTCGGAGCCGATCACGGACCGCGACTTTGGAAAGACGGGTATAATGTCATCGTCATCGCTATCAGAATCAGCGGTCAGATCAACAAACTGAATGCTTCGTGGCCTGCTAGATTGCTCGGATTGATGGCCCGCCTCTGCCAGAGAAGCGGAAATGGCTGCTCGGAGGTCGGCATCCAATAGGTCATCCGAAGACATCGTAGCGAGGTGAAAGGGCGTGAGAGGAAGATTAACAAACAGCGAGATGAACTGAGAAGAAGCAGCTCTTGAAAGAGGCAGAGCGAAGAGAAGGTGGAAAGATGTTCAGGGGTGGGGGAAGAAAGGGTGGGTGGTAGCCTCTGGGGAGGCTGCCTTAATGGATGGGTGGATGTTGTGTTTATTATTAGCTCGACGTCCAAGTGCTCCGGACTGCAAAACGAGCGCAACGCTATTTTTTTTCTCATCAAACCCAAACAAGTTGAAATCCAAACAGAGAAGCAACGCTGAGGTCTATCAAAGTCGAAGGGATGGCAGATAGTTGGAGAAAGCCAGGAAGTCCAGCGTTTGCAAGACGCTCTGATCTGGCCGCCAGCACGTGACTGGGCCAGCATTGGACCTCGAGGGCTTTCCACATCTTGCAACACACTCCAGACTCGCATCGGTTAGACGGAGAGAAGAAAGTCATTCACTGGACTCTCATCGTAACTATAGCATTACGGGGTTGGCCCTGATATCGCTGCAAGCATGGTGTTGCTACGTCAGTCATTCACTACCAGTTCTCCTGCACAAATGACTGTGAATGGCTCTTCCATTGTGTGGTTAATTAGCATTGCATGAGACCCGTTTGTTAGTGATAGCACCTGCGTGTCAAGGCCCCCATGACTAGTACAAAGCATCCCTCTTCTACACATCCCTTTGTTTACTCAACTTTCTGCGCGCACTGATCATACATCTAATTTCTTTTCAATTACCAACGTAAAAACATGAATGGCGTGGCCTCGCCCGGGGGACCGCTTCATGGTCCAGGCTCGGCCGATAGTATCTTGCAAGACCACAACCGCCGTCATCCTAGCAACCGTGGGTAAGTCATGTACGTGTTCCCAATCTCGCATATATTCTGCTGACAGCGTGGCACGGCATCAAGGCCTGTCGTTCATTTCGTCAAGCCGGCATACGACAGAGAAACACACAGTAGATGTGGATCCGAAGAGCCCAGCAAACAGCCGGAGTTCCATGATTTAGTGGTGGGAGAGGTATGCAAGGTGATAAATAAAAGCCATTTGGACAGAGAGCCGGCATCGACGTGCTATCTTGACCGTCTTCCAGTGAACGTCCGACTTAGGATATTTGGGTTCCTTTTCCCTCACGACCGTAGCGTCCTGGAGGTAGAGAACTTCCCACCTACAGAAGCCACAAACCTGGCCATCCTCAGGACTTCACATCAAATCTACCACGAGGCCTCGATTGCGCTATTTCACTCGCTGGCGTACCGTCGGGTGTTCCTCAAGAATTATGGCGCCTCCACTGCGTATCTTCTCAGGCGTTTCCCACGGGAACTGGAAAGCTGTCATTGGAAGTGGCTGGGGTCCGTTTGCTATAATAATAAGCTCGACATACGAAGAGCTTTTGGATCCATTGTACTTTCGCTTGGTGACAGGAGTCATGAACTAGCTGTGCATCGTCGCTGGAATTTCTCCATCTTCATTACCACCTTGAGAATGGACGTGCCTCTGCGCGTTCATGATTTGACGATAATCGCGACTGACAATTGGAAAATGCCTGGCTTTGATGAGACGCACTTAACCCAGGACTTATTCAGCGGAGCATTCGAGATTCTCGGGAGGATGATGTTCAAAGGCTTCACTAGGATGGAGAGAAAACGCCTCGTCACTCTAATCCTCGCGAAGAGAGACCCCCGTGCGCAAGTCATGCGACGTAGTGACGAGGTCGAGGTTCAAGTTAAGTAAGTGGTATGGCCAGCATGTCCCGTCCTTGAACCCCCTCTCGACCCTTCAGATGCACTGAAGCACGAGATCAATGATGGCAAAGAACACATCCCGGTCAGTGTCGGCGGTTTCCAACCCAAGACCCAAGACAAGCATTCGCTTTTCGTTAGGGGTTTTCGTGACAATAGCACTGGCTATTTGACGAGCATAAAGCTGACCAACTATCTCATGACCAGGAGCTCGGCCACCGAGCAGCGACGTAGCAGTCAGATTACCAATTGGGAGTAGACTGTCGTCTGCGAAATCCGAGATTGTGTGAAAGCCCTCTGTCCCTGGATTTTTGTTTTCGAGTGGTACGTGAAGCTGAAGTAGGTTAGTTGAGCACCGGAGAATCATAATATGAAATGACTAACCCAATGTCCTAGTCGTCCCTTTTGTGAGATTGTTATCAGAATCCTGTCACTAAACTTGACGAGGGTGACGTTTGTTTGAATATCCTGGATGACCCCAGCGACCTGTTTGGTGACTGCGGGGAAGGGCAGGTTTAGGTTGAGGTCGAACGGTTCACTCATGTTTTGGTCTTTTCTATTCTTTTCCCGGTGATACCCTTAACAAAGAGTCTGACACAACAACAAATAGTGGTTTTTCTTGTTCCTGAACCGGAGGAGTAACAGAGACACTTGAACTGGGGAAAGGAAACGTGAAGAGGGGGAAGATGAGAGTCATGAAGTAGAAATGTGGAGTGTGAAGCGTGAAGCGTGATCCAGGCGGTGAAACCATTCTCACCGCTCTTGGGGCAGAATGTGGCCGCCGCCTGATTTTTTTCGCGGATCCGCATTCAACACTCACTTTTGGTTTGCGATTTGGTCACTTTTTGGGATCTGGTTCACTTTGTCTCCAGGTAGAGGCAAAGAATCCAAGTCTGGTGACCATGCCCAAGTTTGTCCCCCGTCAACGGAAGCAAAAGCACCGGCAAAGGGAGGCAACCAATGTCCCGGTAGACACCAATGTTGCCGAGCTTGCGCCCGTCTCCAAGAGTGAGAAGGATGCCAAACGCCAGCAGCTAAAAGAGGAATTGCGAGCACAACACGCTCAGGTTTCTTCGAAGAAGCAGAAGCGCTTAGACAAGTATATTGTGCGTCAGACTATATGTCAATTTAATCTATCAAATTACCAGTTCTAATACCTGCGCAGGAAAACAAGCTAAAGAAAGAAGAGAATCTCGAACTGCTGAAAAAACTGGCCCAGTCCAAGGTTGACACTTCAGCCCTTCAAAGCTCAAGGGAATTAGGAAAGCGCAAGAGACAGGATGAGAGAGTGCCAGTATCTACAGCCGAGGATCATGACTCCCGCCTTGATTCAGACCTGTCGGACGACGACTCGGACGACTCATTACCCCCATCGAAAGCGATTGCCAGCGGCTCTAGACAGGATGCTCCTGCACAAAAGCCTGCAGAGGATCCAGCGACTGGCAGTGGTTTGAAGCGCCCTCTCCAACTGGGTCCGGACGGGTTCCCGGTCCTCAAAAAGCGAAAGCAGGCCCCGAAGAAACCGGAGATAACGATTACGATGCCAGAAGTGCCATGGGAGGGCTTCGGCTCGGGTGATGAAGATCAAAGTGGTGAGGACGATGAAGATTCGGAGAAGACATCTGAGGATGGCTCAAGTGACGCTGAAAGCGGCAGCGACGAAGAGGACGAAGAGGACGAAGAGGACGAGGACTGCAGTGAGGACGAGGAAGACGAGGACGAAGACGAGGAAGAAGAAGAAGAGGAGGAGGAGGAGGAGGAGGAGGAGGAGGAGGAGAATCACAAAGTCGGCAAGCCTCGACAATCCGCTTTCAAGACTTGGGCTCGGCAGCAAATCAATGATGCCGTTGGATTCAAGCCTGCCACCGTCCCAGTCGTCTCGGAGCCAATGCCATTTATTTTGGAACCCAAGAAGCCAGTAAGAAACACAGTCTATGAGGAGGAGCCATTGCCTCTGGAACTTCAGGTCACTAAAGGGGACCCCAACCGGAAAGCGTTCAGTGTCCAGGTTAACCGGTCAGAGGAAATACAAAACTCGCGCCTAGGACTGCCAGTTGTTGGCGAGGAACAGAAAATCATGGAAGCAATTTACAACAACTCTGCAATTGTGATCTGGGGAGCCACTGGTTCCGGAAAGACGACGCAACTCCCCCAATTCCTCTTTGAAGCAGGCTATGGAAACCCGGACAGCCCCAGTCCAGGCATCATTGGAGTGACGCAGCCGCGCCGAGTTGCTGCAGTTAGTATGGCGAAACGTGTGGGCGACGAGCTGGGAGAATTCTCCGAGCAAGTCTCTTACCAAATCCGATTTGAGAGCACGGCATCTAGCAAGACCGCAATCAAGTTCATGACTGATGGCATCCTGATTCGGGAAATCGCCGAAGACTTTTCCCTCAGCAAGTATTCGGTCATCGTAATCGACGAAGCCCACGAACGGAGTGTCAACACCGATATCCTGATTGGAATGGTCAGTCGTATCGTTGACTTGCGGAAGGCCATGCGCGAGGAAGACCCATCTGTCAAGCCTCTGAAACTCGTGGTCATGTCGGCAACCCTGCGCATTTCGGATTTCACGCAGAACCCAAATCTCTTCCGCCAAGGGCCACCACCTTTGGTCCAGGCAGAAGGTCGTCAATACCCTGTGACAGTGCACTTCTCCAGACGTACCAATCGCGATTATGTCGAAGAGGCGTTCCGCAAGGTGTCGAGAGGCCACCGCAAGCTGCCTCCGGGTGCTATGCTTGTGTTCCTGACAGGACAGAACGAGATCCGACAGCTTTCCAAGCGGTTGAAGCAGGCCTTCAAACCCACCCAGCGCGGCGAGGCTACTCAGGCCAAGGTCCAGATCACTGCAAACGATGCACCGCTTGAAGCGGAGGATCTCGAGATCGGTGGTGCAGATCTGTCGATTGCTGGCAACCAGGAGGATGACGGAAGTGATTATGAAATCACTGGCTTGGATGAAGCCGAGGAAGACGAGGACGAGTTTGATTTGGACGAAGAGGCCATGAGCTCCTCCACGCGGGTTCATGTGCTGCCACTGTACTCTCAGCTCCCTACCAAGGAGCAGCTGAGGGTCTTTGAACCCCCACCGGAAGGCTCGCGGCTTATCGTCTTGGCCACTAACGTGGCTGAGACCAGTCTTACCATCCCGGGCATCAAGTACGTGTTTGACTGTGGAAGAGCCAAGGAGAAGCAATACGATCTAGCCACGGGTGTCCAGAAATTCCAGATCGAATGGATCAGCAAGGCTAGCGCCAACCAACGAGCTGGACGCGCTGGTAGAACTGGCCCTGGACATTGCTATCGCCTCTATTCGTCGGCGATCTACGAGAACGAATTCGCCGAATACACGGACCCGGAGATCCTGCGGACACCCATCGAGGGCGTCGTCCTCCAGATGAAGAGCATGGGTCTGCACAACGTCATCAATTTCCCGTTCCCGACGCCTCCTAGCCGCCAGGGTCTGGCCAAGGCCGAAAAGCTCCTCAAGAACCTGGGGGCGCTCACCGCAGAAGGCAAGATCACGCCCATCGGTAACCGCCTATCGACGTATCCCCTGTCTCCGCGGTTTGGCAAGATGCTGTACGTTGGGCACCAGCATGGCTGTATGCCGTACATCATTGCGCTTGTTTCGGCTTTGGCGGTGGGAGATCTGTTTGTTCCTCAGAACCAGATCGATCCTGTGCCAGCCAAGGATGGCGATGAGGCCAAGGGCGTCTACACGAACGCCGATCGACTGGAGGACACGGCCCGGGAGCAGCGCCACAAGGACTACGCGCGGGCCCATCGCCTCTTCAGCAAGCACGACGACACTTCGGACGCCTTGAAGTACCTATCGGCGATCTGTGCGTATGGCTATGCTTCGGATGGGGATTCGTTCTGCGAGCAGATGTTCCTGCGCGCGAAGGCCTTCAAGGAAGCCACCCAGCTCCGTCGCCAGCTGACCGACATTGTGCGAAGCAACAATCCAGGCCTGGTCCAAGCCTATCAGGCCCGCTTGCCCGAACCATCCGAGAAGCAGGTCAAGGCGATCAAGCAGATTGTCACTGCCGGTTTCATCGATAATGTTGCCCTCCGCGCCGACCTTGCGCCGGTTCCCCCAGAAATGCATCGTACACCCAAGAGAGCGATCGACGTGCCGTACTTTACTCTTATGCAATCTCGCGAGGGACCGGGTATGGAGCTTGACGATAAGGCTGTATATGTGCACCCCTCGTCCATCATTGCGCAGCTCTCAGCCAAGGAAATGCCCCAGTACATTGTGTATTCCCATCTCCAACAATCGTCGCCTTCCGTCGTGTCGGCCGACCAGACGCCCAAGATCCGCATGTTTCCTCTTGCCGCGCCCAGCGGACTGCAGCTCTCTGCCCTTGCACACGGGACTCCTCTCATCGAGTACGGCAAGCCGATTGGCAAGACGGACTTGATCGAGGGCATTCCTCAACGGCGATCATGCTGGGTGATCCCGTCGCTGGTGGGTGAGGCTGGCGGCTCGCGGTGGCCATTGCCAGCCAAGAAGGTGATCCAACGGAAGGATGCCAAGGAGGGCTGGGTGATTGAAAAGTTTACCTCCTAATGTAGTATATAATCTGCAATAAAAGCGATGATATGATGTGCCACAAATTCTGATTCCGTTTACCAGAAGCATTCCGCATGATTCTTCCTAGCTATAGCCATATTGTATGCACTATCGATCTCCAACCACACCCATGCAATAACAATGAGTCAAAAGCAACCCCAGTAATAACTCCCAACACCCGAAACAAACCACAACCCCAATAATAGATAAATATAAAAATAAACCCACCCACCACCACCACCACCAACCTTACACAAAACCTTACACAACCCCCGAAACAAATACCAACACCAACCCTAATTACCTACCTCCTCCCAAGCTCCCCTGTCTCCCTATCCTCCCTAATCCCCAAAGCCCTCCTCAACCGCTCACTCTCCTCAATCTTGGCCTCCGCCAACTCATGCACCTGATAACTCTTAAACTGGCGTCTTTCCTTAGGGGGCAAATCCCTCCCCCAAGGCCGACGTCTCCCCGCGTCCCCATTCTTCGCCCCCCTCTCTTTCTCTTTCTCCTCCTCCTCCATCTCCTTCACCAACTTAGCCCTCAAAACCTCACACCGCTCATCGATCTCCTCCTCCGTCAACACCCTCTCAACATCCTTATCCTTTTCCCCGTCCTCCTTCTCATCCTCCTCCTCCTCCTTTACCTCCTTTTCTTTCTGGGTTTTCTTCCCCTCCTTCTCCCTCAATTCAATCTCCTCATTCAACTCCTCCAACCTCTCCCTCTCCTCCATAACCTTCACCTCGATCGCGCGCCGCCGATCATGTTCCAGGATCTGTTTATCGGGTTGCCGTTGCTTGAATGGCCGATCGGCAGGGGAGAAGTTGTTTGCGCCGGAGACGGGGGGGTATGGGGCGCCGTAGCCTGCATTGCGGGGTTTCATGAAGGCGAAGTTGCGTTGGACGTAGCCGGAGGTGCCGCTGCCTCGGGGAGTGGAGAGGCCGACGTTGGAGGACATGGTGGTTGCTTGATTAAAGCTTTGTTTTTCTGTTGGGGATGTGGTGTAGGTGAGGAACGCGTTGAGGTGGTTGGTGGTGGGAGGTAGTAAGGTGGTGCGGTGGTGAGGGATGGGTGGGTGAAGGTTTGAATGGTGTGTGGTGTGGTGTTGTAAGAATGTGGTGGGTGGTGGAGGAGACTGATGATTACTGATTGCTGCGGAGTGAAGACTAGGTGAGGTCTGATCGTGGCGAGTCATGCATCGTCGATCGAGGATTTGCGGCTCGGGACCGCAGACAGAGTGTCACGTGATGATACGGCACTGATGATAAGGGCGGTAGATACAGCTTACTGCTTACAGCTTACTGCTTACTGCTTACTTCTTACTGCGTACTCTGAGCATAATGACGAGATTGAGAAGCTACATAATAGTACGTAGAAGAATCGAAGTTATATCGAGCAATACAGCAACGCTTTTGATTGATTGTCTGTATACCGAGACAGCAAGGCCTCTACATGCTCTAGGCATCCCTTATATTCTCCCTATTTCCAGGTCTCCCATATGTCCATTCCAAGGTCCCGTTTTGTAACCCCTCGAGGAAAATCATTGCGCGATGTCCCATGAACCCGTATTCACCAATCAAGACGCCGGCCCCTCGTGTGGACAGAGAGAAACAGAAAACATTGATAACTATGGAGGCGTGTCCTCGTTTTCATCACGTCGAACTTCAGAGTAACAGCAGAAGGGGAATACATCCACAAGCAATTAAATGGGTAGAGGAAAGAAGTTTCAAGAAGCGAAAAGGGTGCAGGCAAAAGGAGAAGCAAATTGGAATAGCAAATGACATGAGTTCCCGCCGTCACCCTCGTTGTTGCGCCGTCAAGCCATGAATTTGGGCGGGGAGATAAGCCCCTCACGCCCACAGTATGTATACCCCAGATTAAGAATAAGTGGGGAAATTCGGAACATAAGAATAAAGATATGTTTGAGAAGAAGCAATAATAGTGTGTTCAAGCCGTAATAGCCTATGTGGCACCGGTGACTTCAACAGAGTCGCTTGCGACCGGGTTGGCCGATTCACATTCAGCCAAAGGGGTCACTGTACTTTTCGCAATGTGCTTGGATTCCGTAGACCCATCGGTATTGCTCTGAGTATCGGTAGGAGGAGGGGTCGGCGGTGCCGCGCCGACAACAGGGGCCCTGCAGTTCTCGACACCGTTCACCGCTCGCTTCGAAGGCTGGGGAGAGGATTTGTGCGAGTTTGGGGGCGTCGTCGAGGTCGCCGTGTGGGGGAGAGCCCCTCCTGTAGGTGGAAGAACTCCCGCAATCAACTTCTCGATAGCCACAATCTGCTTGCCATAACTGTACTTTTTCAATTGGTCAAGCATCGGCTGGATTCGCACTGCAAGAGCGTACTTCTCATCGGACGAGTCGTCCATCTGCCCGAGGACCTTCTCTGGAGGGGAAGTTAGCCAGGGATGACGCAAACTACAAGGTGGAGGTCAACTTACGGATGACATAGTTGCCGTACTGATCACGCATCAGACCCAGCAAAGGGCTCTCCCCTCGGTCGTTGATGCCCGTCAGCATGCTGATCATCTGCCGACTTTCAGACTCCTCGCCATACTCAAGGCTCTTTTCGACCACGTTGCTAGCGAACTTGTGCTTCGAGTAGGTCAAGAGTTGCGACATAACGATCACAATCATGCGCGACCGGTCCTTCTCTTCCCCGTTTTCGATCACATGCTGGATCACGTAGTTCCCAAACTGATCCGTGATCAACTTGGGAGTGCAGGCATGCAGTTCGCCCAGGATGGACTCTCGGTCCACTTCTTCGCAGTGCTCAAGCATGCGCTGGATGACCCGACACCCGTAAGGGTGTGTTGCAAGGCGTTCAACTTGGCCTTTGAAGGCATTGATGATAAATTGCACATACTCTGATGGCACCCTCTCGATGGCTTTTTGAATGACGTGGTTGCCATTTTGGTCCCGTACACAGCGGATCACGTGGGTCTCGAGTTCTTTGACCATCGACGCTTGCTGATCGGTGAGGATGTGCTCCAATGCCTGCCCAAATCAGCAACAAGTTCCATGCGATGACTCGTTCAGAGCACCTACCTTTTGCACCACGCGACATCCGTACATCTGGGTAGAAAGGGATAAAATATGTCCCTTCATTTGGTTCGCCAGGCTCTTCTTCTGCGTTTGGTTACCGTGCTCAAAGAGCTTCTGAACAACGTAATTGCCGAATACATCGGTCATCAATTGTAAGCTGTTCGAACTGATCTCACGGAAAACCTGTTCCTTCTCGTCGCTGTTGGCCGTCTCGAGTTTTTGCTGGATGAAGCGTGACCCGTGCTGATCGCCGCTGAATTCCACAACGTGACCATATATATCCTAGAACAAATCAGCAATGCGATCCAGAGATATAGACCATGCTCGCTTACCTTCAGCTCATAACGTTTGTTTCCTTTATTTTGAGCCCTAAATTCCTCCAGTACAGCGCTTCGCACCACTTGGGCAGGGTCATTGTCACGATGGCCCCGGGAAACGATGGCTGCTGCGCCCATGTGTGCTACAGGGTAGAAAGGAGACAAGGCGTTTAGCCTCTGCGTTTGATATCCGACAAGGTCGTACGGGGGAAATCCAACCCTCTGGAGTTGGTTGCCCTGTTGTTGCGAAAGCTCCTGATCGGCGCGTAGCGTCTGTTCTAACAGTGCAACCGTGCTCCCCGCCGGTTGACTGGCAGAACCACTCCGAAAGTGTGGCCCATTATCATAGAACGAGGTTTCCCTGCGGAATTCCGTCGGCGATATCGAGTTTGTATCTGCAACCCGGCACCTGCTCGACTGGTATCCTAGTTGCAACTCGGTCGGGGGCACACCTTCATTGACGAAGGTGGGAGCAAGCTGGTACTCGCCCTCCCCACCAGTGTTTTGATACTTCAGACGTGCAAGACCGGCGTCGTAGGACTTGTGGGGTAAATATACGGGACGGTTGTGAGCACGCGAAGTGAAGTCCCCATCATTGATCTGCAAGTTGTTCAATCCACCGTTAAGGTCCACGGACCCGCTACCAGACCGGCCCTCATAGCCCTGGGTCTCTGAGTGAAATGACGGATAAGTAGCGTGCGAGGGTCTTTGTGGGGCGAAAGAACCAGAGTTACGAGCAGAGTGGGAATATGAGTTCCGCCCAATATGCTGCGTCATGTAGTCAGGAAGCGCAGACTGCAAGGTAGACATGCCCATCGATGTGGTCACTTCGTCGACCCTTTGGTTGTCCAATGGACTGGTGAATCCTGGTTTTATCGGGAACCCAGAGCCCACAGGGCTACCTCCAAATGCTGACGTGTTTACTTGTCGTCTGTTTTCTCCATTTCTCATCGTCCCGAAATTGCTTAAATTGATTCCGTCTCCTGATGGTGAGATGCCGTCAGACCCAGTGCTCAGGTAAGCCTTGTGCCCGGCCGCCCCGTTCGGGGCCCCAATTCCCGACGAATTGGGAAGAGTGAAGTATGAGGTATCGGTGGATTCCTGTAAACCAGGCGCGCTGCGATCAGTTGAACGTGTTTGCACGGGAGAAGTTGTCATGCCGCCATTCGGTGCTCGGGATAAGGTAGCCGTTGATGTGTTGACCGTGTTCCAAGGTAGATTGGGACGGCTGTTCCATCCATCTGATTCAGAAGATGACAGTAGAGAGCTTGAACCGGCCTTGCCCTCGAAGGCATTTTCTGCGGTGTGCTGGTCTGGAGGTAACATGTCAGTATTACCCTGTGAAGTAAACGAGCGCCCAGCGAGCTGCGTACCTTCATAACCGCTCGCCCAGATACCGGGATTCCACCCTGAATTGCTACCACCGAAGCTCTTCCCCATGCTCGCGTGAGCGCCCCGTGTTCTCTCGCCGTTCAATCCCGATGAACCCATGTTGGACGCTCGGTTTGATCGAACCTGTACCACAGTCAACCAACTAGTCCCCTTCTCAATAGTCCAACCGCCACCTACATTATTCGGGTTGGAAGCCATATTGACCATTCGACCCCAGATATGGACCTTAGAATATATGTATTCACTGTATGGATAGTCGTCCGTATCCGACTTCGGGGTCGGTGTGACTTCGTACCCCGTTCGCTTTCGTCTTTCGTGTTTCAGGTGACAATGTAGATGCTGAAGCGATAAGGCTAATTATACGACCTGTAATGGATGACAGAAGCACGAGCTCACTGGCGGTTACCAAACTGTAAGGGTCAGCCATATATGATCGTTTAAAGACCAACCACCGAAAGAAGGCCAATAGACAATGTTGAAGGATTGACTCACAAGGGAGTGAAGATACGAAACACGAAAGGACGGGGATAGAAGAGAGATAGGACGGCACAAAGATGTCGCCGAAGAATAGGAATAGGTGTTTGTCCAGAATAGACGCGGCCAAGCGCTGTACAAATTATACAGGGATTGAAGGGAGGGGGTTGTAGGAAAGGAAGGAGAAGCGTGGCAGGCGAGAAATGCTAGGCGGCAGGAAGGAGGTAGGGCCGTCAACGCAAGGTGACAAGAGCTCGATAAAAGCGCTTGGGTATTTCCGCCTACAGCTCAGCAAGTAGCCGTAGATCAAATCGCCAGAACGTATTGCGACGTGACTATGCTCCGTGCATGCTCCAGGAAGTTCGAATCTCGCAGATCGCCCTCATGTGCCCTCTGACGAGGAGGGATAGCCGACACGGGGTCCGTTTAATCAGACAGACGTTAGGAGCTCGGATGATTCGTAGCGGCAAGGGGGAAGGACGAAGGGTTGGAGGAACTGCAGCTGGTATGGGCGCAGAATGTGCTTGTTGCGCAAATGGACGTGATTAGTGGAGCGTCGAACGATGGGAATGTGGACGAGAGACAAAGCCCGGCATTAATGTAATTCAGTTGTGACACAGACAAGAGCAAGCATGACACCCGAAGTGGTTCCGAGCAGATCAGTCAGGTCTTTTATCGCAAACCTCGGGTCAACGACCTCCACCACCGAGTGAAGATGGCAAACTTGGGGAAGAGGGAGGGGGAGAAGAGATAATAAATGACCGAAATCAAGTGATGACAAAGAGATGAGAAAATAAGATGAGATGAAATGTAATAAAAAAAGGTTTGTTGAGAGCGAAGGTCAAAATAAAGCAGGGAAAGGGAAAAGGTTATTTAATAAAAAAAAAAAAGGGTCTGGTCAACGCGAGAAAAGACAAAAGTTGGTAGCACAAAAGAAGCACCCCAAAAACCCCCCAAACTGAGAGAGGAGGATTGAGAGGGGAGGGGAGAAAAAGAGGAAGAGGAGGCGAAAAAGAGACGAGAGAATCCAGATGAAGGAGCAGGGGAAAAACTGCAGGATCAAGAAAGGAAGAAAAAGAAATCACCAGTCGGGACCTCTGGCAGGGCGCAGGATTGAGTGAGGATGGAGATGATAGATAAGCTGGGCAGGTCGAGCTGGAAAAAAGATGCTGCGTGTCTTGCGGCAAAAGACTGATTCTTTGGCGCCCATCGGTAACATTACCGCCGATGACAATACCAGACGATCTGTCGATCTGGCCAGGTACTTGGCGACCGTATGGGTAGCCCGGCGGGTGGGCAGGTACCAGACGCCCGCCCACCAGACCCAGCTGATACGCGCTGGATCTGGGGCCGCCCAAATTCGCTCCCGCCGCTTCTTTTTTAGGCTTCAATCTAGGCGGCCCCTCCATCCTGTTTAGGGCCCATTCATCATTCATCCCCCCCAAGGCGATCGCCTGGCTCGTCACTTGGCCATCACGGTGACAGCACCCACTACTCCGCGTACTTCCACTGTTCCTGACGCTCCGGAATCCCCTCCACCTTTCTTCTTTGGGCAATGGGCAATCATGACTGGGTTTCACAACCACGTCGGAGACATCCATCCATCCAACCAACCAACGGCATGCACTCTGGTTGACCGCTACATACGAAACGCCCTCCGCCCGTTGGACGTGGACATACCTACCCCTCGCCGTTGCGTAATGGTTTGATATCAGTTTTTGTTTGATCGACCCCCCCGAAAGGCACGATCAAATACTACGTACGTCTGGAGTCCCGTGGCCTGGAATGTCTTTGGAACGCCCGAGAAGCTGTCATGGCCACTTCAACCTCCCGGACATGACTTCCTGGCCAACACCCTCGACTGACTCAGCCGTTATTTGCCACTGCTCACGAACTACCAACTCCTAGAAGCGGGGTCTCTGGAGATCGCTCCTCTTTCTATCGCGTTTATTTGATATCCTGTCCGTAATCAGGTCTCGGGGCCCAGAAGTAATAACGGGCTCCGGCTATGATGAAGATTTGCGGTAGATAAAGGTTAAGTTACGCTCCAGCCCGACCGATCGGATCCACTAAACTAGCCTGATTTTTCTCTGATGAATCAGAGTTTATTATTCCCGGCCAACAATAACATTGGTTTGATGGGCTCCTCATGATATCCAACGCTATTATTCACTAATTTATCCCTGCGTAGGGGCGGAGCGGCAAATTGATGAATTGAGCACTTACCAGAGCAACCTTGTACCGAGCTCGTATTAGGAGACTGCGATGCATTCAACTCATCATCCTGGCTTGCTTTACATATATATACACGCACCGCTGGAATGAAAGGGGGGCAGCGCAAAACATTTACGAATTACGACAACACCCCCAATTTCTGGCTAATGTGTTGCATTGTTGTATCATGACAACATCGCCGTGTGGTAATGCCAATGAAATTAGCAGGTCTTCCACTGGCCTGAATTGTTCTCATATACCACCTCTCTTGTCCGCGTTTCGCTCGATATTGCATCTTATGCGCTATCCCTTCCATGGTGCATACCAAGCCTTACGACCACAATTGTTATGACTCGATAGTGGCCTGAGTACTACGTAATATCGGGGGAACAGCAGCCCTTACGATATCCCTATCTGAACTGTGTTCCTGACTGGGCACAGATGAGTCCACCGCGCTTGTCTGTTCCCCTCTCGCTATGCCGGTTTGGACTAGAAGCACGCATGGCGAACAGCTTAGCTCGACGGGCTTCGAGCGTCCCTTGCATCCAAGCAGCACACAGTAACGGCGATTTAGGTTTCATCCGCCCTGCCTTTATGACGGCCGCGGAAGGAAGGGATGCTCTCTGGAGTTCACCTCATCGTCCTTTCTTCTTTCTCACGGGTTGCCAATTGGGGAAATTAATGGCATGCTTGCATGTATGTGGTGTAGCGCTCCGTACGAGCGGCCTTATCATGGAGGATCTACCTGATTTGCCGAAAAATATGCTCGGAATACTACGAAAGACACGAGAAAGGTAAAGCGGGCAATTACAACGAACTGGCAGAGGCCATCCACAGCAAAGGCAGAATTGCCTTGCATTAACCCCACTAGTTCCTTGTCGCCAGGGCGCATTGGGTCTGTTGTCAGAGTGAATAGGTCAATCGAGGAAGATAGATAATGAACAATGACAGGCTTAAATCAAGGTCCTGGTCCTGAGGTCGAGCGGGAATTATTTCCAACCATTCCCAGGGTCCCCCTTGGTTGCCCAGCAATCCAAAAGACTGTAGATCCATGCCATGACTAAACATGTTGTGGGCCTGGACTCGGACGCCAGCACGACATCTAATATACCTATTTGTGATAACAAAATCATCACTTCTCCGCGGGGAGTATTTACCTGTTTCTAGGCATTTTGGGGTAGTATTTCTGGCCCCCCTGTGTCCATGGATACAGCCATCCGATGGATGACAGCACCCGATCATCATCATCATCATCATGCCATGTCAAGGCCACACGTGCCGCCATCTCCCCACTTGAGTGGATGCCCCAAGTTTATACCACACTCTTTCCTTCCCTGGTACGGCTGCCTATGCCTTTCCCGTATATAGCCGCTCCGTATAATGATAAGCGGAGTCATCGACTGATTAGTATGTCCCCGCCATGCTGTCATACTGATTGTGAGTCATACCTTCCTTTCTGCGCTCGACACGTTTCTCAAGGAGTGAGAAAGTTTTGTAGCGCGTCTAGTCAACCATGAAATCCTTCCCCATCATCCAGAATATGTTATCCCATAACCTCAACGGCCAGCACGTCATTATGCCTTTGTCTGTCAGATATTACGGAGTAAGCTACGTACGTGTGGGCTCCTAACGACCACGTCAGGTTGAGACATGTCTCGGATGTTCCTCTCAGCACTCCATTATCATATTCCCTTACATGGACATGCAGGAAGTTGAGGCCTTTCTTTTCAGGCCAGCAGACCGTCGCCGCTACAGTGCATTGGTATTGAGGATGACATATCAAAATCGTCTCACACAGATGGCTATAATACGATTATTAGTGGGATAGTGCTATACCACGAAGCTCTATCCATTTTTAACGCCATGACTGAGCGGATTAGAAGGACTCTGTCTGACTATGTGTTTAGAAAGAAAAACTACCATTAGGTGAAAGGCACAGATGACATTACACAATAGTGAATACCGCCAGATGCACATACAAAAACACAGCTGCTGGCCCCGATGGTGTTTGATAAGCTTGGGCAACTTTCGCATCAGCTTATACTCGTTAAGTCCTCAATATCTTACATTAAAATCTTGCATCACGAATCTGGCAGGACAAGGACCTGGCTTTAACATAGGGTTTAGCATAAGATAGGCTTCTTCTGTTGCTATATCTAGATACTAATGACTGCATTGACACTTTTGCTCCCCCCTCACATGGGATAGGACATTACAAGCTTCGCATAACCTCACTGTCACAATTCAACATATTTTACGAATTTGAAATTTTTACCTTTACTCTTCGAATAGCAAAAAGCGACCACGACAACCTACATGCTATCTACAAGTGAATATAGCAGTGCCCAAAATCCCCCGCAATGTCAACAATTGCCCCCGAATGATAAATCATATTTTCTGAGTAATATCCAACGACCCATTCCTAGATATGCCACCACAACTTGGATCTAGACTAATCTGACACCATCCATACCATCCGAGTCCATCCAGGCAGATCATATCGAAATCATAATATTCAATCCAGGACATCTCAATGCAATCCCAGATCACTTTTCACGATGCCCATACATCAATAACATCCTGTACCAGATATGTTATAAGCTCTGAATAGTCTCAGAAGAGCCAAAGTATATTTATACGGTAATATGGTAATCTCCGTAGGTTGTGTTGTTCAAGCTCATCCTATACATGATATTGATAATGTCGCAAGGACTGGCAATCGTATCAGTACCATATTCATATATGGTTCATGAGTCAGAGAGTACGTTCTGCAGACCTTTAAGAAACTTCCAAAGCCACTGCAAATGAGGCAAGCGCTGCAAATCATACGTTTTACAACTGATAGACATTGTAGAGAGTGGTAGATGAATAATACTAATTCCCCATACATAAAGCCCTTTTCACGTAGTCTACTAGTATTGGTCCACGGCGTTAGGGAGAGACATAGTAATATATTCGAGGACTTATTTTCCCATTATAATAACCTGTATCACCCGACAAGAATACTTAGGGTTCCAATAGTCAGATAAAATAGTAAGCTGGGAAATATGGCATTGAACGCGCAGTGTCCGCTGAACTACTATCATTCACGATGTTCAAGTGCTGGTTGGTAGGTTCAAGTAGTAATAAACAGGCTTGACTGATAAACCCCGACTAGGCATTAACCACTACCTTTTGCCTATAATCATCACCCTCGAGTTTAAAACCTGCTATAAGGGACGATAGACGCTGTGTTAAATGAAACCAGAAGGGAAATGATATTGGCTTTATTCTTGTAATGTTACTGTTCCAAGATAGTGCAATTCCCACATCTTCTGTCAAGTGTTAATGTAGTGGGTTAATACATCGAGTCTCGTGTCCGCGGATTGAAAGTTGCTATTGGGAGAAGAATAAGTTCATTATGATTGCTTTTGAACTTTTGATTCGAACGCAGCGGATATAAAGAATCATCAGAAAACCTGGTGATATGTCTCCGACTATGTAAATACTGCCAACATCACCCGTCGCCTAGAGACATGATCGTGTGAGATGATCGGAGGTATGTTGGGAATAGATATTTCAGGATGTATGGCGGATACGACTGAAAAAGTGTTGGGACTCTTGAGCGGTAGGATGAAGGTAACTATTTCACTCAAGTAACCCGGTAGTTAGGCATCATCGGATATGGAATGTCTGGTGCAGTTCGGCAAAATGACCAAAAAGGATGGTAGATTTGATGCAGGGGAACGGTAGGGTAGTGAATTCCGATCTACTACAAACATTGCTAGTCTACATCCAGAGAGAAATTGTGATTGGGGTATAACGTGCAACTTCATTTATTTGTCACTGCCATTTGATGGACAGAGGGATGGGTCAAGATCAGCAGCGAGGACACGAGTTATCAATCGAGCATGACCGTATCCGTACAATTCAGGTGGTCATCCAACTAGATACATTCAACAAACAACCGATATAGTTGCAGGTTGCACGGCAACTGACATGGAAGATATCTGACCTTGTCAGTGCTGCCTGTCAGTCTTCGACACATTCCACAATGCCTTGAAATGATGGAACTAAATATAGGTTCATTCTGATACAGAGATATTCACAGCAACGGATTGAAGACCGTAGGGCTTGTAGATCTCTCGTAGCATAGCAGTCTGCATACCAAGATCGTCGGAGATACGGATGCCATGTTCTTCCCTTGACGTGACCCTGGCATTCTGCGGCATTGTGTGGGGTGCTTCAAGAATGTGGCGATTGTCCGCTAGATAATATGTACATATGTACAGGGGTTGATCGTTTAAATTTAGAAACAATGTAATTGTGGTTTCCACGAGTTGCCGTGGTTCTCTGGGAAGTGAGACCATGTCTGTCACTTGTTTCACATGCCGTGTATAGTTTGTAGACTATTGAATGATGGCGAGCTCAGGTGCGTCAGGGGCTGTCTAAGACGACTATATTATGTCTGAGCATGATAATGTGTAAACAAGAGGTGGAAGTATAGTTCGTAGGTAAGACACGCGACTCGATCATTGGCACGTGGATTTGACACAAGATAGCGGGTGGAGGGACCCGACACAATGTCATAGTCCGACATGGAATCCACTGGATTTGCAAAGGAATGAGCATGGTCAATCGCTACCTTAGACGCAGGCGAAGAACTGGATGGTAACATCTTCCAGCGATGTATATCTTTTAGCCTGATACTCACCCATTACGACCCAAAGTACTCCGTGCGGACTAGTACTCCGTATCATGGCGGTGGATATGACCGCTGTCAGATCATGGAATACGGAGTTGCCTAACAGTCAATGTGTTTCACCATTGGTGACAGATGGACCCTGCATTAGTACATGACAGTTGGTTTCTGATGTCATGTGGGAACCCCAGTTTCATCCGTAGGATTTTTCCAAATCGTCTGACATGAGATCAATGGTAATTGCTGTGTTGTCCTTGTTGGAGCCAGCGCAGCCTTGTTTTGATTGGATTTTGAATATTTTCCAGGCCACGGCGGCGATCTCCAGCGGCAAATCAGAATTCAGAAATAGATTTCCTCAGGAGCCGGAGTTTCCACCGAAGATGGACAATGCTTGGCGAACCAAAACGTCATTCCACGCCCCGAGGGAGATGATGATTTTAAAATAGTAACACCACCACGATGGCCTATGATCTCTGAACAAGTCGACACTCGTGACTCGACAGGGTCTGCGATCAGACAAAAGATGATCGCACCACAACACTAGTCCTCCCATGGAAATCTGGCAAGGGAAAACTCCCCAGCCTTGTGGCCCCGGGCGCCGTGCTGGCTTGCTTTCAGGGGGGCCAACGACCTAAAAAAAGGAAAACAAAAGAGGGGAAGTGCAGGTGGCCGAGGGAGGAAAAAACCGATTCAGCTAGCGTAGGAACAGGTCAGTCGTCGACAGGGGCGGCAGCGAATGAGGTTGGGTCTGGCTGGCCACGAATGGGCCCGGTCAGGCACCGGTGGCGCGTGATTGGCCAGGTGGCCGGAATGGGGATATTACCAGCGAACCTTAGCAGCGACGCCGGCGAACAAACCAAGGCCGGACTAGGCGAAAGGCGGCTAGGGGGGTCCTTGCGTTCACTCGGTCTGGACTGTACGGACTGTGCCAGTGTGCCTACTACTACTGTGTATGGTACTAGTCCTGCCTAAGCGCCCTTGCGCCTCGTTGTTCCTGTCGTGCCGGGCGGGTGCCCACCGGGGCTTCGGTTCTCCTCCCTCGCCGTCTCCTCCTCCTTCTCACCCTTCCTTCGCTCGATCTCTTCTGCCTTTCCCTTTGTTCCTTTCTTTCTTCCATTCCCCATCGACATCCCCCATACCAACCCCTCCCCTCATTCTTCCTCCTTCCTCACCCGTCACGTTCTCTTCACCCTAAGCAGGTGTCGGCTTCACTCTTTCAGCTGTTCACCTTGCTGTCCGTTCTTTCGCTATACCAGCCCGGTCAATTTTTATCAACCCAGTTGACGCCCCCCCCCTCCCCGCCTCAACTACGCCACCCTACCGACCTGATACATTCTCTCTTTTTTGTTCAACGACTCCGTCTCCATCCGGTCTCTTGAAAAAGACATCCTTGTCCGATTCTATCGCCGCGAGACCCTTGTTGAGACCTCGTAAGTCACCGTCGACAACCAATACGTGCTGCAGTATATCCAGAGTTGACAAGGGTATCGCTCACAGTGCAATTCAATTCTTGGAATTTATTCTCCGTGTCTGGAGAAATACGCCTTCATTATACGAAACTTTTCTTCGGATTGCATCCGAAGATCATATTAAATCCGAAAAAAAACCCCCCAACTTCAAAAAAAAATGTTCAATCCCATCTCGAAGTTTGTTCGGCGCGATGATTCTAGCAGCGATGGACTTTCCCCGTACATGGTCGATCTCCTGATTTCTCTCCTGGTGCTCATCCTACTCGGTCTCGCCATGGTCGGTGCGCTTCTTGTCCTGCGCCGCAAGCGCTTGAGCCGGGAACACTCGGAACTTCCTGTACACAACGGGCAATGCGTGCCAAGCCATCGTCGATTCACCGTCTCCGCTTCGCCGAACGCCAAGACCGAGTCCGTTCTGGTCTATGATGAAAAGCGCAGCCTCATCCAGAACTCGTCGAGCCCCCCGCCCAGCCCGGTCCCTGAGATTCGCATTACGTTCCCCGAGGAGGAGGATGAATCCGGAAAGCGCAAGTCTGGTCGCGTGGTGGTGGTGAGGATTACCGATGCTGGCGGTGTGGGCTTGGAGCCCTGCAATGAGGAGCTCCCGCCGTATCAGTCCAGCGATGCGGAGCGATTCCAGTCGTTGGATATCGAGCGCATGGGGGGACTCAAGGAGAAGGAGGCCACGAATAGATGGTCTTAGGAGGATCCGACTGCTTACGACAACGGTCATCTGCGCATTCTTCGATCGACTGATACCCCGAATGACCGACTTCACCTGTTGTCGCACGTGGACGAGATTCGAAAAGCATGACGATATCCGGCGAAGATTGCCTCGTTTATCTCCGTATTTAGACCCCTTCGCTTCTTAGTACCTTGGCGACTTGCACATACGCAAATGCTCTGTCCTGTTTAGCCACCACGCTCGCCGATTGACCCGGGTTTCAGTATCTACCATCGACGTGAAATTATAGTTTGACTGGTCGATGGCCACTATCGAAATCATACTGCCCGACTGTATAGCACGGCTTGCTGGCTCTTATTGATATTCTGTGCTTTTCACCTTGATAAGGCGTTCATTTCTTGTGCTTGGTCACTTTGGTCTTTTCACCCTGCCACGTCACTAGGGCTGAGAAGACGTTACGCACTGGTTTGGTTGAGTTTCATTCTCCTTGCATTCTTATTCGCTTCTATCTTACAATTATCTTCTACCACGCTCGCCCTTTACAATCTCGGTTTGCGTTTAGGGTGTGTTCCGCTGGATAATGTATGTACCTAGTCTGCTACATTGATGGCTGTTGAAAGCCTCGATGATGCGTTATTGATAAGTACATGAACTTGCTCAGAATCTATTTCTCCGTTATAGTTCGACTACGGCTAGCCATGGAAAAGGGAGAGAAGAAACGTAGAAACGGGTACAGTGATTAAGTTCTTCCCGGAAAGTCTAAATAGCACCGGAAGTATCTTATCTCGTAGAATGATAAATAGAATGTTACATATTTGCTACAGATCAAAATCTAATCTCATCTCCTTTCCCCACTCTGAGTATGAACCCACGTGATTAGTACAGCCCTGGTCTTTTCTCATCATATTTAATCTTTTGTCTTTTATTGTCTGTTCATCCCTTTCTTTCTTTCCCCCAAAAGTACTATACCACCCAACAAAGCAACCCACACAACCCCAACGTCTCCCACAAATACAGAAAAAAGGCACATTCACGAACTATATCCACCTGATCCATACATTCATGATTAGTATCCCAGCTGATAAATCCAGTGCCATCCCTCTAACCAAACAATAATAAATATCCATCCCACTACGTACATTAATTACATATACTATAAAAGAGTACCTAGTACTCAGAGACTGAATACAAATCGATCATATAAATACAATTACAGTAGTAGTTACACTTTCAAGAAACTAATCCCAATAGCTAACAAATGTGAGATTGAAGCTGATAAAGTGATAAGGTGATGATATGTTATTAATTTAGTAAGGGAAGAAATCAGAGGGTTAACATAGAATGTGGATCTCTGTGGGTGAGTTTCGAGTTATTGGCTTGGCTGGTAGATTGAGTAATGTTGAATGGGAATAGAAGGGGGACGGGATGGTTGTTTTTGCCTTTTTTTGGGGGGGGGAGGGGGGAGGGGATAGCTGGATAGCTACTAGTTAATGATGTTTGTTGGAGGTGTGGGTTGTGTTTTGGCTGGGTTAGGGGATATACTATGTTGGTAATTGTTTGATATAAGTTTATGGAGTAAGAAATGTTTAGTTATTTTGATATGAAATCTACATGATGACTGGGTGTTGACTGCGGATGCTATAGCTAATGGTAAGTACTTCGTACCGGAAGTGCCAAAGTGGTTGTTAGTTTGCGTAGGTATGTTGGATGATGGGTTGAGAAGGAAGCGAATTCTGAGTGTGCGGCATATCTCTCTAGTTGGTTCAAGATCGGTCGTTGTAGTGCATGAATTGAAGGTACTAGTACTATTGTGGATGTAGGCTTGAGGCTGATGATGATACTGTGTAGATATTAGGCAGATCGCTGGATAATGAAGTGGGGATGGATGTCGAGATCTAACTGGAAAGAGCCGATGGCAGGTCTAAAAATAGCGTACAGATGGACCGATGGGATATAAGAAGACGTGTGGGTCTAAGCAAGGAGTCAAGGACCGGGGATTGGGATGGTAGGAAAGGTTGGCTTGAGGGGAATACTCCGTTGAGTTATCAACAAAGGAGTACCAGGTCAACAAGAGAGGATGTAAGGTGCTTGAGATAAAGAAAGGGTTGATAACCTGAAGAAGGGGAACAGCAAGAAAAAGGGGAAGAATCGGATGATCCGCAGTTAACTACTAACTAACTAATGGGCCTGCTTATGTGAGCTGTTATGTGCGAGGCGGTTTATATGTACCTGATACTTTGTATAATATAGGGTTTGCTACTAAAATCTACGTATCTGTACTGAATCACGTGTTAGATAAGCATGCTTACATAAGACACTATACCAAATCCAGTAGGGGACCAAATCCCGCATTATGCAAAGCTGTGTGGAGTATCGACCACCCTGGAGGCTCATGGACCAAGTGTGCTAGTACTCTCTGCCGCTGGAAAGAGTGCGAGAAATTCAGGTCTCGGGTCCTACCCGACTGATGCAAATACCACATGGTCACTATCACCTGCCCCAAGAGAGCGGCAGTCGGTTGGAGTCTGACGTGCATATCTCAGGCTCCAGCCTGAGATAGTATGTCGTCTACTGGAAATGCAGGTACCGTCTTTGTCTTGTTCGTCAAGTTGAACGCCACCTAGATAAGCACCACTCCGATCTATGGACGAATGCGTTTTTGGGACGCCCTCCCCCCAGTCTTTCACGAGAACCGACTGCAAGGAATGCTCCACTGGTTCCACGGATCACTACCTATTGTGTCACGGGAGTCAAAGAAACATAACACTCTAGCACCTCGATGATTCGGGTTCGATTATTAGCCACAAGTCAGGGACGGAGAATACCATGTGAGAACGGGTGGGATGGAAGACACGGGCCCCTTGTTGAAAGGCCTGGAACGGGCGGAAAGGGAAGTCCCTGGGTGACTTCATTGACATGAGATGCGTACGGAGACCGTGTAGTCAGGTGGACGAGGAACACTGGGCGTCAATCAATCAGGAACATGAGCCTCGATGAATTATTCCGTCACTTAGTCTCGGAAATGGCTCTTGACGGGTGGAAGAAGGAGCGATGTAGAGTATATCCAAGGGTAGAGTGCAGGGAAGGGTGCATGAGAAGGAACACAGATGATAGAAGGAGACATGCCGGGGGAGAAGAAAACGATAATTTTCAAGAGACTTGGTCTAGATAGTCAAGGTCAAGGTATAAAAGGGTGCATCACACACCAACCAAGGTGGGAGAGTATCTTTATTCGTTCTCTTCCCACCTACGTTCACCATGGCTACAGTCAAGTTCCCCCCAACCTCTGGCTTTTACGAGTTGGACTGTTACGTGGCACAGCTTCTGGGACAGGCCGGAATCCCTGCATTTATCTGGGGCGAGAAGGTCTTGCATGTCTACCTCCAGAAAAGATACGAAGGCTTCGTATGAAGACCCCTACCCCTACCCCTGGAACATCAGGCTAACACCATACACAGTTTCGTGGATGGGTTGTCCCCGATGAGGCGATAGCCAAGGCCGTGCAAGTGCTCGATGATGAAGGCTTCCCGCCTTGCAAGGACGGCAACGAATGCGCGGTTTTTGCACCCGATCAGAAGTTTCCAGTTCCTGATCATCATTACCACGACTACTACCACTCTACCAAGTCTCGGAGAAGTTGGGAAGGTGGTGTAATTCTCTACCAGAAGTCGCGGTTGTTCAGCGAGTTTCCGGAACCCCCAGTTGGATGCCCACGTCCAGGGGACCCCTACTACACTTTTCTCGCCTCAGGGCGCCAGTTCCAGAAAGCGTCCGACGAACCTCAGAATGGTCAGCCTGAGAACCAGTATCCGGTCAAGTTACCTGTTCCTGCCCGATACCTGGAGGCCATGTGCCTACTTAAAATCCGGGATATAGAAGGGTATGCTACAATTTCGTCTTGGAATTCGGCAAAAACAGGCTTTGTGGACTACATGAGAGATGAAGAGCACATCATGTACTATGTGAAAGATTTGAAGAGGTGGCACGACAAGAAGGACAAAGAATCTATGAGGGAGGACCCTGGTTTCCAATCGACTTGGGATCGGCTGAAGACACGGAGGGATAAGGAACTCGATGCAGCTCTGAGAAAGATCGAGAACAGAACACACACGTTGAAGCCGGATGATCTGAAGGAGCCGTGGCTGGAGTGGATGAAGTTGTGCGTGGACCGGAAATATGCCCAAAGCCAAAACGATCCTGATGGTAACACATGTGAGCTTCGGATCTATTGGGATATGAGGGAAAGCGGGACACTCCCCAAACCGGATCCAAAGCCCAGGGAAATTCTAATGAGAACCCTTCCTGTCGAGAAACGCCTCCGGGTTGCACGTCTAATTGACGATCCCGTTGACTGACTGATGGCATTGATCTCATTCATTACCTGGTGCCGGCGTCGTGTGCTTACAGTGTTTGCAGAATATGGGTCTGCTAGATGGCTCAATTGACTGGCGGTGTTCCATTCATTTTTCTCTCTTCTATGTTTTCGCTATTTCTGCTCTTGCAGATATTTGCTCTACAGTCATCAAAATGTGACCAATGGGCTTCCCGCCAAATCTATATAAATGGAGTTTCAGCATCGACTATCTACTTGGCAACAGAAACAATAATCCCACCGATTGTAATCTATAAAAAAGGGCATTATTCTATCAGACAACAAGACAAAACCCCAAACAAATCACAGGACAAACTAGAAGAATCCCGAAAATACAGGAAAAACATATAGAGACATACTGAAATAACCCCGAAAGCAGCAGTGACCCAACAATATTAAGATAGAACCGAGAACGAAACCAAGCAACTCCCCAGCGATCGTAGTAACCGAGCTCTGGCCGCATGGATGGCTAATAGTTTGGCCAATCTGATGGGATTACGTCCTCCCAATCATGCTGAGGCGCCGAAGCCCTCATATACTCTTAAGCCGCCCATTGGAGACTATCATTGGTGACATTGTTTTTTTTTCCCTCTTCACAGAAACTGAGAGAATTAAATCCGGAGACATAAGAGAGCCATGGCTTCTGGGAGAATGAGAGACTGAGAGGCGCAGCTGCGACAGAAGGATCCAGACCATGGGAGGTAAGACAGAGCAGATGTTCTTCAAGCTGTCGGGATCTGCAAGCCGGACAAGACGATAACCTTTGGTTCTCTGGAAGATCAGTGCTGCACGAGCCGCTGCACGAGCCACATTGGACGACCCTCAGGATCACGAGATGGCCTGCCTCAGCAAAAATATACTCTGGGGAACTGTGTTTTGTCTTTCCCCTGAACTTACCTCCGACTGTCGGTCCCGCCCTGCACCCACACCAACTTAATCCCCAGCCCACCTACAGACCTGAGCAAAAGGTCGCCTGCACCGGTCTTACATCGCTTTCTCTGATTCACATCAGAACATTTTGACTGGCCATGTCCGAAAGTTGATGATTACCCCCCTATTTTGGTGTATAGCTGAGACCCGTCAGAGCCACCAAGCCCAGACCCACCCCTTTCCCATCAAGACGAGCGGTGCGAAAGTCAATCCTGGCAATCACTCGCTTTACCGGCTCCAGATTCTTGGTATGGTATAGTTCATGGAAGATATGAGACAACTTGAGACTAACGACCGCAATACGCAGCCCGCAGTCATCGCTATGCTACTCGTCCTTCCCCCTCCTTTCCTTAGATGACGATCTCCTCGATTGGTTCGCGATCGGCTAGCACGGTACGCCTTCTTCGATTTCAATACCCTGCATCTACAATTATCCTTCCTCTCCGACCTTTTGCGGACACTAGACGGATGTCGCGTTTGACGGCGGTCTTTTCAGACACCAGCAAATCCCATAGCCCCACCCATTTGATAAGACATATCGCTCTGCGAGAGCGATCACGGACATGGCAGCTTCATTTCTACAAAGTTTAAAAAAGAAGGCGCTACAGCCACAGCGCAGGGTGCCATCCACGGACACCAAGTTCGTCTTCCACCTATTGGAATAGGAACCCAACATGGCGAAATCACGAAGGCCCGCGCGAACGTTCTACAGAGCACCCTATGTGGGTCCCTGGAAGCGCCCTGTGGGGCTTCGCCCAAAGGCCCTGCTACCTAAGTGTCAAGTGTCAATCCACCGCATGTCGATAGGCGTCCGCCCTGGGTGTGTACTAGTATCATTCTTGCTGTGGTATCGGTCCAGATCCCTGAGGGCCCGTCCACATCGAACGGTGTGGCTATTACGAACAGCTAGTGATGCAGGCTTTACTGCAAGGCCTGCTGTTCGCAGATAACTCCTGTAATTCTTTGCTACACGTCCCGGAGCCTTGTCATGAGCCTCAGGCAGCACTAAACGCAGGCAGTACCGCCATCCAGGCGGTGGAGTTCTGCCCGCCGTAAACTCAGAAATTCGATACATCATTTTCCTGTCTTAGACTCACCCTTCCCCTTTTTCTTCGCTTCTTGACTCATTGTAACGAATATTACCCCGTCCTTGGATCTTAGGTAGGTACGAATTGCTCGTTAGAACTAAGCCCTGAATTCTAGGATCAAAACACTCTGGACATCGTCTGAATGAAGCGCTAGCAATAATCTGCCGGGCAATCTAGGTCGAGCCAGCACCTCTCTGATTGGCTGCGGTTTAGATCCCTCTGATCCATAGTACCTAGGTAGATATTATTATTCTACCCCGATTGCTTGGCATCTCCGTAACCGACCCGTACGGAGTAGCTTTACTACTGCTCCTTGAACTCTCTTTACGATGTGTGTTAGCGCCGAGCCAAACTAGGTTAGCTGGTGAATCCTACCAGAGGAAATTGGAGTCCCCAGAAATATTTCCCGGCTTCTGATTGACTTTTCTATTGTGCTGTCAGGTACTGTCTAACATGTAGGGTGGTTTGTGAAGCGCTAGCGCGCTTCGCAACACTAGCTTGGGTCCTGGCCAAGAGAAATTCACAGCTCCAAGGCTTCTCATTGGCTCTTGGGATCTCTCGTAACGTGACCTGGCCATCCATGGATATTGACAGTACTCACCGCTGCCCGGGTGGGGGTGTCTGGGGGGCGGAAACGGCCCCGTCCCGTCCCCCTGGACCGCATATTCAGACCGTCAATCTGAGCCAGATCTCTACGTAGATTCAGGCCGTAGGTTTGAACCAAGTAATGCGTTTTTGGCATGCTTGATGGAGTCGCTTCCGAGCTAGATAGTACTTTTAGGAATGACATTACATGATATTTACTGAGTTGCTTCCAGTTGGGCTGCGGGGTTCCAAGTCTAGCCTGTATATTGCCAATGCTTACCGCCAGGTGGAAGGACTGTACGTACTCCGCTCACTACTACACACTCCCATGAGATACTAAAAGACCTTATATACAGCTTTGTACATTCGCATCATGAAGATCTTATAATAGAGACGGTTTAGAGAAATTCTGTATGCAGTATCCTGAGATGCGGATACTATATAACATTCACCATCAATATCAGGCCTCAGGTATGAATATAGAGAGGGCGGTGAGTTTCCGCCAGTTTAAATTACAAATCACTCCTAAAGGGGTAGGCGGGGAGAATCGAAAGTGTGTGGGTAAGTGGTTAGCATGGTTGGTGTATCTTGCCTCTCCATTACATAGTCAGGACTCTTCATGGGTTTAGAATGTAAGGTTTATGCCATTGATAGGATCTGCGTGTTGGGGTAATTGTCGATGCGCTTGCGCTCTTGCTCAGGGTGTTGTATATGATAGCTTTTGCGGGGGGCTGAGGCTGAGGCTGAGGACGAGGAATAGTATTTTGTCGTAGGGCGGTTTGGATTCTGTGGTGGGAATATACCGAACGTAACGGTTCCCGCGCTGAAAATAATGACGTGTTTGTATCTGGGTTTGTTACACTGGATTGCCTTAGTTGCTTTTTATTCTTTGGTACTGGGAAGCTGGAATATCTGTGCCGTAGGGGGTGAATGAGGTGGTATACTAGCTGCTTGGTTATGTAATTTGCCTGGGGATCATTGAGGACATTGCTGGACGCTGGATGGGGAGGCTTATCTTAAGGGGTCGTTAATTTTGGTTCGTGGGGTTGGAGAATGTGTGTGAGGACGATATTGATTGATGATTTGGATACAGCATCATAGATGAGGAAGGGGAAACAAGAGGGGAAGGGATTGTCATGTATGAAGAATTTTGAGGCTGTGCTAACCACAGCAACAGAGGATGACTACAGCAATCACAATGCTAAATATCAACACCCCTTGTCGATAGTAGGAGTGCTCCGTGTGTTGCATGTAGAATGCGGCGAGGGTAACCTGCCCGCACGTCGTTATGCAGCCATTGGCCTGGCGAATTGCCTAGGAAGGTCAGATAAATCAGGATGAGAAAGGAGTAGGAATCTGTGTACCTGAGATAGAGTCTGAGGTCCTGCTCCAGAAGGTCCATGGACGAGGTTCGTCCTGATGATTTGAGCCAGCATTGGCAGTGCGAGATACACATTGAACTGCCATGCCAACACTGACAGATGTCCGTGGTGTTGAATAAGGTGAGATCCAGTCCGCCCATCTATTCACTGCGACTCACCCATGTCTTTCCACTTCTCTTAGATATCCTGGCCACTAGAATTCCTGCAACGCTCTGGTGCTCAAGCTGGAGCTCCCGCTGCCTTCACGCCCGCGTGATGTTTTATCATGCGATACGCGAAGACTACACCAAGTTTCCTGTATCTGACGCCCCCCAGAGAAGCTGCTTATATGCGGTGAAGACATGTGACGAAGGAAACAGAACAGAATTCTTTAGAAAAAGTAGGCTCTCCTGACCTGTAGGCGAGCGTCTATCATTGCGATTCTGCCGCTTCTCCTTAGGTTGATTCGTGAAGCTGAAAGAGGACGGCACCGGATATTGTGGATAACACGGTCCGACAAATACATCCTTATCGTGACAGCCTGATCTGAGATGTATACAATAGGGATCCGCTCATCTTCGAAGACCTTCCCCTTCTGAACCGCTGCGTGTGGCGCAATCTGGGGGAAGAGAGTGGCCAGGTGGGTTTCATGTCCATCCTCGTCGCCCTGTCGGATGTCGTATCTTGCTCACCCATCTGAGATAGTGAATATTGGGCTCGGTGGCTTTTCTGGCTGTTTGTGAGAGTGCTTTGGTGCCAGGGTGTCAATATCGACGGGCTACTCAAGTCGTTTGCAATCTCATCTGCGGCCTGCCGGCTCTGTTCTGTGTGGGAAATAGAATCACACCATGACTTTACCAGAACAAGATCTTGCCTGGTTATAGAGAGAGTACCAATAGCTCGGTATTCTGACGTTGCAGTTAATTGTAGGTACCATGGGTAGTATTATCTACCCCAGATTTCAGGAGTCGTTACGATTGGGTGCCAATAAGTAGAGATCCGTGGTTCCGAGCAAAGGCTTAGAGTGGCAGACCTCTTTATAACAGGGGGTGCGCGTCTGGTATTTTTCCCTCCATCGCCAGTATGCCGCAGGAGCTTAAAGTTTTCCAGGAATGCTCATGTAGAGACAAGTTCAGGTCAGAAGTATGTAAAGAGCAGGACCATAGAGTGTGGGAACGCTAGGTCGTTCTCTGAGCTGTTCGCATATGTATCTCTGTGAATTTTATTTATGGCAGATGAAGCTTGCTTGCTTCTAGTCGGGGGTTTGTTCTCTGAGGTAGGTTGCTTCGACAGGTGCTGGTAGTTTGTCTGCCCGGTCGGTCTTGTCACTCGTCTGATTGAAGCCGATCACGCGCCACTCCTCGTTCAACGCATGCAGGAAGAATCACGGGTCTACAAGATAATCCCAGAAGTTGATATCTAGCTGCAACCACGGACTCGCTCCTCAGAATGTTTGTATGCTGAGAATGATGATGCGGCATTATACTGCTGTGAGATGAAGGGTTTGTATCGACAACATGCTGAGAAAGGATTGGGATACTTGCACCAAGGCTGTGTGGTTCAACAAATGAAATGGAGAGTGTGAAAGGAGGTGAAAACGAAGAGGAAAGAGAAGCAGTTTCGTTCTGCGTCTTATAAGGAGAACCCTTCCTGGGGCCTGGCATCACATGGGAGTAAGAGGGGGTGGGAGATGTAACGGTAACACAAAGGTTCCCCGCATGGCATTGGGCTTCTTGGATTGCTGCCCAACCGGTCGGCAGGGCCCAGAAGACTCTAAGATTGGGCATGTCGAGCAAAGGATCAGGCCATAGGTAGTGGTCTCTATTCCGAAGATGGTTGCAGTGGAGGTGCACCGGGGGGGAATCTCCGCCGCTTAACTTCTCTAAGTCACGAGACCTCGGAGTTCTTTCTTTGTGTGTCTTTCTCTACCGTTTAATCAACGCGCAAAGCTTTAACATATGCGGGTTTTTTGCGCGTTCTCATGATAGGTCTCTCCTTCCCACCCTCACTCTCACATCGTACAGCAAAGACTGATTTCTGCCAATCCTGAACCAAGAGAAAAAAAAAAGCATCTTACTCTGCACATAAAGTTTGCATAGCATACTCAAAACTCACACTAGGATTCTAAAGTCCAGATGCAAAGCCATCCGCTCGACTCTCACCTCCGAGATTCTCCGAAGCCTACTGTACCTGTGAAGACACGACTGATGAGACCATCGCCATCCCGACCTACAAAAGAGTTTGCACAGATCCACTGGGACCGTCCATCACATTAAGCGCACGTCCATGTCTACATAGTATAACATCCAAGAAGACTGACTCGAAATCAGTCAGTAGCGGAAAGGAGATATAATAAAGTCTAAGCGTAAGGAGGGCGGGTACTAAACACGGGAAGTGGGGAACTGCGGGCGGAGACAAAACTTAACGTCGATCCGAGGATCGCGTGGCGGGTGGCTTGTTTTAACTCCATGCTTGGTTTGTGGTGCACAAACAGGTACTGGTTACTGGTTGCTTCGCTTCCACATCTCAAGATGGCACGATATTTGCAAAGAGATATTGATTATCTTCGTATGTCGGAGTGGATGCAGGCATAAACATCGTAGGACAAAACAGACGGGAACGGAAACTTTTCTGCGTGCTGCAAACCAAAGGGGGTATTTACACAAACTGCAAAGCATGGAGTCAAGATGTACAGTCATCCGTCGTGGCAAAAGGATCATGAGAAAATCAAAGCATGGAAGTACGTTTAGCCCCCTTTCCATTACAGCTCCCTCCAAGTTCAACCAGGACAACGTGGTCTCAGCGGCCCCAGCGTGAAAAGTCCAAGTTCTGCAAGATATTTGCGTCTGCAGCCGCGTTCCAATCGGTAGCAAAATCGCTCCGGACCGAGGTACTGCGCGAGGGCAGTTCCTCGGAAAATATGTTGGCTTTGGTGTTCCGGCGTTGACCCGGGTAGGCGCCCTCGGCAGCGTCAGGACTTTGAGCCTGCGACCCCAGCACTCGCTCACGAAGTCTCTTGATCTCACGCAGTCGGTTGCGCCAGGACGAAATGTGCTCGCCTCCTTGACTATGCCAGACAAGCGAGAACACGGACGCATTGAGGGCAAGAATGCGAACAAACGGAGCCAGATTCTTCCCGGAAATGAGTTTCGGCACCGCGGCAGGTGATATTTCTGGGAACCCAGGCTTGCTCATTACCTTCACCTGGTAGAATAGGTTTTCAAAATCAGTCCGCTTCGAGTCTGCAGTACCCTCATTGGTAAGACGACACACAGGGTTGATAACAATGTTGACAAAGTTGAATTGGGAAGGAATCGTGTTGAAGTTGAAAGGAGTGTTCGATCGGTTGAAGATGATGTTGACGAAATCATTGCCAATGTGGCGTTTTTTGCTGACGCAGGAAGGATCGTTATCAAAGTTCGTAGGCATCATGGTTGGAACATGGTAGACAATCTCCGTAACCCGGTCACGCCACGCGTAAGTAAACTCGCCATCGAAGTCAGCATGCAACCCTTGGGTATTGAACCGTGCACCCTGAAGGGGAACCTTGGTTCCAAGTCTTGACAGAAAGTACTCGTAGTCCGGGCTGCCGCTAGCATTGCAGAGAATCTCCGCTTCGGTTGTCTGGCCGTTATCGACGTAGATAACGCCAATCTTGTGCCCGTCCACAATATCGTTCCGATCAAACGTGTTCAGTGCCCGTCGGGTCATGTCATCTTCGGGAAGAGGAATTGGCTGCATCACAGTGGGGGTGGGGAAGGCCGTTGTTGTCAGCTGGAGCATGACATGGCTAGGAAGAACAGCAGTGCGCATGGTGTCGGAATGCAAGTGAGCGTCGGGAGTTGGAGGAACCTGATGAGGAAGGACGGGCGCAGTTCGTTGCTGATACATTGCATAAGTGGTTCCTGACGCCTGCCTCTTGGTGATTTGAGTTAAGCCAGAAACCCCAGCCGTCTCAACGGTCACGATGCTCATACCCACGACCCATGACTTTTTCACTGCAGGCCCATCCTCGGGGGAAGGAGGGAACGTCGGATATGGAATGGTATCGCCCAAATCCGAGAAAGCCGACCGCTGCATCAAGTCGATGAAAACCTGGCTTGGCTCCTCGACCGTCTCTTTTCCGTGTTCATCCCGATAGATGAGCCTGCTGGTTATCCAGTTGACATGCTTTGCTCGATCCTGTAACTTCAATGACAGGAACCAGAAGATCATAACGTGATATGTAAGAGTATAGATGTATCTGGACATCCCGTCTTGAAGCGAAGGATCAGATGACTCTGCAGGAGAAGCTAAAGAATCTCGCACGCCACTTCCGAGCCTTGACGAGATCTGGGGCCCCCTGGTAGGAGACTCAGAGGTCTTGAACCGCTGCTCTCTAGAGGTTTGTAAGAATCGAATACAGATGCCAAAGACGGTGCGGATCTCTTCCTCGCGTAGGTTGATATAGACATCAGGCAGGCGTGCAAGGAGGGCCAGAAACTCCAAGATATGCACAGCAAGGTTGGACATCGTAATGACTTTGGACATCTTGTCCAGAATCCCATTGAGAGACTTGGTCACTGACAGCGGAATTTCATGGCAACAGACAGACAGTGCATGTATACACCCACGAGAAGTACCTCCCCAGGATCCAATTATGCCCATCATGAATGCGCGTACGAGTTCGTCTTCTTCACTCTTGGCGAAATGTTCATGATAACTGATCAATGAGCAGAGGAACTCGAAGATATAACCAGCTACGTCCGTCTTTTTCACGCCAGTGGAAGCTGGTGGCTCACGGAACGAATCGTTCTTGACCTGATCACAAAGGATGCTGCGCAATAACTTGACTTGAGGAACCGCATTGCTGAAAAGATCTTTGTTTTGAAGCTGACTCGCAAGATGGGTAAGGACATAGCTGTAGAGATCCCAGTTGACCTCGCGTTGTAGCAGTGAGATGACTGTCTCAAGCCACATGTTCGCCTTCAGTGCCACTTTTTGTGCTGGGTCTGAGTCAATGTGGTGACTCGTGTCCGGCGTCGCATAAGCGTACACGAAAGGACTTGACTCATCTGGGGGTGCTTCAGGAAGCACCTGCGGAGTCGCAAATGTCCAGATCGGGGGCGTCAGTTTCGAAGCGCGAACAGGAATGATCGAGTTGCGTCCTGTCGACCTAGAAAGCACGGATGGCTCCCGCGCGGAGTGCCTTCCATGAGCTGCTGGCCGTCCTTGATCATTCTCAACGTTATGATCTCCAGCCGAGTCACCATGTGATTTGGAGCCGGTCTCGAAGTTCCGCCCGGAAACACTCATCATGAAGTCGTTTTCAGACACGGAGGTCACAGTGATTGAGCCCGACGAATCACACCGCAATCGGAATAATAGCTTCAAGGACGTCAAGCGCGAGTCCACTGGTCGCTCTGAGGACTGCGCTATGTTCAGGAGTGCTTCATATACCGAGGCTGCCTTGTTCGCCGACAAGTTCAAAGATCGAAGAAACATCTTGACAAGTCCAATCGTACATATATTGGCCAAAGACAACTCCAGCACACTGTTATAAGGATGGCGTTCGGAGGACAAAGTCGAAGATTCAGATCCGAGAACCGCTTCCCTGTCCAGATCTTTATGCATGGGCGCGCTCAATATTTCCACCAAACGCTTGAAACTATCGTCATCACTGGCGAGCACAGAAGCATCAACGAAGAAAGAGACCAACGATTCTAAGAAAAGGATATCATCCTCATCAGCAAACCTTTCCAGCATGAGATCAAGAAGCCCTTGTTCCTGGAAAAGGACCAAAGAATCATAGGTTGAGAAGGAATCCTTCACGGTATCCAAAGCCAGGATCCGAACATCGGAGGGTTTGCTACGGGAGCGAATAAAGCAGCGGATGAGTCGTTGATTCTGCTGTATCCACCCCGGCTTCTCAGGGGAACAGAACCCTTCAGTCCGGATGGTGTTAAGGACGAGTTCAGCCTGCGGAGGCTCAATGTACCGACATGCATTCATTAGGAAACGCGTGGCGTCTAGCCGTTGCTGGTGGTTTAAACGATCCCAGAGAGTCTCAAGAGTAGATGCGATTTGAATGGTGTTTGCCAAAATGTTAGATCGTGCGTCGTCTAACACACTGCCCCGCGGCTGCGCATCAGGCATTGTGAAAGAGGTCTCGTCGGGCTCATCAACGGCCCTAAGGGAACACGAATTCAATAAATTCACGAATTCGCCCCAGTCCTGGTCCAAAGCCAAGTGAACAAAGTCACCTTCCAAAATATTCAGACACAGTTCCAAGATATCTGCTTCCAACCGGCCATCGTCCTTTTTCGCGACAACTTGGAGTGAGTCGATCAAATGGGTGAACTGGAGTTCAGGTATCCCATCTTGACCGTGCGCACGTACAAGATCCATGAACACATAAACCGTTCCCCGCACAACGTTGAGATTACGGGTCTTTTCGCCGCTAGACTCCGACAGAAAGGAATGCAGATTATCCATCATCTCGGCTTGTCTCCTTGACTTGGCCAAATTTCGGACCGCTCTGGACGTGGGGCCAGACAATGATTTGACAGATGCATGGATGCTGCATAAAACCTCGAGCATTGGAACAAAGCTCCCATCAGGAACATCTGCATAGAGTATTACGGCATCAAAAAGACTCAGGGAGTTCTTTATGTCAGTAGCAACGCTCGTCTTTCTGCAGATCGTGAAAATCTGCTCTAATAACGTCTGAACCTCGTCATCGCTAGGTGGCTTGCGTTGCAGTGTGATCAGGTCGACTGCGAACTCCAGAAGGGCATCCAAGACAGCGCCATCATATCCCTGCCCGTTCACTTTCGATTTCCTTGCCTTTAACCGCGCGGACGAAATTAGTTCGTACAACGGAACTAGACAGGCCGATATCACAGGGAGAATAGACGAGGCTGCAAAATCCACTTTCCGCCCATGATCTGATAGGGCTATCAGAGACTGGACACGGGCGGGAATAACATCGTTATCTGAGGGGTTCAATATTGACTCAAAGACGATGCGCCGCGCTGCTGGAGACAAATCTTGACGCGCCGCAACGGCTTCTAACAACATCGATCCACTCCGTCGAGCTTCTGGCGAGCTCACATGCTGGAAGAGATGTGCCCCTGCCTCCCAGAGAGCGAGCGATTGTTCCGGAGTAAACCACTGGATGGACTTTGATATTTGCTCCGCCTCATCAATAGCTTGGCCTAAGGACTGCCTCTGCGCCAACGTCCGAACCGCCGTATCGAAATCCCGCGCACCCGAGGTGTCGGAGGAGCTAGACACGACGCTGCCACGATGCATTGGTTCAAATCCCAGTACAAGCCGACTACTTCTGCGTCCATCCGTCAAGTGCGATAAAGAATCACTGCTGTCCTGTAGCGAGACGGGAGAAGGTGACTTTGGGCGGGTAATGCTTAGAGACTTGAATACGTCGACAAAACTTGATGCTGTGTGCTTGTTGTAGTATGGGGATGGACCATCGTCAGAAGACATGCGTCCCAGTGGACGGGGGGAGGGAGTATGGGCTTCTTCAGGGCAAAGGATTATATATCTGTCCGATGACCGGTCAGCGACGGAATTGTGACTAGAGGCCACGGAGGTCACCGGTCAGCTGGAACTGACCAGGTCTACATCTGCGGTCCACTTTACACCAGATCTCACATACCATTGGCAGGTCACATGTAGGGATCAACGACGAGAGGAGACCCGCAAAGGGATATATATGAGGCTTTTATCGGAGGTTACACTTGGACAGCTGCTCCAAGCGGCATAGCAATGGATCAGAAGTACTCTGCAGCCGGGATCGGAGATTGGTTGAAGGAATGAGATTCAACTTTTAGCCAAACAAAGGAACACTGCTGAACAAGCACAGGCGGACAACGAAGAGACAGGGAAAGCTAAGTGATACTGGGTTATAATCAGAGCAAAAGTGTGCCAAGCCACTTTTCCCCTCCGAGCAGCGATGATGATGATCTGGCGGACGTCGGCACCGCGTTGATCCGCACAGTCACCTGATGGGCAGAATGACCCCGCGACCGCCGCTCACCGCCCATATTTTGCAAAGCAACCGCCAAACAAACTGCCAGTCCAGGAAATCAAGCTCCCACCCGGCTTTTACTGAGCCATTCGTTATACCCTGGGTTACAAAGAAATCCCCCCCCCACTTCTGCAAGGTTGTCCTTTCATCATTACAATATCTTGCTCACCTCCCTCACCTGTGTCACTTACTTTTCTCACCTGCACCGCGGTCTGGGCATATTAATCTCATCCCCGCTCCAAAATGGCTGATGGTCTTGGGGCTGTTGCGCAGCTCCTCGAGGCAAGCTTGGATCCCAGGCAAAACAAGCAAGGTCAGTGAATTTCCTTTTCTTGTAGCTACACCGGAATCTGATCCATCGCTTATTTGCACATTTACTCTGCACAAGTGGAAATCCCCAACTAACTTTGAGCCAGCCGAACTTGCTCTTCGCCAGGAAGAAAAAAAACCCGGCTATTCTTTGCAGCTTCTCCAGATCACAGCCTCGGCATCCTATCCTTATAACACCCGTCTTGCTAGCGCGTTATGTTTTAAGAACTTTATCAAGAGGAACTGGACCGATGAGGACGGAAACTACAAGCTCCAATCGGAGGAAGTTGCTACCATTAAGCGGGAGCTGATCAGCCTGATGATCTCCGTCCCCACGGGCATTCAGACCCAGCTGGGAGAAGCTGTTAGCGTCATCGCCGATAGTGATTTCTGGGAAAGATGGGATACACTTGTGGATGTAAGCTCCAGGCCTGTCCTTTTTTTTCGCTTTGTGCATTGTCAATTGACGTCCGCAGGATCTCGTCTCCAGACTCCAGCCGAACAACCCCGCTGCCAACATCGGCGTCCTACAAGTCGCGCACTCGATTTTCAAGAGATGGAGGCCCCTTTTCCGATCGGATGAACTATACAGAGAAATTAATCACGTCCTCGAAAGATTCGGCAGTCCCTTCTTGGCTTTGTTCGAGGTGAGTTCAACCAGCTCCTTCATTGTCTATTCGTGCCCTCGAGGCCAAGATCTCCATGGCAATCAACTCATTCAATTCTAGGGGCTTGATTCCTATCTTGAGGAGAGTAAATCCAACAAGGACAATCTTGTTCTAGGATTCACGCAGCTCAATTTGATGATCAAATTGATGTATGACCTCTCTTGCCACGATCTTCCTCCGATGTTCGAAGAAAATATTTCAGGGATAGCCTCACTTTTGCTCAAATATCTGACCTACGATAACCAACTTTTGCACACCGATGATGATACGGAAGCCGGACAGCTGGAATTTGCCCGTGCGGGGATTTTCCAAGTTTTGACATTGTACGTGCAGAAGTACATGGACGAGTTCCAGCCTCACGTTGGACAATTCGTCGAAAGCTCATGGAGCTTCTTGACCCTCATCGGTCAGGAGACCAAGTATGACATCTTGGTCAGCAGGGCTCTGCAATTCTTGACTTCGATCGCAGGCATGACCGAACATGCGTTTGTCTTCCAAGCTGAAGACACCCTTGGACAAATCATTGAGAAGGTTATTCTGCCCAACGTCAGCCTGCGTGAATCCGATGAGGAGCTTTTCGAGGATGAGCCGATTGAATTCATTCGCCGCGATCTGGAAGGCTCTGATAGTGATACTAGACGGCGCGCCGCCACGGACTTCCTGAGACGGCTTGCCGAGAGATTTGAGGACTCCGTGACCAGAGTCGTCCTCAAGTACACCGAGCACTACCTTTCCGAATATGCCAAGGCTCCCGCCGCGAACTGGAAAGCTAAGGACACGGCAACCTATCTCTTCTCTGCAATTGCGGCCAAGGGAACTGCTACTTCCAGCCACGGTGTCACTGCTACGAACAAGCTCATCAGCATTACCGATTTCTTCCAGACACACCTTGCTGCGGACTTGATCGCCGATGATGGCGTGCACCCTATCCTCAAGGTCGACGCCATCAAGTATCTCTACCTTTTCCGGAGTATCATCACCAAGGAACAGTGGCAGGAGGTTCTGCCTATGTTGGTCAAGCACCTTGGCTCCTCTGAATATGTCGTCTACAGTTACGCAGCCATTGCCGTAGAGCGGGTCCTCTATCTTGCCGATAGCCAAGGTCAACCGATCATTTCGCCCGCCACCATCACTCCACTATCCAAGGACTTGTTGGAACACATCTTCTCCCTGATCCAGAAGGACCCGGCCCCCCAGAAGGTACAGGAGAACGAGTTTTTGATGAGATGTGCTATGAGAGTCATGATCGTCATCAAGGAAGGCGTAGTCCCGCATACCGACAGTGTCCTTCAGCATCTGATTAACATCACTAAAGTCATCAGCAGCAACCCAAGCAACCCCAGATTTTACTACTTCCACTTCGAAGCCCTGGGAGCTTTCATCCGGTACGTAAACACCAGCTGCCGGTTTATTTTCAGTCACTGACTATTGACTTTAGGTTTTCTGCACCTGCTAACCCGGAGAAACTTGAGCAAGCTCTTTATACTCCTTTCGCGGAGATTCTCCAGGGGGATGTGCAAGGTATGTTGAAAACAGCACGTGAAGGCTCCGTGCATAAATTACTGACGCTTGACCAGAGTTTATGCCTTACATTTTCCAACTGTTTGCTGCACTTCTTGAGGCAAACCCCTCGGGAACATTGCCAGATTATTATCAGAACTTGATTGCCCCGATTCTGATGCCTGTCATGTGGGAGTCAAAGGGCAACATTCCCGCGCTTGTGCGGCTCTTGTCGAGTATCATTAGCCGCGGATCTCACTACATTGTTCAGAACGAGCAGATTGCACCCATTCTTGGTATCTTCCAGAAGTTGCTTTCAACCAAGGCCAATGAGGGCTACGGATTTGACCTTCTTGAGTCGGTGGTTGCAAACTTCCCTCCGTGAGTGAAGCCTCCGAGCAATCAGCGAAGTGATTACTGACGCTCTTTTAGGGCAACACTGGAGCAGTACTTTGTCTCGATCCTGCAGATCATCCTCACCCGCCTCCAAAACTCCAAGACGGAAACTCTCACCCTCCGATTTGTTCGCTTTTATCACTTTGTTTCCGCGCAGGACGACAAGGGTTACAGCGCTGACTTTGTCATTCAGGTGATTGACAAAGTCCAACCAGAGTAAGAATGCTCTAATTTGACGACGGAAGTGGGCATGCTAACCAATATCAGGCTTTTCACTCCCATCTATCTCAACATCATCCTTCCAGAGACGCAAAAGCTTGCTCGCCCGTTGGACCGCAAGACCGCTGTGCTGTCATTCACCAAGACTCTTGCTAACTCGGAAGCTTTCGCTACCCGGTACAAGAAGGGATGGGGTTTCACGTGTGAAGCTCTGCTCAAGCTGCTGGAGCTGCCACCTCTGCCTGCTAGTAAGGACGATGTCATCGCCGAGCATGATGTGGAAGACATGGCGTTTGGAGTTGGTTTCACAGCACTGAACACTGTGCGGCCACAGACCAGAGACCCGTGGCCCGAGACAGGTGCCGACCTGAAGGCCTGGACTGGCAAGTATCTGAAAGAAGCAGACAAGCAAAACGGACGTATCTCTGGATTCGTTCAGGAGCGTCTTGGAGCCGAGGCTAAGACGGTGCTGCTTAGCTATATTGCATGAGCAGGGTAATGGGTCGCTTGCGCTTTCACTGGGGTGTTCTTTGTGCTGTGTCTAATAACGCGTCCTTATCGGACCATCTCTGCATTTTGTAAAAAGAAATCATGGAGGAAATGTTGACTACTTCAACAACTCCATTGCATGTCCTTATGAATTAAATTTAGATGATATTTATATTCCTCAATTTGCTTGTAGGCAGCTTTGCGATTCTACATGCCTCGCGTGCTAGGTAAGATGTTACCAGTATCAATGAACAAACCGTTAAGTAGCAGATGTCATCTACTTCTGTTCCTGCTGTAAGCTTTGTCGGTCGGGCAGTTGACGTGGGCTCTGCTCATGTGCATCGTCCCCTTCTGCTTCCAGACTCTCCTTGCCGTCCTCAAGGTCTCGATACTTCCGCCGGCTCTTTTTTGTCTTACTAGCCTTCTTCTTCCTTGCACGATCAACCCTGATAGCAGCGCGGCTTTGGTCTCCATGGAGCAGCTGCTCCACCTTATCGGCGAGAAGCTGACGGGCAATCTTCTCATTCTGGGATCGAGATCGCGTGGCTTGGGACTTGACCACTACGCCAGTGGGTTTGTGTATGAGCTGAACGGCCGAGTTGGTTTTGTTCTACGCGTTGAATGACCATTAGAATCAAGGAGGGACCATCGGAGTGTAGCAGAGCAGGGTTGCATACAATCTTCTGCCCTCCCGGGCCGGTGCCCTTGAGGTATGAGATAGTCACGTCGGCATCTTGGATTTTGAGGCGGGGCGGCAACGCTTTGTTGGCGAGGGATAGCGCGGAGAGGGTAAAGAGCCTCGGGCTGGGAGAGTAATTGGAGGTGAGAAAGGGGCGGTTGAATTTGATGTAGGGGGTCAAGTGGAGGGGACGGAACATGGTGATCTGAGGGGCGTTGGTTCCATCTGTAGGCGCATTGCTTGATTACTTGGGGCAGGAAGGTGGTTGGCTGCTGCAGGACCCCAACGGACGGATGCACGCGAAATACGATACTCTGTTACTTACTTACTTACATACATAGTACTTAGTTAGTTACAGGACCGGTCGGTGACTAAGGCAGTCTAGCACTTTGTAGTTTGTGACTAGCCTGTTTGTTCCCTTTATCCATTCGTATTCGGGTCTTTTGCCTCCTCCACAGTGCAATCCATCCAGTGCAGTTCTCCTATTGTTTTTTTTTTTTTTTCCCTGTAGGTAGTAGTACTACTCTCGACACTACTCAACAGGTTCCGTCCGGGCCCGGCTTCCTCTTACCCCCCTACCTACTTCAGAGTTCAAAACTGGTTGATAGGCATGGAATAAAAAGGCCAAGCGGAGAAAGGGTGACGTACGCGCCACCCAGTGGGTGGCCGCACGCCAAACCGTGTCAGATCGCGCGGGAAAATCGACCCCATGAAAGGCAGGCCCGACAGACAAGCCATCCATCCATTGTTCCCGCGAACTTGCTGGGATGCACGCACGTCTGAAAGTTTGCAGTCTGCATCGGTGCATCCTTAGGCTGGACCCTTAGTGGACCTGGTCTTGAAACAGTGTCCAGATCGAGCATGGACTGGACTGGACTGGACTGACTTAACTTGACTTGCGGACTTGACGGGTGCCTGATTAGTAGTCGCATTATTATCCAATCCAATTATCTGAAGCTATTCTTAGCTGAGGTGGCCATCTCGACCACTTTCTTCCACTTCCCCCATTCCTTTTCCACTGGGCCTGAACTTCACCTCATTAGAGTTAATTTACCACCTTCTGTCATAATAATAATCAAAGCGGCCCCTTCACCGACTGATCTGCTTTGGGTCGATCAACCCACACTTTTATTTTTTCTCTCCCTTCTGCACCCTGCCGACCTAAGTACCTCTCTGCAGTACTCAGGACTGACTGTACATTTCCGACTCCTCCGTATCCACCACCGACTCAGTTCAGATCATGGATGCCTAATTGAGAATCTAATTATCCTTTTCATCTTCTTCTTCTCTCCTTCTCCAGCGCGCCGTCGGACAAATCACTTCATCTCCACGGTCAACGGCGATTCTACCCCAGGGGCAGGAGCCAATTCCCCCCCTCACTACTACCGGCGTTCTCCAGACTTTCCTCCGCCTGGCGCTTTTGGCCTTGTCCTCGTTCGCGACCGCCACCCCTTTCGCTCAATCCTTCTACAAACCCCAGTCTCAACCATGACTCTCTTCCTCTACATCATTAATTCGTTGGTGCGCTGGGTTCGGCTGAAGATATACCAATATGAGGTGACCTTCGCCGTATACATGCTTACGCCAACCGAAAAATTCATTTTTAGTACGTCTCTTCTGTGAACACCTGCGCCAAATTTTGCGAGAATTTTTCTTTTCGTGTTAAGCTAACCAGTGGTGTTCTAGACTCGATCCTCCTCACCCTCATCTCGATGATTGTAACCGGCATCTACGTCTACCTCCCCAATCACATCCGAGTCGTCTATGGTCACCTTTACTACTACTGGGCTGGCGAGCGCCCGTTTATCTCTGCGAGTCTCCCATCCTTCAGCTCCGTGTTCAGGGAGACCGGTACCCAGACTCTAGGAGTAATGTACGAAACGGCCAAAAATGCCGCTGCGACGGCCACTGCTCCAATTGCCGAGCTATGACACTTCCTCTTGACTGCAGCAACAGTACGGCTGGGTTTCGTTGGTGTTGGCGACGATTGTGGACTGGTTAGGTCATCTGCCTTCTTTGTTCCTCATTGTGATACCATCGGGGCTTTCTTTACATTGACTTTTCGCTATTCGTATCAGCAACCCTGCTGCTAATAATTATCCACTATGACCGCATGCCTCTCTTGTCCCCGAGCATGAATTGCATCAGCCTTTCACGATTCATCGCACTGCTGCACCGAATGGTTCCTATCGGCGTTGTGAAGTTGTTTCATGGAGTTTGAGTGATACTGTTCTGAACGGGTCGGCGTATCTTAGGAGTTTCTGATCTTCGTTCTCCCCGCCAGTCCATACTTGCCTCACTAATATTGTCTATACTGTATCGAGGCAGCTATCGTTACGATCGAATGCCCCTGGAGTCATGCTGTTCTATGCTACCACCTGAGATCCACTGGCTGCATATCCTCTTCATCCTGGGTTATGATTTCGTACCAGGTATTACTGTGACACTAGCCATTGTGGCTGTTACAAGATTTCACACTATCATGCTCATTTGAGCAAAACTTTTGATTTACATAACGCCTGAATATAACTACAATTATAAAGTCAAACACAGATAACAGAAGATGATAAATATACCCAATCCGATCAACAGACCAACCAACCAACCAATATACAACTCCCGCCGTGCTCAGAGAAGAGTGTTATACAAAACAAAACAGCAGCCATCAAAGATACACAGGTTTGACATGTGTAACGTCGCTTCCGTATCCCAATTCCATCCGTATATAGACCGATAGTCAGGTACGGTACGTATTCACATTAGTCCGCCCACAACCGCCATCACAGTCCCCAAATTGGGCTTTCACCCCTTCTTCTCGTCTGCATAGGTGGGCATCCATGCAAGATAAGTCCAGCCATATATCAACCTCACATAGACCCAATCAATTACTCCGCATTTGAGGATTCCGCCTGCGTCTGCGCCTGTGCCTGCGCCTCCAACGCCTGGCGCTGCTGTCGCTTCTCTCGACGAACAGCATCCACCATACGCATGCGCGCCAGTTCACAATCAATCTCTTCCTTCTCCAGGGGGATCTTGTGCGATTGTTCGGTGGTGGGCCAGAAGCCGGGGACGCTGAAGCGGTCGTCGAGGTTCGTACCGAAATAGTACATCCAGCCGATAGGGAAGATGATGTACATGCCGAACTGGGCGGATTAGATTGGAACCTTGGGAAATGGGACGCGAAGGAAGGGGATGCATACCTTGAAGACTTCGAGGTTGCCCCCCTGGAGTCTGCGGAGGATGGAGGACATGGTTATTGACGGAGGTGGGATGATGCACAGAGGGACAGATGGATTGGTCGATATATGGGTTTGTTCTGTTCCCTAGTATATCTTCCTTGGGTACCCCAAATCCTGACGTGAGATTGAGTATGCTAATATTCGAGATCCGGTGTTCTGAGCCGTGCTCCGACGACAAATTATCTGGATCGTCCGATACCACCAAAGATCGGATTATTATCACGGAGCTTCCGAGACGCCCCATGCCGGATTGCAAACTGAGCAAACGTCCCACGTGCCAAGAATCATGTGATCTGTCTTACTCATCGCCGGTCGGCTTCCCGGAAACCGAGGCTCACAGCCTCGGTCCGTCGGTTTCCCCGCATACAAAGAAACCGTTATGGCTGATCCCTGTCGGGGGGAGGAGTCCACCTCCTTATCTGACAGTTAGGGGCGGATTTATCCTGGGGTGGACTGTGAATTGCTTTTTAAAATCTTTGCTCCCTCGCAGTACCTGCGTTTGCTGTCACTTCTTAGACTTGCTTTTTGCAGCCGTTCAACAACCACGCCCCGCATACTTATCTCTCGGCCAAGCGTATCAATTCTCCGACAATCATTAACTATAGACCCCATCACATCACATCACATCACATCCCATCTCACCCCTAATTACCAACTTTCTATCACAAACAACTCATCCCTCACCATGGCCACCGAAGACCCCATCAAAGTCACTTACCAGGGCCGTCTGGCAATCATCACCCTCAATCGTCCCAAGAAACTCAACGCCCTCGACGCAGACCTCTACTACCTCCTCGGCGAACGCCTCCGCGAAGTTGACAAACGGTCTGATATCTTCATCACAATTCTCACCGGCACCGGACGATTCTTCTCCGCGTAAGCCCCCTCCCCCTTCCCCCTATTTCACAAAACAACCAAATCTAACACCCACCCACCCACCAGCGGCGCCGACGTAACCAGCACCCGCCCCGGCGGCAACCTAAGCAGCCAAGCGCGCCGGGAAATCGCCCGCTCCTTCGTCATCAACAACTTCGACCTAACGCACACCTTCGCGCACCACTCCAAGATCCTGGTCGTGGCTTTGAACGGCCCCGCCGTCGGCCTCTCCGCAGCCCTAACCGCCATGGCCGATTTCATCTACGCCGCGCCGCACACCTTCCTCCTCACGCCCTTCGCCTCTCTGGGCCTAGTAGCTGAGGGCGGGGCCTCGCGGGCGATGGTCGAGCGTCTGGGTATTGCGAAAGCTAACGAGGCTCTGATCATGAGTAAGCGGCTTACGTGCGAGGAGTTGGTGGCGACGGGGTTCGTGAATAAGGTGATTGAGGCGCCGAGTGGCAGGAATGATGATAGTGAGGGGTTCTTGGGGAAGGTGTTGGAGGAGGTGGAGGAGAGGTTGGGGGAGCATTTGAATCAGGAGAGTTTGTTGAAGATTAAGGAGTTGGTGAGAAGGCCGGAACGGGAGGTGTTGGATAGGCAGAATGGGTTGGAAGTTTTTGCGGGGTTAGAGAGATTTCTTAGTGGGGTGCCGCAGGAGGAGTTTAGGAGGTTGGCGGCTGGGGAGAAGAAGCATAAGCTTTGAGTCTTGGGTGGGAAGGGGTGTGTAAATAGTATGTAATGGGTGGGTAGAGGTGGGGGTAGATTGTTAGATTAATGCCATGCGTTAATGTTTAGGATGTATACCAGGGGGGTTGAAGTAAGTAACACTTTTATTGACCCTCTTTCGCTAGTCCGGAACGCCGTCTATGCTGTACATTGTAGATCGTAGCAGTATATTGAGTAGGGGTGGGTAACCGGTTATTGGCCTTCGGTCTCGGAGTCGGACTCCTGCGCCTGCTTGGCAAGAATATCCTGCCACTGTCCCAGGAATTCACTCATACCACCGGGTCCGGTCATAGAAGCTTCGACCACTTCCTTCGGTAGCTTATGGGCCGAGTACTGCGGTGTCGTGAACGCATATGCCTCGGGGTCATCGCGCTTGATGAGACGGAATTCCGGGAACAAGGGAGCGTCATTCTCGTTGGTGGGCTCGGACTCGGACTCAGATTCGGTTTCAGACTCCTCATCCAGCTCTGCATCCGCAGTCTCACCATCGTGTCCATTGAGCGAAAGCCGCACAAACTGCACCTCTTCCTCCTGAATACCCACGGGATCCTTCATCCGCAATATCTCCAGCCAACTGAACAAAAGCGAGTCGGTCCGCTCGGCCCACGGATTTATATCAATAAGCCATACCCTCTCATGCGGAGGCGGGATATAGACATCAAACACAAAGTTGGGATCCGGGAACGTATCCCTCAGCTTATCGTCGAAGAACGATTGGATCCGAGATCGCAGGGAATCCCGCATGGGGAAGAGGAAATCGAAATGGTTCTGATCACGCTGACAGATACACAGAAGGACTTTGTTGCGCACAAAGCACCGGAACTCGAGCGACGGGTTGAAGTTGACGTATTTGCGGAGAACGAGGTAGTAGGGAATTTCAGGTGGTGCGGAGGAAGAGGACTCGGTGGTATCGGGAACGCAGTCATCGAAGGGGTGTTCAAGGTCGTGAATGATAAAGTCACTACTTTTGAGGAGGAGGTAGATGTCGTTGGCTGTGCGACATTGTGTGTCGTTGGTCGCGGACATCCAGGTCGCATCTTTAGGTGCGCTCCAGTTCAGCTTGGGCGTCACCTTGCCTCCATATTCGGTAATTGTGGACTTGATCTGGGCGTGGATTTCGGGCCACTCGAGAGACGGATCGGGTTCTTCGTCGGCCCCATCATCGGAGAATGTGTCGTCGTTGTCGTCGTCGTCCGTCGGCGGGGCAGCTTCTGGCGGCAAGACGATACCGTCGGCGCGCAGGTAGGAAACGAAGGGGGCGCTGAGGCGGATGGCGCGGGATTTAGGGACGAGGGTGCGGTAGCTGTGAAAATGTAGGTTTCGGTTAGCATTTTAGAAGAAGACTAAGAGGGTGGTGACATTGCGGCATACCGAGGTTGCCATTGATGATAAGAGCAGTTTAAGATGTGGGAGTAAGTGACTGGAGGGAAAGGCAGCCTTGTGAGCTCCTCGATTGGAGTGTCGGCCGCCGGAGCTGGCGCCTCTGGTTCAATGAGAGGCATGATGGCTGTATGCAATGATCACAGCCGATTGTGTCGGTGAAGACGAAATGGATGTCTGTCTTGTCGATCGCAAAGTCCGCGGGGTCGTTTTCTTTTTTTGGGATGACTCAAGTCTCTTACCCGAAGAGGCATGGTTGATACAGACATGACCGTACCGTACCACAGCGGCATACTGCCTCAGGCACAGTAGGTCGTCATCCAGTCATTACGGGTTGCGTAGCATCATTCTAGGTAGCGTACCGGTTGGCATTGTCGCTCCGCATTGCTAGTTCTCCGCCAGCATCCTTCCCCTTCGCCATGGCATCCGACGGCCCTGATCCCCAGAGCTTGAAATCATGGGAGGATGCATTTCACTATCCAATTCCTACTGTGCGCCGCGTGGAGCAGGAGCTGCGCCGGGACATCGCAAGCAATAAGGAGAAGCTCCGGGCTCTTGTTGGGTATGCCACAGCCGCATCTAAGTTCACTCCAGTCAAAGCTAACCATATGCTATGCATATAGCACGAGGTACCGAGAGCTTGTTGGTACTGCCGAGACGATCGTGTCGATGAATCGCGAAATGGAGGATGTGGATTCGACACTGGCCGACATAGGACGAAGATGCAACCCGCGCCTGATGGAGAAGATGTACACGCATTACAATCAGATAAAGGATGATTCACACGATGAGGGTATGATGTCTTTGTCGGGTTGACTTTGGCATTCAACCAACAGCTGATGGGGAGTTAGATGCCGCGAAACGAGCGCTCGGGGGACAACTCGCTTTACTTCACCGCTGCGCATCGTCAATATCAAAGCTTTTGAGAAGACGCGGCTCCGTCTTACTAGTGGCGAAGCTTATGGTCGTGTCTCGACGTCTACAACATAACCTATCTCAACAGAAGTCGGTGCCGCCGTTCGTGGAGAACCTGCGCAATCAACTGGCTTCCGTTCGACGGACTCTCATAAGGAGGCTTCAAAAGCGCCTGGCTTCTGCCAAGTCCACAGCTGACGAGATCATTGAGGCTTTGGCGGCATACTGCCTAATAACCAGCTCCTCTTCGGATGACGCCATTCGCAACTTCCATCAGGTCCGCTTAGATGGCATTGGAAGTCAGCTGGAACTTGTTGACCCTTCAGGCGATAATGTTTTAAACAGCCTACGACTTTATATTCAGACTCTCCAGACTTCCAAGATTCTGCTTTCCCGACGGCTGTCGGACGTTCTCAGCAAGCTCAAAGCAAGGCCCTTATTGACGGACCCTGAAATCCGAGATTTGGACGACTTGAACCTCGGTGTTCTAGGGCGTTGGGTGACTGCTGATGTCAGTAACTTCACACCTTGGATCAAGCTTAGCGAGTTGTCGAAGTCAGAAGCCGAGAAAACCATCAAACAATGGTCGAAGCCAGCTTTCGATAAATTCGTGCATGGGTGCCGGGCTACCTTGACAAACTGGTCGGATTTCTCAAAGCTTCTCTCCTTACGCCAGAAGACGTTGGAGCTTTGGCTTTGCTCCCGAAACTCTACACCCACGCATTCCTCGTTACAGGTACTAGAAGGGATTAGGTCGGCCTTCAACGAACGACTTACGAATGTTCTATTGGAACAAGCCAAGGCTTTGGATCTATTCGGCCAAGAACTCGCATCTGCGGTGTCCAACTGGAGCGACAGAGGTCACACAGCTTCCCAGTCGCTTTGGGCGGAAGACCTAATCTCTCTTGACTACTCCAACGGATCTTCTGCGTTCAAACAGGCTGTTACGAATAGGCTACTAGGGCGTGATGATGACGTAGCTGTTGTCCTCGAGACGTATCAAGCATGGCTGTCTTCGATCGAGGAATCAAGGGAGTCTATCGATGCCTTGCGACAGCTACGTTGGTCTGACGCCCTGGATGAAGGCGAAGATGAGGATCTCGATATAGATATTCCCTCCATCTTGAATGATGATGATCCCAGGCTGCTGCGCGAGGCCCTACAGACCGCAATTGGGCAGGCTTTTGATGCACTCCAGAATTCACTGAGCGCAACCTTCAATACCCTCGGAAAGTCGGGCCGAAGCGCCGAGGCTGCTTTCATGCTGAAGGCTATTCGACTGGTCCGAAGAGATCTTCCTGTCCAATTTATTGCCAGCGATTACGCGCTCTCCCAGATTGTCGTCCCCGAGTTGCAAACAATCCTGGCCAGGGAGATAGTCATACGTGCAGGCCTCTGGAAGTCCCCAGCTGTTTCAAATGGTAAGTCTGGAAAATTTCCAGGCCGTACGCTCTGGGAAGGTGATCCCGAACTCCCGATTCAGCCATCACCATCGACATTCAAATTCCTGCGTAAGGTTGTGCGATCCATGGACCAGTACGGCGCTGGACTTTGGGACGTTTCTACAGTTCAGGTCCTTAAAAGTTCCCTGCAAAAGGAACTTTCGGGGCCTGTGGCGTCCGCAATTGAAAGCTTAAAGACACCTAGCCTTGCTCAGGACAACAAGACATCTGCGTCAGAGGCTGCAAATGGGTCAACTCCGGCCCAGAACGGCGAAGACGGCCACCCCGAGAAATCAGAGTCAGAGAATACGGTCTCCAAAAATGCTGAAGACGTCAAAGACCGGATGATTCAGCTGTATTTCGATACCATCTACCTTGACGATGCGTTCACCAGTCGAGACTCTGAGCGTAGCCAGCTGGCGGACGTACTGGGTACACTTCGCAGCAGCCTTGACATTCCTGCAAAGGCCACCAAGACCCTAGAGCAAGCCGCCCATGAGTACTGGAAACGGACCCAGCTGTTATTTGGGCTCTTGACCGGGGCAGCCGAGCAATAAATCGCGTGCCATTGGCGTAAATGTATATAGATCGAACAATCCATACCTCCTTCAAGCGACCAATCAGCGCGCGCATGTTTGCCCTTTCCCAAGCCCGACTAGCGTCCGCGGGGGAGGCTCACCGCCCACGTCACGTTTCCGGCGGTGACGATGACTTCGCCGCGGGAAAACACCATGCGTTCATCGTCCATCTCTCTCCTGACTTGTTTCAACTCGCGCTCTCGCTCGTCCCTCCCCTTCTCTCCCTTCGTTCCACCACCGTATCCTCCACTATGGCTGCCCCAAGGCTTCCATTCCTTTACCCGAATTTGATGCGCGCTGTGAGATCCTGCGAACCTCATACGTACCGCTCCCTTCGCCTTTCATCCCGCAACCAGCACTCTCCCTTCCACACCAGTCGACGACACGCCCAAGAGACCTATCACCGACGATACGGGCCCGCGGCTGAAGCAAATCTACCTCCCCCCTCCAAGCCCAAAGACGAAGCATCCCGCCAGAAAACCGCAAACCCTTCCTCGGGGAAAAACAAGGACAGCAACGCAGCTCTGTCTCCGAGCCAAGCCCCACCAGAGCAGTCAGAGCAAACGGACACCGAGAGCATCCCCTCAGAAGCCTCTAATTCGCAACCCGACAAGTCCACAGCCCCGGCTACTGAACAGTCAGATGAGCATGAAGCCGCAGAAGAACAAGAGTCTCGCGAGGACTTCGAACCCGCACCCGACACTCGGGATGCCGAAGAGGCAACTGCTGCCCCGAGTGAAAGACCTCCCGAAGAACCAATCCATCTCTTCCATCCGCTCAATCAAAACCCTCTCGATGGGGTCCTTCATATGCCGTCTCCTGCCTCCTACCTAACCACAACAGATGGCCCAACCTCAGGAAACAAATCGCCAAACCTCGCCCCAGCCCCTTACGTCCACCACTTCGATTCGTACTCGCTGGTCCGCGATCTTTCCACAGGCGGGTTCTCGGAAGAGCAATCCGTCACGATGATGAAGGCAGTGCGAACCATCCTGCACAGTAACCTCGATCTCGCAAGACAAAGCCTGACCTCCAAGTCGGATGTTGAGAACGAATCCTACCTGTTCAAAGCGGCCTGCTCGGAACTCCAGTCATCCCTGCAGACGGCGAGAACCTCAGAAATGCAGCGTCAGCGTGCTTCCCGGACACAATTGCAACATGAATCAGACATCCTGTCTCAACGCTTGAACCAGGAACTGGCGGGACTGAAAGATGACATCAAGGGGATGTTCAACGACCACAAGATGTCGACCCGCGAACAACAACGGAGTATCGATACTTCTGTACAAGAGCTCAATTACAAAATCACGGTCTCCCTGAACAGCGACGGTAAGAGCGAAATCGAAGGACTGAGATGGATCTTAACCAGAAGAGCCGCTATGGCTATTGCCACGAGTGCCTGTGAGTCATTCTTCATCTCTCCATTTTCCCTTAATCAATCCGAACTTAACCCCTGACAAAGCAGTCATGATTATCATCTTCCTGAAATACTACTCCGTCCGCAAGGCCCGGGAGAGCGCCGAGAAGAAGAAAAAGAAACAAGACCTTTCCGGCAAGGTTACCAAGGAGGCCCGAGCAGCCGCCCAAGACCCTATTTCTCGGCCCAAGTCCAAACCAGTCCCTGAAGTTCTTCTCGGAGAATCGCTTGGCTAAACTTTCGCTCCCCCTCTCTCTGACTGTACAACCGCCATCCAACCATCCTGAACGTTCCACCATGTCACATTAGACCGTCCGGTTGACTCATCATCCTGAACCCACCACGGAATACTACCCACCCTACTATAGATCTCATTATCACTATTCTTCTTGTCCCATTGGTCACGACGCATTGATTTATCTCCCTCCCTTTTGGCGAGACATTTCGATACCCTCAACTTCTTTCTTTTTTTCTCCTACTGTATCATTGGGAAAAGGCGCAAGCAATAGAGACAGGATCATCATTCATCATTCATCGTCCATCACCATCCATGTCAACATTCCAAATCATTGTACCTATAACTATACCTGCTACACCTATATTTCTCTATACTCTTTCACATGAGAAAATAAGACACTGAAAAAGAAAAAGAAAAAGAAAACTCTATATATGCAATGGGCATGTACCTCATAAACGCTCGCCGGCATGATCTGTGCATGAATCCCTTCCGCTCTAGTCATTCATCCATCCAATCCATCCATCCATCCCAATCATCACACCTCATGCAGACATAATACGAAGTGTCACCCCGCAATGCGAGCCAGAGTCACACCTCTGAGATTAAATTAATATAGGGGATTGCAGCAAAAACAAGTAAATAAATAACAGGAAGATATATAGAAAAAGGGAAAGAAAAAGCAAGAAAGGCATACGCAAACGATCCCTCTTAAAAGTCAAACCTCAGAGCAATACTGGGCATGGCTTGCTGCTCACTGCCTGATGGTGTGGTATCCCGGGCGTGCCGATTGGCTCCCGAGTCGGCTTCCGTGCTGCGGAGGATTTCCTCGAGCTGGGTCTTTTGTTCCGGGCTCATGGTAGATACGAGGGCTCGGAACACGGCCTGATTGGCTTTTGCGAGCTCGAGCAAATAGATGGCTGTTTCTTGGTACACAGCCTGTCCGTCGCGTTTCGCGCGGGAAAGAAGGGTGGACATCATGAGGGAAATAGCTGTGGGCATTTCATCCGCAGGGAAAATGGAATTGGTGATACATGCAACGAGCGTGCGCGCGACGACGGTCTTGGAGTTCTCGGGATCGTTGGGGACTTCTCCGTTCTCTGATGGGCAGCCGACGTAGAAGGCAATGAGTCGGGGGACCAGGTATCGGGCGATCAATTCGCTGGTGGGGGATTTCGGATTTGACGTCAGGAGAATCGAGCGAATACAGCCTGCAGCGACGTTGGCAAGACCGACATCCTGGAGGCAGTCCAGGAGTTCATCCAGGACCCGGGAAATTACAGGATCTTGGGGCGGGATGATGTGACCACCACTCGTCAACAGAATAGCAATAGCTAGGAGAGTGTTCTTTGCGCAAGGCAGAGATGACTCGGACTCCCGTCGCTGCGCAAGGGTCAGGGTGGTGAGGAAGCGGGTCAGACAGCCGCGCAACTGACGTGACACCACGCCAAGATTCTCCGGCTGTTCTGGCCCAACCTCGGGGGAATTCGCAATGCCGCTGATGAAGTGTTTGAAGATCGGGAGAGCCTGAGGAACGACGTCCGCCTGGCACAGCCCAGTGGCCAGGATAGTGCTGAAGATGTGCAAGATGCATGCATTCAGGTCGTTGCGGATAATCGAGGGGAAAATCGAGGCAACATTCACCAGCGATGAAAGCGCAAGCCGGATGAGAGACAAGGCATCATCTGAGCCGACATTAAATCGTGCAAGAGGCGTGGTTTCTCGGAGGTTGGGCAGGAGCCCTGCCAGGACAAGGATGATACTCCTCGTGAGCTCGAAGAGCTGCTCAATGTCGTCGGAGAGATGGTCGTCCCGACCCTCGCTGCCCTTGGCAGACGGATGATCCAGAGATAGGTTCCGTGCTATCTCCACGATAACATTTTGGATGGGGGTCGTTTCGGTCAGCGCAAGACGGTCGAGAGAGTCCATTGTCTCCGAGAAAATAGCATCCTGATAGATTGCATTACCCGAGATCACTGGTCTCAGGATCCTCTTCAGAGCCTGGAGGATCTCCAATCTCTGTGATGGGGTAGTAGACTGATCAACCAAGGCTTCAAACGCCAGGCCAAAGAGAACAAAGAAGAACGCCACAGGTTCATCTCGATAGTTGATGTTGTCACCCTTCCCCTTCGGCTCATCGTTAGGTGTCTGCTGGTCATTTTTCTCGGGCTTCTCTGATCCCTCCAACTCCGACTTGCCGTCCAGCGCATCGAAGACAAAGTCGATGTCCCTTTCGACCAAACCAGCAATGGCATCGACGAGATTCAACCAAGATTCTTGATAAAACTGCAAGATATGGTCAGCATTGTGATTTACAGAAAGTCTCTGTGTCAGTCCAGCCCTACCTTCAAGAGTGTCTCACGATTCAACGCTGCATAGACTTCATTCAGATCGCCGCCCAGAGGGGCTGTTCCTAAACTTCCTGAAATGTCTGGTTCAAAGCGCAAACGAGCATATTCCTGGAGAGAGGAAAGCCATAGAGGAGTGAGCTTTGTGAGATATGGTTGAACCACTTGGTTCAAGTAGTCCTGCTCAATACTGGCAATCTGCAGCCGTGCCCAGGCCGAGTATAAGGCCATCTTGACCATGACCCTAGCATTCGGGTTGAGTCCCTTCAAGTCGCCAATCTCGGTAGTATCTAGGTTGTCTTGGAGGCATTAGTAAGACTCCTTTCTAACACCGGGTAACACATACTGGAAAAGTTCTCAAGGCCAAGCACCAAGAGCTTGAGGATCCTTCCCATTCGATCAACGTTCGTCACTATTCCAGTGGCAATGAATGTGGCAGAGACATTAATCGCTTCCGAGGCTAACTCCGCAGATGAATCGGCGGCAAATGCGGGTGTAAGAGCCGATCCAATCTGAGCTTGGTACTGTTCCAGAAGGGATGCCTCTGTAAAGTCTGGGTCGGGTGTCTTGCCAAACATCTGTTCCTGTTGTTAGCGTGGGGACCAAACATGATGGACGGACAAGGGCTTACTTTGAGAACTTGGTCAATGATCCGAAGCCCCCAAACTCGAAGTTCTATGACGTTGGCAGTAGATGCTGAGAAAGCCATCCGCACGATGTCCCCAACCTTCTGTTGAAGTGCAAGCTCGGCAGGAATTGTCTGATCCGGCAGAATTGCCTCTTGGACGATTGCTAAAAGCTCGCTGAGGCAGCTCATGACAAAATTCCGGGTCTGCCACTTCAAAAGCTCCTGGCCAGCGACAGCACCATTTGCTTCTTCTAACTGTCCAGCGCCTGCAATTGCGGATGCAAATCCTGCAACCTCATCATCCGGCATATCATTTGCATTCGGCTTGATAGCAGATGTCAGAGGTAGCTCCTCCACCTTAGCACGGGTCTTGGTCAGCGTGTTGTGGCAGCGCTGTATCCACAGCTCGGTTTCCACGAGCGCCGTCTGCTGCAGCCAGTCTTGAATCATGCTTCTGAGTATGGGACAGTCTGGCGTATCATCGAATGCAAGCCATATTTCCTCTTCCAGAGTCGGTGTGGCAGTCTGGAGCACAGCTACAGCGTCACGCTTCATAAGATTACTCAATCCTCGGATAGCCACATCTCTCATCAACGGATTGTCAGCGGTGAGCTCATTCTGCAAGCGTCTTACGTATCCGGAGAAGTCAACATATCCCGGTGCATAGAGTGAGAGGTGATCCAAACACTTAGAGCTCTCAGTGACAAGAGCCGAGTTATCCTCTAGCTGGAATTGGCGAAGGAGAGTGAGAATGAGGTTCCGTGTTTTCGTAATATCCTGAAGGTCAGGGCCAAGAACGTTGATAAGAGAGTCAACACAGCGACTGATAACCACGGGAGTGAGGAAGGACATTTCAACGTTGGAAGTGGCTAGAGCTGCCGCCTCCTCATTGTGGGTATCGGCGTTGTATAACTGGGCCAACATTCCGAGGGAACTCGAGACGAAGGGCGAAAAAGTCAATCCCGCAGAATTCGCGACTCTTTCTAAGCCACCAAGAGCCCAGAAGTGAACCACGGGGTGAGGGTCATTACACAGCGACATCAAAACACCAACGATGGTCTTGAGGTGCAGGCCAGCAGCCATACCACCAACCTGGGAATGGATGCAACCCAAAGCAGCAGCACAGCCAGCACGGGCATTGGGCTCCCGATTTTCAACAATGGTGTCGACCAGCCAATTGATTTGCGTATTGGTGAATGTAGTTCCGGAGCTCTCACAGAGCCGTCCGAGTGCCTCAACACCAATTGTCCGGACGGTCAAGTCAGCATCGGTGACAAATTTCTAATCCAGTCAGCTTTCTGCCATCACAAGCTCCGTCAGAGCTTCACCAACAACAGTCCGTACCTGAACAAGCTCCTGCAACACCTTGTCCGTCGCAGGGTTGAGTTTCCCAACCGTAGATCCAGTCTCTTTGACGGATACCTTCAGAGCGTGCAGTAGTGCCACAGCAATATTGACGACCATAGCAGCCTTGCGCCCAGGATTGCGCTGAAGACCGGTGGATGAGAGGAAAGTTGCTATTTGCTCTACACTGCTCTCCTGGACCTTGGGAGCATGGATGGGGATTGCCACGGAGAACAGCTCAATTGCCGCATTCACAACGCCAGTGGAATGGGGATCAGCCAGGGAAGACTCCTCTTCCCTTGTCGAGTATAGAAGCAAAGAATCATGTTCACTTGCTTGGCATATAGGGAAAGTCAACTGCAAACGTCAGTCCTACTACACACAAGCTGAAAGGGAGTGTTGACTCACAGCATCATCGACAGCTTGATCCGCCGAATCAACAGCCGACCAAGAGGGCCCGTTTTCGGTTCCATGCTTGCCAGTAAGGGTTACACGCACGTATTCCCTCGCCAAGCCCGTCATGCCGAATCCATAATTATCACACAGATCCCAGAGAGTCTCAAATTGCGCGGTAGAGGCTGCAATTGAGCTTTCCAGGGGACCAGCTTGAGCGGCATCCGGGTCTGCGAACGACGAGATTGCCAAGCTCAACAAACTAGATTGGGAAATAACATCGGCATGGCTAAGGGGGTGAACCCGGAGAAGCTTGGAAAAGCACTGCAGTACACGTCGCCGCACCATGGTCTCAATATCATGTAGATGCAATGATGGGTGGAGGCGCTGTGAAACATCGTTCACGGACTTTTGCCGTGGCAGATCGTCAAGAAATTCAACCGTGTTTTGGAGCATTGCTGCAATTCTCTTCGCGCCGTCGGCAGTTATCAACCTGCTATTGAACTCCATAAAGACCAGCAAAGAACTCAGGGCACATTCCCTCACATGCGCAAGGAAGCTCAATTCCAGTATACCGCGCTTGGCGGAGTTTTCTTGGCTTAAGTGTTTGGGAAGAGCGTTTTTCCACAGCAACGACAACTGGGACAGATGAATCTTCACGAAACTAGGGCCGAGGGGCATTAACCCTCCGATCAAAATCCAAGCCACTTGTATCTGTGTACTTGCGGCACGTAGTTCCGAGTTGCTACTGGTTTTCAAGAGATCGGTTGCCTGAGTGAACACACGAGAGAACACCTCTACTGAACCGTAAAGCGGTTGCAACCGGGATGTACTTAGCATAGCAGAGAGTCCATTAGCATAACCGACGCAGCGACGTGGTGATTGCCGGGGAGTAGATAGTTGTCCCACTTCTCGACTCAGGCTGTTCAGGCAAATGGTGACGCAAGATAACAACTGATGCGGGCAGGCAAGAACAAAGTTGCGTAGACACTGCGCTGCGTGGATCTGGACGGTATAACTAGGATGCGGCAGGACTTGGAGCAAAGCTTCGCAACACATTTCAGCCAGGGTTCCAAAAGCAGAGCCAAGTGACAGTATCAGAGAAGACAAGGCACTTAGAGCACTGGTGAGAGAATGTTTGCTCGGCTCGCGACGTTCCTGTATCACTTGAGGGTAGTCCTTTAGAACATCATTAATCAACCATTTGGCAGCATTGAGTTGACTCGTCTCCCGAAGTGATTCACGACCAACAGTGTCCTCCAAGATGCTCTTCACAAACCTTCTGGTCATGAGAAGCCTGAATCGGTTGTACGTGACCGTGGGGTGGTTGAGGATGTCGAAAAGCAGATGGCTCGCAATTTGACCGTAACGTTCCTCGATGATCTTGTCCCCCAGGATTCGTAGAACGTGCTTGTAGCAGATAGCGATGCCTGCCCGGGCCCGATTGGATGTTGTGCTCCGTAGATACTGCGCGGACAACTGACGAAGAAGGTCGGGTAGAAGGAAGAACAAGCGTGCCTCGGATTTCTTGGGAGCGGAGGACTCTGAAACCTCCGCCTCATCTTCATCCTCCCCGGGCTTGGATGTTGGCTTTTTCGACAGTCGCTTTGCCTTCTTCGACTTTGGGACCGAAATGATCGGAGTGTCTGTAGCATGCAATTTGGCCAGCGCACGAGCCAGACATGCCGCGGCAGCGTGTCTGACGGGAGCCACCGGACTGTCAATGACTTTCCATACCAAGGTCCTCAGGTGATCGAAGTCGTTTGTGTTGTCAAAGTAGGGTGTTGTGTTCACCAGTTGCTCGAGACAGCGACAGGCATGCACTTGAACAAAGGTCGATTTGTCCCCGGTTGCGGCATTGCGGGCTTGCTTCCAGATATCTCGCGCGGTTCCTTCGTCCACGGGCAGACCAGTACCGACCACCACCTTCCGCAACACGGCAAATGTTGCCCCGCGACATCCCATATGGTTGTTAGAAGCTTTGAGTAGTTTGAGCAAGCTTGAAACGACAACCCCCGACTGCGCAAAGACACTTTCTCCGGCGACAGCAAAGACCTCACCCATACAATGAGCCGCAGCGAACTTGGCCTTTAATTCCGCCTCACTCTTGCCCGCATTGAGGAGTCCAAGCAGGTCCGTAACCGTTTCAAAGAGGATGCCACGGTCACCCTTGCTGAAAATCGCCCCGAAGCACCGTCCCAAATTATTGCGGATAACTCGCGTGAGGGTCGGCGAGGAAAGCGTGAGGATCTTGAACAGTTCTTTTTTCAGGAACTTCTGCTGCGAGGATACTTGAGCCTTATCGAGGCTGGAGATGTGTTGGACGAGATCGGAGGTGAAGGTGAGGAGGTACAGGTCCTGTTGTTCGGAGGGGAGCGCATGGAGCTTGGTGATATCAAGCTCCGCTCGGGGGGCGCATTGTGGTCGGAGGAAGTCGACGTAGTGTTTTCCGATGAAGACATTGGGCTCTAGGATGGGGGCTGGGATGACACCCATAAGGTCCGCGGTGATGAGTGGTAAGTTGAGGCGAGGGAGGAGAGAAACAGGATGCGACCGCAATCCGGGGAGGGGGGAGTTGCAGGTCGGTTGTCGTCCGATGGGCCAGACTTGGCTGGCAATGACCCCTTAAAGCGGGCACTTGGCCTCAACTCCGTCCGGGGGCGGTCGCGGAGAAACTGTTGGGCCGGCCCCGCTATCAGATCGCGATTCTGGAGGCATTTCCAGATGGGAATCCCCGGGGGCAAGAGCAATTTCGCCATGACGACGATCGTGTGCAAACGACTGGTGCAGCAGCGGGTGGCCCGCGCAAATTGGGTGGTGGCCGATGGCTGCCGTGGCTTTACCACCAGCGCGCCGTGGCTTGCAGGGCACAATAAATGGTCTCAGATTAAGCATGACAAGGCTAGGAATGACAAGGCCAAAAGCAAGGAGCGACAGCTTATCGGCAAAGAAATTAGCAGTGCGACTCAGAGTAGGTGTTTAAACTTTGCACTACTATCTCCCTTCCATTTCGTGCTGACCTGGAACAGTGTGGGGTCCCGATCCTAAATTCAATGCGCGCCTCACCCTCGCCCTTTCGAATGCAAGACGAGCAGGAATCCCGAAGATCGTGATCGAGGCGGCAATTGCTCGGGGGCAGGGCATAAGTGTCACTGGAGATGCTTTGGAGCAGGTCACAGTTGAAGCTATCCTCCCCCATTCAGTCGCGGCCGTTATCGAATGCCTGACCGATCAGAAAGCTCGTGTGTTGCAAGATGTCCGACATGCGATCAAAGATGCCGGCGGCACAGTCACCCCTACGACTTATCTCTTTGAGAAGAAGGGCAGAATAATCTTCGAGAAGAAGGACGGGATGGATCCGGATGACTACATCGACCAGGCCATCGAAGCAGGCGCGACGGACATTATGGCAGACGAGCAAGGCCGCCTCCTTGTTTTCACAGAACCTTCAGAAACGAAGAATGTGGGTGAAGCTCTTGGCAAAATGATCGGTCTTGCAGTTGAGGAGCTGGACATCATCTGGGACCCGAACCAAGACACTTTGGTGGATCTCAAGGACGAGGAGCAGGTGGGCGAAATCGAGGACATCCTCAATACCCTTCGAGAAGAGTCGAGTCTCCGCGACATCTATCTCAATACAGCACAACGCTTCTAACAAGATAGCGTTTGTGGGAAGTTTGGTTCGCCAACACAGCCTGGAGCTACTTATACCTGTATTTTACATTGTACATTACTCAGAACATCATAGATTTGCCCGGAGGCGATAAGCTTCCTTTCTATATTATTATAGACTATTAATCTTGCAAGATCATCGTCTAAGGCAAGTTATATCCAAAAGATATCGATGAAAGGCGAGTAGGACCAGAGGTTAGTCTGCTTTCCAATACTAATCAATCCCTTCTGGTTTTACTCTTTTCGCAGAGCTTTCATGGTACTCCGCATCAGATTGCCAATCCCAACGGTACCTGTCGCGTCAAGCCAGTCAAGCATCCGTACCCTATACTCCTGCCAGGTCATCTTCATCCCCCCTTCTTTCTCTAGAGCGCTCAATGCCTTCTGCGTCACCGGTTTCTTCAGCTTCGGCCTGTCTTCACCAATATCGTTTTCGTCTTCAATGTCAGAGAAACAAGCCGCAGACATGTTACACAATGCTATATGGTGGCTTAGAGAGAATATCGAAGAGATTGTGTAGGAGAACGCGGTCTCGCGTTTCCTCTCTCTCTCATTAGTCTCACGAATGTATCGTGTGAGTGCACCGATGGTAGCGGGTGGTATCAAACAGCCCAATGCGTTTGGGTCTTCAGAGTTGAGTCCCCGGTTCCGCCACAGCAGATTGCAGACGTCCATGATGTAGCCGTTGAATTGGCCTACCAATCCCGTTGGGTAAAGGGAATCTTGAGAACTCGGGACCTGCAGAACATGGGACGTGAGGGAAGATTCGAAGGACGATTTATAGCTGGCAAGGACCGAACTCATGATCGAGATGACTGAGCTGATTGGCGTGAAGGCGAGCGTATAAACGGTCGGGGCTAGAGGGACCGTGAGTCGAATGCTTCCGTTCATAGATGCATGCGAGAACAATTCCGCCAGGGTGCAGTAGAACTCGGTGATGGACAACGTGGCAGGCTTGTATCTCTCACTGCGACCACCTGGGGGCTGCCGCATCGGAGTGAGACACTCCAAGGTCGATAACGCCAGGAGTTCGGCGTGAGCAATCAGGCGACCCAATGGCTTCGATTCCTCCACGACCAAGGGTTGTACCCGTAAGTGAATTCCCCACCGACGGATCAAGGAAGAATAGGAATCCAGCAGGGAAGTCCTTGATGAAAGCGCTGCAGTGAGGATCGCACTCTCCAAGGGTATCAGGAAATCTTTGCGCAAGGTATCAAAGTCCTGGACGGGAAGATGTTGGAGAAGTCCCAGGATTTGCTCTTTGTTGTCTTCGCCATTCCAAGAAATGAGATATTTTCGGAGAAATGATGTAAATGCGTCTGGTATTTCCTGTCCTTAAGTCAGCGATCAAGACACATAACCGGGAGAAACGTGAAGTACCTTTGTATATTGCACATATTCTACCGCCAAAGCCAAAATGTAGCCCAGCGATTCGAGATCCTCCATATCATTTGCCCACGCACATTCCAACTGGTCGCTCAGAAACGTTCGGAGCCAGTCGTTCAACCGGCGATTTGCAGCCTCGGAACGAACCAAGAACAGGTACTTTTGCGCTAGGCTATTCCCCAGCATGGATATAATCTGGTTAGGCAATTCTATCTTGTCGACTTTCTCAACAAGATGCTCAACGCCGCGCAATTCTTCCAAGGAGGTGTGGTTATAGGACACCCTTGAGGTCTTCACATCAGGAACAATGACCTGAATCTTACTCCTCTTTGCGAGTCCGCGGTGCACCACCTGGAATGTCGAGGGTTCAACTGCCTGCAGCCTTTCAAGGTGCGTGTCTTGAATTTCTCTGACATGGGCGGTCCATTCCGGATCTGGGTGCTTGAAAAACGCCGCCTTTCTCCCCGACAGACCCAGGTCTCCGACAATAACATCAGGACAGTAGTTTTTGAAGACATTAAGCAAGATGAGAAGCTCTTTCTCCTCACCGCCGGAAACACTAACTAGCTCCATGAGAGCTTGGATCCGAAAGGGCTTGACATGCTTGCGCCTTGTGATAATCGAAAGCAGATGACACAGAGGCTTTCGTAAACTAATCATGTCCAGATAGTTGAAAAGCACCGCATAGAGCTTCGACAGATGAGACCCGTCGTCGATGAAATCGTACACAAGGATCAGCCATCGTACCAGCAAAGCTTGGGTCGCAGCGCTTGGCTTGGTTTTGGCGGGACCAAGACAGCACACGACCTGGGTGATTATTTTGGAAGATATTCTCTCCACTGGGTACAGATTTTTGACTAGTGTAGTGACTGTGCCTTGGTCAAGAGCGTTGTGAGTCGTGAGAAGCTTGAGCAATCGCTCGAGAGCAGGAGGGGGAATTCCGCTCTCGTACGCGCCGGTTGCTATTGTTTTGGCCAACTGGCCAGCATCCGTGTAGCGTTGTTTGGGAGGCACAAAAGCAACTGGAGTAGCATTAACATTGTCATTTTCGCGACAAATCGCCTAAGTCGCTGTTCCTACCTGCTTCAAGATGTTTGATTGCATCTTGGAGGCCGCTTGGCCTGACTTCGGTTTCTAGGGTCTCCATCAGCAACTTCGGTTACGGTCAAGGTAGCGAGCATAACAGACCTGTTTCGGAGTCGGATGACATCGCTATATAATAGAGTAAGATAAATTTACTCTGTTAATTTCCTATTGATGTCTTTCTTTTCTGCGCGCACGAAGCTGTAATGGTTCCTAAATGTTTCGCAGTATCGGGCTCATCGCGCGCGAGCCCAAGACTGTCGCGTCGAGTGAATAACGCGTTAATCTGTATGCCCCTAAGGTGCCGGATTGAACGCAATTTGAAGACCCCAGAATAAATGCTGGGTGGGTGCGCAATTCGCTGGCTGTGGTGGTATCTAAATGCTTTCCAACCCGTATCTCTGTCGCGCGGGATTGTTGCGATGGTCGCGGGAAATGGAACTGCAACTTAACCATTTTGGGCGACCACCAGAAATGTGAATGACAGCCTCGGACCCCACGAGTGCTTGACAACAATCATCGTTCAATCAGCTGATGAGCCAGTCGCTCGGATGCCATTCGACAAGCAGGATTGGGTTAAGGTCTCCTCCATATAGGCTAAACCGGCATCTGGTTTCCCTGGTAATGATCGATCGACTACTCTACTACGTAACGGATAACGATGACTCCAATTATTCTACAGTTGTATGCAACCCCTCATTGTGCAATTGGTTTATGAATGACATGGTGAGAAGAAAGAAAGGCTAGAGCCCACTGATGTCTCCAATATCTGAATATAAACATGCCTCTGAGCTCGCCCCGTGATGGAGCTTGGTTGATTTACTTCCTCTTCCTCGTCGTCTGCTTAGAGCCATCCTTTCCAGAGGAACTAGCCGATTCCTTAGCCTTGGGTGCCTCAGCCGGGGTCGGCTCCTCTTCCTCCTCATCGCTGTCGCCTCCCTGGCCGAACTCGTTGACACGCTTGTAATCAACCTTGTACTTCCAGCCCTGGTAAAGCCAGATGAAGAAGATCACGTCATCCCGGAAGGTAGCCAATCTGTGGAGCCAAGGCATCTTGACGGTGAAAGCGAAGAGATCGTCGATAAAAGTGTTGAGGAACTTGTACGTCAATGCCTTTCCGGGCATGTGAGCGACGGACTAAACGTAATCAGCAATATTCTTGACAAATTGGTCTGGGAACCAAAACAAACCTTCAGCCGGTAGTTGATGTACAGACTAGGGACCATCATCAAAAAGCCGTAGGCGTAGACGCTGCCGACCAGGGTCTCAATGACATAGGAGTACCACGACTTGTGCGTGTTGTAGATCAAGCTGTATGTAGCGTACGCAGCCAAGAGCGGCACGGCAATGATATACAACCAACGGAAGGCGATCTCATCATACTCCTTGGTCTTCTGCTCCGTCTCGCTGAGCTTGTGCTTGTCCTCAAAGACAATCACATAGGGCAGGAAGGAGAAGAAGGACCCAGCCGGCGGTGGACGCAGGCGCACGTCTACAGTCTTCGTAATCTTCCATGCTTCCAGGAGGATACCGAAGCCCTGACTGGCAAGAATCATCCACGAGGTGTTTTCGCTATTGTCCATCAAGTAGAGGAAGATGACGGCCTGCATAAAAACGTTCGCCAGGATGGTACGAACGGAGGTACCAACAACGTCCTTCTTCTTGCGCCAGTGAGACTGTTGAAGGGATATCATCATTAGCAGCTGATCCAGTAAATTCTCGGAGAGCACAGACGGAATGGGCTTACAATATCGTTTTTGAAAGCAAGGGTCTCAAAGACCATGTGCAGGATAGTAACCACACCGGTTGTTGCCAGCAAGTAAATGTTGGTGTCGAGGAGCACCTCCTTGATCATTTCGAACTCACTACCGTCGCCACCACCGGGTGCCTGACCACCGAAAGCAGCTTGCTTAGCGGTTTGCTTTGCATTTTCATCCACACTTGCCATCATGCTGAACTTCCAGTTCTGCAAGTTGTTGAGAGTGATACGCAGAGGAACAGTGTCAACGGTCGAGTTGAGCTCCATCATATGAGTCTTGAGTTGCCAGAAGGTGTTGAGGAACACAATCGGATAGTACCAGCCGTTCTGCCCTGAAGCATCTCTCGCGCCAGTTGCTTCGAGCTGCATATGCTGTCGAACGGCGGGGTGAACCTGGCGGAACTTCTGAGGACCGGAATCAGGAATCACAGACACAGTGAAGTTGGGGTGGTAGAAAGATGCAATTGAAACATCTGGTGTGCCATCATCCTCTTCTTCCGCAGCTTCTTCGGCCGAGGCGAGAAGGTTTTTCAACTTCTTCACCTTCTTCTTAGGAAGATACTGGTTCAAAGGGCGGAAGAAATGAACGGCACTATCCGTGCTGTAGTCCTTGGCGGTAGGGTCCAGTTGATGTCCAGTGAGTCCGATAAAGAAATGCGCCCAGAGAGTTCCATTGCGCTGAACTTCCTTGGGGATCTTAATGGTAGTGTCAACTTCCCTGGTGTCGCTGTAGTTTCCAACAGTGAAGTTCTTCTCCTCCAGAACAAGATTATCCGATGAAAAGGACTTGAAGCTAGGGACCACGACCGAAGGCGAGACATAGATACTCAGATCCAAACCGCTGTCGGCGGGCCAAATTGGAGAAACGAGATCGGGGATACGACTGTAATCGGACACTTCGCTGCGAGCAGGACGCGCGGCGAAAGAAGGCACATCACTAGGCTTCGCTCCTGAACCCGAAGCTTCCTTTCCTCCGAAGAACTGGCTGATGATAAACTGCGCCAGCAAGAAGAATCCCAGAGCCTGAATGGCTCCCTTGAGGCCGGACTAAGCAAAGACACAAAAAGATGTCAGCTCACCCATTGAACCCAATCAACGTAAACGGAATCATACGCACGCTTTGCTCCGGCTCCTCCCTGCGCTGTCTTTGTTCCGGCATTGCGACCCGTTGATAGCTAACGTGGTCAGCAGGAGAGGGGGAAGGAAAGGAAAGGAAAGGGGGGGAAGAAAAGGCCACGGAGGAGGAAGAAGAACGGCTGGAAGGCGTGATGCTACTAACCGGTTGGGCCAGAAGCCGGCGGTTGGATCTTGGCGGGCCCCGGCTTATCGCCGGGCGGAAGCATGTTGAACCTACCACAGTATACTCTCCACTCCACTTCCACCTCCACACAACGCATCTGCTGCAATACGCGCGACTGTTAAAACATCGAGTCGCGCAATGAGCATGCTGGGCTCGTGAATGTTGGTGTTAGTCTAATGGCAGACAATCAGCCCTCTCCCGATTACTCCCGCCCGCAGTTTCCTGCCCATAATGAACCACGGGTATGGGTGATCACCGCGGGGGATTCGCCCATCGGCATTTCAGTCACCCGCAAGATTTTGATGCATGGCGACTATGCCTTGGTTGGACTGGCCCATTCAAGTCTGGATCGGGATCAATGCCGGCGAGATATGTTCGATGCTTTCTTGGCCGAGATTGAAAGTAATGAGGGGTGGGCGGAACGATTCAAGGCACTGCCTCTGGACATCAGGTGTGATCGGCTTAAGATACTCCAGGCATGACCTAGGCTTATATTCATTCTACAGAATGGTCGGGGAGTGCCAAGCGCTAGTGGCGCAAGCAGTTGCGGCGTTTGGCAGAGTAGACATTCTTCTATGCTGTAGCAGCCAAGGTTAGCCCTCGATAACCTGATACTTGCATCCCACGCATCGCTAAATGACCCTGTAGCCCTTATTGGAACTGTGGAGGAGCTCTCAGCTTCCCAGCAAACCCTGAATCTAGTCCGGGACCAGTTTGAGAGCAACTACTTTGGGCCTCTCAATATCATCAAGGCAACGCTGCCTCACATGCGGAAGCAAAAGTCAGGGCACATCATGATTCTCTCCGGCATCAGTAAGAACAGCCATACTTCCCACAAGCATTCTAGATTATCTAACAGCAAGCAGCCGCTCATATCGGCACACCTGGACTGGGAATGTACTGCGCAGCAGGATGGGCTCTCGAAGGCTTCTGCGATGTAAGCAACCAGCCCACCAACCACTATCCAACCCACTCACTAACCATACAAACCACCAGAGTCTCGCCTACGAAATTGCTCCATTCAACGTCAAACTCACCATATTTCAATGCAGCATTGAGATCGGAATTCTCACAAACTTGGTAACGAGCGTGCCACCCATTAGTCACGTCTACTCATCCGCAGTCAACCACGCACCACTTTTCCGCGAAATCCTAAACCGACTCGTATCTCGCCTATCAGCCGATTCTTCGAACGGCGCCAACCAAGCAGGTTCTGTTGAAGACGGTCCATTCTCGGCCTCCGAGGTCATATCAACGTATCCCCCGCTTAGTTCTGCGCATATGGAGGTGTTGGTTAGCGAGACTGTGTATGCTATTACGGCGATTGCGGGCCATGAGAATCCGCCATCGCGACATATCGTGGGACAGGAGGGCGTTGCTAGTGTGAAGGAGAAGCTTAAGACGGTCAGCGAAGAGCTGGAAGATTTTATTCAGGCAAGCTTTGCTGTGGACTATACTGCTGATGAGTATAGTCGGCCATCGAGGGAGGACGGTATTAGTTTGGGTATGGGAGCCGGTCATGATAGATTTTGAAGTGCGCATATTATGTGCAACATGGCGCTTTCTTTTGCATAGAATAATAAGTTTTATTATGGAAAGAGCAAACCCCTTGATGAGTCCGCGCATATCTATCACAAGAGCACTATCATGGATGACGAAGGCCTGGAGCCACTCTAGAGGAAAGAAAAGCACAAATGATCCAATGCTCTTGTCCATCCAGGCCGGAGAAAAAAGCAAGAAATGTATCGCTGAACATGAAAGAAAGGGCTGGCCATACTATTTCTTACGTTGGAACCAAGCCTGTCTGACCTCCCATAAGCTACCCATGTCCTGGTTATTCCTGTAGGCACGGAACTCTTTCCAAGCATTGCCATTGGGGCATTTGTCAATGCGGCCATCAACTTCTCTGATCTTTGTGGTAAGTGCAGTGAGCCCCCGAATGTTCTCAACCAAGATCTCATCTGTGTTGTCATCTGTGCTTTGCGCGGGCATCGACACCTGGGTGGATTCCTGAGTTGGTTCAGGGGCTGATTGAGACGTAATATCTGACGCTTCAACAGCATTTCTGGGTTTGACGCTTGTTTCTGCGGAGCCATCTGCACCCTCTGTGAGAGACACTGCCTCTGCACTTGTTGAAGGGCTGATAGTGTCGGCTGCAACATCAGTTGTAGTCTCGGTAGGCTCCGTAGAAGACGCTACTTGATCGTTTGGTTCTGGAGGCTGCGAACAATGTCTTTTGCAGTCACCATGTTCAAACTCGGATTTGCGTTTGTTAGAGGAGCCAGCCTCTGTTGTCTGACTAGTACGTGTATGTTCTCTGAGATCGGTTTGAGCAGCGATACTCTCTTGCTGTCCATCGACAGGCTCTTGACTTTGCTCTTGATTGCAGTCTTGGTTCTGGTTGGTCGGGCCTGAGAGAGCCGCGAGAAATACTCGCTGCCCAGGTGGCATGACGAAGCTCAAGCGTGTGCCGTCTATTCTCACAATCTATAGAGGTATCAGTAGCTGTATCACGTAGATAGTAAATAGTATATCGGGTTAATCACATACCCTGACTTCCTTTTCCACCAAAATCTTCTCAGAGCCTTTGGAGAAACATCGCGAATACTTCCACATATCACCTTCCTGAATAACGCCATTATCGGTCAACGTCTCCAGTTTTACCTGAGAGCTCTGCCCTGCCACGAGCGTTCGGTCCAATTTCTGTTTCTGTCCCCAGAATTGCTCGAATTCCTCCTCTTTGAACTTGTCAAACTTGCCTGCAGCTCTCTCCTGCATGGCCTGTTTGGCCTGGAGCTGCCACACCGGGTCATAGTGACCGTTCTCGAGATCGAGCTGGAAGTGACGGATACCGTCGCGCCATTCATTTGAGTAGCGTAGGAAAGACTGCGGGGGAGGGGGTATCTTCGCGTCGGGGTCATCAGGCAGAGAGCTAGGGTCTGGATGCGCGTTATCAGGGAGAAGATTTAGGATCTCTTGCTTTTCGCTTTCTTCGAGACATTCCCAAGCTTGAGGGTTGGCGAGCAGTTTCTAATTCTCCGAGTATCAGTATGTCATTTCAGGCACCTCAGCGGCAGAAGGCTGCGATATCCAGTGACAAGACGTACCACTAGATCCAGATTAACCAGCGGCGATTTCGCACTTGTCATTAGATGCTGCTCGTCCCATTGATCCTTCGCCCTCCTAGGATTCCGCTTCGGTTTAGCTTTCGTAGGTGACATCGCGCAGCTAGATTTGCCGGCATTACTCTGCTCGGTCGCTTTCACAGAGCGAGAGGAGCGGCTTCTGAAACATTATCAAGGTCAGCTTTCCATCAAAAGAATGACAGTCTTCCCAACGGTCGTCAAGTGCGTCTGACAAGGAGGAGACGCGAGCATGACTCTACCTCGTCATTGGCAGCTCTCCTGAACTGCCGGGGTCGACCGCCTTGCAAGTGCGGGCCATTGTTCCGCGGCCTGGACGGGAGATCTGGACAATACCCCGAACCACCTCCACTACACCAACAGAAGGCTGAATTGGCGAGAAGTTGGGGATTCTATCATTTCACGATGGTCAAATCAACGCAAATTGCCAGAATTGATGGTATGATGCAGTCCGAAGCTGTTCGCCGGTCATGCGTACGTTGCTGATGTTTCGAGACAGGCTTGATGCTGGCGGCATCAGTAGATGATGAACATGTAAGTTCGCAGCGCATTCACTGCGCACAAGTTCCTTTATGACTGACACTAGGTCCTTTGTTCTCTTCTATAGGCCGAAGTGGAGCTCTCTGAGATCAAATCTCAGGCTAAAATGATATTTCGTCGATTGAATCGCAACTCAGCTCCGCAGGCTAGCATTGAATCCGGTCAATTCAATCTACAGTACGTTCAATGCCTTCACCCCTGTCTGACGCATGCTTGCATGTTACTGATCGCCTGGATCAGCTATCTCATCCAAGATGACATCTGCTTCCTTTGCATATGCGATCGCTCCTACCCGCGCAAGCTTGCCTTTACCTATCTGGCCGATCTCGCAACCGAATTTACCACCACATACTCCCCGTCACAATACCAATCCCCAACTCTGCGCCCATACGCCTTCGTGGAATTCGATACATTCATTCAGCGTACCAAGAAGCTCTACCAGGATAGTCGCGCATCGCAGAATCTCGACCGTTTGAACGATGAGCTCCGAGATGTGACGAAAGTGATGACCAAGAACATTGAGGACCTTCTATACCGAGGTGATAGCTTGGAGCGGATGGGTGAGTTGTCGGGCCGTCTACGAGAAGACAGCAAGAAATACAGAAAAGCCGCGGTGCGGATCAACTGGGAGTTGTTGCTCAAACAGGTGAGTCCATCGCATCTGTATATAACGGCAGACTGTCGCTAATCTGTCACAGTATGGACCGCTCGCAGGTGTTGGGTTTATCTTCCTTTTCCTCATTTGGTGGCGCTTCTTTTAATTGCGGACAATGTGGCCCCGAAACTCGATACCCGCCAATTTGAATGTATGCATAGATAATGTGGTGGTTGCGCACCTCCCCCCTGAGCCAGAACTTCAATCGACTCTGAACAAGCATAAACCGAGCAGCTGGACTGTATAGCTTAATGGTTTGTAAGAGCATGGGGCGGATTCGGATCCTCCTATCACACAGGAACCGCGTCGGAAATGGAACCCCCATAACGGATGTTTATTATCCGTCAATTCGGTAGTATGGGTCGATAAGGGGGCGTTCCGATAATGACTTCGATGCCTGTGGATAAACCTAGATCTCATCTTCTTCTTCGTCGAAGTCATCTTCCTCTCCCATATCGTATAGAATACGCCCTCCCTCGCCAGGGCCGTCGCCCTGTTGTGCATCGAAATAGGGCAGCACCACGCCTTCTCGCTCTCGCCTCTGTCTGTCAGTAAGGCGAAGTTCAAACGTCGATTCGGGCTCCTCTTCCCCAGTGCCGGTGTCGGGCTCTCGTGGGCGGTACAAGGGATGGTCATCCAGCAAAGTCACGATCTCTTTCACGTGTTGGGGAGGGTAACGGGAAGCCGGGGGAAGGAAGTACCATTCTAGAACACCGCGACCACTCTTCCTCCGGTGTTCCAGCTCCAGTACAATCCCCTCTGCCGATTCATTCCCAGTCGGCTTATCCAATCTGCCGAGCAGCACACCATCCTGCTCTTCTTCAAGACCAAAGACAGGCGCGGCCAAACTCCGATCACGCGCGGCTTTCTGGGCTAGTATGTGGGAGAATGAATAAAGTCGGATAATCGTGGTCGCGAGGTATGTCAACATTGAGAGGGGTGAAGGCGCATAGGGCGACTGAGCAGGTGGGTTTGGGACATCATGATGGAAGTTTACCACGAGCGACACTTCGACCTTAGGAGCAGTGGGGCTCGACGGAATCAGGAAGGAGCTCAGAAATGTCGATAGATGAAAGTTCGGGTCGTTCTTTTTGGAATGTAGAAGCGGGTTGACGGCATCAATGAGAATGAGTCGCCCTGTCCTACATTAGCCTTGATATTGTTATGAAGCATGGGACAGGCATACTGCGGGAAGGGCCGTTCGAAGAGACGTTCTGATAAGCGGCGCCAACTGCCTTGAGGATCTCCAAAGGTGTCTTCCGGCGGGCGGAGATGAAGGCATCAACGCCCTCCAATGGCTTCAATGTTTCGAATGCGATCAATGTTATGTGGGTTTTCGAAAGCTGTCGCAACGGTCAGCAAGTTCGGCCAAGCAACGATGGTACAAGTAATTGTTAAAAGGCATTATACCATCAGCATTTCGAGTCTCTTACCTTTGCACGTCGAATATATTCTTTAGTCAATGGTGTTGCTGGCTGCTCTAGAGAGTCCAAGACCAATGTCAGCGGTGAGGCTGTATCTCTCAAGCTGAGAAGCTTTGAGATTAAGAGCAAATTATGTGTCTGTCTGTGAGAGGTGTTTGTGGGCGCCATGGCTAAGCAAGTAAGGGAGACGCGCGGCGGGATACCGGGAATGGGAAAAGTGAAGAAAATCGCATTTGGTTCGGCAAGGAAGATTGCGGGGTCTTGGGCGAGCTATGGAGGGGTTCGGTCAGATCGGGGCGCCGGAGATTTCCAATGAGCGATGTCGCCTGGTTTAAGCTCATGCTGTCGGCCCACCCTGCACTTTGCAGAGAGCCATACTCCGTAAATAGTACTTAGACACTTGCAGTGCAGGATGTAGAATCCTCCTCGGTACCACTCATAAAAACATCGGAGCAATTGTGGAATGCCCACGAAAAATCTATGAAGGAAGTCGGTTTCATGTTGTTCATGAGAAAAGCAGTGTGTTGCTGGAACTCCAGCAACTTCTCAGGTAGATACATCTTATCTGGATAGTGCCATGTCCGTATACAATCAATTGCCTGCGATGCTGATGGTTCGGCTGCTGGCATGTTCTCCGATTCCGTAGTGCCAGATGATGCAGACACCATGACTTAGATTTCATAGAGGCATGTCTGTCAATAGTATGCTCCTATGGCTCACTAATCGATCTGGATATCAGTACCTGGCTAGAGAGGACTTTGATTTGTGTCTTAGTTGCTGGTAAATTAAGATTGGAGTTAATTCGTGCATCAAGTACATGTACTAAGTATGTACTCCGTACCACATAGCCCAGGGAAACATGAACCTCTTGGCTTAGTAGTCTAAAAATATACCCGCAAAACCAATGGAGCTTGCTGCAGTAGTAGCAAACTCGTATCAACGATCAGTGTATGCACCAACTGGAGAGAAATTGCTTAGATTAAATACAACAGCGTATCCTCCCTACATCACTTTGAGCTCGCATAGAATGCTCCTATGAAAATGTCGGACACAGCCACTGTTCCTCCATAAGGATTTCCACATCCGGTTTATCGCATATCTGCGGCAACAATAAGGTGGCCGGGCATCGGTCACTGTCACGCTTACTTCTCTGGTTCCTCCACCTCAATTTATTCCCTCATTGGGTACTTCATAACTGTATGGATCGCTTCTACTATGAAGGCTCTGCGAGTATCTCACCTTTCAGCTCGCTGCCTAGCAAGTGGCGGGACTGGCACGTTGGTGGTTGTCTCATGCAATTCGGCTAGTCGCGCAGTAGGCAGAAACCGGCGACCGTAATAATCTTCATGCCTTCAATCTCGGGACCTCTCTTACGGTGCACTTTTCTCGACCTCAGTCAGGCTACAACCACTACCGATCCTGGTGATCTCTATCAATTGACACAATACTAGAGGGAAAAAGAACAGTAATGGCTTAATTACTTTGGAGAACTTCTGCAGTCGCCGCTTCTCCCCTACTTCCTTACCTTCAAACCACCTCTGCGGAGTCACACGTCCACAAAGAAAACACACTGCGTCAACGGAGCACCACACAGAAAACCCGATCAAACCATGACGGAACCACCTGCGAAGCGCGCTCGCCGAGTCGACAGTTCAGCAATGTGGGATCAAGATGACCAGAGGACACGTTCACCCGGACTAGAATCAGACCGTGCCAGAAGCCCCCGGCGGGAGCAATTTGCGAAGGATGATGGGCGACGCGATGGGCCTCGTGATGATCGGAGGTATCGCTCTCGCTCTAGAGACCGGAGAGATAGGCGACGAGATAGGAGTTGGTCGAGGGATCGCCGCGACCGCGACCACGATCGCAGAGACCGAGATAGAGACGGACGAGGAACGAGGGAAAGGGAAAGAAGTATCAGCCGGGAAAGGCACTACGATAGACGCGGTATGTTTTGAACCACCTATCAAAATGCACCTTCTAACATGTCATTAAGGCTACCCTTCGAAAGGGGATAGATACAGGTCGCGGTCGCCTATTCGGAACGGCAACAGAGACCGGTCGCGGACGCCACCTCGCGCTCCCCGGGGCGACCGCAGGAACGATCGCCGAGATCATAGAGCCCCGACTAACGGTGCTGCTGATGCGAAATCGGGAGCGAACCACTCCAAGGATGAGATGGAAGTGGATAGCGATGGACCTGCCGGAGAAGACGAGGTTGAGGAGATGATGCGCCGCAGCATGGGTTTCACCAGGTTCAGGAGCACGAAGAATACCAAGGTCCCTGGGAACAATGTGTATGGCGTCCGCAAGGAGAAGAAGACGGAGTACAGACAGTACATGAACCGCATAGGAGGATTCAACCGGCCGCTCAGTCCCTCCAGGTGACCAAGGCTATTTGCTTCGCTAACTACCTTAACGATATCATCCGCTGCCGTCCTTACCCTATTTTCGACCATCTACCTCTACCTGATTTCACATTCCTCTTTTTTTTCCTCTGTCCGGGCGGTATCAATTTTCATGCATGGTTGGAGTAAGATTTATGGCGGGCTTTGTTTTCTGTGCCTCTCGACGTTTCAAGCAAATAAGATACCTTATAAAACCTGTCTATATCCTTACAGTGGCTCTTACTTAGTCGCTCAAAACAAGGCAGATGTAATACAACCAAAACTTATCAAGATCCCTGTAGAAGTGTGGCACATGACCTGAGTGACGTGGGCCCCTCTTATTAAAGGCTTCCCCGACCCCAACTCTGGAAAGCACCTAACCCCCTCATCGTCTCATCATCTCACCATCGTGGCTTCCCTCAAAGCTTTAGCGTCTAAAATTGCACCATACCACAAGATGTCGACCTCTGGTGAGCGCCGTGAAATTGTAATCATTGGTATGTATGCGCTTGGATGCGCCTCAATCTACTTTCTTTACCCCGCACTGCCCGATCCGTGCTAATACCTTTCCCACTAGGTGGCGGTATCATTGGATGCTGCTCTGCCTATTATTTGACGAGACACCCATCCTTCGATCCCTCACGAGATTCGGTGACTTTGATAGAAGCCTCCGAGATCGCAGGAGGAGCATCGGGCAAGGCAGGAGGACTTTTGGCATTGTGGGCTTACCCAAGCAACATTGTACCGCTGAGCTTCCGGCTGCACGCGGACTTGGCTAAAGAACATAACGGCAAGGAACGATGGGGTTATCGAGAAGTCGGCTGCGGGCACGTCATGGTGAGAGGGCGTACCCTCAGTGAGAAGAAAGACACAAGCGGAATATCTCTACAAAAGCGAAGTGCCGATGCCATGGGGAAACTAAAAGCTGCCAAATTTCCTGAAGACCTAGACTGGATTGAACCTGAGCTGGTGAGAAGCTACAGGAGCATGGGTGATCCTGGGGAGACTGCGCAGGTTCATCCTTATCTCTTCACCACGTCCATCGCTAAGCTTGCCGAAGAGAAAGGTGCAAAGATTATTTTGGGCTCCGTTACCGACATTGTTCACACTGGAGATGCTGTCAACTCCGTGACGTATACCGATAAGAAGACGGGTAAATCGCACAATGTCTCTGCAACAGACGTGATTGTTGCTGCCGGCCCCTGGACGAGATCGATTCTGCCGCAAGCTCCTATCGAGGCGACTCGCGCACACAGTGTTGTTATCCGGCCCGTCAAGCCGGTCAGCGCGTACACCCTTTTCACTAATATCGATATCCCGGCCGACTTTGATCCGGAAAAGCCTTCCCGGCCTGATGTGGCAATGCCAGAGATCTACGCCCGCCCAGACGACACGGTCTATGCCTGTGGTGAAGGCGATGACGTCGTTCCGCTCCCGAAGACTACTGCGGATGTCGAGGTGGATCCAAAGCGATGCCAGGATATCATTAACTACGTCGGTAGCATCTCCGATCAACTCGGCAATGGTGAGATTTGCGCACAGCAGGCTTGCTACCTGCCTAATGTGTCTATCTCTCGCGTAGGTCCATTGGTTGGCCATGCTGGAACCAAGGGGTTGTACCTTGCTGCTGGCCACACATGTTGGGGGATCCAGAATGCGCCGGGTACTGGCAAGCTCATCAGCGAATTTGTCTTTGATGGCGATGCTAAAAGCGCGGAGATCAGCTCGCTCGATCCAAGGGACTACCTTTAGAATAGAGGCCTGTACTCGTATGTAGATAGGGACTTACATATATATAGTTCCCCTTAGCAGGAGCTTGTTGCATGCTGCAGGACCCATCGCCGGGAGGTGGAGCTTGGGCCACGTAATTTGCGGAGCGCAAGGCGGCCGTCCCAGCAGATGCCACATAGTAACAACGACGCGACATTTCAATGAATTGAACCGCACCGGTGTCGAGCATCCCCCTCCATGATCATCCTCAGTCCCTGAGGCTTGCATTTGATTTTGGATGCTTCCGACCTAGAAAATGCATCTCTCCAAGATATCCGCATTCCTAACACCGGCACTCAATGCCGCTGCGGTGATCTCCAGTCAAGCTCCGGCCGATGATCTCTCAGTCCTGAGCAACGAGGTAGCAAGGGCCAACAACCAGTCTTTACTATGGGGTCCTTATAAGCCGAACCTTTACTTTGGGGTTCGCCCTCGTATCCCGAACAGTATGTTCGCAGGATTGATGTGGGCGAAGGTGGACGACTATGCCACGGCGCAACAGAGTATGTGCCCGGACAATTGTATGCGATCAAGTCCCTACTGACTCTCTTTGAAGACTTTAGGCATACGTGCGAGCAAAATGAAGGCATGGCTGGGTATGGATGGGATGAATACGACATTCGGAAGGGTGGCCGCCAGACCATCCACGACGCTGGAAACTCCCTCGACTTGACAATTGATTTCGTGAAGGTCCCCGGAGGACAACATGGAGGCAGCTGGGCTGCTCGTGTGAAGGGTGTTCCTCGCGATGATGCTTCTCTTGATCAACCTACGACCGTCATGTTCTATACTGCGTTGGAGGGCCTTGGCAGCCTTGGTGTTGCGACCGACTCTGTGGATCCCCACGGCTTCGAAGGCGACGTGAAACTTTCTGGATTCACGACCGATCTTGGTGAATTTTCTATTGATGTTACTTCCGGTCCTGATAGCAATGAGCACCCGGAGCACGACCACCCTACCTATGAGGAGAAGCCCCTGGATCGTACTTTGGTGTCGAGCATGACTTTGCACCCAGAACAGCTCTGGCAAACGAAAGGTTCGACTCCTGTTCCTGGGTAAAGCAAAGCTGCGCCCTAAGGTCACAACCGCTAATGCGACATATAGTCATCATGTTCACACAGATGAAGAAAGAGGTTGATGAAATGGTCCAGAAGTATGGATCAGAGAACCCTCCCCCTCCGTACCAGATCTTTACCATCAAGAACGAACCCGGTGATGGGAACATGCATCTTGTGCAAAAGGTTTTCAAGGGCGCTTTTGAGGTATTTCGTGCAGCATCACCCGCCTGAGAGCATGACTTACCATTGCTAGTTTGATATCCTCTTCTCCTCTGGATCCGCACCACAGCCGATGACATGTGAGATATCTCCGCACACATAAACGGTCCTTTACTAACGATAGTCCAACTAGCTGAGATTCTCACTGAGCAGATCTCAAGCGCTTCGCTTGACTTCGCTGACCGGTTTGAGAAGGTCCACCCGCCACAGTCTCCCTTTGATACCGCGGAATACTCTGAATTCTCCAAGTCGATGCTCTCGAACCTTGTCGGTGGCATTGGATATTTCCATGGATCAGATATTGTGGATCGTTCAGCGGCACCAGAGTATGATGAGGAAAATGAAGGCTTCTGGGAAGAAGCGGCAGAAGCCAGGGCTAGGGTGCAGCCTGTCCTTGAAGGACCGAAGGATCTTTTCACCTCTGTTCCATCTCGCCCGTTCTTCCCTAGGGGCTTCCTTTGGGATGAAGGTTTCCACTTGATCCCAGTTGTCGATTGGGACACGGACCTCGCGTAAGTTCCCCTGGTTCAGGCTTGTCACCCCATAGCTTTTAAACCCACTAACCCAAAAAATAGACTTGAGATTGTGAAGAGCTGGCTCAACCTGATGGACGAAGATGGCTGGATTGCTCGAGAGCAGATCCTCGGTTCTGAGGCTCGCAGCAAAGTTCCGCCCGAGTTCACGGTCCAGTACCCTCATTATGCGAACCCCCCGACGCTTTTCATCATCCTCGAGGCATTCATCGATAAGTTGGATGCCAAGAAGAATGCTTCGATGCAGACATACGCCGATATCAAGGTTACAGATGGCCTCCGTTCTATCTTCGTCGAACAGCCGGAGTTGGGTGAAGCGTTTATTCGTTCGATCTACCCATTGCTCAAGAAGCACTATTCCTGGTACAGAAGTACTCAGAAGGGTGATATCAAGTCCTACGACCGGGAAGCATACTCTACTAGGGAAGCGTACCGTTGGCGAGGACGTTCGGTCCAGCATATCCTGACCTCTGGATTGGATGATTATCCCCGGGCTCAGCCTCCGCACCCCGGTGAGCTGCACGTGGACCTTATCAGTTGGATGGGTATGATGACCCGGGCTCTTCGTCGTATCGCCGTGACCCTTGGAGAGACGGAGGACGCCGAAGTTTTCAGAACTATCGAAACCGCCATCGAGAGAAACATCGACGATCTACACTGGGACGACGACGCGCAAACCTTTTGCGATGCGACTATCGATGAGTATGAGGAGAGTGTTCATGTTTGCCACAAGGGTTATATCTCCATCTTCCCGTTCCTGACAGGTATGTTGGGTTCGGACAGCCCACGCTTGAAAGCCATTCTGGATTTGATTGGAGACCCGGAGGAGCTCTGGAGCGATTATGGTATTCGCAGTTTGAGCAAGAAGGACGAGTTCTATGGCACTGCTGAGAATTACTGGAGGAGCCCTATCTGGGTCAACATCAACTACCTGGTGCTCAAGAACCTTTACGTAAGTCATGCTGATTTCATCCAAAATTCGCACAATAAGGCTGACCGTTTATTTTAGGATGTTGCCATCGTACCGGGCCCTCACAGGGAACAGGCCCGTGACTTGTACTCCAACCTCCGCAAGAACTTGGTTGAGAATGTCTTCAGGGAGTGGAAGAAGACCGGATTTGCCTGGGAGCAGTACAACCCCGAAACCGGAACCGGACAACGGACGCAGCATTTCACCGGCTGGACCAGTATGGTGGTGAAGATGATGTCGATGCCTGATCTGCCCGCCAGCGAGCAGAAGGGCCACGACGAATTGTAACCCTATAGAGTGAAGTGTGTATGGTATAGTTTAAGATATCCTAGAGTATCACCAAAGTCTGTACAATGTTAAATCCGAAACGCCGAAACCCCATGCGTATCAAGTTGCAGTGAGCTTGGTCTCAGCGTCGTCGATGATGGTCAGAAGAGTCTCTCTCTCTTGGGTAAGTGCGATGCCGGTCCTCTCGCTGTCTCCTGTGGTCATCATGTTTCCTGTCTCTACTCCTGGACCGTGAGCGTGAGCGCCTTCTCCTGTGGTCATGATCGTGGTCACGATCGCGGTCACGATCGCGCGACCTAGATCTGCGGCGATGACTCCGATGATGACGCTCGCGCTCATCACCATGTCTGCGATGTCTACGCTCCCGCTCCCTATCCCTGTCTCTGTCACACGGGCGATCTCGCTTCCGGTCCCTTCCCGGGCTTCGACTACGGCCGCCACGACGGGACGGGCCATACCCAATGCCCTTCCCTGTTCCGTCCTCAGGGTCTTCTCCAGCGGTATCTTGTAGCGTTTTTTGAACCTCCTTATCTCCTAACGGAACCAAATTGGCGTTTTCTGAGGCCTTCGGTGGTATGGGAAGACCCAAAGCTCGTGCCATCGCTTCTTCCTCCGCCTCCTTGACGTGCTGTTTTTCCTCGCGCTCCTTCCTGGCCTGGTCTTCGTCGTCACCGTCCCCTCTTGCATACCAGAACAGATCCTTGCCATGCTGCCAGCGACCAACAGGGGCCATGACCGAATGGCCGAGATAGTTCTCGCGGTGCGTGGAATCTTTGACATCGGACCATTTGAAATCGCCGCGGCCGCCGCTGGAAGGAACAGATAGGTTAGGAGATCATCGGCAAAGAGGCAAGTGAGGTGGAAAACAAACCGGCTGCCCTCTTTTCGAACCCCTGCGACTAGATCCATTGTGACTGGGATTGTCTCGACGAAAAGCCGTCGTTGAGGTGGCAAGAATGAAGTGGGAGTAAAGCTGAAGCTGCGGAAGAATGGCAGGTGGCACGTGCGCCGCCGGGTGCCTGAGGGCTGAGGCGGCGAGAACGGGGCTGGGGTGACTTCATACCATCCATTCGCTCTGGCTGCGGTGCCGATCGGGGATTGCGATCAGTTTCAGTGTGAAGCGGTACAGAAGACTCGGAGATTGCTTGTATTCTTTGGCATGAACCGTCAATAGGACTTTGACTTCCTCCGCCGCTCTGGAAAGCAGCCACGGCCATCCTTCGACTCCATGTGATGTCACCTCGATTGGATCTCTCCAGAACTACCCCTCGACGTCGTTGAATGTCGGTCCTTTTGCCGCCCTCACTTCCCCCGATCCGTCCTCCTCAACGTGAATGGTTGGTCGTCGGAGTTATACTTTGGCGTACCTTGTCCTTCCCTTCTAACGCATCTTCTGGCGTTTGCAACTGCAGCTCGCCAAGATGGCGTTCAGTAGCGACGCTGGCAGACAGCCAAAACCCCGGCCCCGCGAAGGTCTGCAGCTTCGGCCTTTAAATGTCGAGAAAGGGTCCAAAAGAGTATGTGTCTATCCTGCTGTCACTATATAGGTATGCTGACCCGCTTTCAAGTACTCTTCGTATGTTCTCTGCTGCCGTGATCCGAGACGCTGTCCGTGAGCGATGCTGAACGAAATTGCAGCGCAGATGATACTTTCCCTCCGCAGACCGCAACCTGGAGGAACAACTTGGTATTCCCTTTGAATTCCTTGCCTCGTGTTCAAGTTCGCTAACCTACCTGAAGCTTGCGCTTTCCCAGCGTCGGAATCTGTTATTCGTCGCCTACAGTCACCAGATCTATGTCTGGGAACCATCTGGATCATTTCAGGCGTTGGGAAACAGGCCTGAGATGATCATAACCCCAGTAATGAAAGAGCCCCACGGCAGTGGTTATATCGCACCAGCTACGCCACACGCAATCAACAATCTCCTTGTGGATGATCTAGGCCGCGAGGAGGTGCTGCTACTTGTCACGGATTCCGGCAATGTTTGCGGTTATCGGGTCGAGGCCATATTTTCCGCCTTGAAGCGGGCGGCGGCGAATAAGGAAGAACGACCCCTCGATGGCTCTCAGGTGGATCCCTTTTTTGTGGAATATGTGGAAGCCAGTGCCTGGGGCTTGGCCATCCATAAGTTCGCCCGTCTCATTGCTGTGAGTGCGAACACGGGTCTCATCACCGTGTTTGCATTTGCGCTTGTCAACCCTGCTTCTGGGGACAACAGTAATTCGAGCTACCATCCAGAAGACGACGACGATGTTGCCGATTACGACCAGACCTGGCTGGACATCAAGAATAAAGACCAGTTCGTGCAACTGCAACACTTGATGCCAGACAAACATCGCACGCGAAACATCAAGCTGACATATACTGGCCATTTCGCTAACATCCCTTCGGTTGCCTTTTTAAATTGCGGTCTTGATCCCAATGGCAATTGGATGGTTAGCACGGACATCGATAATAAGCTCCTTACTTGGAGAGTCTGGGATCACCTTGGCCCATTCAGCGTTAGCCATTTCAACGATATCTCCTTCAAGTTCTTCCCGGAGACACTACGTAACGAGTACGACATCTCCCAGCTTCGCCATTGATCCTTTTCTATCGCTGACTAGTACAGCAGTGAGCGTGGCTGGACTGTACTTGCCCTCGACCCGCGATCCTTCCATCGGGTCAAGACAGCAGAGGAAGCTTGCGGCGGCGCACCTCAACGGCGTATGAAGAATGGCCGAACCATTTTCGACCTAACTAGAGCCAGCAGTCGGATACCCAACGCCTCGCAGATATACAACTACTTCCCGCCTGCAGTGAAGGTTGAAACGGACGAGCCAGTTTTACCTGACATATTCGGACCCGATTGTTGTATAAGCAGACGAAACAGCGCTTCCCAGGTCGTTTGCGCCGACGGCTCGCCGGCGGTACTTCGTCGGAATCCAAGCGATGTCACGTCCACGGAATATTTGGATACCAACGGATTTCCTACGACAGCTCGCGGTATCCGTCCTTCGGATTCCGCTGATACATTTAGCCACCGGGCCGTCAACGGTTCTGTATATGGGGACGACTTGAGCCGCGACGGCTCTGACTTGAATCTGAGCACGCATACTACAGGAGGTAATAGACGCTTCCAGCCACTAGGCGAAACAGATCGGCGAGCTGATACTTTTCCTTTCAACGTGGTGCAGGACCATTGACAACGCCGGAGTTCCTTCAATTCGCGCTCATTGAAGCTCTTGGTGGCGATGCTCCCGATACCGAATACTACGACGATGACGACATGGACAACTACTTGGTTGAGGACACTTACAGTGATGACCAGGAGCTGAATAATGCAGATAATAGTTCTTGCGATGATAGCGAGATATCAGCGATGGCATCAATCCCGCACCCAGCTTTTCATCGTATGTCGAAATCCTTCCTGATGCCCGCTCCCTGTGACATCTCCAAGGTACTGATGGCTCTGCTCTGAATCCAGCAAGCTCGAAGTTTCCCATTCTTCACTTCTCACAAACAGACATTCGTCTAATAGCCCATCCATTCGCGAATCATGCCAGAGTCGTATGCGGCGACCCTCTACGACAACCACTCACCCACCCCATCGTCTCGATCCGAGCCTGCGATCGCTTCAACATGGTCAAGTACATCCCTGAACATGGTATTGTGATTGCCGCCTCCCAAAAAGGCCGTGCAGCCGTCATCGCCCTCACGGAATCCGAAACCACTGGACAATCATTCCGAGTCGACTGGATCGTTCCTTTCGAGAGTCAAGAAAAATACGGCGACCGTCCGCTCATTCCTCTCTTAGGCATGAGCGTCAGCCCCATCCAAGGATTTGAGATTCCACCCGACGTGCCCTACATCCCCCGGGACGTAAAGGCCAGCGACCTCACCTTCCAATTCAAGTACATGAGCCACGACGAGCCCAACACCTCTACACCAAGCAGCATGATACTACAACCCAACCACGTCAGTGACGAGACCACCTACCCCCCAGCCGAGCCCTCTGCACCCAGTGAACCCGGCAAAGACAGCCCCCAACAACCTCCACTCACGTTACCCGAATGCCACGCCCGGGCAACCGGTGCGTACCAGCCCGAAGAAAGCTGGCGCGGGTGGAACCCATCTCGTCACTACCGGTTAATGCTGATGTACGCCGACCACACAATCATGAGCTACGAGTTCTGGTACAATTGGAACACAACAGATACTGGTCCAAACGGGCAAGATCTCAACGAGGAGGATTACCTTCTTGTATAAACTCTCCCACCTGACTTCCCCTCCACCCTAACCCTCTTTCTCTTGAACAAAGAGAACCCTCGTGCATATTACGATAGATCCGGAATGGTAGTCCTCTAAAAAGCTATTGGGCGTGGATGTATATCATCGCATTGCATTTGGATAGGCGTTCGGAACGAGACTTGTTGTTGAAGCGCTGGATCCCCCCGCTCCCCTCTACCCTCGAAGTTTGTGGGTCTAAAATGGTTTCTTCTTTTTGGTTTTCATTTCGGGATATTGCCCCAATAACTGTATGGTTTTATATATACTTGAAATTGTGGATGTGTTGTTTATATGGGTTTAGGGTTACTCCTTTATCTCTTGACGTGTATGGGAAACGTGAACACTCGATTTCGGATGTAAGAGATGATAAGGTTCTAGTCGATGGATAGACGGGTGAAGGGATGCTTTTGAACAGAGGAGTCATGATATACATGGATGTGATGTAGGGATACTTAACATAGGGTGGGCAATTGATGAACGCAAAAGGGAAAGCGATGCAAGAGGATGAAACAATGATGCCCAAAGCCAATAAACGGTCCGCTAATACAGAATGCAGAATGCATGCAGAGTCATCAAAGTCATAGTTATATGGCAGTTTCGGAACGTACATGAGTCATGACACGAGATATCCCTGCAAGAAGGATGAGGGATATCAAAAAGTATGTATTAGAAGAACCCGATACTTTTGGGGAACTGGAATTGGTGTGGGAGAGCGACGCGTTGAGGGGTTTGATGTTGTGTAATAGGTGTTGCTAAGGAGATGCTAGAAATCGTCATCTAGCTCGTCACTGTCCCATTCGTCTTCCCGGTCATTTTGGACCAAGTCCAGAAACCTTTGGAGTCCTGGCCGTCGGACTTGGAGAGGCTCTGCATCTGGACGACGACGAACCTCGGCCATTGCTCGTGCTTGAGCCTGTCTTTCGGCTGCTGCTGCCCGACCGGCTGCGTCTAGGTCGTTGGCGTTGTTTCCACGTGGGCGATTGGCCCCAGCTGCTGCGTTGTTGACTCTTGGAGGCACTGGGGCAGGGGGTGGAGGTCGTCTTCCGAGCTCCCATGCCACAAGATCCTCGTCGTCACTACCATCGTCGAACTCAAGCAGTTCGTCTGGTACTTGATGCAAAGCCGCAGCTCCATCGGGATTGATACCATCGCCACCCTCCAGATCCCACAGTCGGTTGAAGCATCCACTGTTGATGTCGTTGAAGTGCCGATATGGATTATCTTCGCAGAGCCAACTAGAGCAAAGATAACAAAAGTGTGTGTCACACTTGAAGCATTTCATATGGTTGCAGCCCATCTGCTTCTGGCAGGGAGCATTGCATGTCGGACAGGCTGAGGTGTATAGACGCAAGTAATCTTCTGTTGCTTTCTCCTCCGCCGATAACTCCGCATCCCGACGCGGAAAGCAGCGTACTAATTCGCCATGCCAGCCCTTCTTACAAACACAGCAAAAGGCGTAATTGCAATCTTCACAGATTGCCACCCGATCGGCCATTGGTGGCAGCTGAGCCTCATCTCCAAGAGGGTCGAACATGGGTCCATCTTCATCTTCGTCATCGGAGGCGTCGAAGTTATCCGCCATTGGATCCGCAGGCTTAGGGTGCTTCTTTGAGCGTGCCGCGCCTTGACACCATTGTCGAGGACAATACACAGTCGACTTATCTGCCTCGAGCTTTTTCTTCCGTTTCAGAAATACATATCGCTGCACTATATCTTGCTCCAAGGGAATTTGGAGGAGCTCGCTAGGGCTCAGGGTTCGGTCCTGTTTTTTGCGTTTCTTCACTTGGACGTCTGCAGAGCTGAGATTCGGCTCTTTGCCACAGTCAGGAGCCAGGCACTTGACACCTTCGACGTCGCCCTCCGTTATACAGGTGTTGTAGAAGTCTTGGAGACATGAGACACAGAAGACATGCCCACAAAGTACAAGTCGGTGGCACATTGTCCCCTTCTTGGGCTCCAGACAGACTCCGCACTCGAATGTCTCTTCTTCGAACTTCTCGCGCTCAGCCTTGTTGTTGAAGTCTAGCAATGCGATCTTCAACTCACGGGAAAGTTGAACTTCACCGCCGGACATGTCTCCAACACCAAAAGCCGACTCTCCCAGTTGCTGGAGATGGTCAATATATGTATATACCACGAGGTCTTTCCCACATTCCTCCCAGAGGCGCTTCCCATCCTCCAAGAGACTCGAGACTATTGAGGGTGGTAGCCATGGTGGGCTTGTTTCCAGCCTGAAGATGGGTGGTTTTTCGGAAGGATAACCTTCGGGAAGTTCAATCTCGAGACCGAGGGTGGGAAGATGTGAGAGGACGTGAACATCCCGATTGAGACCAGCCGTGGGATTTTGTTCTCCGGCCTTGAAAGGAAACCCAACTTCGTTGGCATCAATCGAGGTCGGGGGAGTCAAAACGGCGGGGAACTCTGCCTCCGATTGTTGCTGAAAACACACGCGCAGTGGGGCAGAAGGCTTGACTGGTATGTTGAGAGATGCTTTGAAGGGAGACGAATCGTCTATCTTGATCTCCGGGTAGATGGCAGCAATGGTCGATAGCTCCATCGAGCGATCATCTTCAAGAAAGGGTTCCAAGTCTGTCATGGTGTATATAGTTGTTACAGTGTACGGAGCGGATCAAAGGCGACACGATCTCTCGATTGATCGATATGAACTGGTCGAACGTGGTGGGTGGCAAGGCCTGTCGGCGAAGCGATGCCGGGGCGGTATAGCCGCAGTATATCGCAGGAATGGTCAGACTTTGGATCTCTCTATGGCATTCATTCCTCTGGAGGGCGATAGAAAAAAAGGGTAGAGCGGTGAAGGGAGGGTGTAGAGGGGGGGAAATAATTAGGAATAACTAGTCCATGGATCAGCAGGTAGCCAGAGGAGATAGTTTATAAATCAGGAAGTCTGGTGGCGGAGGCCCGGAGGAATGCACCTTTCAGGTACGGCAGATGTTCGCGGGCCAGACAATAGTCATGGAGGCAGTGGAGCCGATGGACGAACACAAGAGGAAGAGGCAGGACGGGACTGAAGCAGAAGGCAAGATGCGTCTATTCTAGATGGTAGTACAGGTATGCAGGAGGGGAGATCAGAAGGAGGTTTGGGGGAGAAGTGCGTCATGGTTTGGAAGAACCCGAGATAAGAGAGAGAGAGAGAATCGGAGTGGGGAGATGAGCAGCCGAAACGGGAAGAAAGCAGTTGCAGAGGAAGAAGAGGAAGAAGAGGAAGAAGAGGAAGAAGAAGAAGAAGAAGAAGAAGAAGAAGAAGCTAAAAGGCTGGCTGAGACTGGACTCCTGAAGAAAGGAAGGACATGTTTGTGTGGGAAAGATGGGAAGGGATGGGCATCAAGCACGGGATTATTTGCTGCCCAGTCTGAGGTGGTCTCAGAGGATGACTGGAAAGAATCCGAAATTATCTGACGATTATTATGGAAGGTTTCTCGATTGTTCGTTGGTTCTTTCCGACTGGATGACTCGCTCCCGGCCTGAGGCCACGCCTTCCATCTTCGTCCATGTTCCCCTCCCCCTCATTTCCCTCGCCGCTTTGGCCGTAGCCCAAGGCGGTCACTACTATCTCCAAAGCGGCACTACCGGTCGACCCACATGGCGACTGATGACCCGTGACCCGTGACCCGTGACCTTTCCCCCTGCTAGCCTGCTGGTCTTAGCTACATCTTTGTCCAACAATCCACCATTCTAGTTAGAAGCTTACCGATATGATCAGATCCCCCGCCTCGGGATCGTTCTAGAACCACAGCTCTCACTCGTTATGTGTGTGTGCTAGTTCTCACCTGATCTCTCATTCAGTTGGGCCCGTGCTGCCAGCTGGTCTTGTAATTCTGGGTAGCTTCTTGTCCTTGCCCCGTCGGCCCTCCGGGAACTCCCCAGAAAAAGCATAGAAAAAGAAAAGATACGGTCCATATTGCGGTCCCCTCTGATGTTAGAGTCTGTCAAGATGGCTGATGTACCATTGGCATCCTTGTCATTGACCCACGTCCACTACGTAAGTCGCCTCATTTAATGCCCCTTTATAGCCAGAGTAGTCAGAGTTCCGACTCTGGGGAGGAGTTAACCGAGTATATGTATCTGTTATAGAACCCTCACGATCCACTCTCTTTCCTGTCTGCCTGGCTTGCTCTGGTGCCACAGGCACTGTGCGTGGGCTATGTTACCCTCATCTGGGCTTCAAGGGAGGTTGAAGTCGTGTTGATGTTTGCGGGACAGCTGGGCTGCGAGGCACTGAATTTTGTGTTAAAGCGGATTGTCAAAGAAGAGAGACCAAAGCGTATGTGGACTGGACCAACCTCTTTTTTTTTAACGCTGACTGGGACTATCGACTTCTAGAAATGCTAGGTAAAGGATATGGCATGCCATCTTCCCATTCCCAGTTCATGGCCTATTTCGCGGTTTATGCAGGACTTTTTCTCATTTACCGACATAACCCGGCTTTGACGCAATCGGAAGGGACGTTTCATTTCTGGGTGCGAGTGTTCATCGCTTTGGTGCTGTGCATTGGCGCCAGTGCAGTGGCTGTTAGCCGTGTTTACCTCAACTACCATACCCCCAGGCAGATCCTAGCAGGGTGTGGCGCGGGAGTAGTATGTGCGTTCTCTTGGTTCTTTGTCACCAGGCTTTTACGGATCCATGGGTGGATCGACTGGGCTTTGGACCTGGAGGTGGTTCGATACTTTCGAGTGCGAGACTTGGTGGTAAGTGAAGACCTTGTCGAGGCCGGATGGCAACGGTGGGAAGCAAAGCGGAAGTTGAAGCGGAAAGGAAACAGTGATCGGACGTCATCGAAATCCAAATAATCGATGGTCTTGCATAAGGTCCGACTTCTGTTGATACCCATAGATTTCATTGTTCATATAATGTGCAGATACTGTTTGGTGCATGCAATGGATAGTACTGAGGCTTTGATACAGCGTTGATAATTTACGCATCTGGCTGCATGTTCAGAAGGTTCAGTACTATTTTGGTTGAGTGGTCCATGCCAATATATATATTATGAACGAAAGCTGGTCTAGAATTACTACTAAGTACTGTAGGTCTCCACCTTGAGAGGGAAGGAACATTAAGTACGAGACTAGCCAAGCGTATATGACACATACCATTCTCTTTAGATCTATTAAAAGTCTCCTCTCCCTTCATACTACCTACTAGATACCCCATGCCGCGTTGAGTGAAGAGGGGCAAAGAGAGGCTCCACTTCGAGGGGTTCCTCGCACGTGACCGCCAGCTCCCGCGGATCGACGGCTTCCCCAAAGTCATCGCGTGGTCGTTGTCTATCACGAAGACTGCGGAGGACCGCTTCGTAAAAAACCACTCATAGACACTATGTGCCCCTTTCTTGACTGAATCACTATGTTGGATAGCCTCTGACATCGCCTGACCCCATCATCTCTAGTCGATTGGACTTTCTTATCTCTGTTTACTTCTTCCGGGGCCCCCCTGTTCACTTCCAACTGATACCCTTGATTTGTTTATAAACACACTCTTCATTATCTTTCTGTGCTTTTCGACCTTAGAGACGTTTAGTCACAACATAACGCGAAAATGGATGATGCATCGGAGCCCGCTGACAATGCTATGCAAGAGCATCATATTGTCAAGGCAGATGAAGTTGACCAGACGGGAACGGACATCAGCCCTGTTTCAGATGATCAGCTAATGGAGGAGGTAGCTGAGGGCTTACGACAGGAGCAGTCACAACAGTCACAGCAGAACACATCTGCTGCTCCTGAGGAAGTACCAGTTGAGACTCGGAGAGGTTCCAAACGCCCTGAGCTGCGTCGGGACGCTGCTGCCCCGCCACCCCCTCTGCAGCCTCCGCCTCCAGCTCCGGTTCAGCAGAATGCAGAAAGGCCTCCGGACTCACTGAGTCTTGCTCAACTAAGGCTGCTGGTTCAGGAGATGCCGAAGGTTGAGCAGCCCGCATATGCGTTCGAATATGCCGATTCTCAACCGTTCGCCGAAGAAGTCGAAGAATGGTTCCAGTACAGTGAGTTTGATAGGGTCATGCTCATTGGCATGAAGTCGTCATTTCAACTCAGATGGAATTCTTTTTGCGATGATCAGCCTGCGGACGTTTCCCCGCAGTCTTGGCTTGCCACCTCTTATGATTTACGAAAGACGTTTATGAGCCAACTTATTAATACCTTAGAGGACCGTGCAGTTTTGGTCCGAATTGAGGCCTTGGAGGCTCTTTGCTATACCTTGACCGGTGTCTGGGGCGCTACGGCTGGGCGAGTTGTGGATGACCTCTCGGAAGGCGGTTCTCAGCCAGGTGCCGAGATTCCCGAAAGTCAGTCACTACAGATAAAGTGGATTGAACAAAACGTCGCCCTGGTCCATGAATGCTCGGGACTTCAACCGCTGGTGACCTGTTTGTGCCGTGTCTTTGAGAGACATCGCCAGTCATCCGCGGTGGACTCGGAGAGCGCTGGGCAAGAGGGCGTCAATTCTGCATACATTGCTGCTTTGGAGCGAGAGGCAAATTTGGTGTTGACAGCTCTCTATCTGGCTGTGGAAGTTGGTCGGAAGCAAGACGCTGTTGATCCCCAGAAAGCCCCTCTAAGGGATACTCTTATGGGCCTGGAGCCAAATCTACTGGTGTTTCTGGTGGAGATCATTGCGCGGTTGCGATGGGACGATTCGGCCAATGTTCCGCTGACCCGGGTCATTCTCCTGTTTTGGAAGACTTTGCTCCTTTTCTTTGGAGGCAGTAATAAATTGAAGGAAGCCAAGGAGTTACTAGAGCCGTCCCTCAAGGCGAGGGAGAACGCCTCTCCCCGAAGGACTCCGTTCCTTACTGCCTCACCTTTGGATTACCACAACTTTCGACAGGAGATTACGTCCAAATATCCTGCCTATAACCCGCCGCCCCCTGTGGTTCCTCTAGAATTAGAAAATAATTCGATTCTTCCACCGCTTCCGCAACACCCTAGCAGAGTGGGCTCTTCCAACGGTCCCTTCTCGGGGGTCGGCCCTTCTGTGACAGGTGGCAGTGGCTCAATCATCCATCATCCTGTTCACATCGCTACACCAGCACCTTCTCCTCCACCATCGCCTATTGGTCCTGGCGGTAAAGCCGGAAAGAAGCAAAACTACCAGACGAACCAGAACTTTCCTTTCATGTATCCCCCTCTAGACGATTCGAGTAATGACCTTGGAGGAAAGGGCACGACTGAGCTGCAAGATGCTCTCGTAGGACAGAAGTGGCAGGGTAGTGATGTCCCGGCTTCTATCATTGAGGCTGGGAGGCTTTTCTCGACACATGTCAAAATGACCAGGGCAATGCGGCAACTCTGGGAGGAGCGGGAGCGTTTCATGAAATATGACCGCGGCTGGTACGCTGATGATGGCCATCCATTCTCAGCCGAGAATCCAGTTAGTGGACTGGCCGATGAGCTGCAGGACCTGAATTTTCCGGAGAGGGAGTCTAGCGTTGACAGCTCCCCGGAGAGAGAAACGGACAATGCGGACATCCAGCGACGCCTAGATGCCGTCGAGTCGTTTTATGTGAGTTTTTTTGCTGGCGCGGGAAACAGAATGATAACTGACAACTATGCAGAGACAAGCACTGGTGCATCTGCAGTCGATTACGATAGTCTTCCTCAAAATCATCCTAACAAACGTCAGCGCCATGGTCAACCAGGCTGCTCAGGCCATGGGGTATGCATGCAACTGTAACTGATGGTTTAACGCGTGCTAATGTTCCAACCTTAGTGATGGTTATGGCTCGGTCAACGGGTTTCCTGCCAATCATCCGAACGGTCACATTGATTTGAATTCCGAAGCCGCGATAGATGAACTCGACAACATCCGGCTCCGGGAGATTACCGGAAAAGCGATCTCTGGTTCTCTCCTCCTGCTTGTCAAGTGGTTCAAAAGATCTCGTAAGCTACTCCGGTCTGGTTGTGCTGGAAGGGAGCGCTGATAGGCACCAGATATCCTGAAGTTCGAGTATATGACGCAGTTGCTGCTCGACTCCAACTACTTGCCGTTGATTCTGAAGATGTTTGCCCACCAGGATGTGGACCAGGCAGTGGCGCAGAAGAATGACCGGGAGGAATTGGGGTAGGTGCTTCCTCGTGATGATCGCCTAGATATACTGACAAAGGAAGTTTCTTCCGGTTTTGCCATCTTCATTCGAATCAGCCACCCGAATCGACGACCGACTTAGACGAAGACTCGTCACCTAGCGACGACGAGGCCGTCCCTCCACCTATTACCCGGCATCGACAGGATACCGACACCTCAGTGCGAGGAGTGTTACCCGACGTCTCCATTCCGGAGTTTGTGGAAGGGCCTCATCGCCCGGAGGTTGACGAGCTAGGATATCCTACCGCACCACCGCCGAAGGAGCCGATCACGGTGTTCTCGTTCCGCAACTTTTTCTCTGCCATCAATTACCTCCACATCATGCAGAAGATTACCCGCGACAAGGCCCACCGATGCCTTCTCCTTGTGCAATACAAGTCTAGCACGATCCTTCGCAAAGGACTAAAGATACCCGATCCTCATCTACGTTTCTACACGCTCAAGCTCTTCAAATCGCAGGTGCCATACTGTGGTCGCAAATGGCGACAGAGTAACATGCGCGTGATCACGGCGATCTACCTGTACTGCCGCCCAGAGCTCCGCGATGACTGGTTGTCTGGAGGAGATATCGACTCGGAAGTTGAAGAAGCGCTGCCGCTGGAACAGGCACTCCGCGGGCTGACACACTGGTGGCACCTGCGCCGGTACAAGGACGTGATGGGTGGCGAGGAAGGCGCGTCGCTCATGGAAGAAGAGCGAGATTTCTTCGTGCGGGAACTCGAAGCGATGGGATGGGGAGTAGCTGGTGAGGAATCGTTTGGGGGCAGTGAGGAAGCTGAGATGGGCGCTGGCGGGCCGATGGTGAACGGCACCGAATGGGACGGAGCTCCACTGCAAATGGAAGGATGGTGATGGACTCGTTACATACGACATCTAGATGTCGACATCACGTTTTGCTGATCCGACAGGCTAGCTTCAGACGAGTGAATACATACAATATTATACCCCAATAGACCTGTACAACGCACCGGAAATATTGCCCGGCTGAAGATCCGAGCATTTGAAATAGTGAACGGACGATTGAGCGCAAGCCTGCCACTGCTTATCGATAAGCGGTGGAGACCACGTGACCAATCACTGCGGCAACTTTTTTTCGCGGCAGAAATCATCACTTAGATCCAGGCCAGACTTTTCTCCCCAAGCCCCCGACAAATTGAGCGTTGCGGGATAAACCACCGCCCGAAAATCCATCAAGATGTCGTCCGACGAGATTGTCTGGCAGGTGATCAACCAGCAATTCTGCGCCTACAAGCTGAAGTAAGTTCCCTGCGTCCGTTCATCCGTCCGCCTGATGAAAAATTTCCGCGGCATCCAAACCCAGCAATATCAAGCCCAACAAGGGAACCTCCCAATATCGAGAAAAAATCCTCACTTGAAAGTAACAACTAACCTCCGACCCCACAGAACCACCAAAAACCAAAACTTCTGCCGAAATGAATACAACGTGAGCGGTCTCTGCAACCGGCAGTCCTGCCCTCTGGCCAACTCCCGGTACGCGACGATCCGGTCCGACCCGGAGACAGGCGCCATGTACCTGTACATGAAGACGGTGGAACGGGCGCACATGCCGAGCAAATGGTGGGAGCGGATACGGTTGTCGTCGAACTACGCGAAGGCTTTGGAGCAGCTGGACGAGCGCCTGATCTACTGGCCGAAGTTCCTGGTGCATAAGTGCAAGCAGCGTCTGACGCGGCTGACGCAGGTGGCGATCCGGATGAAGAAGTTGGCGAAGGAGGACGAGAGACTTGGGGAGGCGGTTGTGGCGAAGTTGGCGCCGAAGATTCGGCGGAGAGAGGAGGCTAGAGAACGGAAGGCGGAGAGTGCGGCGAAGATTGAGAGGGCGATTGAGCGCGAGCTGATTGAGCGGTTGAGGAGTGGAGCGTATGGTGATCGGCCGTTGAATGTTGAGGAGGGCATTTGGAAGAAGGTGCTCCGTGGTTTGGAGAGGAGTGGAGAGGGTGAGCGCGATGAGGATCTGGATGATGGGGAGGAGATTGAGGAAGAAGAGGAAGATGAGGAGGGTGTTGGGCAGGTTGAGTATGTCAGTGACATTGATGAGGACGACGAGGATTTGGAGGATATTGAGGACTGGATTGGTGGGGAGTCGGGAGACTCGAGTGATGATTATGATGAGAGTGAGGAGGATGAGAACAGTGAGGATGACAGCGAGGAGGACGACAGCCACCACAGCGAGGAGGAGTCGAAGAAGCCTAAACCTGGTTTCAAGCGGAAGCGTCCTGCTCCTCAGATCAAGCCGAGGAAGAAGGGTCCCCGTGTTGAGATCGAGTACGAGACCGAGGGTCCTGGCAAGGAGAGTGTTCTGGCTTGAGGGGTATGAGGCATTGAACATAAAAGCAAGGGTTCCTGTTGCTGCTACTGCTGCTGCTTTCGTGTACTGGGTGGCGTTGTCTGGTTTAGAGTGTTTCTGTTTGATACTGTTGATTTCTGCTGCGATCGGGCATGCATACCCCGCCATTGCATATATCTATCTACTTTATACAGGAGTTCCTGGTGTTATGTTGTTGGTCCTATTGGTGGTTGTTATAGTGTACCGAGCAGAACGAGGGCTCTGCTATGCTGTGGAGAAGATCCACCAGTTGGCGGTGCCAGATGGAAGATCCAGGGACCGGCTCACGTGGTGTGGCGGGATGAAACCGAGTGGATCGCCAACATGGCAGTAAGTCAAGTCAATCAATGTCAAACCTCCCCTCAGGGGTGCACCAAACCTCCTCTCACCTCTCCTCGCTGGTCGGCTCGAGATACCGTGTTCGATCTCACCTTAATCCTAGACCGCTGCAGCTTAATTCTCGGCTCTTGTCGCCTGGGACTGCTCACTCCCGCCAACTCCGCATCCTCCTGTCCTGACGCTCGATACCCCACTTGAACACTCACCTCCTTTTCTGGGCCAACACTCTCTCCACGTCGATCAGTAAACAGAGTCAGCACCATGTTCTCATCATTCACCTCTTCGTCGGCCATCTCGAACCTGGGCACCCGACTGCGTCGAGCGATCCACTTGGGCGACGAGGCGGACGACCCGGATCACGAAGACTGCTCGCACATCTCGAACGTGCTGCGCGCCTACTACACGGAGAAAGCGCGGCCGTTTCCGGGATGGCTCCCACCTGACCCGAAAGCGCCAACACCGGCACCAGGGCGGGTCATTGCTACGACTCAGATCCAAGCAGGCGGCGGCGGCGGCGCCCCAGCAACGTCGGCGTATGGACGCGGTGGCGGACTGGGAGACCTGTGGGGGGACTCGGGTTCTGCGATGCCCCCGACGTCGCAGACGGCCAGTCTGCGTCGAGGCCGACTGGCGCCCGGCAATAGTATGGGGGCCCCTCTGTCTGCCACGGCCAGCGCACCGTCGGGTTCGATTGCATCACCCCCTAGTCAGTCGCCTGTACCTTCGGCGCACCCGACCGGGGCGCGTCCGCTGCCCAGCCAGCGAGCCGGGTCCTATCAGACGATCTCGGGACCGGTCACGGGGGCAGGAAGTCCAGGATTAGAGCGTGCAACGTCGGCCCAGGAAAGACTGCGCGCCAGACTGCATGGGGGCCGGTCTCCCAGTCCCGGGCAGAATCCGAGCAGTCGGCCGGGTTCGCCATATGTTGGGGCGGATCCTAGTGCACGAAAACCGGTAGGCATGCCGGGTCGACGATAATGGACGGCCGGGATATTAGGCTAATTGTGTCTTACATGTGGGGGGGAAACAAAGGGAAGGAGAAGGATCTAGTGGCTGCAGGGGCTTTGCAAGATGGGGACAGCTGGTTAGTGTCTGTCTTGCGCATCGGATGGTGTCCGGGGCGGGAAAGTGTATGAATAGGGATGGAGGCAGACGAGGGCGTGGGGGGAAGCAAGCGAGCGAGCGTGGGAGGGAGGGAGAGACAGAGCCAGAGAAGGTGGCTTTCCATGGTTTGTTACTCTGACCCATTTGACTGATCAATTTCCATCATCTTGTATCTATCCCCCCGATCTGTTGTGTCTGGTTGCGTGCAGATCGAGATAATAATATAACCAGGGTTGACTCTTTTTTTTTTTCCCTTATTTTCTCGCAACATTTTTTTCTTCTGTGCTTATTATTGTGAGGCAGGCGTAAACGTTCTTCCCCCCCAGGAAGAACTTTCCCCGGGGGAAGTGGGGGTTTTTTCAAGCGGAGGATTGAGTGGCCAAAGCCTCAGGCTGGCTGGAACTTTCCGTCTCAAGGTTTGCCAGTCGGGCTCGGGGCGAATGAGGGACTCGGCTGCAGAGCCACTTTGGTCTGGGGACTGACTGGGGACTCGGGAACGACCCAGCGGATGGCCACTATGGGGGAAATTTATGCCCAGTCACGGGGCCCCAAAGAGGAGAAAAATGGCGCAACTCCAGAGTCGACTAAGTCATGAACAGTTTAGCAGCAACCGACACCACCAGGCGATGGTCCAGTGAGATGACAAGCGAAAACCCGGAGAGTCGCCGACAATCCACCGGCATCGGGATTGGCCGGGGAAGCTTACCTAACGGGCTGCCCACGGGGAAATTGTCTCCTCCGCTTCTGGGGATCGGCCCCCTTCAAGGCTTCAAGCGTCCATCCAGGATGCAATCCATGCTTCGACATTCCTTCCACTAGCCTACTCTAGTCGGTTTTCTGTTGGTCAGGCATCGCTGCCCATGCCGTCCCCACTCTGCATCCCCGTCTGGCCCTCGCGTGGTCGGCTTCTATGACTGGTCGCACGGCCCGATGCTAACGAGGCAAACCCGGTACCATGATGTCCTCCACGGTCATGACGCTTCTGGTGAGGATGGGATCGATGGGCCGACGTGCCCTTAAAAGCCTCGTGCTTTCCCCCGGAATTTTTTTCGTCTCTGGTTTCTCCCCCCACCTCCGCCTCTCTTCCTCGTGGTTGTCATCTCTTGATCTGCCCGATACCACCCAGCCGTGGGAAGTATCCCTCGCACCACCCCTAAAGATACCCCCACCCCGATTGTACTACTGTACATATCTTAATATTTAATTCAGCGGTTGTCACACCGCCACTTTCTGTCTCACCATGGGTGCCATCCACGATTTGGACACCTCCCATGATGACCACAAGGAGGGCACCGCCTTCGAGATGGACGATGTCCTGAAGGACCCCAAGGCCGTCGAGGAGTTCAACGAAGCTGCCATGGATGCGGAGCTTCTGCAGCTTGAGGGCCAGTTCCGGGAGTTGAAGCCCTCTCGCTTCGGGGGCTTCTCTAATCCTTCCCTGTACACCTACGTTTTGGTTGCCTTCGCTTCCATGGGTGGTCTCCTCTCCGGTCTGGACCAGTCCCTGATCAGTGGTGCCAATATCTACATGCCCGGTGCATTGAAGCTATCCGACAACCAAAGTAGTCTGGTTGATGCTGGTATGCCTCTGGGTGCCGTGGCTGGTGCCCTGCTCCTCTCCCCCGCCAACGAGTACTTGGGCCGTCGTATGGCCATCATCGTCTCCTGCATTCTTTACACGATCGGTGCAGCCTTGGAGGCCGGTGCCATCAGCTTTGGCATGATCTTCGCCGGTCGTTTCATCCTCGGTACGGGTGTCGGTCTGGAGGGAGGTACTGTCCCTGTCTATGTAGCCGAGTCTGGTATGTACTCCTTGCTTCATCTTCTATCCGATCTACCTCGTGCATCGCTAACCCCCCGCAGTACCTAGCAAAATCCGTGGTAACCTGGTCTCCTTGTACCAGTTGAACATCGCGCTGGGTGAAGTCCTGGGCTATGCTGTTGCCGCCATCTTCCTCGATGTCGAGGGCAACTGGCGCTACATTTTGGGATCCTCCCTGGTCTTCTCCACCATTCTTCTCGTGGGTATGATGTTCCTGCCCGAGAGCCCTCGTTATCTCATGCACAAGGGTCGAACCGTGGAAGCATATGGTGTCTGGAAGCGTATCCGTGGCTTCGACTCATATGAAGCCAAGGAAGAATTCCTCGGTATGCGCCAAGCTGTTGTAGCAGAGCGCGAGGAGCAGGCGAGCACCAAGAAGTATGCTTGGATGGACTTCTTTACCGTCCCCCGGGCTCGTCGTGCCCTGGTGTACGCCAATATCATGATCTTTTTGGGTCAGTTCACGGGTGTCAACGCGATCATGTACTACATGTCGACGCTCATGGAGAACATCGGATTTAGTGAGCGCAACAGTGTCTTCATGTCGTTGGTGGGAGGTGGATCTCTATTGGTTGGCACCATCCCCGCGGTGCTGTACATGGAGCGGTTCGGACGGCGTTACTGGGCCAACGCCATGTTGCCGGGTTTCTTCATCGGCTTAGTGCTGGTGGGCGTCGGCTATCAGATCGACTACCAGACCCACCCGGCCGCCGCACAGGGCGTCTACCTGACCGGCATCATCCTCTACCAGGCCTTCTTCGGCTCCTATGCCTGCCTGACGTGGGTGGTGCCGTCCGAGGTCTTCCCGACCTACCTGCGTAGTTACGGCATGACCACCGCAGATGCCAACCTCTTCCTTTGCTCCTTCATCGTCACGTACAACTTCACGCGGATGATGAAAGCCATGACCCGAATTGGTCTGACTCTCGGCTTCTACGGTGGTATCGCCTTCCTGGGGTGGTTCTACCAGATCATCTTCATGCCCGAGACGAAGAACAAGTCGCTCGAGGAGATCGACGAGCTCTTCTCGCGGCCTACGTCGGCCATTGTCAAGGAGAACCTCAAGAGCACGGGCGAAGTGATTGACGATCTGGTGCATTTCCGCCTGAAGAAGGTGTTTTCTCCTCCGCCGAAGACTGACTAAATGCTGGAGTGTGTATATGTTTATGAATAGGATGAAGTAAGGATCAAACGAACAAAGACAAAAAAAGAACAAAAGGGAAATATCCCACTTTAACGGGTTGATGATTTTACCTATGCCTTGCTTTATGTTAATACCCTGTGATAGTATAGTATTCAACGTTTGTTTCATTACCTACCTACCTGGTTATCGCACATATGGCTAGGGATTAGACATGGAAACAGATCTTGACTAATCCTGATTCATTCAGTTGATATGCTTGATATGGAAGTGAATGTAATACGCCGTAATTCAAATATTCAAAACACGAGTTGATACAACCTGACATGAAACGAAACGTATTTTGACGACGGCAGTATAGGAATGGTACGGCATGCATGACAGTCACTCACGGAACCTCCCTCTGTTTTCTCCTCCTCAGGAACTTCCCTTTCACCAGACGCAATCACCCGACTACTGAATCCACAAAGGCCCATATAAACCCCACATCCTGTTATTCCCTTTGACAGCCAGGGATGAGCCTGCGGGCTCATCTTCATCACCATTTCCATCTCACCTCTTCTCCCCTTGAATACATCTCATATATCGGAAACCTGACACGGACAACACACCGACCGAGTATCATTACGATGCCCCTGAATGCCCAAACGGGCTCGATCTCCATCTGAACGGCCCCTTTTGACTCGACTCCCACACCGGATTCTCATCCTATGGCTGATGACTCTTTCAAAAGACAGTGCTACGGTAGCGGACATGCTTTGGACGACTACAACAAGTGTCATCGTATGAAGAAAATGGTCCTGGAAGGCCATATGTATGCAGATATTGGAGATTGTCGAAAGCAAAGCCAATGATCGATGACAACGCACTGTGCATTCCACAGCATTCAGTCTCAGATGATACTCGATGAACCTTGCCAATCAGTGCACCTATTAATGGCATCGGCAATGCAATCCTTGAAGAACAACTCCACTCCGACGCTCACACTTCTTCTACCACAAATCAAGACAGGAGATTAATACCCCTCAAGTACCGATACCTCGATAGCGGTGTCTACTCGCCACATTGATAATCACCTATCTACATCCTCACCTGGCTCCTCTTATTCTCGTGGATGGTTTGAGCGGAACAGATGCCATGGAATTTCTATGCTCTTGCTTGCTCTCATTCTTCTAGCTCTTCTCCTGCCAATGACCTGGCCGACACAGTCAGTGGAAACTCATCGGATGAGACAAAATAGACACCCAACCATCAAGCAGAAACCAAAGCAAATGTACCGCACCCTCGATACACTGTATCAATTTATGGTGATATATCGATGATATACTGGCCATACTTCTGTCCAATCTCATCCTACATCCTTTTACAGGATGATACTACCTTATACGTCAAAATGATAAGGGGACACATCACCAGCTAGGATTCCCACGAGATAAGCTCTGCATATGTATAATATGCAGAAGCAGAACTTCTTCGTGGATTTATTCTTCCGAGCTCGCATTGACAATGAATCAAACCCCCAAATCCTCAGTAACGAGGAATCATTCAAGGAAAGAGACCCACCAAGGTTCTACGGCTCCAGGCTCCATGTATACAATTGCACACACACATATACGGGGACATCATGGTGCCCAAGATGTCTCCTCCTTATATCAAGCGCCCGAAGCCCTATTTTTTCCCTGTAGTGGCCGAGTACGACTTTTACATGACCCACGAGATTTAGCATATGCACCCGGATTCGCTCACCTCAGTGTGCGGGTGGTAACATGTTGATGCAGCGAGGAAGAAACCAACCGCTGTATAGAAGAAGCAGAAAGCCAAACTTGCTCCTGCCAGGAGGAGTCTCCAAGCAGTCCATCATGATCACTTCGGCGCTCCCTCGAAGAATGTATTGATGAGATATTTCCTTTCAGAGAAATGGTCGACAAAATCTGAGTCTCTCCACCAGAACAAGGCAAGGTATGCTCCCTTGTATAAGTGACATCCAAGGAGTTAAAAGCTGCGAAGACACTGCTGACAATTTGTATGAAGGGTGCATCGTTCTATGCAATGCACCCTTTGCCTCCCTCGTTCTGATGACCATGAAACCAAGCAACAGCCTGCACTTTACTCACTCCCACTCACTGACGAGGGCAGGATTTGTATTGGCCACGCTAGTTTCTTCACGAACTTCAGAATAGTAACATGTGCTATTTCTGGGCGGATGAATGGCAGCCATTGCATGTCTCCTCTTATGCACAGAAACCTTACAAATTCAAACCATATTCTCCAGGTCCAAGAGCCCGACTTGACACTGACTCTCAAGAAAAAGAAGCCAATGAAGGCCTCCAGGGCGCGAAAAAAGAAAAACCCAGCGGAGATATACTTTGATGGAGACAAAGATACTGGATACAGAACCCGTCCAACCCTGAAGTTCCAGGGAACCACGATTAATATCTTTATATTCGCACACGGGCATGACAGCACCAGCAAAAATAGCTACCTAGCTATCCAGTTCTTAAAGGACGTGCGCGGAAGAGAAGGCGCCCTGATCCGTGTTCCAGATCCCCCGTCAATGAAAACACACAACAACTGATAAACTAAAGTCATCATATATATCGCATGCCGTCGTCGCAGAATCAGCAAATATTGATGTCTTGCTTCTACAACCTTAGAGAAAGGCATTCGGACCATCACGTCAAATTCTCCATCGGAAACACGACTCGACAAATACCCTCAATAAGTCGACTCAATATAACAATGGAGCTTGGGTTTGTCTCTTGCTGTTTGATTTAGTGCTGGTAGGGACTTTTCTCAGCGATGCAGGAATAAGGACACCAGTCATCCAAATCCAGAGATCGAATTCAAATGCTTGATAACAACATCTACCTTCCTGAATTGTCATTCAGGGGAACCAATGTATACCCGACTTTCAATCCTTTGGCAGGAGTTCGGCCAAAGGTGAAGAGAAGCACTATATAATCACATTGATGTCTCTCTCCATCTTCAATTTCTTGGCAATAGTCAGCGTATAACAGGAAAGAAAAAAGGACTATGGAATCGACTTCATGTTCGCTCCTCCCAGGACAACCTCATCCGCCTCATCAGGCAAGCAAAAAGAACAACACCAATCAATGAATCACTACGCAAGAGATCCAATGCTGACTCTCCGCGCTTCATCTTGTTTGGCAGGACGGCTCAATTCAGAAGACAGGTTAGAGAACCCCAAAACTGCGATGACCCGAAGGACACATGACAAAGAGCCAGGGGGTTGAGAGGAAGGTGGCGATGGATCAGACTTTCGTGGAGAGTGAGAATCCATAGACTACGGTATCCTCATCAACTACACAGCCAAAAAAAGGAGAACCTAAAAATCGTCTATCACGACGAGCAACGGGAGAAAGCGACCTGTCTGATTCAAGCACTGAGCATCTAAGACCAACGGAATCGGTACATGATCCACATGCAACCTCTTTGCCCTTCATACTTCTGGCAGGACAGCCCCTGCTCCAGAAGAAGAGCCTGCGCGAGAACCTCATCTATCCCGACAAGCTAGCTGTCCGTCCGATCCAACATCTCACCTCCCACAAGACAACATACCAACACCAACGACTGAGGCCCTTCCAGCAAGGCCAAAATCATTTTTAGCCAGGTCCTCACAAACCGGTCTCGTTCATTCGCACGCGCAATAGGAAACGAACTTGAGATCGTCCCCCAGAACTCGCTAGGTAGCTAGTAAGCAACCTTCGGCTCACTCCATCTTCGGTTCGATATGTTGCATTCAATACCCTGATGAGACAACAAATTCATTGCCGAGCTGGACTCTATGCTCGTGGTCAATCATCTAATACCACAAGAGACGAGCTAATTACTGTAGTTGAAGATGATCCAGAGAAATCACGTGCATTTGCTCATTTCAATCACTCGATACTCTGGTGGGTTACGTGATACGCGGCCATTCTGACACGAGAGTCGTCGACAACTAGAGGCACATGTTCGAGAAGTGACACTTAGATATCCGCATCTTTTTATTACGTTGTCAGCAGCTGATCTACACTGGGATGATCTTACGAGATTTCTTCCTAATTATAAGACCTGGCATAGCCAAGATTCAGCTCTTCAAATACGAATTACCCGCGCCAATCTACGTGATAACCCGCATATTGTTGCTTTTTGATTCCATGCAACCTCCCAGATGAATCATCCTACGTCTCTACAATCTCGTCTCATCCAGAAACTCAAACCCAACCCCATATCCTGAAACAAATCTTAGAGATCGATCACACATCAGCAAACAAACGAACAATACCATCTCACCGGCGACTGGTACTGCCAAATATAACACATCATCTCACACCTTTTATCAATCGCTGCCGATGATAATAGGCACGGTGTCACCTGCATGACAACCCCACCCCCGTCCATTTTCCCTCCTGATGATTGTCTGCTTATCAGATCTCTCCTGAGATGAACTGAATTTGACTGCTTAGATGGGTCTAATCCTTCCTTCGCCTCGCTTCACTTCATCCAATAAAGAATCACCTTTATCTGAGAAAACCAGATCTGATGACGACGTGATGAATCTCGTGGTATATACGTATATATACATACGGCGCATTGCTTTGACGATGGCAAGGTTTTTCATTCGAGATGGTTGTTCGTCTTATCAACATTGGTTTTCGTTCTGCCCTGTTCGGTTCTATTCTGTTCTTGGTATTTTGTTTTAGTTCAGGATAGGCGAGTGTGAGATCAGTTACAGAATACGACAATAACAACTATCGTCCTTTCATGTAGGATGTATTTTTAGAAGCAGAGGGGTATGCGAGGCGGGTTTGGGTTGGAACTGTTGATTGGATTGGGACGGGGCAGGTGGATGGATAAATTGGGGTTCATATGCTTCTTGGGATACGTGGTTGGGATGAGTTGTTGTGGGGGTTCATGCTTTTTCCTGTTTGGTCTGAACTGCTTCAGGATACGAGGGTGTGTGGTGGGTGTGGGTTAATCCTTCATCTGTTGTCTGTTAAGTATATAAAAGCAAAGGGATATGATTCACGCTAAGTCTATATACCAGCAATGATGGAGAATACATGCAGCAAGGGAAAAAGGGAGGAAGGACAAGTGTCAATGATATACAGCGCACCGTTGCGCAGCGCTAGATATAGGAGTTGATGAATGAAAAGCAAATGAGATGAAAGTTGGAAGTGGATGCTAAGCTCCAGACACCGTTCACCTAGGAAATGAAGCGAGGCAGATAGAGGATATAGAGGAAGGCAATTATCCACGCACTTTCCGGTAGCTGGGCGGACTCCAGGACCGCAGGATCAATTTCCCAGCCCAGACGGGAATTAAGGAGACGGCGCAGACGGCGACAACTCGCCACAGCCAGTCTATAGTGATCACGTAGTGCAGGTCGAAGTAGCTGCCTAGGAAAGGTACGCTGGATGCGTAGACAAGGGCGGTGCCGATGATGCTGAAGATCATGATCGGGTGCCATGTCGTGATGGCGATGGCCACCATGAGGAGCTCGTTGATGACGAGAGCGGTGAAGGACACGCTGATGAGGCGCGGCCCGGTAATTGTGTCGAGGAGGATCTGAGAGAGGCCCTGGATGACGGCGCCTTGGTAGACAGATACAAGAACCCAGGTGAAGAACGAGCGGTAGCTGAGGCTGCGTCCGGTTTTGAGCTCTTTGTAAAGTTCCGGGTAGAGGTTGGCGAGTTCTTCGTCGACGTCGCGGTCGAACACGAGTGAGAAGACGGGGGCGTTGGTGTAGACGGTGGCGTAACCGACCATCAGCCAGTTGATGAAGAGACCCTTCGGGTCAAAGTGGCTGGCGATGCTGTACATGGTCTGACAGGCGCTGATGATGAGTCCACGGTGCATGATGAATTGGGCGAGTTTGGCGGATCGTTTATAGGAATTGCGCCCATGCCAGACAAGCAGTTTGGTGAGATGGTGGAATTGGGTGATGCTAAAGTCGGCTGCCAGGGAAGCTTGACGCCCCTCCTTGCCGACAATGCCAATTCCGACATCTGCGGCTTGGATCATGGAGACGTCGTTTCCGCCGTCGCCGATACAGCAGACGCGCTTTCTGGTGTGGTGGCGGATGAGATCTGCCACTTCGGCCTTTTGGGTTGGAGAGCATCGACAGGCGATGACGGCAGGGAGCAGGACGGCGACAGAAATGAACGCCGTCCGGAACTGGCCAAGCATGAGTGAGAGCGACTCGCCATCGATGAGCAGGCAGCAGTCCGTCTTGTTGCGTAGGAAGTCCAACGCTTCTTGAGCGGTAGACTTGTCCTTGACTTTGGCAACGGTGTGGATATACTGTCCACGGGCGACCAGCTTGGCAGAAATGGCCACACAACGGGCTGTCTCGACCTTGTCACCCGTCAACATCCAGATCTTGACTCCGGCGTTGCGGAGAAGCTCGAGAGAGGGCTTGACATCCCGTTGGAGGCGGTCTTCCACACCGGTCACGCCGAGAAGCTCCAAATCTCGCTCCAGAAAGTCGCCAATCACTTTGGCCATACCAACATCGCGTCCTTGAAGAGCAAGAGAGGCTTGTCTATACTTGGTGGTGAACTCCTCGTATTGCTGCGCAGACAGTCGCCGCCGTCCAATGACCAGGGTCCGCAAGCCCTCGCGAGCCATATTCGCGGTCTCCTCGTCGAGCCAATCGTTCGCCGCAACAATCGTCGACATGACGGTGTCTGCTCCCTTTTGATAGAACCATATCTCACTATCATTGTTGGATGTGTCCAATAGTCCGTCATCCGTCTCGAATTGCACGATGATTCCCATCCTCTTGCTGTCTGACGTGAAAGGGAAGATCTCAAGAATGCGGACCCGAACGATGACTTTTCCGGTATGCGTAGATTCGAGGACAATTGACTGTCGATCGCGATAAGCTAGTTTTAGCCCGACCTCTTCGGTGTATTTCACGATTGCGATTTCATCCGGGGATGAAGCCTGGTAGTTGGTGACTTTGACACCATCTTCTTCGTCACTCGTCGGGGTGACATTATGGCAAAGAGAAAGTGCCAAAACGATGTCTCTGACCCTGGAGCCAATCTCTCGTCTTGTACGTGGAGCCGTTCCAAGTCCCGCTTGTGCTCCGAATGCAGTGGAAGGAGTAGTCAAAGAGTCCCCGGCGAAGCTTTGTCGTATATACGACGCCACCTCCTCCATTGCGTCGTTGGCATATGAGACAGTCCCGACGTGGATTTTTTTCAGTTCCATCTCTGTTCACATCAGCTGAGAAGAAAGCCGCGGTTTATGTAGCAACTCACCGTTTTGGGTCAAGGTCCCTGTCTTATCGGACAAAAGATACTCAATCCTACCAAGGTCTTCGGGGATGGTGCTGGTCCTAACAACGGTCCCTGGAATATCCTTGTCTCTTTCAATGAACCGGCCGTACACGGATTTCGCCATGTCCAGGTTAACCCGTAAGCTCATGGGGATGATTGTCGAGAAAAGAATCAGATAGATCATGATCGCAACATACCACACCTTGTCGTTGGTCGGCTGGAATCCCTCTAAAGCAACCAAAACAATCGACAGGGCCAGTGTTAGAATGCAGAGGATCTTGGTCAGGTTGTTGATTTCGTACTCCAGCAGGCCCACTTTCGAGCGAGATGCCGACGTTGAAAGGGCAGCCCGCGTCTGAGATCCCGTATAAATAATGGTAGCGTATGTGATAGTATTAGAGGCAAGAACAGTGTTGGCCCATGCCGTGTTGTCGATCGTCAACGGAGCAGAGTTGGCCTGTGTGTCCGTAGTCTCATAGTCACCTCTATTCTCCCCTTTGTCGACATGGGGATCGTAGAACCCGGACGGCTGCCCTAGTTCAACAGTACCCACAAACTCATTGACTCGTCTATCTGGCGCACTTGCAGTGACCTTCAACCTTGTCAGGTCACCGAGGGGCAAAGCTTGCGACAATACAGAGGGCAGTCGTAGCTTCCAATCGGTTTCACCATCCAATTGATCGGTTCGAATGAATGTATCGCTGGCCGAAGAGACATTGGCCTGACTTGCCGCAGCGCTCGAGCTAGGCTCCGCGGTAGGCGACAGTAGGTTTTGTTCCTGAGAAGTAAATTCCGCTGGCCTTTCGGCCAAGGAGCTTTGACGAGCAGCCACAGAGTCATTGGAAACGCTCTTTAGGATCACAACGTCCGCAGGCAGACGCTGGTTCTTGCGAACCTTCAAAACGTCACCAACTTTTAAATCCCGGGACTTTTTGACGACTTCCATGACCCCATTAGGTCTATCAAAACTGAGAACGGTGAATTCTTCGGCGTTTGCCTCGGCATCTCTGCGACGACGGCCAATATCATCCAAAGCCTCCTTCCCCAGCGATATACTGACGACGAAGGCCAAAGGCGCAATATAGGATGACATGTAGCCTATTCGAAGCACTGGGATGATCTGGGAAAGCGCGACGAGAAGGAAGTAGATGTTGAAGAAGAAGGAGAATTCGTTATAGAGCGTGCGGGGCAGGAAGCTCCATGGGGTGTACTTTGCGTTCGATACAATATTCGCGGGGTATTTGGCTCGTTGCGTTTGGCCGACGAGAACATCGCGCGGTGGTTTCGTTTCTGTCTGATCAGAAGGTGCATGGTTGGAGGAGCCAAAAAGGAAGCTCGCCGCTTTGATCCCCGGGATTCTGAACCGCGAGCCCCTCTGCGACGCCCGCTCGAGATCTGCTAATGAGCGAGCGGAGCTACGCCTGCGCTCGTTGAGCAGCGGGGCATCGTCGTCAGTATAGTTGCGGGAGCTCGCATGCGACCTGCGGAGTCCATCTTCCTCCCGATCCTCCAGTAGGCCATCCATGTCCTCCGATCTTCCATGCGATCCAGAAGTGTTTCGTCTCCATACTCGGTTTCCCACACCAACGCGTAGATTCCGCAAAGCTATGCCGGGACCGCGACTCCTTTGGCGATTGGACTCCTCCCTTGAGAGGCGAGCGGCTCCGTATAAATGTGTGGTGCTCGGATCAAGCTCCTCCAGGTCGAGGTCATCGTCGGAACCAGAGTCGCCTGCGATGCTGGCACGGCCATGCGAATGTAGGTATTCGGATGAAGAAGGCATGGTGAAGGTCGGAAGAAATCCAGAGAAGGATGACTGTATACGAGGAGCACTATGAAAGCTCCTATGTTGAGAATTGAAATGTCATATCAAGCCGAGCGGTATCGAGGGTGTCTCCGAGGCACCATTGCTCGGTACTGTTGGCTTGGGGGTGCGGGTGTATGCGGTCGGTGTCCGGTCGCGGAAACGGGGAACCTATCTGTGACGATAAGTATGGCTAAGAAAAGCAGAGTAGTAATTGATCAACACTTTGCACATCCCCCCGGAGTCGAGTCCACCACGGCATCGATCCGAACAATTCGAGGAACAATATTGGTGGCCTAAAGCGGCTGTGATGGCAGGCGGAGACAGGCCCGATCACATGATCTGGGAGCCTCAAGGACGGGCGGCTGTGGCGCACCAGTCTTTGAAACCGCGATCGATGTCATCGGCGGAGTCACTGGGGCACACCCGGAGTAGATCGTAGAGGCAGCACATAGATTAGATACTGTGTCGGTCTGCTTTATGTCAAACAGACTACAGGAGATCCCCTGCACGGGCTTCAATTTCCATGAACCAGGAGGTTATTACTCGATAGGTCGGATCTACAGCCATGCTAGTGGACATGCATCACTAGTCATGAGCCATGCCATGCCATGGTGCCAGGGCACGTGATCCGGAGTAACAGGTTAGGTGGCACTTCCGCCCGGGGTAACTATCTTCCGCCCCGGATGACGGGCGCGTCCCAGAAACTGATGTTCATTAGCCAGTCAGCCAGCCGGTGCAGCATCATAAGCACGCAGCCAGCCCAGGTACGGCACCAGTGGTCCGGCTTCAAGACAACCACGCATACCTCGGAGATGCAGTCATGAGTTCGCCCTTCCCTTACTTCTTGTAATGTTTTATTATTGGACCCAGTCACTTGTATCCTTTCTGTTTCATGCCTCAGTATATTAACCAATCGAATCTTGACTGTTTATCTCCCCGTCGCTCTTCAGCGTGAGTGCATGTGCAAACGTGTCCGATTTGTGGCTTGGACTGACGCCGGCTCACTAGTGGAGGGATCTAACATTCAGCAAGCATGGCACAAAATGACGTGGCCGTATGGAATCCGGCGCTCAGATCAGACGACAATGCCACCCCGTCCCGACTGGCCCGACTCCTCTAGAAATAGATACGGCGATAGAAGCCACAACGATTCCCCTTGGCTCCCCTATGGAGACTCCCCATGAGCTTACCATCAGCGACATTGCTTTTCCGGACCCCGACACTGCTGTTCCCCCGCAAGAAGCAGCTATCCCGGATATGACCGACTCCTATTCCTTGCCAAACCCCGGTCAAGTCGCAACTCACGATGAAGTGCCCGAAACTTCCTCCGATGGCACCGAGGCGATGCCGGAGGTGACCTATGATCAGAGCTACCCGATTCTGGACGAATCCCAGACGGAACACGGTCATGATAAGGATGTGCCTCTGGGTGATACCGATGGTCACATAACGGAAGTCCAGCCAATACAGCATCAAGAAGAGGAGGAAAATCCTCCAGTTGAGACTATCCATGCGCAACCTTTGGATGCAGAATCTGGCCATGATAAGGATGTGCCTATGGATGATACTGAGGATCAAGTGGAAGAAGTCCAGCCTATCCAGCACCAAGAAGCAACTGATGCGCCAGTAATGAACACGGAACATGGTCATGATGATGCGCTTGTGGATGGTACCGAGGGTCAAGTGGTGGAATCCCAGCCCCAGGAAGACGAGCTTCCTCCAACTGAGACTACCGATGTGCAAGCTCTGGATGCGGAACCTGGCCATGGTGAGGATGTGCTTATAAATAGCACGGGCCAAGTGGTGGAAGTCGAGCCTCCACAGGACGAAGGACAATCTCTTCCAACTGAGACAATTGAAACGCAAGCTTTGGACGCAGAGGAAGGAAACACAACACACACCAGCGAGCAGGACGAGTATGAACCTGCAGACACCAATGGCGAGGCTGAGAACAATGACGACATCTGGGGAGGTCCTGCCAATGAGGACGCCGCGGAGGATGATTTCTTTAACCAGTTGAAGACACAGACAAAGCCGATCTATGTACCCGCGGAAACTGAATCTCGATTCGAGGAGGGCGTCCCATTACTGGATGATACCCCCGAGTCACCGGCTAAGCCGACTGCGCCAGAGGAGAGTCAAATCGATAACTTCTTTGCTGGCGATGAAGATGAAGAGGATGGATTTTTCAAGACTGTCCAGAGCTCTGCGCCTCCAGAAGAATCTGAGGCACCATCACATATCACGCGCAAGAGCACGTTCCAAGTCATGGACTCCCTCGGTGTTTCACCGGATTCTCCGATGAGCGATGCGGACCCCGCTGCGCAAGAGTTCGATAGCGTTTTGGCTGCTGCCGCGTCTGAGAACAATGTCAAAAAGTCGTCTTCGGAAGAGGACTTGGCCGCCCGCTGGGAGGCCGAGCTTTCCGAAGAACCGGTGGTAGCTGCTCCTACCGAGGACGATCTGGCGGCGCGGTGGCAGATGGAACTCGATGACGATGACGACCTACTTTTAGAGGATGAGGTCGCCGAGGCCCCTGCAGTGGATCAGGGACCGGCTCTTCAGAATATCAACGGTGCTCCCCCGAGCTTAAGCAGTCCCTTTGGCACTCCGCAGATCTCCACAGCTGCTTACACGCCGCATCAGCCATCCACCTCGGATTTGCTTCATGGGATACCCCTACCAGGTGCAGCACCTCCGGCAAACATTGCAGCATCTGCAGACTATTTCGCGCGACAGCCTCCGCCGAGTGCTGGTGCAAACAAAGCAGAAAGCTTTGCTGAACGGGCGAAGGAAGGTTACAGATCACCATATGACCTTCCGGAAGATCTTACGCGATCTCGACGGCCTGTTGCCAGTCATAAGCCAGTGGTCACACAACCTGGTAGTACTCCACCTCCCCCACGGAGCAATAGCATTCCAGTGCCTCCCCCGAATCCCTCGACTGTGTCAGCACCCCGGATGAGCACACCTCCGGCCGGAACATCATCAACAGCAACAATGGCCGCTCCTAAGAACTTTTATGAAGAGCTTCCTCTACCACCTCCTCGGACGCAGTCTCGACAGGCCAGCTCCGGACGGTACACGCCCGGTGCCAATGCAGCGCCGGCTGCGACATCCCATCCGCCTCCGCCGCCGGCCAATCCATATGCCAGCCTTCCTGTTGCGACCCCGCCGGCTGTTGATGCTTATACCCCCCCTCCAATCCAGCAACCCGAAAGACTAGATTCGTATGGAAGCCTTTCGGCTCTCAGTGCCCCAAGCGGTTCGTCTGCTCCTCCCGTCACTTCGAGGTACTCGCCAAAACCCCCTACTGTGCAAGCCGGCATAAAGCCGCCGCCGTCCCCTAGATATTCTCCGGCACCTCCTCCAGCCGTCACCGCACCACCGACTCGCAATCGCTATGCCTCTCAGCCGTCTATTCCGCCCATTCAGGGAACTGCACTTCCCTTCCAGCCTCGCACTTCGAGCCCCCTGGCTTACCATGAGAAGGTGTCTTATCGTTCCCATGAGAATCTCGACCAGCAACTTTCCATGGAACCGCCAGCTAGTATTCCGCCCATTGAGGTGCAGGAGCAGCCAAGTGGCCCTGCTGTAAACTCTCCTACCGTATCGTCTGGATTTGCGTTTGGTCCGGAGACTGTGAGCGGGGATGCCAGCGCACACCAAATGTCCCAGCAGCCGATGTCTCCTCCCAGAAATCAGTATGCTCCTCCGGACTATGTGGATGAGTTTTCGAAACGCGTTGCCCCAATTGGCAGCGTTCCACCAGCACCCGTAGCACCGGCTGAGGACTCGCCATTTGTCCCTCCGCGCAGGTCATTGACACAATCTCCAGGTCAGCAAGCGCTGGGCCCAAGGTTGTCTGTGCCCACGGTCGATCCCCTTCAAAGGCCTGCGTCTGTTCATGGCTCTGGGTCTCCAATAAAGGCTGTGAATCCTTACGCACCAGTCCAGGTCTCGGCACACAACCGTGTCGCCTCCCAGCCTCTCGACTTCATTCCTCCTACTGATGACCAGCAGTTTGATCCCCTCGAACGCTGGAAAGGTGCTCCGATTGTTAAGTTTGGATTTGGTGGTGCGATCCTCTCGTGCTCCCCCAAACACATTCCCCGATACTCTGCGGGCCAAGCCACTCCTAAGATCAAGTCCAGCCCCGGAGAGGTAAAGATTCATCAGCTCAGTGACTGGATTTCTACGCCTGATACTATCGTGCGACACCCGGGACCTCTGAAATCCAAATCTAAAAAGAAGGACCTACTTGCTTGGCTCTCCAGCAAAATCGCTGCGTTCGAAAATGAAGGTATCCCGGAGAGTTCTCGACTGCATCCAGACTCCCAGAAGAGAAACGATGAGAAGATCCTGCTATGGAAGGTCGTTCGCGTCTTGGTCGAACATGACGGTGTTCTTGAAGGATCCCCTGATGTTCAGAAGTCCTTGCGTCAGATCATATTTCCACACTTGCAGGACGGTGACTCCGAACAGACCTATGGCGGCAGCCTGCCATCCTTCAACACCAGCCAGCCGTTGGATTCTCCGTCTCGTCCGGATGCTGTTGATCCCCAAGCGATAGAGAATGTTCGTAATAACCTTCTCTTAGGTGAGCGTGAAAAGGCTGTCTGGGGCGCAGTGGACCATCGTCTATGGGGACATGCCATGATCATAGCGTCAACAATGGACAAACCTGTCTGGAAGCAGGTTGTTCAGGAATTTGTGCGACGCGAAGTGAGGTCTGCCTCAGGCAACACCGAATCGCTTGCAGCTCTCTATGAGATCTTTGCCGGGAATGTCGAAGAGAGCGTCGACGAGCTTGTGCCTCCCTCCGCTAGGGCTGGGTTGCAGATGGTCAGCAAAGTCAATGGACAGGGACCCCCGAAGAATGCACTTGATGGTCTCGACAGCTGGAGGGATACCTTGGGTCTGGTGTTGAGCAACCGCAGCCCCGAAGACCACCAGGCGCTATTAGCCCTTGGCCGGCTTTTATCATCCTATGGCCGAATTGAGGCTGCACATATCTGCTTCATCTTCTCTCGAGCTGCTGTATTTGGCGGTGTGGATGATCCGCAGGCGAGCGTGGTCCTCCTCGGAGCTGATCACCAGCACATGTCGTCTGCTGCGTTGCAGGATGATAATTCCATTCTACTGACTGAAGCATACGAATATGCTACCTCTGTTCTTTCGGCTTCTCCTAAGCCTGTGCTACCCCATCTTCTCGCATTTAAATTGGTACATGCTTGCTCTCTCGCAGACCAAGGCCGCAAATCGGAAGCTCAGCAGTATTGTGATGCAATTGCAGCTACCCTGAAAGCAACTACCAAGCCATCAACCTATCATCACCAGCACTTGTATTTCGGAGTTGATGAGCTCTCGGCACGTCTGAGACAAACAACCAGCGACGGCGGATCATCCTGGATTTCTAGACCCAGCATGGAGAAGGTCTCTGGGTCGATGTGGGCGAAATTCAATAGTTTCGTCGCTGGTGAGGATAACGAAGCTGCATCTGCTGGTTCCACAAAGGCTGGCGATGGAGATATCGGGCCATTTGCCAAGATCGCCGGTACGCCTACTGTTAGTCGCTCACCTTCCATGTCGGATATTTACGCACCATACGCTGCACAACCGAACTATAGCAGTGGTCCGTCGCGGTACCAGCCAAACAACCAATATGCCCCAACCTCTTCTCCTGAGCAGTTGCGCGGCAGATCATCCCTCGACTCCCAGAGATCTTCTTCGTACGGGTTTGGTTATGGCCAGCGACGGGGATCGCAAGAACCTTCAACCCCGGTTGAGAGCAATATGTATCAAGGGGGGATGCCTTTCAACTCTCCGCCCGCTACTGGCTATCAGTCGACCCCTCCTCAGACGTCTTATATGCCTCTTGCGCCAGTCAAAGAAGACCTGGCCCCTCAGTCCCATGCCGACGCCTCGAGTGCCCCGGTACAAGAAGCATTTGGCAGCGGTTCTCCGTATCAGCCACCAGGTTACGGTTCCTTTGGTCAGCCATTCATGAATCAGCCTTCCGAAACAGCGCCTACTTCAGATGCGGGTGGTTATATGCCTCCAACTGGGAGCGGCGGCTATGAAGCTCCCTCCGGTGAAAGTCATGTGGAACCTGCAACGGCCATGCCGGAAGAAAGCAACGATGAAGAGCCACCAAAGAAGAAATCCTTCATGGATGATGACGATGAGGATGATCTAGCCGCCCGTGCTGCTGCCATCCAGAAGGCTGAAAAGGCACGCAAGGACCGGGAAGCGGATGAAGCCTTTAGAAAAGCCGCAGAGGCGGATGGTGAGTGCTCCTCGCAGATTTCCTGAAAATGTATCACTAACCTGCGTATAGCTCAGAAACCTGCACCCGCTAAGAAGGGATGGTTCGGAGGGTGGTTCGGTGGTGCTGCTGGCAGCGGGAAGAAAGAGGGCGAGATATCCAACAAACCCATTCGGGCCAAGCTTGGCGAGGAGAACTCGTTCTACTACGACACTGATCTGAAGAAATGGGTCAACAAGAAAGACCCCGGCAGTGCTACTGCCGCCCGCGCCACACCGCCGCCCCCACGAGCTTCGGCACCTCCCAGCAGAACCGCCAGTGGCAGCAGTGCAGCACCACCTCCTCCTGCGTCAGGACCATCTCCGATGTTGTCGGGTCCTGGCAGTCGGCCACCTTCTACCACCGGGGTCCCACCTCATCCCGGCAGTCCAGGTCCATCTTCGCTGGGTCTCCCTCCTCCCTCCATCCAACGGTCCGTCTCTACCGGTGCCGCCATGCCCACGCCACCAATCGGTTTGGCAGCACCCCCCAGGCCTGCGACTTCTCTGAGCAATGCCAGTTCAATCGACGACCTGCTCGGGGCCCCACAAGCTCGCAAAGGCCCCGCAGCTAGAGGAAAGAAGAAGGGGCGTTATGTTGACGTGATGGCAAAATAATCCACTGCCATGTCAATGCAACAAAATACCGCTGCGGCCATTACTAGGCCCGAGTGTCTTGTTTCTGTTAATTTATTACTTTTTTCCTACTCTGGTAATGTCTAACGAATCCCCCATTGAACTTGGTTCTCCGTTTGCATTGGCACTTTTATGAAGCGCGTCCTGGCTTTTGCCTGGTTTAGAACATGGCTGAGCTTGCACTTGTCCAAAAGTCTCGCATGCTGTCTTCTTCGAAAGCAAGACGGCTTCTCCATCTTCCCGGGCGTTTCTTGCATCACCTCCTTACTTATCTTGTATTTATGCATATATGTTTATTTCTTTTTTCTTTTCTTTTCTTTTCTTCTTTCTTTCTTTCCTTTGTCGCCTCTGAGATGACGATATGTCTGTCGGAGGCCATTTCTGCCTCGGGACAAGTGTACTATATGGCTCTTTGAACGATTAATTAATACATGCTTGATATTACCTGCTGCTGTTTATGAATATAGAGTCAGAATTTTCTTAACTTGATGTTTTTACGTGTTGTTTCAGATAGAGCTCGGATATCATACATAGTACTTACTCCAATAATAGCATCTAAATAACAACGCTGCTCATATTGAGGCTCATATTCCGACATCCGTATATCCTCTGATCCAATATCTTACTCATCGACCCTCGTAAAACAATTATGACAATACCCCCTCCCTTGTTCACTACTCCACCGCATAAGAGTTGAGATAATACTGCAAGAAACATCGTTAATCCCCACACAACCCAATAAACAGACCAGACAACCAACAAACTCACCGTCAAACACGAATCCTCCTCATTCCAGCTCCCGGGCAGGAAAACATACAGCACCAAAGCCGTCTCGTTAATGAATGCTATCGAAAGTCATTAGCCCTCGCCATATACCACAAATCCCCAAAAGAAGGGAGAGACGTAAGGAAAAACTCACAAGCCACAACCCTCGGGTTCAACCTCCCCACACTCAAAATCCGACTCCAATCCTTCCCATCAATCCTGACCCTCGCCCACCCGGCCTCATCATCCGCCGCAAACCCCCTCATCCTCTCACTTGGCAACTGCTCTAGTTCGCCCTGCCCCAGCTGTCCCGGATCCAAACTCGGATTCAACAAATCCGTCCACGTACTGGAAATCCGGAACGCGTCGGTCCCGATTGAAATTCGTAACGAACCGTGCATATTCGCAGCGAGCTCGAGTTTTGGTGACGCGGTGGTTGTTGTCGATGATGATGGGGTTTTGGACTCAGTTGCTAGTTTCGTGAATCGCTCCGAGATACCTTTCAAATGAATCAAGCTGGGAAGAAGGATATTGACGTCCGGGTCTCGAACTCGTGGTTGGTGGAGCCCCTCGACGGCGGATTCATGGAGCACTTTGACGGGGATTTCCTGCGTGATTACGGTTTCGCGTTCGCGGGGACCGGAGGGACGGGGATTGGTGGTGGTGTTGGTGTTGGCTGTTGAGGATGTTGTGGAGGGGTGCTCAGTGTTGGTGTTTTCAGGGATACCCAGGGCATTGGAGCCCGATGTCCAGGATGTGGCGCGGATGGTCAGCGCCAGGAGAGGCACGTTACCTTTTTTGGTCAATCTCAGGTTGGCGGATTTGGAGGCTACGGCGGAGCGGAGGGCGCGGTGTAGTGAGCCGATGGGGACTTCGAGATTGATTACCCCCGTGTTGGACTCGAGGATGTAGGATTCTTCTTCGAAGATGGAGTCCTGAGTGGTGGGTTAGGATGAGTAGGGAAGAAGAGGGGGGAAGAGAGGACGTACGACAGGGAGTTGGGCCCATACTTGGGTGCCTTGGTCGGGGATGATGGTAAATCGGACGATGCCTCCTTCGAGGCGCATCCAACAGACCTTGCCCAGGGAGGAGAGGGAGGCGGTTAGTTCTGGTTGTTGGTATACATGGTTAGTGGTGTGGGTTTATTGGATTCTATGGGTTTTGGGTATGTTGGGGTGCTGGACATGGTTGAACGCGATCGCCGAGGATGGAGAAGGTGCAATGACACGTACTGGAGAAGATGGACGCGTTGGCTAATTGACTTCGGAAGCGCATCTTGACGTTGTTGTATAGATTGATGGTGGTGGAAGAGTATTGAAGATGGTCGAAGTGCTTATCGATGATCGGCCGCGGCTGTGGGGAACCGCGGTCCAATCGAAGCTACAAGCCAGTGACGGACTCTGTCTGGCCTGGTCTGGCGGGCATCTGGCGGGTGGATACAATCGCGTTGTGTTTGGGTCCGGAGTAAATATAAGCACCTTTTTCATAGTAGTTAAGAGTTATCTGAGTGTATATTCATTGGTTGGTCATTCACCATGTAGTTTGCCATTATTGTTGTGGTCATCGGTTACGTGTCTTCGGCTGTAAGTTGTAAGATATCTCGCAACTATCAGCTTTCCTTGACGCAGTACTATGTTTTTTATTTATTAGTATCTACTACCCGTCGTCACGGGCTCTGATGCTAGATTTCATGCGAATCATGGAGCTGCTTCTGCATAACCCTCGAAGAGCAATCAAATATCACTGCATCATAGCCACAGAGATCTAGAGTTTGATTGTGACCCAACCACATGCGTCTCGACACGAAATCTTCGATAGTCCTCTTCATGAAGCTTCGTCGATCATGATCACCGGGCTCCTAAGCAGTACGGTACGGTATGGCTATCAGCTTTGATCTCTAAAATTTACCAGATTGCAACACACACACACACACACACACACACAGAGAGAGAGAGATAGAGGGGGGGGGGGGGGGGGGAGAGGTATGCCTCGACAGCTCAAGCATGTAAAAGAGCTTCTGGTATGTTGACTGTTATGAAACATCTCACTATCCCACAGTTTTTATCGAGCATATCGCAGAATAACTCGGGGTGGCGCTCCTGCCCACACAGCTTCTGCCACTGAACCAACCCCCTTATCCTTATCCTGGCTGAGCTAATGTGTCTAGACCGTTGCGCTAGGATTCCTTTCTTCCCCCGACTGCAGAAAAAGACTCCTTGCGGATGCCGAAAGAATGGGATAGCCGTTTGGATGCTGTGGTGTTGTGCGCCCCTGGCTATGTTTCCGCCAGATGTCTCCCACGTGGTTCATAACAAGTTGTTCGATCTTCCTTACATTCAGATTTGCCTTGCTGACACAATATTTGGTTAGGTTCTGTTCCGTTCCTGATTATAGCAGCAGCACTACACGAAGGGTCACGTCCCTTGCTCCTTTCGAGGGGAGCTCATGAAGTTTTAATATCCCTGCTAATGGTTTAATCTTAGATACACCCCTCATTCGCTGAAGAAGAGATGGAGGTTGGCGACATCGTTTCACAATCACAAATCCCTCCTCCTTTGCTTTGTTGCTGCTGATCGGTGCATTGTCGATTCATACCTTCCTATTGGTCTTTGAGAAGGGAGAGGCTGAAACAGTAACGGTGCGCGATCGCGTGGTGGAATATTTACGAAGGGATTTGCGATTCCTCATATGCCAATGATCGAGTAAAATGGGGGGAAGGACACCACCATGGATGTTGTGGGAGAGCTGGGGCCAATTCAACGGCTACCGAAACCGCTACCGACACGACGGTCGACATGGGCGGGAGAGGATGAAAGGTGAAGGGAGAGCGAGATAGGATATGCAAGGGAGGGTCGATCACTGATCTACTATCCGGGCCTTTAACTCTCCGCCCGAGCAATCAGACGAGAGCACCACCAAGGCCATTGCAGAGCGGTCGAAGCGACGGGTGCGGGGGCCCAAGTTGAGGATGATGCAATGGATTATTCCACGGATGAGGCGGCATTGGCCACGGCCATTTATTATGACAGCCGTATAAAGAGCGGATCATTTTGGGTCCGCGGCGCTCCGAGGGAGGCACCGATGCATGGGACTGGATCCTCGTGTGAGACATTAAGGAGGGATATTTTTTTCGCGACAGGAACCCACCGGCCACTGTATGTCGCACAGGACATCTGCAGTTGCTGATGACAGATCTTGGTATGGACAGATTGCTTGCAGCAGCGGTGGGATGGGATGGAATGGACGTGATGTTCCTCGAGGATTGGTACCAAATTGTGGAAGACTCTGGTACTAGTACTGACGGCTGGGGTCAAACCTAGAAACAGGACAAGGGAAAAGGAAAAGGAAAAGGTTAACAAGGCAGCAGCTGCAGCTATCCAGATTGGCGAGGGAACCACCGGATGAAGCGCCGAGCATCAGCATCAGCATCAGCACCGGCACCGGCATCCCTCCTCCTCCTCTTCCTTCCCAATGAACTTAGTATCTAGCTAGCATTGTAATTTTCCTACCTAATGATGGTATCTCCACAAGCTACGTAGGTTCGTCTAAAGAGCTCGAGACCAGCCAGGTCACGACCGGGGCGCGGTATCTTTAGTAACGGGAGCCCCTATTGGCGCGGCTCCACCCTTTTCTGACGGGCCTCCCAAAGTCCCAAACCGCGCGCCTCCGTCCACGCCATCACCAACTCACCTGTGCATATCCCCGTCTTCGAATCATCGTCGCCACTAAGTCATTCTCTTGGGTCAAGAGCTGGTCTCCTCCGATCTCAATCATCCCACCCTCGTTATCTTGCTCATCCTGCCGCCACTTAACTCTCTCTTCCTGCAACCCCCCCAATCCCTCAGCCCTTTTGAGGCCTGCAGTGTGATCTATCATCACCCATCGAACTCTCGCCAGAGTTCTTATTCTCTCTCATTTCTTTTTTTTCGCCCTAGTTCCCTCTCCGTTCTTTCGTCAACTTCCGGGCGCTCTCTCAGGCTGCGATTCGATATCACCCAGATCCGTTCCCTCACCTCCGCATCTTTCCGTCCGTTGTATCGCGACTTCCCCTGCCCATCTGCTTCCCCCTCCCCCGACCCTTTGGCTGTCACTTTAATAGCTTTGGCGGGATCGCGTCAGCATGCTTGCTCTTCAGCTACACACACTCTCTCTCACTCTCGATACCACAGCTCGACCCCCGTCACTCAAACCCCGTTACTGATTATTCGCGACACTGACTCGACCCGGTTTTCTGGGACCCGTCGTTCTCCGGGAGGTTGCCGTTCTATCCCGACATGGCCAGCAGTCGCGTTAACCCCCTTCCAACTCACCTCATCACCACGGCGCGGTCCCAATCACCGGGCCGGCCGGCGGTACCCAACTACCAGACCATCGACCCTCTTCTTGGCAACTTGTCGCCCGAATCAACCCTCCAGGCCCTTTCCTCAACCGACGCCGTGCCCAGGAATGAACAGGTCGCCCACGACATCCTCTCGAAAAGTATATCCCAGGTCTCCCCGGCAGAGCGCGCCCTCGGTATTCGCGCCGCAGTTGCGGCCCAGAAGCTCAATCTCTGGTACAAGGAAGTTCAGTCTTGGGACTGGCCCAAGCGGACCGATGCTCATCTCGGGAAGGGGTTCGTCCCCCCTTCCGGCGCTCCCGACGATGAGTATTGTGGAAGTCTTCCGGTAGCCGTGGTGGATGAACATGAAAAGCGGATCGAGGAGATCCGGGATGGTCTGGAAGTTCTGGACGTTGACGAGCTTAAAGAGCACGTTCTCAATGCCCACATTCCAGCGCGGTCTCGGCCTTCGTCATCCAATAGCACCCTATCGGTGCCTCCCCCGCTCAGTTATGTGCAATTGAGCGACTTCACCGCCGTAATTACCGCCACCATTCTTCGGGCCCTTCCTCTCCTCTCTCGCTTGAACAGTCTCCTTGCTACCTGGGATGTCCGATTGCTGGTTTTGCGCCAGATACCCGAGCTGCTGCGGAGACTGCGACTGGCTCGTTCGGAATTGGATTCCGCTCTGGGCTTGTTAAAGTCGCCCACTCTCCCTGGCGAGACAGATCCCTTGTATTCCCGCTCCAATTATCATGCCAAACGGGCTATCTTAGAAGCAACGGTTGTGTCTGCGGGCCGCCAATTGGACCGTGTACTTGATGCGCTTGAAGGACGGGAGGATTCACTCCCCGAGAGCTGGATTGACGATCTCGAGGGCATCGAGTCCGAGTTTGGCACGTGGGTCATGGAAGCCGAAAGGCGTACTGTCGAAAACGAATGGCGGATGACGATCAGCACAGACCAAGGTGCCAAACAGGACAGCCCGCGGGATACGTCGACGCAGCCGTCACACGAGATAAGAGATCCCGAAAAACTCTCCCTTACCACGTCAGGGTCCGTGCCGCAGACTAGTCACCTCTTCCCTATGGAGACTATTGCCGAAGAGGAATCCAGTCCCACTGAGCCGTCGCCCTCGATTGAAGCTCCCGCTGAACAAATCATCGCGGTCCCGGAACCGATTGTCGCACCTGCTTCTCACAATGCGAATCCCAACCGTTCATCTCCTAGTTCTTCGGCTACCACAGATGCTTCAGATAACCTAATCTCGAACTCTGAGCCTATTATCGCTCTACAGAAGGACTCAACGCCTACCTCTTCGATCCTCGCTTTCACCACCAATGCCTTGAACGAGGTGGATGACCTGGCCGACGAACCTCGCGCTATCGAATCGGCTAGCCCGAAGGATACGCAGCCTACGGAGGCGTTGGAGAATAAAATAATCGCGAGCGCCTCCGATGAATCGCCTCTGGAAGAATATTCTCCCGAGCGTGATTCCCCATTGCTTGTTGAAGAACAAGTGAATGCATCTCTTCCTTCCGCAGACCTACATGAAACACCTCTTTCTTTACAGGAAGATGCAACCCCACGAGCTTCTCTAGACATTCAGTCAGAGGAGGTGGAGACTTGTCGCCCTTTCCAATTCATCTCAGATGCGCCCGTATTTACTCCAAAGAAGGAGCGCACAGATCCCATGTCATTGCTTCACCTTGACGAATCTTCTCGTCATTCGTCGCCTGCAAACAGCTTACAGCCGCCTGCCAGCCCTGATGCGCCGTCATCTGATGCCGGTAGTGTAATCGTACGGCGACGAACGAGTATGATGCAGTCGCCCCTCAGTCAGCAGAGGGGGGTCTCAGAAGACGATGAAGCGACACTGTTTGAAGTTGACAGCGCCAATCCCGTGATTGAAACCTCTGATGAACGACAGCCCGCTTCCGTTGAACATCAAACACCCAGTCTGGTCAGTGACACGGTCCAGGCTGTGTCTACTGAAGCTCCTTCGGTGCTAGACTCGTTCCCGGTGCTGCCTATCAATGCTTCCCCCAAGTCACCGACGAAGCCGATAATCTCCGACAGTGACAGGCAGTCTTCAACTTTCCCTACGAGCATCGCACACGAGGAGACTAATGATGGTTGTACTTCCAAAAAGCCCCTTGAGAGCCCGATCAAACTATCCAAAACTCGGCCGGAGCGCTTGTATCTCGAACAGGAGAAATCGAAGTCTCGGGGCCGGCGGACGTCGGATGCCTCGTCTTTATCAGACTACCCGTCCCTTGTGTCAAGCCCCGAGGTTCACGAGCCTCAAACCTCTTCTTCTGATGGGACACCTCTGCTGCTTGAAACCCCTCCGCCATTCCACGAAGGCTATCAGTCATCCGACCCCATACCACCCGGTAGCGACCATACCCTGCGAGAAGATCGTCTATTCCGCCTAGACAACCAAAAGCCGTCACCACGCGCCAACTTCGCCCATAACCGAAACCTCAGTCTTCCCCTACAGCGCTTTATCAACGAAAGGCTGGAGATGAATTACGAAGATGAAAGCGGCAGTGATTTAGATGGCCCTAGTCACAACAGAAAATCAACCGATGTCTATGCGGATCTACGCCTCGGCCAGAAAAGAGCACTATTGCCTCCGCATAATGGCAGGTCCTCCATTTCGACCAATATTGCGCGACGTTCTGCGACCCAAATCCTCGATGCGCCTCGTGAAGAAAGCCCCAGACCGATCAGCAATGCCGCCCCTAAGGTTTTGTCTAAGGCTTGGGAGCACAGGAAGAGTTCCGCACCGAAGCATGCAAATCGCAGTGCTTTGAAGTCCGAACCACCTGCGCATTCGACCACCACGCGCTTGAGGAGACAGTTGACTGCGCATCCTAGCCTCGAAAGTATTGGGGCTTATAGGTCTAACGGTCGATCTAGTGATGAAGCCTCGTCGGTTACAGCTTTTTCCAAGCCCGGGTCTCGGCCATCTACGCCGGGCTCTCAGTTGAGGAAGCCCAGAGATCATCTAGACGAGAAAATCACCTCTATCCTGTCGACACTCCCTACTCGAATCCACCTGATGTCAGCTGATGAGAAAGACTTTGATCTTTCCTCCGTGGCGACATCAATTCCCTTGAAGGCCAGGGAACGATTCCGTTCTATATCGCCCCAGGGCACGCCGTCACGTAGTAGCACGCCCACTCCGTCCTTGACACTGACACCTGCCCCCTCGCGCAGGAGGTATTCTCATGCACACGCCCCCGAGGAGAGCTCCGTGAAGCTCTATCACCTGCATCGGGGGGGAAAGTCCGCTCCGACGAAACTTTTCGTTCGATCAGTGGGTGAAAGTGGGGAGCGCGTCATGGTTCGGGTCGGAGGTGGGTGGGCAGACCTCGGCGAATACCTGAGGGAATACGCCATTCACCATGGCCGTCGACATGTTTCAGACACGCCTCGTGTGGAGGTCCAGGGCTTGACGACCCGTACCTCCCCCACGTACTCCGCCAGTGGGCGCCGCACTCCCTCCCGCCCGCGGTCCGTCATCAGCAATCGGCCATCATCTTCGCTGGCTATGCGCAAGACCAGACGGACGTCGAACGTGTCGGATGTGACAGAGTTCAGGGCAGGTGGGGAGATGCTTAACGCCTCGTACTCACCTATATCGACGGTTTCATCGCGCAGACGACTGTCAGCTTCATCCAACGCCTCAATGGGCGCGGCCTCTTCAGCGAGCGAGTTCCGCCACGGATCATCGTGTTCTCCTTCTACCACTGCTGCTGGCGGTAGCTCCCATTCGATCCCGCTTGGCCTTGCAGGGCCAAAGCCACGGCCGAGACATGTCACCATCAGCCCAGAGAGTGAGGCGTGGGTCGAAGACGTTCTCGGCCAAGCTCGGAGGAGCTCGTCCTTGAGGCCGTACAACTATGTGCCGCCGCAGGACCAAGAGCCTGCATCAAGCAAAGCTCCCACCATCCCTAAATCCCGAAGCATCAGCGACCTTGGAATGGCTGGTTCTAGCAGGCGTGTCGCACTACGCGGGCTTGCAAAACGCTAAGCCCCTCCATACCCTCTACCTAATCCTAATTCTCCATACTCCGACCTCATCTACACTCTTTCTCCCTCCTCCCCGACCCCTTTACCTGCTTTGTCTACTAGTACTGGCGTTTGCCGTTTGCCTGGTGTTTCGGTGTGGACACGGGGTACTAAAAGTGTTAGACAGCATTGTCCGTTTTTTTTCGGTTGCATTCTCAGGGCGAACAATCTTTTTTCTTCTTTATCCTCTTCCTCCCTCTCATACCAGACATATACACCATATCGTCTTGGTTCATCTTCATTTACCAGTGCATCAGCGGGATTCTTTTCTTCCATTCTTGTTTCTTATCTTTCTCCATCCTTCTCTCTGTTGTTGGGGATCGTTTGATTAATTTTGGTCCTGGTTGACCGCATCTGTTTTACTCTATCTTGTCGACTCCTGTCTGCTTGTTACTTAGCCCTTGTGATTGTATGTAGATAGATACCCTTAAGTAAGGTTGGGTTCTTTTGCTATTGTTGTTGTTGTTATCGGTGGTGATGATGGTGGTTCTCGTGTTGCTGTTTCCTCCTTCTTTCTACCCGTTGTTCTTGTCTGTTTGTGTCTATACCTTTGATTGGAACAGAAAGGAGGATAGGCGTGATTGATTGGTGTATAGGGACAATTGATCTGTTGATACTGTTTTTAAGAGTGTAATTTCGTAAATAGAGTACCTTACTTATCTACTTACGATCTCATGAACGAGAGAGAACCATGATGACGGTATCGAATCAATTGTAATTCTTATTGCAATATATCAAAGTTGATCAAAGCGCAATATAACCGAAAGAAAAGAAATTAAAAAGAAACGCCACCCTTCCTTCCCATACCGGACCGACCAGCAATATCCAGATGTCCGTCCATCACATGATACAAACATGAAAGAGCTGCGTACGTAACTAGGGCATAATTCGTAATCGACGATATGTCGTTGACAAGAGCAGGGAAATAAAGAAAAGCTTCTCTACGAGGCCTCTCCTTCCGCAGATGATTCCTGTGGTTGTTTAGGAGTTGGTTTTCGTGCCCACGGAACGTTCTTTTGGAATAGTTCTCTTAGCTCTGGGGAGATAACCTGGGCATCTCCGTCATCACCGGGTGCTGTGCTGGGGCCGGCACTGACGCCACTGCTGTAGGCGGTGCTTTGCGGTCGCTGTGGCGATTTGCCCTTGTTTGGGCTTGCGGGGGAGTCCTGAGTAGGTTTGCGCTGGTGGGCTGCTGGTACAGGGAAGTTGTTCTTCTTATCGATGGCCTGGACGGCTCGCTCGAAACGGTGGAATAGCGATTCCGCGCGGGTGAGGATCGGGACAAGTTCCATTGTGTTGGAGAGCTCGTTGACTAGTTATGTTAGGACTTGTGTGTAGGGACTATGAGGGCGGCTGGCTTACTGTATTTTAGAACCTCGTCGAACTGCTTCAGGTGGTCCATGATGACGTCCCGGTGCTTTTCGAGGATGGCAAGTGCAATGAAAAGGTGGAAGCTGCTGGAAAGGTAATCGGTCCAGAGCGTTTCCCAAAAACGTAATACATCGACCCATTCGAACTCCCGCTTGTACCAGACCAAGAGCATCCGGAAGAAGAAGAAAAAGTTCGTGCTGTCAGCCGATTGGAGATGGAGGTAGAGCTGGGGATCCATGAGCTGGACGAGATGGTCTAGGGTGAGTAGCTGCGAACGCATGCCGGATTGATCACGAAGGAAGTTGCGTTCCTGTTTGAATGTATTAGGATGATACGTGTTGGTGGGAGCGAAATCAAGCTTACCATTCTGTCCATAAACCCAACGAATGCCCAGAATGCAACGGCATCGTCCTGCATGACGGCGTAAATTGGGGCTAGGAGATCGCTCATGCCTTGAACGTAGCCCAGATCAGGGTTGTATTCGTTATACGTAAGAAGCATGTCTTTCATCTGTTCAAGATGCACATTCGTCCCTGTGTCTGCAAATGGCGAATCTGGGTCCGGGTGGGGAATATCTTCCCCAGCAAACAGGGGTATTGTGCGGTCTGTGCGATGGACATCTTTCTCTGTTTGAATAGATTAGCGGAGGCGCAGTACCCTATGCTGCAAGAGAGACTCACCTATTCTGTTTCGTTGCTCTTTCCACCAGTCATACTCTTCCGTCGTAGAAGTGCCTTCAATCATTTTCTCCCACCAGGTACCTTTCAACCGGATGTACTCATCACGCTTTGAGTTCATCAACGCTTGCCGTTCCTCATGGCTGCTATCCCAGGGATACACTCCAAGGAGGAAGAGCCATGCTTCTTTTCTGACCCCGTCATTGGGATCTAGACCCCCGTGGAATATTCTTTCCTTGACTTCATCGACGGTCAAGTGCATTCTTCCGGTAATTGGGTCAAAAAACCCCTCCCACTCCTTCAAGGTAACTGTCTTCCGGCGTTCCTGAATGGACATGGTTCCTGTCTCGAGGTCAAGAATCTCAAATTCCCCGACAGAGCTATCCTCCATGCCAAGAACATCCCGTGCGGTCCATATGCGCTGGTTCCTTTCGCGATCGCTCTGTTCCGAGATACTCATAGCCCATCGGGCCAAGTACAACCTGGCGCTGTCAAATTCATCTTGTAAAGTTTGGATTTCAGGGGTTCTCATCAGGCGACGGACTTGCGGGGGTATGCGGGGATTGTCGGCTAACTCGTTGGCCGTGCGCCTTGTAAACGTCGTAATCTTGCTCAATTGCTCGAGAACTTTCCACCTTGTCTCCTTGAGCGCTTTCACAAATGGGTCCATCCCAGCATCTCGTTGCCCGCTTCCGCTTGCCTGCGGGAGGGGTTGATCTTGAGCCTTCGCTACCGAGCCATCTGCGCCTAGAGGTCGTCCAAATGATATACGATCTTCCTCAGATGGATTGATCAGATAAACACTGCTATCCACGGCGGAGCGCTGGACTTCCGCATACTTCCGAAGCCATCGCAAAACCTCATCGCCACCCCAGAAGACACTTCCGTCTTCACCAAACGGGTCGAAGCTTTCCCTAGTCCTCCTTTTTTTCTGCAGTATCGTCGACTCGCACTCAGTGTCATGGAAAAATAACGCGGGGAAGCTATCACCAGCGCGGGTGTTGATCACAAGGCTCCCAAACCACCAGCCCAGACTCGGAGGTCGTACAAGAAGCGAATAGATTTCAGATAGAGGCACAGCAAATGCATAGAGCCCTATGGGATCCTTGAATGTGGTTGTTGTCGGAAGTGCTGGCACGAGATACTTTTGCCGCGGAGGCGAGGAATCGTCTGATAGATCAACTTTGACATAGGTGCTGTAGGCATCGCCCAAGGAAGATTCGGGAACCCAGGCTAGCAGGTAGGACGAGATGTCTGACGGGGAGTTGCTAGAAGCGGTATTTCTGAAAGGGGGGAGAGGCTTTTGTTGGATGAGAGCAATGAATCCGGGGATGTTATCTTTCGAGGAAGGAGTCGGATGAACGTAGACCTGCGATGCTCGGGATCAAATGGGTTAGTCGTAATTTCTACCAATAGCGATCTGATCAACCTACCTTGCTCTTAGAGAATAGAAGTTTGACACCTCTGCGCGAGGTGGAATGAGAAATGGTGTTGTAGTCATCCTCCTCGTCGTCACTGACGTCGTAGTACGACGCCGTCGGGGAAGGCGGCGAAGGAGGAGGGGTGTATTTGATACCGTTGCCTGCCATGTCGGAAAGGAAGAGGCGAAGGGGTGAGTTCCACGGGGCCTGGATGATCAAATCCTGTTCATAATGCGAGCTCGACCTGGAGCTTGTTTTTCCCTGAAGCTGCTCTGAGAGGGTCGGGCAAGTCAGCCACCGGTCGGAGAGGAATTACGGAGGGAAAGCGAGTCACGGCCGGAGGTCACGACGTAATCGTAATCGTGTAATCGTGGGGTCCACCGTTTCCATGTGATCCCCTCTTCGCCTCACATCGCCTGCAACACGCAACCAGAAGAACTATTTACTATCCACATACCTTGCAGTGTGTTTTCTTTTTGGCAGCGTGTGTCGAACAATGTGCCCTGGGCAATGATATCTGGATGGATGAGTGGACGAACTGCTGCTTAAAAACCCCATCGCCACCGACCAAATCGGCGATGACTGATTTGTCCAGGCAGCAACAAAACTTCATAGAGAGAATCCACATCCAATTCTCGGGAGTCGACTAATAGTACCCAGTCAGATGGTTGGTAGGTGAACCTCATATCTTTACGCAACATTCCTTCAGCGGCAACTCTCTGCGGGCGCTTGGAAGGTTCCGGTTTCGTCCTTCGCACAATCATCACAGTATTCGGAGCGAAGCATCGATCTATATCTATGTCTCCTAGTCATCGGGGCGAATTGGAGGTCAAGGATATAACAGGGATCGCTTATCTCCAGCCATACCAAGCAACATAAGAATCACCGGGGCGATCCTACGTGTCAGGCTGCCAGGCTGTCAGGACACCAAGCGTGCTTCTGGCCCGGTTCCATATGACTTGTCGACCCTCGATCATTCGCCATTACTGAAAGTCTCGCATAGATCTGGGCTACTGGCGCACGGGATCTCATAGCTTCTTCAGGAAATGATTCGCCCATCCAATGGATAACTATTCCCCATACTCGCAGATATGCAGGCTCGAATGTGTGCAGCGGGCGCTTTAAATACCACACAGATTCACTTCATGCTGCCCTGTAGTGAAGTCGTGCTAGATAATTCTAGTCAAATAACAGCTTTAAATTATACACAATGTCCGGGTTTATGTGCACTTTGCCAGCTTCTTGGTACTGTAGTCTACCTCTCTATCAGCTTGAGCGAAGAGCTATCTTCTTGAAGGTAAGATACTATTATCTCTGCATCTCATTCGGACTCTAACGATTCCTCTAGTCTTGGTATCTCATGGGTCCTGTTACCAGATTTTGTGATATTGGCACCAAAGTTGAATATGAGATAGCCCAGCTACCAATTCATGTTTTCAGAAGCTCGGGAGATGGGCCTTTTCCTGGACAAGATGATATCCAAGTTATTTGTGCACAGAGTGTATGTCAGGCTCAACGCATGGACCAGACCGAGAATGCCTTCTTTTGAAGATTCTAGCAGTAGCTCAATCGAGCTTCCTGATATTGACCAAGTCTTAGGGAACACCTTTACAACATCATGTCACGCCCACCGGTCTTGTTTTCGCCACTTTGTCGGACGAAGCGCCCAGTTTCAACGAGTATTTCCCGGACTTGGAGCCATTGCTTGAGAAAGTGAATTTCACCAAGCTTCCGTATAGACACAGCATCAGATACGAAGGCCGATTTAACTGGAAGACAATGTATATCGCACTCTCCCTCGTATTCGGGATTGATCATGTCTCCTGACTTGGGTCCTGTAACAGGGTCGATGGTTACCAGGAATGCCTGCATTGCCAGTATACGCACCCATCATTTTCCATTTACTATCCCCCAACATCTTACGCGGTGCACAATCACCAGAACTTCTCCCAGCACATCGTGGACCCGGAGAAGCCCGATGACGGCCTGTTCCTATATTTCTTCCCGAATTGCACGTTGAATGTATATGGTGGAGGAATGTCCTCGTTCCGAGTCTGTCCAACAGATGACCCGAATGTGACAAGGATGGAGTTCGACTACTATCACATGGAATCCGGCGACAAGTTTGGTGAATACTTCAGATTTGTGCGTCAGGTCGCTATGGAAGATTATGAACTCTGTGAGAAGGCTCAAGACAATCTCACCAAAGGCATTTATAGCGAAGGGATACTCAACCCCGAGAAGGAGAGTGGGGTCTCCTGTGAGTAATCTAAGATGTTGTTATCTTCCTCTTTTCGAGCTAATCCGAGCCAAGTTTACCAGGATCGCGTGTTTGAATTGGTATGTCAGCAGCACGCGGCAGATGGACTGGAAAACGAATGCAAAGAGGCGGGATTTGATAATCAAAAGAGGGGGCCGGAGGGTATCACGACAGGTGCGTGAGACAAGGGAACATGGCGTCGGGACTATGCACGTTCTTATCAATGACGTGGAGTCAAGGAGATAATATTTCATAAGGCCTAGCTCATGTAGTGATTTCTATCGCTTGTAGCGATGAGGCGATAAATGACTCTCAGCTCAGGAGACAAACTCAATATGATGGAAATTTGGCTTTGGCGCACGTTGCTGGAAAGTCTCACCATATTTGGAAGGTCAATACAGGCAATCTTGCTTTGGCGCATGGCCATCGGATAGCATTGAGGCCTCTAACTGGACGCGGCGAGGGCACACATGCAAATCAGCGGAGACGACAGGGTCAGTGCTCGGTTCTTCACGTTGCTTGGATTTGTCCATAAGAAGTTCCCATGTTATCGTAAAAGCGATGCGGATCTTTTCAACAGTTGTGGTCCACAAGTTACTGTCGAAATGATCATGGAAAGACTGAGCTCGGCTCTCTCGCCGGCATTGTCCGCCTCGGTACTGGTTGCATTGCTGGTGGGGTTGATTTTCCTCCTCCAAGCCTTCTCCCGACCTCGGTTTGGGGGACACAGGTCACGGCATGAAACTGAGTCGAAGGTATTTGACCTCGGACCTGCCAAGGAAGGCAATGATAATATCGTATCCAAGGAGTCGGACTTTCCAGAAGACTGGTGGACTGGCTCTAACGTCTTTGAGCTGGAAAGACGTGCAATCTTTGGTAAGGTATGTTCTTCACATTCATTGACTTACATTAGGCATCAAACAGGCTGCTCACCTATGACCAATATAAGAGATGGTTGTATATTGCACACCGCAGTCGATTCTCCAAAGCAGGTGACTACCATTCGTTTGAAGTAGCCGGCATTCCAATCTTCCTGGTGTTGGGGAAAGATGGCAACGTGCGGGCGTTCCACAATGTCTGCCGCCATAGAGCATACACAATTACGAGGAAAGAGTCGGGCTCCTCCATGGTTCTTGGGTGCCGGTATCATGGTTGGAGCTATAACACCAATGGGCAGCTCATTAAAGCCCCTCACTTTGACAACGTCTCAGGCTTCGATAAGTCGCAGAATGGCTTGTTTTCTATTCACACCACTACAACACATGCGGGCTTTATCTTCGTGAATCTCGACGCATGTCCCACAGTACTTCCTGTTGAGACAAGTTCTCTTGATTCCTTCGCGAGCAGGTATGGAATTGAACGACACTCCACTTGGTTAGGAGGGCAGACAATTGAAGGCCAATTCAATTGGAAACTGAGTTGTGAGCTCCCTCTACAACTTCTTGTGTTGTAACTATCATGTTAAGGATTAAGCATCTAACATGGTGGATGATAAGTGAATTTCCAGAGGTTCATCAAAAATTCGAAACATGAGCACGAAGCCCCTCAATCGAAGTATAAGTGTTTGTCATCGCGCTTGTTCAATCCTTCCCGAATGTGCTTGGCAGATATTAGAGTCTTCCCTTTTACGACCTTTCATACGATTGAGGGGACGAAATCTTGGTATTCGTTGAGCTTTGTTCCCATGTTTGAGAAAAGGACATTGGTTCGATTCGACTTATACTCTCACGGAGAAATGGGCGGTCCTAGGTCTCCAGCAATACAAGAAGATCTATTTACCCACCTGAGCAACAGTATCCAAACACTTGAGATGGAATTTCAGTCATACTCTGGGAATGCCTTGTATGTTCTACAACCATATAGTCAAGTTGAGGGCTAATGAATGGATTGTTTGGTTAGGCCGCTCACTGTTATGGCTTCGGCATTCAACCCAACTGTCGCAGGTAAACTTATGGATGAGCCTTCCCAGCCATTCTCGTGACCAAAGCGTTTCTAAGAGACTCTTTTTTGAATAGATGCGCAGGGGACGATCCTCGATATTCTGAGATCTCACGCCAGGCTAGAAAAACAACGAGGTGCTGAGGTGTTTCCTGCTACGAGGAAGCCAAGGAGGAATGCACGATTTGAGCAGGCTGAGCAACGTCAGTCCTTTCCTTCTTATTTCAGGGGTCTTCCTGTTCTGCTAAACTAGGTTTGCAGTCTGCAAAGACCTCGATTGCCAAGACACTTGGAATCGCAAAGGTCTCGCCTGGTGAGTATGCACGAAGTACTAGTGGCTGTCTGTATGACCACTTGGGTCAGTCGGATATAACTCGAGAAAGCCGGCACCACTTATTAGTTGTTGTTGACGAACTCAGCTTTTACTTCTTTATACTTTTGATTCATGCAATGGTGGCATCAATCAACCCGAAGCAGCCATGCTGGCTGTTTCATGTTCTATTCAGTTCAATGCATTTGTTTCAGGCCGTCCGGGTTCCTCCGCCAATAAGACAAACCGTGATCCAGCAAGGGGTTGCAGGGATTGAAAATCAAACCCCAAGAATTTATGCCGCTGGAGAAGAAGGGCGGAGGGATAAATCTGAGCTTGAAGATGGACCTGTCCGCTGGAAATGCTTCTTGGAACTCACCGAATGGTGTGGGGTGGATCCAAATTGCACAGGGTCCAGCGGCGGGCAGCGTGTCAACCTTCCCTTTTCTCCCACCCCACTGTCAAATCAGACCGATCGCTCGGTTCTGGACCTGCAACTCCCACAACCCTATAAAACGCTCAAACCCGGACCAGACACAAAAGATTCTTTGGTTTCTGTTGCTGGATTCGCTTAGATTCTGACTCGCTTGTGAAGGGACACACTTTTACCCCCGTAAATACTCCACGGCTCTAGGTAGAGCGATCGATCTAAGATCCTGAAACGATCTAAGCCCTGAAGATCGTTAACTCCTTCGAGGTAATCCCAATTGTTTCCTACCACGTGGCTCAGAGCTGATACCGGAATGGGCATATCTAGTCCCTAGCAGTACAAAGTATCGAACCTGTGGGACACCGGGTACCTGCTATGGTTTTCCCTCCGATAGCAAGGGCGACCTTGCAAGCTGCGCTAATTAATGCCGGTTCCAATATCCTGGCACAGGCCATTGGTGCTTATAGGGACGAGGTATGTTGATGTATTCCTCAAACAGCATGAAATCCCGGTATCGAGAACTCAGGGATAATGCTGTATACCCGTAAAGGTATACGTATCACCTAACTAACAAATGACACGTTTGATCGGCGAACCATGGGGGCGGTATCACGGCATACCTCCTTGGTTGCCGACGGTGTGATGTCTACAGAGACCCTTTGAACTGGACAGCCAAGCCTTGTTTCAGTTCACAACATGTGCCTTCATCCTATCACCGTTGACTTTCCTGTGGCTTGAGGGACTCGAATCAAAATTCCCGGGTCACGACGATACTTCCGCCCCTAGTCCTAAATCAGAGAAAGTGAAGCACAAGCCTCAGCTAAATTTTACAAATACTGTCGCCAAAATCGTCATCGACCAAATTGTTGGAGGTGCCTGGAACACGGCAGCCTTCATCATGACCATGGGATTCCTGCGCGGTCAGGACTGGGATACCATTCTGCAGCAGACCCAAAAGGTCTGCTTTAGCCCCAATTTAGGTTTGACACTGGGTTGCTGACATGGAATCAGGACTTCTGGCCCATCATGGTGGCAGGGTTCAAGCTGTGGCCATTCGTCTCCGTTCTAAACTTTACTGTTGTGCCAACAGATAAACGGCTGCTTGTTGGTAGCCTATTTGGTGTGCTCTGGGCTGTTTACTTGAGTTTGATGTCTGGTTGATATTATTCGAGTTTGCCTCAAGGGGTCGTCCGAATTTGTTTCCGAAACCCGTGCTGCAAGACCTAATTAGAACTGAGTTGGGTATCAGCGAGTCACAAGGCTCGGGTGCTTTCGTTGTTGGCTTAGCGAACGTTGGATAGACAAGCCACTATTTGCATTCGATATATGCCACGTATAACGTTAGCAGGCAAATTTTGGGGCATACCCCAATTGGGTCAACCCAGTAGGGGAAGTGATGGATAGGCAACCACATACAACCGACAGGAGCTTTCTCAAAGCTTGCGGGGAAAGGGGTCGGGATGGAATTAACGGCGGCACGCTAGATAAATAGCATCCTTCACGCAACATTGATAAGACTGTTGAGCAACACGTTTCTCATTTTGGCCCCCATAGTCCAATTCCCGGGCTTCTGAGAGTTACGATAGTAACAGCCTAGCCCAGTTCAAGGCCCACACTCATTCTGGGGCCAAATTATGTACAGCGGTACACCTAGCATACCTAGCCCCGATGCTGTCCGGAGAGAAACAGTCCGGATCAGTCCGGGTGTACCTGAACCATAACCTTAAACGGCAAACGGTATGGTGAGCGAGCGCAAGTCGAATCCACCCTCCCATAAATTGGCCCATGTCCCCATGGAGCAGGTCCTCGAGGCCAATCTGCGTCGAAGGAACCCATATGTTACCCAGGCGCTAACACGACTAGGCCACACATACAAGAACGTGCTATATTTGGGCTTATCTGCGGGCGATACTTGCAAACTGGATGAGATTGAAATCCGCCGCACCTTTGCTGAAGCCAACGTCAAATGGCCGTAGTACTACCACTGGGTAACTGTTTGTTTGTGAGGTAAGTACTGCATGAAGGCGGAGCAGGTGCTTATAGTATGATACACAGTTTGAGAGTTGGAGTACATCTGAGACGGCGGGATCGACTGTTGTTTCAAACACAAACGCATTGACGTTGAGACCACGGCGAACCCGCGAACCCGCGAGAGACAACGGCTGGTCAAGAACAGTGATGGATGGATCGTATGCATGACACCCTCGATTCTTATTAAGATACCATCCCTTGTCATTGCATGCAGGAGTGTACTCCGAAGTCCGAACATTGATTGATTCGACCATGGCGGGTGCCCGCCTGGGTTGTATGAGCAGGGATCCATCCCGCGTACGCAATCGGTCGGGGAATTGTGACCTCACTCCTATTCTGATTCCCGGGTCTATTGATGAAGCACTGCCCGGGTACCACTGAAGCCATGGCGATTGGCTTGCGTTGAGCGTCTGGACTCGAAGTCAAGTCCCGTTACGGGAGTACCTACTGCCGGGTAATTAATAGATCAAGGCTGTGGCTGCAGTCTGCTGCACCATGGTCACATGGGGGATAGATCCCTGAGGAATGGCGATCAGGAGGCTGGTGGATGGCGCAGCCGTGACTATTCATTTCCACGATGGCCCTTTTGACGATGGGGGCTACATGATTATTGACTCAAAAGAGACCGGCAAACTCCCTGCAGTGTCGATGAGGCGTGTAAGGCATTATTCGGCTGAGGGGGATCCCTGGAAAATTACCGATCATTTTTGTACCTACCTGTAACAATACCCGACCGGGTGTGGCACTCGGATCCGGCCTAGTCGCACGGGCTAGTTTTGGCCCCCGCGGTTTAGCCCAGGCTTGAGTAGGTACTGTCAGTTGTCAGTGTCGAGTGTCGAGTGTCGACTCTCCAGGCGATCCATTCTTCGTCCCACCCTCCATCAATCAGTCCATCGATCAAGACACACTTCCCCATCACCCATCACAACCCCCCCCCCTTTCCCTTCAGGCCTCCACTCAGCGTATCGCAACACTCACCCCCCCCCTTATTACTCCGTAAATTAGTTGGCGTCATGTCGCCGACCTCCCCAGCGGATTCCCTCCGACACAGGGATAAGAAAAGCGTTCCCCGGCACGTGGAGAATGCTAGTCAGACCCCATTCTTACTTAGCTAGGACCTCAAATGGCAGACGTCCTTCCTATCTGTTCCCATATTTCATCGCCGTGCATCTCGGATCTCTTTGTTGGTAGCTAGTCATATGGTCCGTCCAATTCCTCTTTCTTTGTTCGCCCCCTCGGCGTTGGCTATCAGTATACCAACCCTTAACATTGCGCTATTCATCGCCTCTTTGCGCTAACCTTTTGCGACAGCCGGGTGTGTCACTATTGCTGAAAGAACACGCACAATCCCTGGAGCCTCGTTCAGTTCTCGGTCTAAGAACAATTTTTCTCGGATTCGTTTCCAGCACAACGGTTCTGTCTTAGCCCGCTTGGGTTTCGAAAGTCCTTCAGCTGGGCTGGCTTCTAAATTTACGAAAGGTACCGCAAATAACATTGTCGGGTTTGACAAAGAAAGCAACAAGTACATCGCCTTAGAGACCATGTACATGACCAGAAACAGACGGGTACACTGTTCCATATGACAACGGACGTTTTGTATAGGTAGCAGCCAATTGTCACTATTGAACCAACAAGACGCCCCGTCGGTACTTGTTACCTCGATTTGGAAGGCTGGCCTACCTCGGATAGGCTGTGAACACTTGATAGAGGGCTATATAAGATCCTGAAATGCCCAGGATGGAGATACTACACTTGCCCGACCACACTTCATCCGGCTTACAACCCTCCGGTATCATAATGGCATCAAAGGCTCATCATTCAGAAGACGAGATATCGGATAGCGCATACGTGGTCGATGAAAACATCGAGGAAGAGGAAGAGGAGGACGACGACGACGTCTCTATTTCGCCTATATCTGAAAGGGCTCCACCATGGTCAGGAACTCGCTGGGCTCGTTTCTTCCCTGAGCTATCCTCTCACTTCTCCTTGGTTTCTCCGACGAACAGTACAACCCATCTTCTTTCTCAATCTCACATGAAGGGCGTACCTCATGTAGATAGTCAACTACAACCACTAGAGGGAGTGAAAGGGCGTTCTTCTTTGTCATCCGAAGAAGTGGCAGATAACAGGTCGTCGAGTTACACTAGCAGGTCATCCTTAACGAGTCAGGGGTCCGAAGTTACATCACCAGTTCATAAGCCGGTGGACAGCTTTCATATGGCATCCTCCGCTGGGACTAGCGTGTTTGACGAGTCAAAGTCTGAGCAACGAATTCCTCGTCCGTTACAGAAGCGGCCTTCAATTGCCCAGTCTAAAGACAAGCCTCTTCCTCAGGAGCCACCTATTGAGTTAACGCCACTATCAATTCGCCATAAGACGTCCCAAACTCTGGATAGGGACCTCGATCATTATGCCCGCTTGAACCCTCCACCGCGCTCTATATTACAACCAAGCTATCATCATTCGACATTGTCACAAGCGACTAACGACCTGGAGAGGACTTTGGCAGGACTCACTGAGCAGCGACAGGTGCCAGAACCACTTTCACCTCGCGCTCCTCTGCAGGTCTTCAATGGGCCTTTGCAAATTAGTAGAGGCAACATGGACATGGTTGCTACGCGACCAGCCCCTCGTCCCCCTGCTAACGTGCATGAAAGCCAACAGATCCGCAAAGCCAAATCCCGCGAAGACACGAAACAAACAAAGAAACCACACAAGGCCAAGCCACCTTTTTCCTTCACAGTGCCAAGCTTCGGTCGGAAACTTAGCCGTGCCCACCAACGATCTACTAGCAACTCTAGCTCAAAGTCAGAGCCCGAGTCCTCTCGGGCCAGTGTCCTACACCCGCCGGTTGTCTTCGAACTCGGCAACAGTGAAGTCGCTGAGCTACAAGGGTCTTCAATCGTTGCCTCTGAGGGAAGGCCTGCATCTGCAGGCGGCGAGAAGGGGCGTCGGATGAAGCTCCCCCGCCTTCAAACAAAGGAAATGGGAACACTCCGCCGAGAAAGCATAATGCGCCCTTTCAACTCGACGGAAGGTCGGGTCCCCAACACTCGCAATCATCCGGAACAGCAGGGAAGGCCATGCGAAAGAGCAAGGAGCGCGTCCCTCAACGAAAAGTATTTTGTGTCATGCAGTAAATCCGGCGAGACGCCAGCAAAGATTACTCGTCAGGATAAACAAGTCTCTGGAACTTCAGCAATGGTATATGAGTTGGAGGCCAGTCTCCCATTATCCCCAGTCGAATTGCAGGGCGATGCCACGACCCCAACCTGCAAATCCGTGGGGGCGATGCCTACTACACTGCCTGTTCGCGTCGTTTTATCGATCTTGGAGCAGGTCAATTCACTTGATGAGCTTTTCAATGTTGCAGTTCTTCGCAGAGATTTCTATCGAGTGTTTAAGCAACACGAATTGAGACTCATGCGAAGGGCTGTGTTCGAAATGTCTGCGCCAGCGTGGGAGTTGCGTGAGATGAGCCCCCCATGGGACACCGAATGGCAAACCTTATTAGACCCTGATGCCCCGGTGCCAGAGTACACCCCAGCCTGCTATCTCAAGCGCTATGCTCAAGATATCTACACACTGGCTCATCTCAAGTCCCTTATATTAGCTCGGTGTGGGAGTTTTCTGCGCCCAGAAACGATCCGTGGGCTATCCGGCATGGATGATGACCGTGCCACGCAGATTGATGATGCCTTTTGGCGTGTCTGGACTTTTTGTCGTATCTTTGGATCTGGGAAACATAGAGAGGGAGACATTGTGGGACAGTTAGATTGGCTGAGGGGCGGTACCGTGGCTATGAGCCGATGTGCCTCGGTGGCCACATCTATAACTGACCCGTATGACGCAAACAGCGTTTTATTCGAGCCTCCTGTTGGGTTCGGGTACGGTAACAAAGGCCCTTTATCAAAGGACCAACTTCATGATATGACCGAGATCTGGACCTGCCTAGGTGTGCTGCTTCAACCAATGCACGGTAAGTGTAGTGAAGCGCGGGCTGCTGGAATCTTCGATGGGCACGATGTGGCAGTGAATGATCCTGCAAAGGAAGCAGCAATTTTAGGTGAGTAAATCGCATCTTTTGGGAGGGCTATTGTCGGGTTTGTGTTGTTACAGAAAAGCTAATACATCAACACAGAAGAGTGGACTTACTACATCCTCACGCTTGGGCTTTCGGCGGTCTTGATACTCGGTTCGATCCATGCCTATGATAACACTGCTGTGGTTTTCCAAAGGGCTCAATCAATGGGCCTAACAAGATGGGAACCCTCCGACACTGGTGCCAGCCGTTCCACGTTCCTCAGGGAGGCTGTGTCGAAGGCCTATCAGCCACAACGAAGTATTACGTCTCAAACATCTTCATACTCTCCTTGTCTTAACTCCCAACTATCCGGATCGCTCGTCAGTCGGGAAGGCTCTCCAACGACCAACAGCCCCGGTGAAAGAATGCCTTCTCCTGACTTTCACCGCCGACGACAAGCCGCCTATTCTGCCCAAATAAAGCACCAAAGGCAGCAGCAGCAACTGAGTCCACCCATTGTTATGCCCGCGGAAGAACGGCCAATATCTCAGTATGCAACAATCATGAGCCGCTTGGAGGCTCTCCCGCTCGCGCCACAACCCCCGATGTCCATGTCAAGGATGGCAACGTCACCTACGACGCATTCCTATGTATCGAACGTTCATTATATGCAGGCACCCCGGCTGGTTATGCCAGTCATGCCAGTCTATCAGCCACAGGTTCGCGACCCTGTTGATCGGGCTCTCGACACAATGGTCCGGGAGCTTGGCTTTGAAGAAGAAAAGGCCAAGTGGGCCCTTAAGGTAACAGACAATGGCGAAGGGATAAACGTAAATGCAGCAATATCGTTGCTCGTCAGAGAACAAAAAAGCCATGGACAAAGCCACAGGGGCTTCTCTTTGAAGAAGCGCAGGAGCTTTCTGTCATCGGTCATCAACAGTCCGGAGTCGCGATATTCAGGCTGGAAATTTGCTTGAGCAGCCTGCTATTCCTTCAAAGACAACAGCATATGCAGTTGCACAGTGCACATCCCGCATCGTATTCTACCTCCGCCCTACGATCTGTTCCATCTAGGGGTTTTCTCGATTCCAAGGCGTTTTTTTTTTTTTTTTTTTTTTTTTTTTTTTTTTTTTTTTTTTTTTTTTTTGATACCACTCTGCACCATCGATTTCTCTCCTGTTCCGCGTCTGCTATTAGCGTGTACTATTATTTCATCCACCCCTAGATTTTCGGCAGAAATATCTATGAAAATATGTGGTTCTAGATTCGTACAATGGTCATCAGTATAATGCTGGCGAGGGTTTGTCCATACCAAGGGGAAGGGTATGACATGATTTCACAGCCTTCTCCCTACCGAGGGATGTTCTCCCTGGAATCGATTAGCATCATTTCTACCCTGGGCTCATGAGGCCATGGCATATTGGCATCCCCTTCATGAAGGGGATGCCCCGCGACTTATAATAGTATCTGGAGGGAGGGCAGAGAATTCCAAAAGATGAGGCAGGCTTCTCGTAGGCTGTTTGCAAGGAGCCCTATGAGAGGCTATGAAGTAATCTGTGTTGGATGTTCGCAGATCACTCGTATCCTCCGAGAAGAACGCCACCTAAGTATTATCCTTCGGGCGGGACGCGACGCAAAGCCCATCCACGTATGATTCCTGATCGGAGGCGAAGCCGTCCTTACAGGCCAGCGGCCATTCCGAACCGTCTCGGCCCAACCTTCCTTCCTGTCCACCTCACCGCGCCAGAAAGGCAGGAGGGCAAACAGGCTTTGAAAGCCATCGTCGGTCGCGGGCGTTCTTCCCTGGAGTCCTGGAATGTATGGCCACGGCATCGACCAAAAGGGCGAAAGTTAATTCTATTTCGGATCTGACAAATCCGGGCATGAAACACACTTCGACACTATTGTCTCGGGACGGCTTCGACGCACATCGAACCCTTTCTCGTCGTGGTTCTTCGGGTGTTCTATTCTAGTTCGCAGGTTCCTCCGGCATCTTTTATGCAGGCTGTCATGAACACGGTGAGGTCAAATGGATCTGGTTGCACGTACATGCGTGCTCCAGCTGACAGTCAACAGTCCAGCATACTTATCTATTGGAATCTCGGCCTTGACATGTCCCTAAAGCTTGTCGACCAGCATGGATATTGCTGGAACTATCTCGTGGTCCAGTCAATTATTGGAAACTCCCTGACGCGTTTGTGATATGTCAACTCGGGACGCGACGATCCCCAACGAGGACTTGCTGGGTTGGGCCTCCGCCAGAGGCGGGACTCATTCCTGGCGATATGACAGGTGATACGCCAATGGCATTGCTTGAGGAATGAGATGAAAGGGCCAAGAACAAAGAAAAAAAGAAAAAGAAAGGAAGGATTGGATATATCTATGCCTTGACTCCGGGGCAGAGATAATGCGGTGAGGGCGGAGAAACACGGATATGGATGTTCCCCCAGTTCGTTGGATGCAAGGGGGCCGGTGGTTTATTGAAGGGAGCAAAACGAGGGGAAGCCTGGCGGCTTCACTCACTGGTTACACCAGGGCGGCCCGTCAGTTCGTGGAATCAAAGATGATGTTGATGCAAAGAAGGAGAGCAGCACAGCCTGCCAACCGACCCTGTCGCCCATCCCTCCCTCGGCACATCGATCAATCGATCATTCAATATATCACCTTCTTCTAAACTCAACCGCCTCCTCTCCTTCGCAAGCTTTGTTCCAGACTAGCATGCGAGGGATGACAGGCGTTAGCGCGAGAGGAGAAACTTCCCCAGTCCCTCCAAGGAACCACCAAGTATGCGGCACCGCCGTTTACTTCTAACGAAAGACCACCGACTGACCTGCATATGTAGTATGTGCGCCAGCACGTCCAACAGCTCATTAAAAGTGACGCCTCATCCTGTCTCTGATGTTCTGTTTCTTTCCGACATCTGCCTGAATCGACTTGCCGCAAAACTTCGAGGTTGTCTTCCCTCCCACTCTCGTTTCCTGGTGCATCCTCTACATTTCCCTCCAACATGACGGCGGAACACATTTTCGACGCTAACCCGTCGGTCCAGAGGTACCTTTCCACATTCCTTCGCTTCCATAGATGCACTTCCAACTAACCAGCTATACTGGTTGGCTAGAGATTTCGGCGACCCTCGAGGGCTGCGGACCGAGGCCAAGCGACAAGTCGAGAATGATATCGTCTTACGATATCCAATCCGAGGCGCTCCCAACAGATTCGAAGCGAAAGGTCGTATACTAAGAGCCTCGGACGTGTTATTGTCGTTAGTCGGTAGATCTACGAGCGGTATGCTGCCCCCGGCTACCTACATATCAATGCATCATGTGGATGGATTTGCAGCGACTAATCCGGGGTTGGTCCGAGCAATAGAGCAAGACGATGCATCTCCCGGAGTTACGAGCTATGAGGAAGCCTTACGCCTATTTCCTCCGGTTCGAGGCGAAGACGGGCTTCCATTGAATGCAGTAGATGTCAACTGCCCCGATTGCGATGCGGTATTCTCTTCATTGTACGGCCAATCTCCCACATTTCCCCATCGAGTCGGACGTTAACAAGTCATACAGGAATGAACTGAAACAACATTATCTAACGAATTATTGTCCTGGAACTGCGATCGCGGTCTATGTGATGACGCGGGATCGGTATCTAATCCTTCTTTGGCATATCCAAACAGGAATGCTGATAGTATCTACTGTTCTAGTCTGATCACAAAAGGGTACCGCGTGGAAAAACGCTTTATCCCTCTCAACTCTCGCCCCATCTGTTTCTTCTGTGGCAACTGTGAGAGGTTATTCACATTCGGTGATGGAGAGGAAGGGCTTGATCGGCAGCGAGGTAGGGTGTCTTATTCCATTGTCGCAAATTAGATCTAACAAATTACTAGATGTGCCCTTCGTTGTCGACTGCAAACATTGTGGAGAGCAATGCAACGTCTCGTTAGTGTTGCCCTTGAATTGAGCTTCTATGTGCGCTGAGAGCAGCCGCTGACGTCAAATTGTAGATATGAGCCGATTTTGAACGATCCGCGAGACGACATTTTCAGGAGTACCCCGAGAGAGATAGCCAGTGCGAATCATAGTCGAAGTTCCAGTTTTACGCAAAGGGGCCCCGTGGGCTCTAAAGTCCCATCAACATCCGGGTCTGGAGAGCAGTCGTTTGCGAGAAAGGCCAGAAAGCTAAGAGATTCATGGTCATTCCGAAGTATGCCTGTTCCAAACAATTTGTTATTTTTCAGTACTGACTCTTGTAAGAGTTCTCGCCTGGAGAAGAGGACGAGCTGGTTGCGATCGGCTTTTCAGGGCTATATGACCTGGAACGAGGTATGTCCTAGGGCTCTAGATTCAGATCAAGATGCTAACCTCTGATAGCACACGCCCCCAATGGCATTTATCGGCATCCCGAGGACGATAATGAGCCCCGCAAGGCCCAGTCAACAATGAGCTACGATCCGAGTGGTACATCAATACCAGATGAAGTAATTCTTGCTGGCAGAGCCATAACTGACTATGGAATCACAGGAATTCATCGTGCCGGATCGATTGAGACCAAGGAGACACTCTGTGAAGAGGAAAGCGAGCAATCTAGAGGTGGCTTGACAGATTCTGAAAATGAACCGTTGGATGACCAGAAAAGCCCTCAATCACAAGCAAGACCCTCTTGGAGACAATCGTTTCTACAGAGATTATTTGGTCGCAAAGTTCCAAAGGGTTAGTATCCAGAACTCAATGACCAGAGCTAGCACTCACTATTGTAGGCGTGTCACGAGCGCGGTCCACCTCAGATCGGGGCAAGAAATTGATCAAGAGAGCGAACACTATACGGTTCTCTTTTGTCACTAAATACGCACGAAGCGAAGGGAGAGCGACTACACGGAAAAGCGACATAATATCGACAGATGCGCGAAAGCAGGCAACAGACGCTACTCAGGAATCTATCGCAGATACCGAGTATATGGCCTTGCTACGGGGATCTCAAAACATCTTCATCCACACCCAACACATCTCAGGAGGGGCAATTGTCCATGATGCATCCGGCCGTCAAAGAATACTCAAAATCGACGAGATTGCGCAGCTTTTCTTGCTTATGAAAGACGAGCTTTCGGCTGCAAGCATCTGGGCTCGTATCCTCACCACCCAAATGCGCGCTGAGACTGCCCTGAAACAGGACAATCTAGACGCTGCTATTGCCGAACATCGTACTGCCTTACAGATGCTCGATGAGACACCAGCATTGGACATTGACAAGCAGTCACGCGCGGCAATTCTACACTCCCTCGGACAAGCGTATCGCGATCTCGAAAGGATCGACGATTCAGAGGGTTGTTATCTCGAGGCATTGGGACTCATCAAGCGGACGTTTGGGCGCGACCATCCTAACAACTTCGCTATCTTACACGACCTGGGGACATTATTCGCCAAAGCCGGATGCGCCACAAAAGCATTAACCTTATATGAGCGCTCGTTTGCAGGTCGCCTGAAGACACTGGGCCACAACGCCCCAGAGACACTAAGAAGCATGCAGGATCTTGCCTCTCTGAAAGTCTCACTAGGTGATTCCGCAGCGGCCCTTGTACTCCTGGAGAAAGCAGTTCCGGCACTCGACACAGTATTCGGGTTGCAGAATGAAACAACATTGAGCGCAAAAAATCAACTATCACTCTTATATCACAGATTTGGTCTAAATAAGGAGGCACGTACGATTTGCGGCCGGACTATCCCATATTACAGGGCAGTCTTTGGCATTACGAGTCCCATCACAAGAGAAGCGATTTTCCGGTACATTGTATGCTCGGAGAACTTTGACTTTCCCGTTGAGATCAAAGACATCCTCGACCAATATCAGCATTCACAGGATTCCGACGCACTTCGGGTCATCCAACGTCTGGGGGAAGCATACCTAACTGCTGGTCTTATCCGCGATGCCGCAGACCTCTATGAAGCTCTAGTCGAAGACTTCTTGGCCGTGAAAGGACCCGAGGCAATAGAGACATATGACGCTCTCAGTGCCCTCTGCATCGCTCGGGAGCAGCTTGATTCCCTCGATAAAGCCATTCTCGCATACAAACAGCTAGTCTATATGGTACGAAGAACCCCAGGACATTCCTACATGCAGGAGAAAATAGTGTTCGCCGAACAGAGGATCTCCAGCCTCAACCGCCGACGAGACATGCTCTCAGGAGAGAGGAAAGAATGGGCATTGCATGAACCCAGACCGTGTGAGAAATGCAGCACTTCCACCACCACCCTCTGCAACAGTAAGTTCTCCTTCCTCCTCACAACCCTCCCTAATCTAACATACCGACCACCACCAGCCTGCATGATCTTCCGATTCTGCAGCGACAAATGCCACAAGTCCGCCTCCCCATCCCACGCTCCCCGATGCATCCCCTCCGTCTCATTCCTCGAATCCAAATCCCTCATGATGAAACACAAATGTCCCATCCCAGCCCGCGACCTCGCCATCACCAAGATCCGCCAACTCAACAGAACCAAACCCGTCAGCATCACTGCCAGCCAAGCCATCCTCCTCGATTCCCGCAAATTCACCACCTTCCGGATGAAGCTCAATCCAGACGTCAACACCGTCATCGTCTTCTCCCAGGATGCCGACATCCGCTACACGACCATCCGTCCCTCCTCCTCTCCCCCCACCAAGGAAATCCAATGGACCACCCCCGAATGTCAAGAATCCATCTGCCACGCCCCCGCCGACAATCACGAAGAAGAAGAAGAAGAAGGACAGTACCTTCTCGTCGCCCCCGGCAAGAAAATGCTCCGCGCCATGATCGACAAACGCGTCCGAGTCCGTGGCGGCGGCGGTGAAGAACACCGTTTCCGATCCCTGGATATCCCCAACGAAGAACTCATAGAGTTTGCCCAGGGTCTAAATCTAGGCAAATATCCTTTTGAACCGTTCATGTATATTTTTGAGTGGGTTTGGAAATGATTGCTTGATTTTGTTGTGGTTTGAAACGAAACCTCTCGGGATTTACCTTCCTTTCTTTCTTTGTCTTCCTAGGTTGTTTAGCTGATTGTGTGATTGGGGTAAATTATTGTTGTTGATATACAAGATCTGACTTACTGACTAGATTATATATTTGGTGCAGTGGCTTGTTGGTTATATGTGTAGTCCTTGAGATGTCTCCATGCCTACTACTTACTATTTCCGGTTATATATAATGTTGGGATGTTTCAAATGGAGATATTTATGTTATGTCATTTGTTTCACTTTATTTTCACTTCACTTCCAATTTACTCTTCCTTCTCTCGTTTTTCCTTATTGAGAATGAGAAGCGGAGCAAGCTTGAAATATTGCGCTGTCATTGTTTACTACTTGTTGATACCATTAGTGTATTACGGTAGATTTCGCTTGATGTTCTTAAATCCGTCCGTGCATGTCTTTTTATAGGAATCAGGTTCGGGTCCCTCTCCAACAACAGATTAAGCGAGTATGTAGATATGTACAGGGAGCGCTGTAATAGATTCGAACAGGAAATGCAACAATTCGGGTCTGTAGGTCTAGCAAGGTACATGAACAGAAGTCTAAATCCTATTGATACAGCTTGAAAGACGGGGGAAAGAAAGAAAGACTCGCACGGTCTAGAGTGATCCGTAGCTCTTGGAATCAAGTCTCGCCTTCAGACCAACATACACACGACGCCAAACACCATACATGTATGCATTGGAAAAGAATGATATCGCGCGTAAAATCAAGCGCTCCGGGTGGCGAGGATGCTTTGTCTATAAAACTGTAAGTAATATCGTGAGGTCGTAAAGATTATTCTTTTGTTTCTCTTTATAAAATGAGTGGATGCCCTCATGGGCCGGAGGGTTCGTCGTCGTCGGACTTGTCACTGTCATCGCTGTCGCTTTCCCAGTCGTCGGCCTCCAGGGAGCGGCCTCGGATCCCGAAACTCAGGATGAATCCGACAAACGATACGGCGGCGAACACGCCGAAGGGCATGGCTTCCCCCTTGTGCTTCAGCCTGGATGCTAGAGAAAACAAACTGCCAGATAGGAAGGGTCCGACCGCTCGACCGGCTGCGGAAAGTGTCTGGGCAAGTCCGTTGAGGGATCCCAAGACAGCATGATCCGGAGCAGAGTTTGTGATCTAGAGCCAAGGGTTACTTTGAGTTTCGCCAACGTCGGAGATAGCAAGCCACTTACCAGTAAAAGTGCACTTGTCAACCCGCCAACTGATGCGACCGTCTTGACCAGCAGCGCAAAGCACAGCTCGAAGGCCACGAGCGCAGTCTTGCCACTTACTCCGCTACCAGTGCCATCACTCTTGTACCCAACAAAAGGCATAAGGATAAAGGAGAGAACAAACCCGAAAAGACCAGCCCGATAAGACCAACGATTTCCCATTTTGTCTCTCAACCTGCCAAAAATGCAGATCTGGAAAATGATTGTTACAAACCCGGAAAACCCTTGCGCAAGACCAATCTCTGACGGGGTCAGGCCACGTCCCTGCGGGGGAGGTGCCTGCGAGAAGATGGGAAACAGCGAGTTGAATGAGACGTTGCACAGAGCGAATATAAGGTAGGTCAAGAGGAGCAAGACAGTATCCCGGTTGAAGATCTCACTTCGCGTCAAGGACTCATGGTGAGCCGGACGGGTCTCCGATACCTCGGATGCCGAGTCTAATTCACTATCATGATCCTGGCTCTCGTCCGACTGTGTACGAAGATGGCGATAATGGGTGGCATGTGGCGGTTTCATCCGGCTCGCGCTCTTTGCAGAGCTAGTCCACTCCCACAGCCACGCGAATATAGCACGAACTCTTTGCTTGAAATTGGGTATTGTATCCGCGTCTTCAAGACTCTCTTCGAGGAAGAATATCGACAGCACAAAGTCCATAACAAGAATTCCGGCGGAGAGCAGGTTCGGGGCGAGATACGGATAGGGATTGCGCTGGCTTTTATTGAAAGGATTTTGCTCGAAAATGAGCAAGCCTCCCAAGAGCGGTCCGGTTATGCCTCCAATGCCATAAAGAACAGGAAGATAGGTGAACGCCTTCGACTGATTGCTTCGATCAGTGATTTCACCCAAACAGGTGGACACCAAACCCTGGTTGCCATTGACGGCACCCATCAAAGCCTGTACGACAATTGCCTGGTATAGCGTTGTGCAAAAACCGAAGGCAACAAAGCATGCCGCCGTGAGAATTGTACCCAGCAGGATGACCGGCTTCCGTCCTACTCGGTCAGATAACCAGCCCCAGAAGTAATTGGTAACGAGCTGTGCGATCGCGAATGAAGTGGCGATTGCTCCGACGTATACACCAACCATATTCGGCTCGACCTCGGGAAACGACGACGCCATATCGGGCAGATAAGGGCTAACGGAATTGAAGGCTGTCTGCTCACAGAGGGATATCATCGCGAGGACCGCCATCTGCTTCTTGGGGAGAGGTGATCCGTGCCCCGGTCCATGGTGAGAATCGGTTGGTTGGTACTGCGAATCGTCACCCGATGATCCAGACTGCCCAGAGTTCGGCCTTCCACGAGACTTCGGCGGCGGGGTATCGAAGGTCTGATAGTGTAGAGTGGAAGAATGTCGCCGGTTGAGCGGGTTGTGCTCATCCGTTCTCATCTTCGCGACACAGGGGCAGCACGCCAGCAACCCTATGTGACAGTCTTCAAGTATTCCCAACAGATAGCGCGCCGGAGGCTGTGGCTGAGCCTCACCAACGGTTCAAACAGTGATGACAGGGCTCAATGGCCACTACCTCGTTCGCGATGCGGGGGGCGTTGGAGCCCCCAGAAAACAGGATTCGAAGTGGATCTGGGGCAACAATGACTAGCTGTAGTCGAGACGAACGTCAACGCCGTGCACGTCGGAGTCAGGTGGGGTCGGGTCGGGTCTGGGGAGGAAATCCTGGAGAAAGAAGAGGCCGTTCAAAGTAAGAGAGGGTTCGAGGAAAAGAGCTCCTGGATAGTCAGGTGCGGAGGAGCATCGGCAAAGCCATGCAGATGATGTAAGCGTTCTGGCTGCTGAAGCCGAACGCGGCTGAGTCATCCGGTGGTTATCAAAGCCTATCTACCTATAACCTTGGTAATATACAACTTGTCACGAGGCGGATACAGATTATTGCCAGGCCGGGGAGGGTCAGATACCGGAAATTACGTGTTCTCAGAAGTCAGCAATTGCTTCGTCACTGTTGTGGTGGCATTCCGCGGAAAACAACCGGCTATCTACAGATGATACCGTCCGCTTGCTTTACCTAATCAGGAAAGGTAACAAGGGGTGGAGAATGTCAATTTTCTCAAAACAAGGTTCCTATCGCTCTGTTGGAGTAATAAATGCAGACTGATGTGTAAGAGTAGTCCATGTAAAGAGCAGTATTCTAATACCGATGTATAAGACATGAGCGAGCGCTAAATATTCATCAATTGGCCTGCTGGCCCAATGGTAAGGCGCTTGACTACGGATCAAGAGATTGCAGGTTCGAATCCTGCGTAGGTCAGTCTTTTTTATCTTTTTGTATTCCTCTCTGTGAGCCTGTGACATCCTACTCTATTTCCCTCAGCCCCTCGGATAGGGCCACCGGCCAGTAATATACTAGAACTGGTCTGGATTGGCTTCGGTGACGAGTATCGTACACGTTGGACCGCTTATCTAAAGGTACCATTATAATTATTATTTTGTACAGTCTCAGTCGCAATATACTCATAAACCTGTTCATTACTAGACAACCTATACCTTCCAATATCTCAGTCATCGGTGTCGTTGTTTGATGCCGGGGATGATTTAGTCTTCTCTACGCGTCAATCACTTCATCAGCAAGTTGACGGCCCAAGGAACACTAAGTCCTCTCAGGTCCCCATAATGTTGGCCAACTCCCAAGAAAACGATGGGAATGCCCGTCGCATGCACCATGCTAACCAGCGTACCCACCATGTCGCCAACTGTATCGCATTTGCTGATGATAAAGCCATCGAGGTTTCGTCCAGTGCCGAATGCCTGGTTGAAGTTGCGTGCCTGCATCACACTGTCGGTACCAACCAAGGCTTCACCAACCATGAAGATCTTGTCTGGCTGAGCAAATTTGGCGAACTTCTCCAGCGAAGACATAAGCCGCTGGTCGTTGTGGCGGCGGCCAGCAGTATCGATCAGAACAACGTCAAATTTGTTGGCAGCGCCGTATTCAACAGCATCCTTGGCCACGTTTGCTGCATCCTTTCCGTAGCCCTTCTCATACAGCTCAACTTCACCAGCATTTTCACGGGTGCTGAGCTCCTTGAGGTTCCGTGCATGGACACGTAGCTGCTCCACGGCTCCTGACCGGAAAGTATCGCATGCGGCAATTAGAACACGATATTTGTTCTGCAGCAAGAAATAGCATATCTTGCCCAGATTCGTAGACTTTCCAACACCATTCACACCAACAATCGAAATGACGTAAGGACGAGGAGTCTGCTGCTTGCTTGTGGGAGCAGTGACGGCGTCGATCTCACGAAGCAAATCAAGAGAAGATGTAGGGGTCAGGATCTTCCGCAAAGATGACTCCATAGCGGAATGCAAAGCAGCATCCACACTTTGGAAATTTCCTGTCTTCTTTCCTACAAGCTCTCTCTGGACACCCTCGCACAGCCGAACCGCTGCCTCGCGTGCAACGTTCTTCTTCAACAAATGATCTTCCATAGCCTTCAAAGGCTTCTCCAAGTCAGCTTCCGTAAGGGTCTTGCCGCCCACGATGTTACGTAGGAGACCTCCAATGGCATTAAATCCCGAACCGACCAAGCCAGTAGAAGGAGTATCCTTCGCTTTGTCGTTCTCGGCATTTTCCAGGATAGAATGCACTTCGTCTCCGAGATCCTTCAGCACGAACTGGCCTTTACCGGTTCTGTGTCCCCAGGAATCTTGCGATACGGCTTCTACTGCCGGAACTGCAGCCTCTTCACCATCAACAGGAGCGGAGTAGTCGAGAACCTGGCCATCGTCTTCATCGGCAAATCCATCTGCGTCCCACTTGCGCATCTTCTTCGCGCCCTTAGGCGTTTTCCCTTTGCGAATATTCTCGTCGCCGGAGGAAACATTGGCGCTAGCGTTAGCGGCCTTGCGCGCACGGCGTGAGACACGGCCACCTGGTCCCCCCTTGGCAGTTATAATGTGGCCCGCAACAGGTGTCGATGACCGAGATGTATCTGGTGTGTGCGGTGGCGTACTCTCATCAGAGGTCGCCCCGGCTAGCGCAGCTTGATGCTGCGCTTTACGGATGTCAGCATGGTCTAGCAGAGTGAGGTGTGAGGAAAGCGCACCTTTGAGAAGACCAGGCACTGGTGGTGGAGGTGGGCCGCCATTGTCAGATGAAACAAGCGGATCTTTCTTATCAACCGCATGAGCCACGAAAGCCTCCGACGAGATAGATCCAGAATTGTCCTCGAGCTCTCGAACTTGCTGATCAAAGTACTTGTCAAACGGGTATTGCGTTATCCTCGCACGAGAGCTTTTGAGTTGATCTTTGTACAAATCGATGTAGAGGGTGGAGATGTTGTCCAGAAGTTTATCGATCCAACCAAGTTGTAGGAGAGATTGGTAGACGGCCTAGAGTGACATGCGGTCAACGACAGGCACTCCGCGATGCGGTTGATGCCAGAAACATACCACAAAGATCAAGTCAAATTCCTTGGCTCTTTTCCACTTCAAGGTGTACTTCTCCTTCTTCAAAGATGGGGCCGCGTTGTTCGCTGCCTGAAACTGCACCTTTTCCTCGATGAAGACATCATTGATAAGGCTGTTAACAATATGCGCTCCGACGGGTGCGTACGATTTCGACCACAGGACTACGCCCGAGGTCGTTAGGATCTCAAATGCTTCCAACATAATGGGGAGAGAGGGATATGCTTGTGGTGGCGGTATTCGGTGGGGAGGGGAGTCAATGATGTTGTAGTCATGGCCAGATCCGCGCAGTGGGGAGTTTGCGGGCGGCAAGCTGATCTGTCAGTGATCGGAAGGGAACGACTTCAGCCACGTATAAACACACTTCATCCTCTCCCATACTGCGCTACAGTCCCCCGATTTGCCGTCTCGGCACCCCTCGAGCTCTGCAAGACAATCCGTGACTCTCAATCTTCCCTCCGCCCAGTCTAATCATCCCCAGCCATCATGTATCGCCAGTCGTTCGCTCCACCCCCGGCGCAGTCCCCTCCGCTTCACCATCCTGTGCCTCAGCATGTCTCGACTGTCCCTATGATGCGCTCGCCGCCGCCTCCGGCACCCCAGCAGCCTCAGACTTCTGGCTATGGCAATCCATACCAACCCGCCCCTGCGCAAGGTGGTAGCGGGACATATGCTCCTGGCTTCGGGGGCTTCATCAATGATCCCACCGCGCAGATGGGATTTCAAGTCGGAAAGACCGCGATGATGGCTGGACAGGAATACATGGAGCAGAACGTGAGCAGCATCTTTGGGGATATCTACTGATGAACGCGTCGCTAACGACTCCATCAAGTTCAATCGCTATGTCTCTATTCCGGCTCTGAAGCACTACTTTAATGTCTCCAACTCCTACGTCCTGAACAAATTGACCCTTGTGCTCTTCCCTTGGCGCCACAAGCCCTGGTCTCGTCAGCAGGCACGTCTCGCCACAGCTTCAACGGGTCCCAATGGCCAGATATCCCAGCAACAGTACTCGTCTATGTTCCTCCCTCCGCGTGATGACCTCAACTCTCCGGACATGTACATCCCCGTCATGGCGCTTGTCACATACATTCTCCTCTCAGCGATGCTAGCCGGGTTCCGCGGTAACTTCCATCCGGAGCTCCTTGGATCAATCACAACCACTGCTATTGCCGTTATCATATTCGAGATCATGTGCTTGAAGCTAGCCATGTACATCCTGAGCATCAATAACGAGTCACAGTTGCTGGATTTGGTGGCGTATTCCGGATACAAGTTTGTTGGAATCATTGTCACTCTGCTGACGTCTGAGATTCTCACTCCGGGGCGAGGAACCGGCGGCTGGGTTGGCTGGGTTGTCTTCGTCTACACTTTCCTGGCTAATGCCTTCTTCCTGGTACGTTTCTGCCATCTGCTTTACGAATGTGAAACTAACACGTTTTCTAGCTCCGTTCTCTGAAATACGTTCTTCTTCCAGACTCGACCAGTGATGCGTCCATGCGCACTGGTTCGATGCATACGGTGGCTCGTTCGCAGCGTAACCGCCGCACGCAGTTCCTATTCATCTATGCGTACGTCGTTCAGTTTGTATTCATGTGGGTGTTGAGTCGCGAGGGTCCGATGTCGATTGCTTCTAGCGCCGGAGCTGCTGGTTCATCATAGGGTCATGTCGGTACCGAGCTGCACATAATGATATAGACGGACCTCATGAAAGGGATAAGGATAATAGTTCATATCGTTGTACGCTTTGTGGAGATTAAAAAATCAATACATTAACTTCATGGTTGCATGAACCCGGCAGTATAACTATGTTGCATCTACATACCTGACCTGACTTTCGGTGGGAAGTACATCGGGAAGGGTGCCCACTTGGCTATCTCCCAACACTCCGCTTCAAAGTAGTAGTACATTAATGCAGGCCCGGGGGCTATGCAGTTTACAGGTTCTACAATGGGGAAATATACGGCAAAGCATGTTTTCTAACAAAATATTTGATTCCATGATATATCTGGCTAAGACTATGGCGATCAACGTTCGCACATTCGGAGAAGACCTATAAATCCACGAGTTAGACATCGATCAAACAAGACACGAATGACAATTTCGTAGAATGAGTTGTTCCTCAGAGATCTTGGTGATGAGAGAAATTTCATTGCCAAGAGGCATCAACTACTATCTAGGCGTGATAAAGTTTTTTAATCACTGGAGGGGGTGCAGCAGAAAGAGATGCGCTGGCAACGTACCGAAGGAGCGAAGTTGATAGACAGATGAGGGGCGCGGAGTAGAGAAATGATAAACCTGTCAAGTCTTGACATGTCAGCAACATAACTCAATGTAGGTATATGGTGTCAAGATAACATGAGAGAAGGACATCAGAATATGTAAGAAATTGAATATCATGCGCCAGCGCTGTATTGAAACTCCGGCGAGAGCTCACAGTCGCAGGGTCAATCGCAAATTACCGCATCATGTGAAGGTGATATTGAAAGAAAAAGAAAAAGGCAAAAAGGGTACATACCAGTCGATGTGGAGAGTAGATCTTGCTAGTGAAGTTAGTATCAAAGACGGCGGAGCAGTTCTAGACAGAACGACATTTGTTCTGATGTAGCTTCGAGGTCTGGACCTTTGAGCTCTGCAGGAAGTAAGAGAAACAAGCTACAGCAAAAACTTGAAGCTTAAAAGCAAGTCGATCGGAACGGAAAATATCCGACCGCCGATGGAGCGCGCTAAGGCCGGGGGGCAGCCCTAGGCCGCACGCAAACACCCCTGGGTGGGCTGCTACTGGTTGCTAAGCGAGACTCTTGTGGGCGAAGGGCCGCAGCACCGAAATTCGCTATCCAGCAGCCAGAGCGACTTGTGCGTTTCGGACGACTTCGACAACCCGACATTTCGACAACAAATTATCACCACCGTCCTCCCGGAGTCTGTCGACCGTGAGTTATTGCCCGCCCTAATCGTGACCGCACAATATCCACTAAGACGTCCATCTTGCTGTTTTTCTAGGAAGCCTTCGCCATGGCCGATATCGATGTTCAGGTTGCTCAATGGAAGCTGGTTGAGGTTGGCCGCGTTGTGCTGATCCGCCGCGGTCCCTTCACCGGCAAGCTCGCTGCCATTGTTGAGATTGTCGACCACAAGCGTGTACGTTGCGCCAGAAACTCGGAATTCGCGGTGGGAAAATGGGATTTCTAGGAGGACGCGATATTGACAAGAGTTGCACCAATTAGGTTCTGGTTGACGGTCCCTCCACCGAGGAGCAGAAGATCGTTCCCCGCCACGTCCTTCCTCTCTCTCACGCCACCCTCACCCACTTCGTCATCCCCCAGCTGCCCCGCGCCGCCGGCACTGGCCCCGTGCGCAAGCTCTGGCAGAAGAACGAAATCGACGGCAAGTGGGCTAAGAGCAACTTTGCTCAGAAGACCCTGAGCATCGAGCGGAGGAAGAACCTGACCGACTTCGAGCGCTTCAAGGTCCTCAGACTTCGCAAGCAGGTACGTTTGCGAGATGCGATGGTGTTATGTGCATGGAATATGGGGGCATATGGTTATGGGTGATTGGGCGCATGTTCGATTACTGGGAAAAGAGCTGGGGAAATGATATATGCATGAAATCATGGGATTCGAAGGACTTTGGCTGACATATCGGATTTTACAGGCTCGCTACGAGGTCCAGAAGGCTCACGCTAAGCTCAGGGCGGCTGCTCCTAAGTCATAGACGGTTTATGAGGCTCGGTGCATAGTGTGACAGGGTGCCTTTGGGACGGGTTTATTTGCTGAGGGTTTAATTTATTTCAGCAAAATGGGCTGTACGCATTATTGACAGCATAAAAATGATTCAAGAACCTTTGATATCCTGGCACATGGGTTATCCTCGTACGTCATGAAATGTGAAGGACGGCACGGCACGCCTTTCAATTAGTATATGGCAAATGGTATCTCTGGGTATTAATGATCTTGACATGAATGGGTCACCACATAGACAAATCCAATCCACAAACACACTTTCCCTGTAATCGTATAGTAGACCTGAATGTGAGCAATGAATTGCTGCAAATTACCCAGGGATCGTAGATTGATCGGAGCCCCGTAGCTGTGGTGAATGTACGATCTGTAGATGCATGGCTTCTGTGTGTCCGGGGTGAGGGTCCCAATAAGCTCGCTAACGATTTTCGGCGGGATGACATTCACACAGCTTTGCGACTTCCCAACTCCAACAAGGCAAAAAAACCCCCCTCATCCACCACAGTCCCCTGTTCCGTCACAGGTAAGTGCAAATAGAATTCTTGCCCGCGAAGTTCAGTTTTACAGTCGCTTTTGGCGAATTCCCGCAGATTTGTGGGTGTACCATGGTCTGAGGGGACATCACATCTTCGAACCTCCCAGTTCAAGCGACCAGTCATGTCCCACATAACCATTTGCTGATCATCATATCTACAGCGACCTCTACACAACAGATAAAATGGCCGACCCCCGTGTTGAAGAGCTTCCCGATGAGGAGGTCCCCAAGACCAACGTTGAGGATGCCGGCAGCTCCTCCGAGTCTGAGGCTGGCGACGAGCCCACCATCCCCGGCGGTGCCGCTGTCACCATCCACTCTCGCAACGAGAAGAAGGCTCGCAAGGCTATTGGCAAGCTCGGCCTGAAGCACGTTCCCGGCATTACTCGTGTCACTCTCCGCAGACCCAAGAACGTATGGATACGGCCCTATTCCTCCGTCCCGTGCGACGCTCAACAAAACCTGCATTTTCCGAATGCCTGTGAGCGGCAAGGACTTCTAGAATGTAGAGGCTAATGTGTTGAATATAGATCCTGTTTGTCATCAACCAGCCCGATGTCTACCGTTCCCCCTCCAGCAACACCTGGATGTATGTGTTTCCTTAAACTATGACGACGTGATGACCATCTCATGCTTACGTATTTCAACAGCATCTTCGGTGAGGCCAAGATCGAGGACCTGAACGCCACCGCCCAGGCTACCGCTGCTCAGCAGCTCGCCGAGGCCGCTGCCAACGAGCACGCCGGTCACGACCACGACCACGACCACGGCAAGGCCAAGGCCCCCGAGGCTGAGGCCAAGAAGGAGGAGGAAGAGGATGACGGCGAGGAGGCTGACGAGTCCGGTCTTGAGGCTAAGGACATTGAACTGGTTATGGCCCAGGCTAATGTGTCCCGCAAGAAGGCCGTCAAGGCTCTCCGGGAGAACGACAACGACATTGTCAACTCCATCATGGCTCTCAGCATATAAACATCGCCTGAATGAGCTTGAGTAACAGTGGCTGACGTCTCTTGGCCCTGCTGGCAGGATGGATTTTGGGAGCGAGGTCAGATCGATATCCCCTAGGATGCATGTACTGTCAGGCCCCATAGTGTAAATCATTTAGCCAAAAGCAGAATTGAATGATGCAAAGCACTATTTGGATGCCTAGTTGGCGGGCTTAGAGTACAGCAGTAATCTGTAACAGAACGAGTAGATTAATTTAAGGTTCCATAGACTCTGAATTGGCCTGTTAGTATGGCTGCTCGGGACTAGTATCTATACTTCACGCCCTTGCGCTCTCAGCACTCACTGTGTAAGTGGCTGTTCGGAACACGGGAAAGACGGGGTCACGTGAGGCCATCCCCATTCCAAATCTTGCCGAGTTCAACCCTCACCCTCCCGGAACCTCCAGCTTCGCACGTTGAACTCCCCTCTCACCCCCCAACCTTCTCCGTTCCACATCTCAAAATGGCCACTGTACGTGGGGTTTGCCTGTTCTTGTTGAATTGTTTTGGTTGCAGAGAGAAATGTGTCCACTAACTGCGTGGTTTACAGCGTAGCGCCGCTCTCAAGGTCGACTGGGCCAAGTTGACCAGCTCCCTCGGCCTCCGCGGCCAGACCGCTGCTTCTCTCCAGGCCTTCAAGAAGCGTAACGACGATGCGCGCCGCAAGGTTCAGCTCCTGTCTGAGCAGGCCCAGACTGTCGACTTCGCCCACTACCGCAAGGTCCTGAAGAACCAGGCCATCGTCAACGAGATCGAAAACCACTTCAAGACCTTCAAGCCCGCCACCTACGATGTCAACCGTCAGCTGAAGGCCATCGATGCTTTCGAGACCCAGGCTGTCCAGAGCGCTCAGGAGACCAAGGGCAAGGTTGAGGCCGAGCTCCGCAGTCTCCAGAAGACCCTCGAGAACATTGAGACCGCCCGTCCCTTCGAGGACCTCACTGTTGTATGTTTTGGTGTTCTACGGTTGATTTTTGGGCTGTGGTACAGATTGATTAATTTCACTTTCCCTTTAGGACGAGGTTGCCGCTGCTCAGCCCGAGATCGACGAGAAGACCGCCTCCCTTGTCTCCAAGGGCAGATGGATGCCGGCCGGTTACAAGGTGCGTTTAATACCTGAGAGACGACTTGGCCTGGGATGAATTTGACTAACGATTGTTTGAATTGTAGGAGCGCTTCGGCGACATGTCCGTTGTTTAAACGGTCACGTCTCGTGTATCTTTTTACGTCTCTCTTAGCCTTCGACCAGTATAATCACACGAAGAAGTTCCCTTTGTTGAAGCATATTGGCCAGCTAGGATACCCTTGCTCTCTGGCAGTGTGATGTCGGTTGTAGGGTCCTGTATAGAAACAATGTTGAATTTAGATGGTTCCATCGTGCCGAACAGTTTTGTATGTCCACCTCGACCGACCGATCCGTTCCGTCCACATGTCCAGCGCAGTTGAAGGATCTGTATCATTGGATGCCGCCAGTATGCACGTTTGTTTGCGACATTGCGGTGAAGTTGTAGCAGACCGCAAAGCACGCCGATGACGAGTGGTCATTACATCGCAAACTTAATCACGGTATTCATACTGGGCGCCTTCTGGCTGCTCGTCGTGGTTCAATAGCTGGTTTATATTGTCATTCATGGCTGCCGCAATAATAAAACGGTTTGCTTGGTGGTTGAGACAGCCATGTAACTTTAACTCCGTGTGGCCGATCCGGAGGCAAGTCAAGTGTGGCACTCCAGGGACATCCTGAGCTTCTCTGCTGCTCCGAGCCGCACCCACACCTTGAGAGATCAATTGCGAGCACCAGGGCTAATTTAGTTAATAACAGGGATTAGACCACCTGTCTACTGCAAGTCGGCAACCCGTCGACACCCAATTCACTCACAACCCCGCCTTGCTGCCTTTTGACCGATTCACGCCCCTATTCTGGCATGCTTTGGATGCTGCAACTGGAAACTGGTAGTCTAGAACATTTGGTTTATCTAAAGACTCAGATTTCTTTGGGGTCCCTTTGTTCCTCGGAGTCACAATGGTAAGGATACTGTCAATCAATGCACGAGTCCCTCAGGCTGTCGTCTTGACACCCGAAGACCAAACATCCCCTTCAATGAAGTGAAGGATAACTCAGTTCATGCCTGACATCTCGCAGCCGGTTCCAACCGGGCTCACACTGGAGAGTTTGCCAGTGGAGATCATCCAAGAGATCTTCCTTCACTGCCTCGAGGTGAACCTCCCGCTAGCCTCTCTCAAGTTCGCCCGAGCTCTATCAAACCCCGTTTTATACACCTGGGTCATTCGCTCTGTCTTTAGCAGCACAAACAAGAGTTCAAGACATGATATCTTTACGCCTGATTTTCTTCCTGCGCCTCTGGACCCTTTTTCCATCTCTCCCGAGGAACGGAGAGACCTGCAGAATATCATCCTCAACTGTCGCTGGTGCACGCTCCCTCTAATGCGCAGATGCCAACGGGACTACGTCGAACACGCAATCCGTCGCAAGTGCAGAGGACTGGACTTTGCACCTTCAGATCAGGAGATCCTCGCCAACATTGGCTCTCGATTCGAGAACATCGACATCAACCAAGACGAATGTCATGGCTATCGCGGGAAAGGCGAGTTGATCCTAAAGGGCAAAGTCCGGCAATCGAACGCAGACTGCAAGGTAGCGTTATGGTTCAACTTTGGCGCGCTCCAAATCCGCGCAGCCAGCGACATACACACAGAAATCGACATCTTCCAACTTCCATCTTTCACGGTCAATCTGCCAGTTCGAGTACCGGACAAGATACTCCGTCCTCCGTGGACGGAATCCAAGTTGGAGTTCCTCCAGTTACTCTCGTCGGATGCGTATTTGGATGATGAAGCCGACCACCCTCGTGCAAAGCGACTCCTTCGACAGGTGATTCGACATCGTGACCTGACAACCTTCCAGCGTCTACTGAACATGAGCATCCGTGTCCCGTGGTACAAATATCCTATCCGTTGGCCGGTCCTACCGATTCACTTCTACATAGCGTTGAAATATGCAGACGAGCTGGATGACCCGTTCGTGAATCTACTGGTGAATCAACGATGGGACGATATTCCAGATGACTTGCAACTCAAGGATGATTTGATGTCCAAAGCGGGACCGAGCAGCTCCAAATGACCTGAGCTGCAGATACCAACCAACATGCACATAGTCATATACAGAACAACCCAAATCTACTCCACCCTTACGTAGCACACACAACCTTCAATCAAAAACTTCATTCTCACCCATCCAGTATGATATTACACAAGACGAGACGCAGGTATAAAGCACAATGCCAAACTCCAAACAACAAACAACAGCAGACCCATATCATTCGTAAATCATAGCAGTTCCATCCATCATCAGGTATTTCTCATCAACTATCATCCATCATATCACACCCTCGACCTCCTCGTCCTCCTTCTCCTCCCTCCACATCCTCCGCAGGTAAGGCACGAGATAATCACATCGAAGAGGGAAACGACACCGTCGATGATGGCTTTGCAGACGGCTCCGATAGTGTTGACGATGCCCATTAGACATGCGCCGATGGAGTGGAAGATGCTTGCAATCTGTTCCAGAAATCAATCAGTCAACTTGATTCAACCCAAGAAAAAAAAAAAAGAATGATGAAGGGGGGATAGGAAGGGGACATACACAAGAAACAACAGCACCCATCTTGACGTTCGTTTTTTTAATTCACGTTCGTATCCCCAAGAATACAACAACAGTAGGAAGATAAGACTCAGTTATTTTGTATCTTTCGACACCGTAGAATTATAACTCGACGAAGCAGTCGTATGCGTAGAAGTATCACTGAAAGGACGCATTCTGATAACCCAGTACCTCAGATGGTAGTCAGGTATATATAACTTTTCCAGTTCCTACTAGTAGTAATAGATACTTCACCCAACACAAAAAGAAAGAGATGAGGTATGATGATGTATGTCCAGTTGTGAAAGACCCTGTGATCGACATTAATACAAGACAGTGGTAGTTAGTTCCTCCTGACATATTAATAGCCACCAAGTAATAAACCACCACCCACACATACACAATCAATCCTTGGATCCAGAACAACGTCATGCCGTCATATCTACGACTTGTACCTCCTAATCGGGTTATATGGACTGCGGATCGGGTTCCCGCTGACGCAGGGCTCGGGACCCCCTCCCCTGGAGGGATTACCTATTTTGCAGTAGTACCTAGTAGGTAGTGTGTAACTGGGGGATTGGGGGATTGGGTTAATGTGGGTTGCCACTTGATAAGGCTGGCTGGCTGGCTTGTTTTCCCCTGGAAGGGGGAGGGAGGGAAAGTGTGCATGGGTGGGTGGGTTTCGTGGTGGTGACGTCATGACTTCATTGCATACTAGTAATGTATGGTGATTGTTGACGGGATGGTTTGCACGGGACGGGCTGAAAGGGGTTAGTTAGTCTTAGTGTTAGTGGTGGCCTTTACTACTATCCATGTAATAGTGGGATAATTTGGTCGTGTTGTTATTGATGAGTCGGGATTTTATGATGGTGGTTAGTTGGTTGTGGAGGGGTGGGAGATTTTGGGGGTAGCCGGTACACAGTATACTTTTGAAGGTGTTAGGCACATCCATATCTCATTAATTATTTACCTAGTTTACAATAAAGCTATGATACATACATCGTAGCACCGCAGAATTACATATTCGCCAACAACCGCAAAATTCCACTCACCCTTCCCGCCAGAGTAATCTGGTATCCCGTCTCAACTACACCCTTACACATCTCCCAAGCACCGGTCCCATCCTGGCGCGCGCCATCCCCCTTCCAAATCGGATAGTCTACTCGCGGCGGAATCCGCGTCGCCATCAACTTAGGGAACCGATCCACGCAGACAGCCTTGATGTTACTCACACCACGCAAGCCCTCTTCGCCAGCGAAGCGACCGTATCCAGAGCCCTTGACACCGCCAAACGGCAATTGAACCGCGTAGTAGCTGCCAAAGTCATTGACGGAGACCATTCCGGACTTGATGTTTGCAATGCAAGTGGCAATATCGGTCTGGTTGTATCCGAAGACGCTCGCGCCGAGGCCGTAGTCCGTTGAATTGGCGATGGAGATGGCGTGGGGGACGGAGGATGCGCGCATCATAAGAAAGACTGGGGCAAAGAGTTCGTTCTGTGCAATCCGCATGGTGGGCGTGACGTCGGCGAGAAGAGTCGGGATGAAGTAATGGCCCAGGGGGTGGTCGGGGTGGTCAAAGCGCTTTCCGCCGCAGATCAAACGTGCACCCTGCTTGACGGCATCCTCGATGAGGGATTCGAGACGGTCGAATGAGGCGGGGGAGATCATGGCACCCACGTCAGGGGTACCGACGGTCTTCGAGTCCAGGAGGACGGAGCCGAGGCGGAGGGTCTTGATGCGGGAGGAGACATTGTCGAGGAGTTTGTCATACACGCCGGGGAGCGCGATGATCCGTTCAACGCCAATGCAGTTTTGTCCGGCAGATTGGAAGACTCCACGCATGAGGATGGAAGCAATGGCTGGAACTTCGCTAACGGTTCGAGAGTCATCGAGGATGAGGGCGGGGTCTTTGCCGCCGAGTTCGACTGTGACGGGGGTCAGGGCCTTGGCTGCGGATTCACACACTTTATGAGCGACGGGCTTGGAGCCGATGAATGTCAATTGGGAGATGTCGGGGTGCGAGGTCAGGTGGTCGGCGACATTGGGAAGGCACACGATGCTCTGGACGAGGTCTCGAGAGTGGCCGCAGCTGGAGAGTGCGCCGCGGATGACTTCAAGGAAGAATGCGGACGACCAGGCTGTCTGTTCAGAGGGTTTCACCACGACTCCGTTTCCTGCAAAGATCGCACTGATGACGGGAGAGATGAAGTTGTGGAAGGGGTAGTTCCAAGAGACGCAGGCGGAGACAACACCGAGAGGTTCGTAGGTGACCATGTTCTTCTTGTACATCATGAGGAAGTTTGTCGGGCGCGATTCGGGTGCCAGTGCCTTTTCACCGTGGTCGAGGGTCCATTTCAATTTCTCTGCGGTGACAAGGATCTCCCCAAACGCAGCATCAACTTTGGTCTTTCCTGAATCCAAGCAGCAAGCGGTCACAAGTTCGTCTTGGTGGTCGAGGACGTATCTGCCAGAGAAGCGTTCAGTCAGTTCATGGCTTTTGGTCGCTCATTGAGTAGGTGTGTTGAATACGCACTTCAGCAAAGTCCTCAGAACCTTCCTCCTCTCAGCAAAGCTAGTATTGGCCCATTCCATCTGTGCACTCTTCGCAGCCTGGATTGCGCGATCGACGTCTTCAGTAGTCGCAGGTTTGATTCCGTTGCCGAGTACTCTTCCGTCCGCGGGACAATAGCTCATGACCAGGTTGTCGTTCCATTGCTGCAGTAAAATCGCAAGTCAACGTTTCTTCCAATACATTTGATTGTAAAGCTCTGTGAAAGAAAAAGAGTTGGGCGTAGACTTACTCCGCGCACTTGTCCCTCCACCACCTTTCGCCCCTCTCCCTGAAGGCTGTCCCATTTTTGTCCCTTCCAATTGGCTCGAACCTCGGGAGGGATTGGCACATTGAACGAGACAGCAGCCTCCTTTCTGCCCAAAATGAAGAGATAGCCCAGGTATGCGACGCCGACCGAGAGCAACGCCACACCAAGCAATGGGCCTTGGGTTCGGAGATGTTCCACAAGTGGCTGGAGAGCCGGTGGGATAAATGGGGTCAGTGAGTCCATGATGAATTGCGCGAGGGTAATTGACTCGACGCTCTGCTTGCCGACCCTTTCTGGACGCGTGAGGTCTCCGAGAAGGGGGCAGGGGATATAGCACTGCGGAGGTGGTTCGATCGTTTGTTGAAAGCTCCGATGCGGGTGCACGTGCCAGGGGGGGCTCCGTCCAGCTTCATCTTAGATGGTCCCATGAGGACTGGCAGGATCGGAGCAAGAGATTTGTAGGGAATATATTATGCGCGATGTTATGGAAATATATAAAAATTTACAACTGGTCTTTATTCATTCCTTCAATCTATGCTACTCCTGAAACTGTAAAAACCCATGTTCAGAATCATGCGTGGGTATATATAACAACCCAATGACACGATATATATTGTCTAAAGATTATCAAATGTAAATAGAACTTTCTGTGGCCAAAATCAACATAGGCTTACACTGCATGCGCAAGTGCCTCATTCTTATTCGATGAGCTTAGTCGTCTTGCATGATTACGGCGTTCAAAAGTTTATGGAGGTTTCACGATTACTGTCATCCAGTACAAGTATTCAAACATCAAATGTAACAAAGTTCAGAGGTCTATAGCTATGCGTGAACAGAGGGTATCTCAACCCTTCGTCGTCTCTGATATCATCCAAGCAAATAGCCTCCTATCTATCATCCACCGTCTACGAACTCCGAGACTCCAGACCACAAGATGTCATGAAACGGTATCAGTTAGGCCATAATGTCATAATCATGCGTGATCAGCGATGTTATGGATGCTGATGTCCATACGATCCTTCACCTTGGGAGGCTCTTCTTCCGTATGCTTGCGAGTGGTGCAGACGCTGACCTGGGGGACCTCAGACTCACTGGGGTCCTGCGCGGGGATGATGTTGCCCTTGTCGTCCAGCTTGACACCGTTGGCAGCCATGCGGAAGTCTTTCTCGCTGGCGAAGCCATGGGTGACAGCTTCCTTGGCACGGTCCAAGGCCTTGATCTTGCGACCCTCGCCTCGGAGCTTCTCCAGGTGGTCGAAGTAGCCTTCGGCGACTGGGGTAACGTAGTTACCACAGAACACACCGATTTCAAAATCACGCGGCTCAGACAATCCATTCTCCTGGGCAATCTCAGCACAGGCGCCCTTCAAGTCATCCAGTGTCTGGTAGATGACGCTGTCAGCGCCAATGTGCTTGGCGATATCCTCAACGCTGCGGTTGTGCGCAACAAGTTCGGTGGGTGACGCCAGATCGATACCATAGATGTGGGCATGCCTGTCAGAGTGGTTAGCAACTGAATGATCAAAGTATTGGAACCATAGCAACTTACGTGATCTCCGGCGAACAACTGGCAAAGTAGACCTTCTTAGCACCGGCTTCCCGGGCCATAGTGACGATCTCTCGGCTGGTTGTTCCTCGCACAATACTGTCATCAACCAAGAGGACATTTCGGTCCTTGAACTCGGCTTGCATAGCATTCAACTTGCGGCGGACACCCTTCTGCCGGGTCTTCTGCTCGGGCATGATGAAAGTACGGAACACGTAGCGGTTCTTAACGAAACCCTGGCAATAAGGCTTGTCCAGGTACCGCGCGACCGCTGCTGCAGATGTGGTGGATGTTTCGGGGATGGGGATAACGACGTCGATATCCTTGACCACTTCCGGTCCAAGAACATCGAGAACCCGGGCAGCCAGGCGATCACCCATGCGCTGACGGCTACGGTACACGCTGATACCATCAATGACAGAGTCAGGACGAGCAAAGTAGACGTATTCGAAGATGTCAGGAGCATAAGCCATCTTGGGAGCAACCTGGCGGAAGACAGGCTCGCAGCCCTTCTCGATGATAACAGCCTCACCGGGCTGGATGTCACGAATGTTGCTGAACCCAAGCTGATGGAGGGCAACCGACTCAGACGCCATCATGTAGTCGGTGCCCTCGCCGTCCAGCGAAGCTCTGGAACCGAGAACGAGAGGACGGATACCATACGAGTCACGGAAACCAAGGAGACCGAAGCCTGCAAGCATAGCAGCGCAAGCCCAGCCACCCTGGCATCTCTCATACATCCGGCTGAGACTGGCAAAAAGGTCTTCGGTGTTGACACGAGCCTTCTTCGTCTCACTCAGCTCGTCAGCCCAGATGTTCAACATCAACTCACTGTCGCTGTCGGTGTTGATGTGACGATGGGCTTCGAGATCCAGATATCTCTTCAGCTCAGGAGCATTGATCAAGTTGCCGTTGTGAGCCAGGCAGATACCATATGGACTGTTCACATAGAATGGCTGAGCCTCGGCGTTGGCACTGCTCCCGGCAGTGGGGTATCTCAGATGACCAATTCCCATGGAACCCGGAAGGTCCGCTACCCTGGCGCCATCGTTGAAAACTTTGGCCGCCATACCGTTCGACTTCAACTGATAGATGCGACCACCGGTTGCGCAAGTGGCAATTCCTGCTGCATCTTGACCTCTGTCTAATAGTAGAAAACAGGGTTAGTCCGAGTTTTTCCAGTGAACGGTTCCTGATCTAGAGGGCAAGACTCACGTTGAAGCAGGTAGAGTGCCTCATGAAGGTCGATGGCAGCGGAAGACGATGGGTTCGCCTGAATCAGAGCAATGATACCACACATGATGTCGGTGGTAGGATATTCTAGTGTTGAAGCATGAGATCAGCATACGCTCCAGTAATCATATGAACCAGGCAAAAGAAGATGAATGCATGTATAGTCAGATCGGAAAATATCCGCAATGATGCTTAGGAAGTCTAACATCTATAAAAAAAAACCGAAATTCATCATAGAGAGAAACAAAGACGGAAGGAAGACCAAAAGACAAGAAGACTAATCCTATACTCACATCCAAAAATTGGTCGAGAAAGTCGAGGGGACACAGGCACACACACAGTGTGGAGGGGTAGGAGAAAACGGAAATGGACTGGAGAAAAGATGGGATAGAGCCGGAACCGTCTATCGAGACATAACACGACTCATGCACAGGTAGTCAGTAGGTGGCGGGGAACGGCCAATGTCACGCCCACGGAGGGATCAGTAAAGCGAATAACATGGTTAAAGGAGTTTTTTTAGGAGAGAAAGGAAGAGAAGAGACGGCTCTCATCTTATTCTCCTCCTGTTCTTCTCCACTGCCAACCGAGTTAAAGGGAAGAATTTTTGCGGGTGCCGCTAAACCAAAGAAAATTTCACAAACCGGAGAAAGCCCCGGCCTTCCAGTATTGCCGATGCCGGACCTGACTCAGCCCCCACCCGTCCCTGCCATTGGTTGATCTGGGGTTGCGGGCTCAACCACTGAGATAAGGCCGCATCCCACCTGACCGATTACCTAAGGGCTCTGTTACAAACCGTGTCGGAGAGCGTCGGAGGGAGACCATCTTCCTCCGGGTGAAGCGATGCGTAGTGGTTGCCTAGCGCCAGTCATGTTAGAGGGCCGGAGTAGCTTTTGGTGGGCATGTGAACTTGGTGCGCCAGACTAGTGTAGCACCTTCACGCCCAGCCGCTCCTTTTAACCTGTCCGGAATAGCTTCATGTGAACTAACCCTATCTGGACGGAACGCTCTACCACCACATTTCTCTGCACACTAACACCTCAATACCTCACGCTTGCTTGCTGTACTCACATAGCTTTACCGTGCTTTCTTCTAGAATAATGCTGTCTGCCTGGCAGTTAATTGAACTCCCCCAGGGAATCTTCCTTTCTGTTGTAAGTTATTTAAAGGCCATGAATTCCCACCATGTCGTCTTTTCTTTCTTCCTCAACTCTGTGTTACTTCTCTCCCTCTTTACCTACGCTTCCAGTATTAGTCCAACCTTTACACTTCTTATCACATCCACTTTCAAAGCCCCTCACCTGTACGGACGGTAATCTTAGCTTAGACGAAAACTGTCATTGCTGTCTCCTTATTTACCCCTGACAATGAAACGAGCCCAGAGTTCCATCGATCTCACCGTGGTGGAGCCCGAGCCCATGGATATCGGCTCTCAGTCGGACTCGAGCGTCACCATCGACAACGATCCCGATCAAGTGCTTTTTATAGGCCGCAACCCAATATATCGGCCAATGATCGACCTTACGCAGGAGGGCCCTAAGGAGGGTGACTATCTTACTGACGCGGCCTACAACAGTCTTCTGAGGAACTGGCATAGGAACAGGCCAGCAACAAATCCCACAATCGACGAAAGACCCAAACGCGTTCTTAACGGTGGTCGTGTGAATGGCATTCTATACACCCCGGGGCAATCCTTTGAGCTCCATAACGGACATTTCATACGTGTCCAAACGATGTTCGAGAGCGCCACCGGGGAAGTCATGTTTAACGGACGACACCTGATCAGATCGGAACGTCATATACGCACATATCTCCCGAAACGGCCCAACGAGTTGATATGGATATCCAATGAGCCCGCAGAAATACCATTCCAGGCCATCAAGCGCTTTGTGAAAATCAACTTCACTAATTATTGCCATGTTGACAATGATATCCAGAAAGAAGGTCGTCCACACGACTTCTTTTGCCGGCTTAAGGAGCATGTTAGCATGAACATGCAGGAACCCAGCTCTTTGGAGTTTATATCTTTTGATGAAGCTGACGAGGGATTCCGACATGATCCAATTGTTTTACGTCGAACCTGGAGAGGCGAAACTCGTTCATTTGGAGCGGCAGATTCTCCCCTCACTATCACGCTCGAAGACGACGGAGTGGTTGATTTGACCGAACAAGGCATTCGCAGGGACCGGCGTCAATATACCTTTGGGGACGGGTTTTGTGGCGCAGGTGGCGTGTCTTGCGGTGCTCGCTCTGCCGGATTGCGTCCTACATGGGCATTCGATAATTCTGCTCATGCCGTCGCCACTTACCAACTTAACTTTAATGATGCACAATGCGAGGGATCAGATGTCTTCAATTTCCTTACAAATAACTACGATTTTCTCAAGGTTGATATTACTCATGGCTCGCCCCCGTGCCAGACGTTTTCGCCTGCGAAGACGGTCGAGTCGGCCAACGATGACGCCAACTCGGCGTGCATCTTTTCATGCTCTGATCTGATTAGAAGGGCGAGACCAAGGGTCCACACGATGGAGGAGACTTATGGACTGCTTGAGCGACACAAGGACATGCTGTATCGTGTAATTCAAGACTTTGTGGAGGTGGGATACTCGGTCCGGTGGACGTTGCTGAACTGTGTGGACTTTGGGGTCCCTCAGTATCGAAGACGACTGGTAATCATTGCCTCGGGGTAGGTTGCGCTGTCCTATTCAACCGCCAGTCACCTGTACTGATAGTCCATATAGTCCCGGAGAGAGGCTGCCTCCGTTCCCTAATCCGACTCATGGCCCCCCTGGTTCGGGTCTTCTAAAGTACGCCACCATCAACCAGGTAATCTCCCGGATTCCACAAGGAGCGCGGGATCATGACGTCGAAGGCGCCTATGAAAGGATGGTAAGGCACAGGACACCCTTCGACCCGGATCAGCAAGCTCGTACAATTACCTGTGGGGGCGGAGAAAGAAACTATCATCCCTCTGGGGAACGCGGCTTCACCAACCGTGAGTTTGCATGTCTGCAGACCTTTCCTTTAAGATTTCGATTCGGGCCTCGAGAGGTCCGAAAACAAATTGGTAATGCGGTGCCACCTATGCTGGCAGAAGCCCTTTATAAGGCGATAAAAGAATCATTGCACCAGACCGATGCGAAGGAATTGGGACAACAAGAGTGAGATCCCACTGGCGTAATGACTTGGGTTTCGTTGCCATGATTTCTGTCTTCCGATAGCCTTTGAGGAGCTTAGAATATTTTCAGCTTTCTCCTATTGAACACAATAATCGAACTTGAGTGGTCTTCTTTGTATCATCAATTATTCTGGAGCCATTGGTGTTTTTCGTGTCCTCTTGTTCCGGGTAGCATCAGCTGGTGGAGCCCCGACTGTCATGGCGCCGAAGCCAAAGATGGGGAGGATCCGCCGCAAGATCCACATGCTTCCCCTCCGGATTGATAGCCGCGGGAATGAAGTTGCCGGCCGACCGCGGGGACAGGGGCATCCATTTTCACTACCGACAGTGGACGGGTTGTTTTTGTACGTATCTGAGGCTTAGGGCAATGGCACAGCGTTGGCACTTGGCAGGCACTTGGGCTGGTGGGAGCTTGGTGCGTCCGAGACCTCCTGCATGATCTCAGCCGTAGTCAGTCAGCAAGGTGGTCCTCCTGCATGATACTAAGTCACTAGTACTCGACCGGACACTCTGATGAGCATTCATTTTGTTGAGGCCTGAGGGGTGGGTAGGAGAGAGAAAGAAGTCTTAAAGTCTGGTTCAGGCACGGTCCGGACTGAAATTGCGAAGGGCCATAGAGTTTCTGAATTTTGGGACTGCAGGCACGAGCCGGGGTTGACTTTGATCCATTGATGCCACGCCGATGGCTTCTTTTCTATGCTGCATGCCTCGCCTCCTGCCTGTACTTTCGGACAGCCGGCAATAACCGCGAAACGGCCTCGGTTCATGGCCGGGCGGTATGAGATCAGGGTGACTTTAGCTCACCGTCCCTTTCAGTAGCTACATTCATCCCCTCCGTTGCTTCCGCCCTTTCTTCTCCCTCTCTTATTTTTTTATTTCTTCTCGACTCTCCCCCCTCCCCTCTCTCCCCCTTCCTCTCCGACCAGGTGGCATTGCTACATTGCATCTCTTGGGTATTGCGCCCTCTCTCATCGTCTCCTGCATCATGTCTGCCTCCTGTTCAGCGTTGAGACGGCTGACCCACAGGTCTCCCCGCACTTGGCCGTCCCGCATCTCCTCCGTCTTCCGGCCTTTATCCTCCTCCCCCTCCGTTGTCCATCCCAGTCTCAGGACGTCCTCTGCTCTTCCTCGCGTGTCTCGCTTTTCCACCATGGCATCCCTTCAGCATGCAGCCCCCGTTATCCCCGGCGATAAGCCGTATGATCCGGAGATCAAGGACATGGCCGACTATATCCACAACTACGATGTGAACTCGGACTTGGCGGTATGAGGTTTCCCTGTTGTTACAATTTGTTCCACGCTCTGTGGTGTTTATCGCGCATTGTGCCTTGGGATTCTTTGTATGATTTGGTCTAACTGATGTCCTGTTTTTAGTATGACACCGCCCGTCTGGTGTTCCTCGATACGTTGGGATGCGGACTGGAGGCCTTGAAGTTCAAGGAATGTTCCAAGCTACTGGGCCCTGTCGTTGAAGGCACCGTGGTTCCCAATGGCACGCGTGTCCCAGGAACCCCTTACCAGCTTGACCCTGTCAATGGCGCTTTTAACATTGGCGCGATGATCCGCTGGCTGGACTACAACGATTGCTGGCTGGCTGCCGAATGGGGTCACCCCTCTGACAACTTGGGTGGAATCCTCGCTGTCGCCGACTGGGTTTCCCGCACCAACCGAGCCGGAGGAAACATCGCCAACGGCAAGATCTTTCAGGTCAAGGACGTCCTGGAGGCCATGATCAAGGCGCACGAGATCCAGGGTGTGCTGGCATTGGAGAACTCTTTCAACAAGGTTGGCCTGGATCACGTCCTCCTGGTCAAGGTTGCGACCACCGCTGTGGTTGCCAAGATGCTCGGTCTCAGCGAAAAGCAGACCGCTGATGCTATCACCCAGGCTTTCGTCGATGGCCAGTCTCTCCGTACCTACAGACACTCCCCCAACACCATGTCGAGGAAGTCCTGGGCTGCTGGTGATGCGTGCCAACGGGCGGTCAACCTCGTCTTGAAGGTGCAAAAGGGCGAGGGTGGCTTGCACACCGTCCTGTCTGCCCCTGTCTGGGGTTTCTACGATGTCCTGTTCAAGGGCAACAAGTTCCAGTTCCAGCGCCCCTACGGCAGCTACGTCATGGAAAATGTTCTCTTCAAGGTTTCCTACCCAGGTAAGCCTAGATCAAACCCTTGAATGGAATGAGGCTAACCGGATATCATCACAGCCGAATTCCACTCCCAGACTGCGATCGAAGCCGCTGAGATGGTGAACGTGAAGCTTAAGGCTCTGGGCAAGACCGCCGCAGACATCAAGGAGATCAGGAACCGCACTCACGAGGCGTGCGTCCGTATCATTGACAAGCAGTTCAAGGCGATGGACAACTTTGCCGATCGCGACCACTGTGTTCAGGTGAGGCCCACTAAAATTTTGGAGATGAATGCCGGACATGCATACTGATTGAACAACAGTACATGGTTGCGACCATGTTGGTTTTCAACCGACTCACTGCCAACGATTATGCCGATGGCTCCGAGGCTGCCACCTCCCCGCTCCTGGAGGATCTACGGAAGCGCATTTACTGTGTTGAGGATCCTCAGTTTACCAAGGATTACCACGACCCTGCCAAGCGCACCATCCCCAACGCTCTCACCGTGACCCTGAACGACGGAACGGTGCTCGACGAGATCGTCGTTGAGGCGCCCTTGGGTCACCGTCTGCGGCGCGAGGAGGCCAAGCCGGAGATTCTGGCCAAGTACAAGCGTCACTTGCAGGCTCACTTTGACCAGGCGCGCATTGACCAGCTTGTCGAGGTCGGCTGGAACCGCTCTGCACTTGAGAGCTACGATGTCGACAAGTACGTCGATCTGTACGTCAAGGACACGCTGGTGGCAGCTCAGTAGAGCTTAGTTGCATATGGGAATCGAAATGTTATACCACGTTGGGATATAAGTTGTTGGAATATGATGTATGAAATAAATGAACATTGGCCGGAATAGAGCTACTTTAGGAATTTACCGATGGTGGAATTAGTACAATACACGACGTGACTACGGATCAAGGCTCGGCTACGCCAAACGCTGCCGATTCCACCACTGCCATCTGTCCGTGCTAAGTGTCCCAGAAGTAGTCAGCTCCCATTGCAACGTCTACAGCAACACATGACGAACTATCATCGATCGATTCCGATGTCCGATCAGTATAGATGATACAATGTCCGACATCTATGCCTTGTCACCAAAGCGATTCAACGTTGCAGAAAGACACCGAGCCATCATGATGGAGTCTAGCAGTCACCAATACCATCGATACCAAACCCGTTATCAGAGCAGCGCACGGATCTCCCAAGGAATATCATTCGGCTAACTTGATGCAGGCCTGACAAGGAAATCTGGGGAAGACAGCTCAGCATCTCGCATCGGCTGTTGTCGATCGTGTCTGCCTTGCCGATACAGCCAATGATGGCGCTCGCGGGATGTGTAGACATCCAGGATATGGAATGGTGGCTGACATGGGATTGATAGGATGTGAGGGGATTCTTTCTAGCTGTAGTAGGGGTGGGGATGTATATAGAGGGAAGTATGCGCGGAAATGGTATGCTACAGACCCTGTGTTACGATTGTTTGTAAGACATGACGGAGTGTAACAACGAGATGAAGAGAGAGGACCGCAACAGTCATGAGGCCGCCAAGGCGAGCCTTGACACTGGTGTTCTGGAGCTGGAATCGACGCCCCAGTTCTCTGCTGAGGCGGAGAAGAGGCTGGTGAAGAAGATCGACTTTATGTTTGTTGAGTTGATGCGTATACTGTGTGAAGTGAAGGAGGCTGACGCTTACCAGGATCTTTCCCATCATGCTGGTCGCGTATATGATGTCCTTTATGGATCAACAGACGCTAGATTACTCGGCCATCAGGGGCCTTTTGGAGGATCTTGATCTCCATGGAATGGAGTATAGCTGGTCTTCCTCCATTTTTCTACTTTGGTTATCTCGCGTTCAGGTGAGTCCATGTCACAGCCGAATCTCATGGGTAATTCTGATGAGTATTTCCAGCTATCAGAGATTTTAATTGATGGTCAAGTTTCCCTTGGGGAAATACTTGGCCTGCACTTAGTACATTCACTCTTCTCGATACCACGGTATGTGCTTACCGTCTATAGTCTCTGTTGGGCCGTGGTCCTCGCATGCCATGCTGCTACCAATAACTTCACCGGACTCATGGTCGCGCGGTTCCTCCTTGAGAGGGTTGGGGGATTTTTTTCGGGGTGGTGGTGGTGGAGGGGGAGGAGGTTGGAGGGGTGAAGTGCTGGTTGGTTGCATGTAGTTGGGGTTGATGGATGGGATTCTGTGACTGTGGATGAGAGTATGGCTTGTTGATGGAGATCCATCTATTTAGGATTGAGCATTGCCTGAGCGTTTTGAGTGTTGTGATCTGTATGTCAAGAGGGATCGACTATAGACGTTAAGGGGATGGCATTCACTCATGAATTGATAATCGTATACTATAGGATACTGATACTATTTATTCATCTGCCTCGATCTCAAAATCTGCCTTCACTCTCTGCGCAAATTCCTCATCAACCAGAATTTGACACGCCACGACAGCCATCCCCGCCGCGCAGGCCAGACTGCGTTGATGCGCCTCGGGCGATCCAGCGCCGTTCGTGAAGAGAGGCGTATGGTTGACTCCCTCGGTCGCGATGGTGAAGAGGCCGTGGAATCCGGGGACGGCGTAAGACACGTTCCCTGTAGTCCACAGTTAGCATCTCTGCATGAGAGAGAGAGAGTATGTTAACATACCCATATCCGTGGACGCTCCAGTGAGTTTACTGGCTTGTCCAGCATTATTCAGCAGAGTATGGTGACCCATTGCGCGCATGACGGAGACATAGCTTTCGCAAATGGGGTTGTTGGTTTTGAGGTCGTCATATGAGATGCCCCTAATCCATTAGAACAGATTAAGAAATAGGGAAGGGAGGTCGTACCACTCGAACTGTACCCCACATCCTGTCGCTGTGGCAGCCGCCTCAAAGCAATTGACCACCTTCTCCGTCAACGCATTCAAGCTCTTTTTCGTCGGTGACCGAATGTAGTAATCCACTGTCGCTGACATCGGAATCACATTCGGTCTATCCCCGCCGTTCACAATGACACCGTGGATCCGCTGTGTTGGTAGAATCTGCTGCCGCAACAGCGAGATATTCACATACGCGGCCACAACTGCATCCAGGGCATTAACTCCCTCCCATGGTGCTGCCGCTGCGTGCGCCGGCTTCCCCGTAAACGTCACCGTAACTTTATCATTCGCCAGGAACCCTCCAGGCAGCACAGTCGCCATGCTCAGCAGCTCGGGGTGTCCGGGTGCCATGGGGATAGGATGCACCATCAAGCACGCATCAACGTCCTTGTAAGCGCCATTCTCGAGGAGACGCACTTTCCCACCCCCAGATTCCTCCGCCGGTGTGCCAAGTAGTCGGACAGTATAGCCGTGGTCTGGGGGTTGGGACTTTAGCGCTTCGCAGGTGGCGATGAAGGCGGCGATGGAGCTTGTCGCGATGAGGTTGTGACCGCAGGCGTGGCCGATGCCTGGGAGAGCGTCGTATTCGGCATTGAAAACGACGGCACGTCCCCCTATACCGTGGGTGTAGGTAATCTCGAAGGCAGTTGAGAGGCCGTAGGCAGAACGTTGGACGCGGTAGCCGGGGGTTGTGCATTGGAGGGTATCGAAGAGGGCGCAGATGTTGTCGTGGGCTTGGTGTTCGGCGTAACCTAGCTCGGGGGTGGCCCAGATCTGATTTGGTTAGGATGTGAAAGGATGTTTGGATGGAGGACAGGCTTGCCTTCTTGTTGATGTCTTGGAGCTCGGGGTCATGCTTGCAGAGGGCATCTTCCACGCTGGCGATGAAGCGTTGTTGGGTTGCTTCGAGGTGCATGGTTATGGTGGGTGTGGTTTAGTGGTAAATGGTAAGAACCAAAATTGAAGACCAGGACAACCTGGTTCTGAGCCGAGGGACATCTTATAGGGAGAAGGATCTCTCATTGTGGTGGATGGTTCTCCGCATCGATTGCGGAGATACGAGGGAGCTATCAGCGATATCTAGTGGTATCTGAGGTTATCGCGATGTCTCGGCAACTCGCGATTGCCGATTGCGATCACCTGACCGCTGCCGACGCAGCCAATCGGCGGGCGTGTCTCGGCAGGTTGCGGCCGAGGGCTTGCCGGGGCATGGATTCTCCGCTGCTCTCGTCTTTCTCTCTCCTTCATGTCTTTCCTGTTGGCCTATCTCGGCTCAGTTGGCGCCAATGGACCTGCTTCGCACCATCTTATGTGCTAGTCATACATGACATCCACGACGGAGGCTCCGCGAGCAAGTGGAGCATTTTGAGACGCGCCGGACTGATAGGCGATAGACGATAGACGATAGAGATGCATAGGCTCGGCAGGAAGACTCGGTCTAAGACCGGTAACGATCCCCGCCATTGCTGTCTTGCGCTCTTCTAGTCGTCACAGTCGGACTTACTGTAACACAGGCTGCCGCACGTGTAGAATCCGCAAGGTCAAATGTGACGAGGAGAAATTATTTGCCCCTGGCCAGGAAGAGCCGCAATGCAGGCGTTGCGCGGCGGCCCAAATCGTGTGCGAGTGGAAGGGCGGCCCTATCCCACGGGGTCCAGCCAAAGGGTCGGCAAAGGATGGTCGCGCAGTAACAAGGCGCTCCGACTGTCAGCCTGTTCCGGCTCCTACGCCTTCCCTGTCTCCCACGGGCAGCCCTGGGAATAGCATACAAGCAGCCAATTCGCTCGTCTTGTCTGTCTTTGATCGTTCCTGCTTGAGTTACCTCCAGGATTCCGCGCTGGTCGTGATTCTGGGCAAGCATTGGCCCTGGTCCACTGTTTCTTATGCGTACCACAAGATCGCAGTCAAAGAGCCCATGGTCATGAGCATGATGCTGGCGACTACTTCCAGTGAGATCAATCGATCGCTTCTGTACGACCGGGACAAGGCGGAGGCACAATTCTCCATCGAGAGCTTGTCCGACGTGGATAGTAGGCTACATTACGGTCGAGCTCTCTCGGGCCTCCAAGAAGCGCTGAAGCAGGACGTCAAGTCCCCGGAACACATTGAAGCTATTTTTATAACCTTGTGGATGATGATTGACTACGAGAACCGGTTTGGGAGCGGGATGGCTGGGATTAATATTCACATTTGCGGCATTGAGAGTTTACTCTTCAACCACGTCGTCCCGTCGCTTAAGCAGTTGGAACCTCCATATACCACAATGGCAGCAGATCCAACAGGCATAACGTGTGATACTGCAGACAAAACCCCGTACACAAGCCTAAGCCAACATCCCGTGCCACGGCAGGCTGTGGAAATCTCCAAGAGTAGGCTTCGACAGACAGCGGTCCCTCTGTTTCTGCTTTGGACCTTGTACTTTTTCACCCCTGGCGCTTTGCTCTCTGGCCCCGGGGCCGCAAGGCTCGATGCGGATTTGTTTCGATTCTTCATGCAAGAGGAAGCAGGAAGTGTGGGATTGAGCCTGTCCGAACTTTATAGGATGGGAAGACAGTCACCGTCCCGATTCTGGGGGGAGATGTACCCCACGACAGCTCAGCTGGATGATATGGAGAATCTCCCTGGCTTGACACTATATCACAAGAGCCATGTGATACAGTTCCGCATTACAGAGTTGTTTCGAGAAAGCGCCCCTTTGGAGAAAAACTGCGAGGAGATCATTGATGAACTCATCATGTTATCTGATGTAAGACTCATCGACCTGCATGCGACTCGGCATTTTCACGCATAGTTTGACATGGCTGACTTGGTTTATCAGGAATACGATATCTTGCTGTCTTCCGCCAAATCCGCTCCCTCGTGCGAGATCGTGGGCGACGGACGTCGCGTGATGGAAACGGTCTTTTGGGCAGCCATCACCTATTACGGCACGATTGTGTATCTTCACCTGTGCTGCAAGGACAATTTCGCCGAAGGATTCCAGCGTGCAGATCTGATGTCTCTGCATGACGCCGTTTGCCAGGTTTTGGAACTCTCCTTGAAGCTCCATCGCAGCCGACCGCACTTGATGGTGCGGATCATCTGGCCTCTTTTCATTGCAGGAATTGCCACATCCGACAGGATATACCAAGATTGGGTGTCTATCCGACTGCATGAGCTCGGCCGCTATGGGCTGAACTACAGCCGAGTCAGCGCTCGCTTCGACGAGATCATCCAAGGAGGTGATCCATTTGCACACGGCCAGAGACCCTTATGTGCATAGTAGCTTCACTAGACTGCCATGCGTGAGCCTGGATGCTCGGTGGCTATGATTAAAATGTGCAATATCCTGCGGATATGCTGATGTGTGGTTCTAGTAACTTCTGGAGTAAGAAGACCCCAGACAGCTACTACGTTCCAGTGATGTCAAACAAGGGTATAGCACCCCGCTAAGACTCTTCAGGACTTCTTATTCGCAGTTATGCTTGGTTTTATGACGTGACAATGCGTTCGTGGAGATGACCCGGAGAGGCGAGCCTGGTGGATCTGAGCGAACTTAGAGTTTGCCAATCATAATGCTAGTCTTGGCACAGTTATAGTCCAGGAAACACATGAGTTCCATTGCGGCCACTGGCTATTACTCGGTGGAATATGCTGTTTGACAAATCGGGCATCTATGCTGATGGTACTGGAACCATGCTGCGAGACAAGAAGCATGGAAAACATGGTGGCAGCGGTTGAGCACCAGGATGTTTCTCCCCCCGCACACTCGACCGGTCTCCATGGGGTCCTGCAGGTTGGTTTCATTGCGGGGTGATGGTGCGATACAGGCGGGCTCGGGGAAAGGGAGAGTATCTTGAGAGGCTGCGAGACCCGAGAGACAGATGGCACTACCAAGAAACGATACATCAGTCCTACGGATCAGTCGGTCCCCGCACCTGGGCCAAGCGTTGGCGCGACCAGGGATGGGCAGCCTTACCAGGATTCCTGGGCATATTGGCGGTCGCTGTGGTCCGCATGTGTCTGCTCTTCGAGCCATCGTTCCACTGACACCTGCCGCATGGTGCCGCCATGGGTGAGATTGCGAAGTTCGCTATCGCGTCGGGCGATTGTTCGGCGACGATGGTGCCACATCACAATGCTGGCTGATCAGATACGCGTTCTCCGCCAGACACGGATACCGAAGGTGACCTGCCAATAGGGGCCTGTGAAACACTCACAATGGGACCATACTCATGGCCGCAAACAACAGCACGGCTCCCACCACCACGCCCACGATCCCGGCCTTGTGGGTATCACCGGCCATCGACCACACGAGGAGGAACAAAGACAAGGACAAGGATGGACAGGTCGAATGCGACTGACTAGGCGACGCGTCGGGTAAATCGGCAGACAGGCAGCGTTTGATGCGCTACGATAGATAGATAGCCTTCCAACCAGCATCAGCAGGGCAGGAATGCAGTGGGGAGGGTTGCATGAGGGAGACCGGAATCGGATCCATCGCCGGCGGGGATGGAGAATCTCCGGCGACTGCGACCTCTGCATTTTAAGGTTGGCCTGCGACTGGCTCTCAGACCCCCCAAGCAACCTGCCAAGGCGACCCAACTCTCAGACGAGCAGCCCATCCGAGGCGGGATTGCCCCCCAGAGGTGCCAAGTCTCCGCGCTTCGGAACACCTTGGCGTTCCGCTGGGGCGAGACCGCCGCTGACCCAATCACAGCGAGTACAGGCGAAACCGACTCTCGGCCGGGCTCACGTGCGGCAATTGACTGGTCGTCTGCGTCATCATCGGGGAGGCGAGACGCCGCCGGCGACGCTCCCAAGGTTTATGCCAAGAGGCCTGGCCCGACCGGACGTGATTGGCGCTTGGCTGGCTCGGCATCGTGTTTGCTCTGGATATACACCACGCCAAGAGATATTCACAATCTCGGGCAAAGCTGGCAAGGCCTATAAAGGCGAGCCTCCTCCCCGGGATCAAGTCGGAGATCCAACGGATCTAGATCCTTTAGTGCCGCGGTGTATGGACTCTCATTCTATAGAGGATACAATCTACATGGCACCTCCGTGATTTCACTTATACCAGTAGACGCAACACTCGAGGACTACACATACAAGATGGACCCCGAGAAACAAACTCCACCTTCCTCCCAAATCCCGCTCTCCGCCCCCGCCCACACCCTCTCCGACATCACCGTCCTGCACGAGCTTACCGTCAACCCGGAAGACGGTCTCAGCATTCAGGAAGCCCAAAGCCGACTACAGAAATGGGGGACCAACGAGCTCGAAGGTGACGAGGGCATCTCCCTCGCAAAGATTATCATCCGCCAGATCGCCAACGCCATGATGCTGGTATGCCCCAACCCTACCTACTTGCCTTACCCTCTGAAATTCTCACCAACATTACCAGGTTCTCATTATCGCCATGGCCGTCAGCTTCGGCATCCAATCCTGGATCGAAGGCGGGGTGATTAGTGCCGTGATCGGGCTGAACATCGTCGTAGGCGTATACCAAGACTACGCAGCCGAAAAGACCATGGACTCGTTACGGGGCCTCAGTTCACCGACCGGAGTCGTGACCCGCGACGGCAAGACGGGTACCATTCCGGCCATCGAGATTGTCGTGGGCGATATGGTGGACCTGAAAGTAGGAGACACAGTTCCGGCTGATCTACGGTATGTCCCCTGTCTCCATGTTCAGGCAGCAAACTAATGCCCGGTAGACTAGTCGAAACCATGAATTTTGAAACCGACGAAGCCCTCCTCACCGGCGAATCCCTCCCCGTAGCTAAATCCTCCTCCGCTACCTTTCCCGCTGCCACGGGCCCTGGCGACCGTCTCAATATCGCCTACAGCTCTTCGACCGTCACCCGGGGCCGCGCGCGCGGTGTGGTGATTGGCACCGGTATGGGAACGGAAATTGGGGCCATCGCGGCGGCTCTTCGCGCCAAGGACCATCAGCATCGCCGGCCTGTGCGACGAGGACCTGGTGGCGAGACCAAGAAGCGGTGGTATGTGGCGGCGTGGACGTTGACGTGCACGGATGCCGTCGGCCGGTTCCTTGGAATCAATGTGGGGACACCGCTGCAACGGAAACTGAGCAAGTTGGCGTTGTTGCTGTTTGGGATTGCGGTCGTGTTTGCCGTCATCGTCATGGGCGCCAACGGGATGCGCAATGATAAGGAGGTCATTATCTATGCGGTCGCCACGGGATTGGCCATGATCCCGGCTTGTCTGGTGGTCGTGTTGACGGTGACCATGGCCGTGGGCACGAAGCAGATGGTGCACAGGAACGTGATTGTACGCAAGTTGGATTCCTTGGAGGCCTTGGGCGCCGTCACCAACATCTGTTCGGATAAGACGGGCACTCTGACGCAAGGACGCATGGTCGCCAAGAAGGCCTGGGTGCCTGCATTAGGTACCGTGTCGGTGGGCGTGTCCAAGGATCCCTTGGATCCAAACGAGGGCGAGTTGAGGGTTCGTGATGCCATGCCTGGGGAGAGCGATGAGGGGGGTGTTGCCGTGCCGCGGGACTTGGTGGCAGACAATGCCGTGCTGCAGCGGTATCTGGATGTCGCGGCCATGGCTAATCTGGCGCATGTGCATCGGTCCGAAGAGAACGGCCGGTGGCAGGCGCGTGGCGAGCCCACCGACATTGCCATTCAGGTGTTTGCGGCGCGCTTCGACTGGGGCCGCGACCGGTGGACCAAGGGCGAGAAGCCTGTCTGGAGCCAGCAGGCGGAATATCCGTTCGACTCGACGGTCAAGAAGATGTCGGTCATCTTCCGCCGCGGCGACGACGAACAGGATGTCATCTTCACCAAGGGCGCCGTGGAGCGCGTCCTCGACGCCTGCTCGTCCGTCATCTGGACCGCCGACTCAGCTCCTGTGTCCTTGTCCGATGATATGCGCGATACCATCCTGCAGAACATGGAAGCCCTGGCGCGCGAAGGATTGCGCGTGCTCGCCCTCGCCAGTCGGACCAGCTCCTTTGCATTCACCGACATCCCACCCCGCGACTCCATCGAGAAGGACCTCACCTTCGCCGGGCTGATCGGGCTCTACGACCCGCCTCGCCCAGAGACCGCAGGGGCCATTGAAGAGTGCCACCGCGCGGGGATCTCGGTGCATATGGTGACAGGCGACCACCCTGGTACGGCGCGCGCCATTGCCGCCCAAGTGGGCATCATCCCGTCGAACATGCAGCATTTGGCCCGCGACGTATCGGACAGTCTGGTCATGACAGCCAGCCAATTCGACGCCTTGACCGAGGCGGAAATTGATGCCCTCCCCACACTTCCCGCCGTGATTGCTCGCTGTGCTCCACACACTAAGGTACGGATGATCGATGCGCTGCACCGTCGCGGCCGCTACGCCGCGATGACAGGGGACGGAGTGAATGACTCGCCGTCGTTGAAGCGCGCAGACGTGGGCATCGCAATGGGACAATCCGGCAGTGACGTGGCCAAGGATGCATCAGAGCTGGTCCTGACTGACGACAACTTTGCGAGCATTATCAACGGTATTGAAGAGGGTCGACGCATTTTTGATAACATCCAGAAGTTCGTGCTGCATTTACTGGCAGAGAACGTGGGTCTGGCATTGACCCTACTCATTGGCCTGGTCTTCAAGGACGAGAACGGCCAGAGTGTGTTTCCAATCGCACCGGTTGAAATTCTCTGGATTATCATGATCACCTCCGGACTGCCAGATATCGGACTAGGGATGGAGAAAGCCGCGAGTGATGTGATGGATCGGCCACCGCAGAATGTATGTCCCCTCCTCCCTTTCCCCTCCCCCATCATCTCCAACCACATACCAATACTAATAAAACAACGAACAGAAAAACGGTATCTTCACCCCCGAAATCATCCTCGACACGCTCATCTACGGCCTCTGGATGGCAACCCTCAGTCTCAGCGCCTTCGCCCTGGTCCTTTTCGCCTGGGGCAACGGCGACCTCGCCACAGAATGCAACAGCAGTTACTCGTCCGCCTGCGACACCGTCTTCCGCGCCCGCGCCACCACCTTCGTCTGCATGACCTGGTTTGCCCTCCTCCTTGCCTGGGAAATGATGCATCTCCGAAAGAGTCTATTCAACATGCATGACCACAGCTCAACCTCCTCCTCAACTCCAAACTACAAAACCAAATTATTCTACTGGACCAAAGACATCTACACCAACATGACCCTCTTCTGGGGCATCGTGGTAGGATTCCTCCTCACTTTCCCCGTCCTTTACATCCCTGTGATCAATCACATCGTGTTCAAACATACGGGAATTAGCTGGGAATGGGGAGTGGTGTTTGTCGAGGCTGGGCTGTTTCTGGGGGGTGTGGAGGGGTGGAAGTTTATTAAACGGGGGTGGTTTAGACGGATGCAGTCAAAGACGTCCAAACACGAGAGGGATACTGGGGATGATGAGAAAGACAAAGGTGGATTTAGTCGGTTCACGACGTTGAGTCGCGAGGAAGGCGTGTTGGTGGGGTTGAAGGGGAGGGAGATTGTTTAGGTTAGTTTGGTTTCGATTTGATGCTTGCTTGCTTGTTTGCTTGATTAGGGTGTTGGAGTGTATATAGATGGATATATTGGTTGCTGATAGTTTGTATATAGTGTTCATTTTTTCTTTCTAGAGCCACTAGGTGTGGGATGGAATATTATGTTATGATATACTCTGTCTTTTGTTGTAGATTAATGAAGTAGGGTGAGAATAGAGCCTCGTCACTGCTAAATACCTTTTTATATTTCGATTCACGTTTCTAGGTAGGTAGGTAGGTAGGCTACTAGACAAGGAAATGAATGACTTAATAATAAAACATTCTATCTGAGCATATCCCCGTAGTATGCCATCATCTATCCCTCTCTATCTTAATAGTATACGATATGACGTGATGTATCTATCTATAACAAACCAGCATATATGAAAACCCACCCCTTTACAAAAGATACCAATCCCTTATTCTACTAGATCTACAAGACCCAACTGACTAACTACTCATTCATTCGATACCCCCTCCACCTCGCGATGTCTCGCCGTTTGACCCCGGAATACCTTCCGGCCGCGCAACATCCAATCCAGACCGATAATGACCGCAACGACCCCGTAGACTGCTGAGACGTAGTTCATGTCTATTCACTCTTGTCAGTTACATAATTTTCAGATATCTGAACCTAACAAAGAAAGGGAAACGTGCAAATAGGAGGGGGGGAGGGGAAGGAACATACTACTCGCCGTAACCGGATAAACAGACGGAAACGAATAAATCACAAGACAGAAAACCGTCCAAAGCAAGACCACAACATTACAAACGAGCCCTATCTTCCCAAGCCAGAACGGTCCATGGGGGATATTTTCCCTTCCGCGCCAGAGGAGACACACCACGGGGACTACATACGAGGTATATAGTAGCACAATGCAAGCGGTGACCATGCTATTGAAGGCTGTTGAGGAACCGAGATAGAGAAGTCCCAGGAGGCCGACGATGAAGCAGCTTGTGCTGTGGGCGTTTAACGGGATATCGAGGGTCGGATGAATACGGGCAAGAAAGGACGGACACGGAAGGCCTTTATCACGAGCAAACGACCAACAGAGACGAGATTGCCACGTATGACAGGCGATTTGGCAACCGATTCCGGTGACGAGGATGAGGGATTCGAGGACGATAGCGGCGGGTTTGTTGTGGAGGGCTTGGTAGAAGAGGGCGAGGATGGGGACGCCGGTGGGGGAGGAGAGGATGGGGTCGAGGTCGGTGAGGGAGAAGAAGATGGAGATGCAGTAGGTCCAGGAGGTGAGGAAGCCGATGAGGACGGTGGAGAGGATGGCGATGGGGATGGAGCGTTCCGGGTGGGAGACTTCTTCGGCGAGGTGGGTGGCGGAGTCGAGGCAGGCGAAGACCCAGTTTGGGTTGATGAGGCCGACGAGGAAGGCGATGCCGTCGGAGGGCCAGCCGGTGGAGTTGACGAAGTGGGTGAAGACGAAGGAAGGGGAGGCGTGGGAGGGGGAGGCGGCGGGAACGGTGATGAGGATGATGGTGAAGGAGAGGAGGGAGATGTAGAGGGTGGTGGTGGCGACGGTGGGGAGGAGTTTGCCGACGCAGTTGAAGAGGAAGGCGAAGAAGTTGATGATTTGGTAGGCGACGACGGTGTGCCAGGGTTGGGGGATGCTGGGGATGTTAGATAGAGGCTGTGGGTGGGTGTAGTTAGGGTTTGACATACAAATGTGGATGGGAGAGCTGCCACATGCCGACGCCGGCGGAGGCTAGGCTTAAGGCGACGCTGGCGCAGGTGAAAATGGCGCCGGCCCAGGCCAGCCAGCCGGTTAGATAGGATGCGAACGAGGCGTATTGGCGAGGGGCGAGCTCGCTGGCCCAGAAGTATTGGCCGCCGGCGTTGGGCATGGCCGATGCCAGTTCGGAGAGGGTGACGCCGACGCAAATCGAGATGAAGGCGATCCAGGGGATGCCGTAGATGGTCAGGACGGTGCCTCCGGAGTTGATGCCGGTGATCAAGGAGGCAGAGATGCCAAACCATGAGTTGGCCAGCGAAAAGGCGACGCCCAGCAGGGACAGCACGGAGAAGTTCCGTTGCATGTCCTGCGTGTAGCCCATCTCTGCCAGCTTCCTGGCATCGTCGTCGAGACTGGTAGAGTCCCCACTGGCCGGGCTGGCCGGGGATACGTTGGCTTTGGCGGTGTCCATGTTGTGTAAGGAACACTACTATAAGAAGATCGGGGAATCATCTGGGGGAGTGCGGGGGAGGCGCTGAAATAGTCGCGTGGAGGTGGTATGCGAGGGTTGCAGCAGCCCGCCGATCTCACGCACGATGGCCACGCTGCAGCCAGTTGCATCGAGAAGTCGACTGCAGCAGGTCAGCTTCAGCATCTGCCCCGCTCGGGTGGGCAAGGAATGCTTGGCTGGGCAACTGACGGACATTACCTACTGGGCTGAACCTTGAACAGAGCACCAGATACAGCCATAAGCATGTTCATTCAGCAATCAAAAGTCTACATCTATATACTCATCAAGCCTCATTAAGCAAAGCAACCAGCCAACCGTCTATCAAAGGAAAAAAAGGTCTAAATCACACCGCTGTCGATGCAAGCAAATCATAAACCAGAACAATTACTCTTCGTCATCCGTGTCCACCGGCTTGGGCGTGCCCTTGGGCGACTGCAGCCATTCCAGGTGACGCAGGCGCCGGCGCGCCTCGCGCTCCTTCAACTGAGCGCGCGTCAGCTTCTTCTTCTTGCGGGCCTTGAACTTCAGCTCGCCCTGCTCCTCGGCGCCCGAGTTGACCGCCGACGCGGCCGCACTCGTCACCGTCGAGTTGACGGCGGTGCTGCCCGGCTGGGGCGAGCTGGCGGCGCTGTCCTCGAACCGGTCGAGCGCGACGGCGTTGTTGGTGCGCGACACAATGCGACCGTCAGCCACGTGCAGCTGCTCCGGGCAGAGCGCGCCCACAAACTCCTCGTTGTGGGAAATCATCACCACACCACCCTTGAAGTCCCGGATGGCCACGGCCAAGCCGCCCAGCGAGTCACGGTCCAAGAAGTTGGTCGGCTCGTCCAGGACGAGCAAGTGGGGGTTGTTCCACATGGCTCCCGCCAGCACGACCTTGACCTTCTGTCCACCGGACAGACCCGAGATCTCGTTGTGGTTGGCGATCTCGGGGTCCAGGCCGACGTCCTCGAAGTGCTTCGAGATGACCTTGGGGTCCAGGACACGGAAGCCGAGACCCTCGCGGGACGCCTCGTGGTCGTCGAACTCCTGGATCAGCTTGAAGAAACCGAGGTTGAGCAGGGTCTCACGAGAGATCATGGTGTTGTGCTTGGGCAACAGACCAATCCATTTACTGCGATAGGTTAGATGCGGCGGATGTGCAAGGGGACCGGAAATACTTACACCTCGTACTGGAACGACTTCTTCCACTTCTGACGACCAATGAGCGCCTCAATCCGGCGGGGTCCACGGCCATCACCCAGGTCCACTGGCTTCTCCAGCTGAGCCTTGTCCTCCTCGGTAAGGATACGGGTCTGCTTCATGTGCACCTCACGGTCGTCACCGTTGGCGTAACGCCACTGCAGGTACTGGCTGGGAGTCTTCTCCAAGTGCATCTCGACGTGCTCCAGGGCGTGCTGCTTGATGTATCCGATACGCAGGTTGGGGTGCTTCTCCACCTTACCGGTCTGAGGAATGGTCTCGCCCGTGAGCATCTTGATGAAGGTCGATTTACCGGCACCGTTGCCTCCGATGATGGCAACACGGGACGACAGCGTCAGCGACAGGGAGGCCTCGGAGAGAGACGGCTTGCTGGCTCCGGGGTAGGTGTAGGAGCAGTTGGTCATCCGGAGGATCGAGCGGGTGTTGGACTTGATACCAGAGAGGATACCGGGGGCAGGGAACTTGAACTGCACGATACTCGCCGACAGGGTGTAGTAACTCTTGGCCTCGGGCTTGACCTTGACGAAACTGGTGACTGTTAGTAAAATTCAGACCGGAACGACGGGTTGACTTACTCGGCCAGGTTACCCTTGTAGCAGACCAGCTTCTTCTGTTCGTAGTGGTAGATGTCCGTGCAGACCTCGTCGAGGAAACCGGAGTCGTGAGAGACGATCAGACTGGTGATATCGGTGTGTTTCTTCAGGTACTCCTGAAGCCACTTGACGTTGGCCACATCCAGGTGGTTAGTCGGTTCGTCCAGCAAGAGAACATCCGCCTTCTGGAGCATCGCACGGGCCAGAGCCAGCTTCATCTTCCACCCACCAGACAGGGATCCCACGCGCTGGTTCTGACGGCCCTCGGGGCCGTCGGTGAAGCCGAACTCAAGCAACACGCTGCGAATGTGCTCCTCGCCCTCCTTGGCGATGAGGGGGTCCTTCTGGACATACTCGAAGATGCTCAGGTCGGCATCCTCGCCCTGGTTGTGCTCGACAAAGCAGGTCCGGACCTCGCTCTGCGGCGGGAAGCCCTCGAGCTTCTCGTTGGCGATACTGCGCATGAGCGTCGACTTACCGGCACCGTTGCGACCGCACAGACCGTAACGGTGTCCCTTCAGCAGGCGAAGGTTGGTGTGCGACAGCAGCAGCATACCACCGTAGGCCAGGGAGAAGTTGGCATTGACAATCTCCACCTCGTTGGGGTCGTCCGGAATGGGCTTGCCGAACTTGCGGTGGTCCTCTTCGATGAAGTGCTCTTGAACGGCGGCGGCGACCTCGTCGTGCTTGCCATCCTGCAGCAGACCGCGCAGGTACGGGGCGACACAGGCGGGGATACGGTCGTGCATGCGGCAGTTGACGTCCTCACGGACCATCTCGGCAATGTAGTTCTTGCCCAGGGTAAAGAGGGTGGCATCCTCGGGATGAGCGAGACCGCCGTGCTCCTGGATCTTAGCATCGAGCACCACCATGACCTCCTCGGGGGTGATCTTCACAATCACACCCTGGGCCACATCCTTATCGGCCATGGCCTTCTCGATGACGTCCAAGGCACGGGTGGCCAGCTCACGGACTTCCGGCAGAGAGGCACGGTCCTTGACGCGCTGCACACCGGGCTTGAGCTTGGGCAAGAAGGTACGGGCTTCGGCGGGGTCGTGGACAAGCTTGGTCAGGTTCTCGACGACGACGACGGTCTGGCGCAGCGTCTCCTGGGGCGTCGTGGGGGCGTTCAGCGAACGCTCGAGCAGGGGAGTCAGCAGCGCAAGGACGGGGGAGGTGACGATGGCGACGAAGGTGGTCTGGGAAAGGGCATGGATGGCCTTCTGGAGGGTCTGCTCGGACGGCTGCTCCATGGTCTTGATGAGCAGGGGAATGCGGGGAGCCACATCATCGTTGGACAGGAGGGTGGTGATGGCGTTCATAGCCTTGATGGACTTCTTAGCGACCTCGTTCTTCAGATCGTGCATGCCGGACTCGACCAGGGGGATCAGATCCTTCAGGGTCTTGCCCATGGCCTCGCGCAGGACGTCCTTCTCGCGCTCCTCCTCCAGGGTGCCGGTACCCATCTGGGCCTTGCTAGCCATCTTCTCGATGAGCGAGTAGGCGCCGACGAAACCCTGCCACTTGGCGGTGTTCTGGTGGAGATAGGCGGTGATGGCGGGGAGAAGGGCATTGACCAGGGCCTCGGCCTTGAGGCAGCCGAACAGGGCGTCGATGGCATACTGAGCAGCATCGCGCACGACGGCACCCTTGTCGGCCAGCAGATCGAGGGCCAGGTTCAGGACGCCGCCGTCCTGGAGGAGAAAGACGACTTCGCTCAGAGGGTGTTCACGGGGGAAACGCTCGAAGAGGGCGCCCAAGATGAGCATGGCACTTTCACGGCGAGCGCCATTCTTCTTATCGGTGGCAGCCTTCTTGATCTCGGGAAGGATGTTGTATTTCTGGAAACCGGAGCAGCCGACACTCTGGATGAGCAGGTTGGTGAGGGCGTAGGCGGCATCCAGCGACTGCTGAGAGGTCTCGGCGTTGAAGATGGTGTTGACGATGGAGGCGATCTCCTCGGAGGTGGGGGGGATGCCGGAGGGGGTCTTGGAGACGACGGTGGTCATGGCTGGGGTAGGGGATTCAGGGTGAGGCATGATATCGTATGATCAATGTGGGTTGATCCAAGGCTTCGCACCGGCCGGCGTGCAGCCTGTGAGAATATAGAAAAAGAAACCACAAACAATGAAGAGAAAACCACAAAACTTTTAACAGGCAATCCTCGAGAAGGATGCGGAAGAGCAGAACAACACGGGGTATACAACAACGACAAGGGAAAAGAGAAGAGGGGAGAGTGGGAGGGAGAAGAGAGGAGGAAAGCCGCGCAGAGGGAAAAAGCGAGATGGAGGCGGGGCCGATAACAAAGCTGAGGATTTTTAGGCGGCGGCCCATTGGATCGGGCGAGAAATCTCTGCCTGAGGCGGATGCTAGCCTATCATGTCCGCACGGTGGCGGTGCAGCTGAGTAAGCAGAATATTACTGCCCGATATATAAGGTGTCATTATCACCACAGATGCCTGAGGTGTGCATAGCCTCTGCCTGATGCATGCCTGAGGAACAACAGACAACGGCTTACCCGATTGGGGTTACCCCGCACGGGGCCCACCGCGCGGCACCCAAAATGGAGACTTGAAGGAGTCCACTTGATTCCACCGAGTCCACTTCACATGGGCTCCCCTTCACAATGGACTGATGGACACTCCGTCCATGGACCCAACCATTGATGCACTGGATGGCCAAACTCACATTCTCGTTGCCCGCATGGCTCTGCGCTCCCCTCATCCGCGAGTGGCCTTGCATACCAGGCTGACCCCTCTCAAACCAACCACCGAGGGACGGACGGCCGGGATCTGCAGGCGAAAGAATCTAATTACACCATGATGATACTAAAGATGCAGCGCGATGCTCTACTGCAGACTAGACAGTGACTAGCCTGGCCACCGGCTGGAAGTCATCGGCGGTGAGGATGGGATTGCTGACTGACCTCCGCATGCAGCCGTGCCTTGCCTCGGCCTGTTCAACACCGCGGCCAACCGGACTCTCTCTCTGCCACACTGCCACTCTTCCACACACTCTCTCTTTCTTTCTCCTCCCCGGTCACTTCCCCTGGCCTCAGCTATCCTCCCCAGCTGTACATAACCCCTTTCGCTCGCTCCTCGTCAACGTATATACACACCTCAATCATTCAATCACCTCACCATGGCCCTCCCGATGTCCATACGTCCAACAACCCGCCATGCCTCCCGGCTGGCCCAGGTACATCCTTCCCCTTCATTACTCTCCGTCTCACCACTAACCCCTCCAAAAGTCTCTCCGTACCAGCCGGTCCTACAGCACCGAACCCGATCTCAAAACCACCCTCAAATCCGTTATACCCGACAAACGTGAGCTCTTCCAAGAAGTAAAAGCCCGCAGCGATACCGTCGTCGGCGAGGTCAAGATTGGCAGCATAATCGGTGGTATGCGCGGCCTCAAATCCATGCTCTGGGAGGGTTCCGTCCTCGACCCGGAAGAAGGCATCCGCTTCCACGGCAAGACAATCAAGGACTGCCAACGGGAACTCCCCAAGGGCACCACGGGCACCGAAATGCTCCCTGAAGCCATGTTCTGGTTGCTCCTGACCGGCCAGGTCCCTACCACTAGCCAAGTGCGGGCGTTCTCGCGCGAACTCGCCGAAAAGTCCCATCTCCCAGACCACATCCTCGGACTCATCAAGTCCTTCCCGCGCAACATGCATCCCATGACCCAGCTGTCCATCGCCGTCGCAGCCCTCAACACCGAATCGGCATTCGCCAAGGCCTACGAGCGCGGCCTCAACAAGGCAGAATACTGGGAACCGACCTTCGACGACAGCATCTCACTCCTGGCTAAGATCCCTCGCGTCGCAGCATTAGTCTTCAGACCAGACGAGGTCGACATCGTCGGGAGACAGACCCTCGACGCGACACAAGATTGGTCCCACAACTTCGCCGAACTCCTAGGCAAGGGCGGCTCCGAACACGCCGACTTCCACGACCTCCTCCGTCTATACCTCGCCCTACACGGCGACCACGAAGGCGGCAACGTCTCCGCCCACGCCACCCACCTCGTCGGCAGCGCCCTCAGCGACCCCTTCCTCAGCTACAGTGCGGGACTTCTCGGCCTCGCAGGGCCCCTCCACGGCCTCGCCGCGCAGGAAGTTCTACGCTGGATCCTCGCCATGCAAGAGAAAATCGGCACCCAGCTCACCGACGACTCAGTGCGCACCTACCTCTGGGATACGTTGAAATCCGGCCGTGTCGTCCCAGGCTACGGCCACGGAGTGCTGCGCAAGCCCGACCCGCGCTTCGAAGCCTTAATGGACTTTGCCGCGACAAGAGAAGACGTCCTCGCCAACCCGGTCTTCCAACTCGTGAAGAAGAACTCGGAAATTGCCCCCGCAGTACTCACCGAACATGGAAAGGTAGCTCCCTTCCGCTCTCCCCCATTACCCCCTCCTTGCTAGATAGCAACTAACCATGAATATGAATAGACGAAAAACCCCCACCCCAACGTCGACGCCGCCTCCGGCGTCCTCTTCTACCACTACGGCTTCCAGCAGCCGCTATACTACACCGTGACGTTCGGAGTCAGTCGGGCGCTGGGCCCCTTGGTACAGTTGATTTGGGATCGGGCATTGGGACTGCCAATTGAGAGACCGAAGAGTATTAATTTGCTGGGATTGAGAAAGTAGATTGGCTTCCTTTCCCCTTTTGTGGATACTTGGATTTTTCTATTTTTCGCTATACCATCTGAGGCTGTCTTCAGCTCGCATATATGCGTTGATATCATTTGGATGATTTATCACGGTCATTTGAGATCAGTTGAGATATATCGTATCTAGCCAGTAGCAAGCATTAGAATATGTCATGTCTTGTCATTTGTCATTAGGTATTGATTTGTCCACTCTTGTAGGTCATTACCTCACACCCTCTTCCCATATCAGAAAAAGAGGGAAAGGAAGAATTACTCCCTCTCAACCCTCACCTCGGTGACTTTCTGAATCTGCAATCCTCGCCCACTGCCACTTCCACTGATACTTCTCACGATTCCACGACTGCTCATGATACTCCCCATCCCCATCCCCATTCCTGAAAAGGGGAATCCAGCCTCCAACATGCCTGGATCTCTCTCTTCCCCACCTGCACCTCCAGCTGCAAACAATCCCACCTCACTCCCCGTTCTCGACTCCGTGGTTCTCACGCGGGGCAAACTACTAATCACAGTCGTCTGTGCGGACCCCCCATCCCAGACGCTCCCATCCCAAATCCCAGCCCCAGCCCCAACTACAACTTCCCCAGGACTTCGACTGCGACTCCTACTCCGGTTCCCAGTCCGGCTACAACTCGACCTCCGACTTCTCGACACCGACACCTCCCTCGAAACAATCCCACTCCCAAACAATAACCCACTCTCCAACCCCACTGCCACCCCCATTCCCCTGGCAACCTCATCCAACGACGCATCCGCCAGATCCCGACTCTGCTTTCTCTTTCTCTCCCTATCCATCCCTTTCTCCCCCGATCCTGAACCAGTCTTGGTCTTGCGTAACTGGAATGAATGCGGCGATGTACTCGAATCAGGAGAGTTATTATTACGGTGTTGATTATAAGATGATGTGAGGGTTGATGCGAAGGCGTGGAAGAAGGGTCCGTAGGTCGGTATGCAGGTGATGATTACTCCGAGGGAGATTTCCACGTCGGACCAGATGACGATTGGTTGGCTGTCTGTGTAGGTTTTGAGGTTTTTGATGGTGAAGATTCGAATGATTTGGATTATGGTGATGAAGAACCCGAGGGCGAAGACGCCGATTAGGACGATCTGGTTGTGGGGAGAGGGGTTAGTTGGGGTTGGTTGGGGTATGGGGAGGGATGGGGCCGACCTTTTGGCGGAGGCGTAGTTGTAGAGTGCAGAGGACGGGGAGGGGAAGGGCGATGATGATGATGTCGAAGCCGAGGCTGGTTCCTGGGGTTGTGAGATGGGTTTGTGGTGGTCAGGGATGGGGATGAATGTACCTGCGAGAGCTGAGATTGTCAGTCTATATGTTACTGGGTGAAGTGATGGGGATGTACCATAATAAGAGGCAACAGTGTTGATACACGTGCCGGGAAGGGTCATGTCCCATTGCCGAGAGACCTATTATAGATATTAGCTCCACTTGTACGAAGTATGCTGTAGATAAACGCACCGGATCACACGCAAAACACAACAGAAACGTAAAGATTAATTGGTTGCACACCACTGCCACGATGGCCACGATAATCGTCGCCCGGTAGGCCGACACGAACCCTCCGATGCGGAGGTACGACGATAGCAGGGAGACTTTGAAGCCGAGCAGCGCGAGAGTGTAAATGGGGCCGCCGGCGTATTGGATCTATGCGACTTAGTACACAGCCACATAGACCAATGGGGTATTGCATGATACCTTGCTGAACATGACGACGTTCTCATCTGGAAAGTACGCTGCATCTAGTCCGAGGCCCCATCTCGTTTCTGCACCATCATCAGTATTGATATCGCAAGGTCTGGCATGAGGGAACGCACGCGCAACAGCCACTGCGCCATATGCCATAGCCAACACGGCACTCCATAGTGCCGCGAAATCATCCACCCAGGCAGACCGTTTTGTATGAATGCGGATGTACAATCTCAAGGCCACAGCCAGACAGGCCGCGATGGAAAATGTCAGGCAGATGGCAATGACGCGGGGCACATGGCTGTGCGGATCGGGCACGGTCAGGTTATGGACCCAGCCCATGGCGGCGCATTGCTGAGGATGGTCGGAACAGACCAGGCTGAGCTGCACGGTGGTTATAAGTAAAGTGAAGAACGAAAACGTCACCTACACTCAACCCCCCTGCAGCAAACAAGACAAAAAACGAAAGAGGAAGAAGGAAAGACAGAACGTGCTTACCGCTACACAAATACCCTAGCTAGCTACCCTCCCTGCTGTAGGATGATGTGTCGAACCAGACTCGATGGAGGATGACAACTTGTCGGGGCCGAGAAGCAGGCCTGGTTCATGGATCGGGAGAGGCTAAAGAAAGTTTGGTAGTGGCCTCGTTGCTTCTTCGCAGATGGCTCAGGAGTCAGGAGAGAACGCACTGCATGGCTCGTGATGAACGAGCATGTGCCTGCAGGTGCCTGCAGCGACGCCATCATCCGATTTGCTTCTATGCCATTGTTATGCCTCTAGTGCTGTCGGTCTCTGCAGTAGTTCGTTCCAAGAGTTGCCCTAGTGCCTGGTCTGGCACCGTATTGACCGACTGGTGTCCTCCTCCTTATCACCTTGTCAGCAGAGATTTCGTGCAACTAGCCAAACCCAGACTCGGACTGGTGTCAGGAGCAGATCTATCTCCGAGCAAAGCCATGATGCCATGATGCCATGATGCCATCGCATCGCATCTGATCCCAGCATGCCGGTCCATGCTTAACCTTCCGAGTAACCATCCCCGCACCATCCACGGTTTCCCCCGCCTGGTGATTCATATCCCGATCGCTGCGAGGCGGGTCAACGAATCAGATTGGCTGGAGACGAATTGGGCAGCTGGTATAGTAGTCGGTGTAGCCCGAGGGGCCCGCCAGGATCGGGCCCTGGTCTAGTGGCAGCGCCGATCCCCATCAACAAAGCAGAGGAACCACGGGTGAGCCGGAGATCGAGGACAGGTTATTTTGGGGTTTCGGGGTGCTGGTCGGGGACTCAAATTGCCCCGTGCAGAGTGGTTCAGGTGGGTACCAGGGGATTTGTCAGGATGGTCATCCACAGGTAATAATCGGTGGTTCTTGTTTGCTTCTGCCACTCTCGTCATCTGTCGCTGGGTGAACACGATGGGAAGATCGAGGATCCCGGCTAGTGCCATGATTAGGGAGATGAGCAGTTGAGAGTGATGTCTAGATGTCTTTGGGAGGATGATGGCAGGGAGGGATGGGAGGGGAGGTGGGAGGGGAAAAGTCGGTGCAATCTCCGCCCTTTCGGTAACCGGTAACTACTGTTTATTCTTCACGAGGAAGGAGCACCTGACAGACAGGCCGGACCCGCCGCTTAAGATTGCGGGCAGACACCATTCGCTCCCACCACCACTAGTAGTAGTAAGTACTAGTACTGCTCTGCAGCTACTAACTGACAAAATTACATAGTAAATAAAATAATTCTATCTAGGTGACGAAGCTAATTACAGAACCACTCACTCTACTTACATGTCTCTCATACCCGACACAATCGCCCATCCGCAAACACCGTCCACTCGTCCGATCCCACCGCCGTCTGCGCATAGAATATGTCATTGGGATCGTATTTCGCCTTGATCTGGCGTAATCGCGGGTAATTCACCCCGTAAAAAGCCCGCTGAAAGTTGGGTTGTCGGAAGTCGCCCTGCACAGATCAGCACTGCCTACATTTCTATACCCATCCCCATCAGATGCAGGAACTCACCTCGTTCATGTACGCTCCCGAGTTCGGCGCCAACCTCTCCAGCAAGGGCAGATACTCATAGGTCATCTTGTACTGCTCCACCAGCATGGCCTGTCGGTCATCCCACTTCCACGGCGTCGTGAGCGTCGTGTCGATCAGCGCATCCCGCCACGCCGGCAGCACCGCGTTATATACATCCCCGACCAGCGCCTTCGACACGTTCAATCCCACTCCGATAAACGTCGCCCCGTCCTCGGTGATTTGCCGATATGCCTGGGTCAGTGCCGTGTTGTTGTTCTGCACCACCGACCGCGGAATCAGCCATCCGCCGTACTGCGCTTCACCCACTGGGATATCCGGCATCATGCCGTCGAATTCGCTCAGGTAGGTTGGGAACTGCGCCGAGTAGAATGTGTAGGCGATGCCCATTTTCTCCAGCCCGTCCCGGAAGGGCTGCACCAGTGCTTCCAGCTCCTGCACGGGGATCCCAGGCCCAGTGAGTGGAGATATATAGAAGCTCGTGTTGGTGAAAAACCAGATGCTCATGGCGCCGACATCGACGATCGAGGGCAGGATGGAGTGGTAGAGGGCGACGGCCTCGTAGAAGGTATCCTGGGAGATATTGGCGTTGGTGAAGGTGAGATTCAGCCCCGAGGTGGGCGTGCTCGTGTGTAACTTGGAGGTCATGGACCAAACAACGCCGTAGGTGCCGCCGCCGCCACCGCTCAGCGCCCAGTACAGATCCCGATACTTATTGTCGCGCGTCGCGGTGATGAAGTTTCCCTTGCCGTCGATGACCTCCCATTCGAGGACCTGATCGGCCGCGAGGCCATATCGCGACGCGAGGGCCGAGTGCCCGCCGCCCTGGCTGTAACCCCCGGCGATCCCCACGGTCGGACACTCGCCCCCAACCACCTGGAAGCCGTGCGCATCGGCCGCCTCGTAGGCCTCCATGCCCTGCACCCCCGCCCCCAGCTTGATGGCTTTGCCCGTGTAGTGAGCATCATGGTAGTCCCGGATATCAATGTCCTTCAGGTGGTGGGTCCAGATGCCCAGGGCACCGGCACCGGTGGACTTGCCGTTGTAATCGTGGCCAGTGTTGCGGACGACAACGCGGAGATTGTGTTTGGTCGCAAATGCGAGGGCTTGGGAGATATGGGTAGGCCGGCTCACATTGACGGCGTAGGCGATGTAATTGCCCATCAGACAGGGCTGGGCGATGGGGTGGAAGGGGTCACAAGACCCGTTGGCGAACCAGGGGGCCATGATGGACGAGGACGATTCATAACTTGACTCGGTTAGCTCTGCTGTTTACTTTTTCAACACCAGGTGACGAGTCAGTGGCGGCACTCACTGGATCTCCGGCTCCGTCCATTGATCCCGGAGGTAGTCACACTCGTCCTCCCGGTAGAAGGGCGCATGGCAGGGCTTGCCCAGGGGAACGGTCGGGATCAACCGGCCATCCAGGGATTTGTTGAAGCTGGCCCATTCGGCCAGCGATGGCCAACACGCCTCGCCGGGAAAGCAACGGCAGGAGGTGCAGCGCCTGTAGATTGGGACGGCCGCATTCCCCAGGGCCAACAGGGAGACGAGACTGGTCCAGAGAAGGAGGCCGTGCAAAAACATGGTGGACAGGATGTGGATGAGGAGAAGCCAGATGGAAGGGACTGGAATGCCAGGCGATTATAAACGACCAGCCATCGCGGCAGCGTGGCAGGGGCCAGGAATGGCTGGTGACGCTAACCCAGGGGAAAATGCCCGACCAGCAGCATCGAACAACCGTCGAGCATGTTCCTCGAGGCCATAGTCTGTCTCCTATGCAAGCGGATCCCGAAGTTAGCGGGGGGGGGGGGGGGGGGGGTAACAAGGCTAAGAGTCTGGGAGTGAGACTAAGAGAGGAGAGACGCGACTACCGACTAGCGGGTGAAGCAACACGCTGCCACCCCGTCGCTAGTCTGGCTGGCTTAGGGCTCGACCATCGCAGGGCGTGTTTCTCCCACCACCACCACCATCACCTACCTACCTACCTGGACTTGATCGATGCCATCGAGATGCATATCCCCTCCATGCACCATGCAGCTCGACCGACGGCGCCGTGTGGTTTCCCCTCGTGCCCCTTTCCTCTGCTCTAGCGCATCCGACCGTCCCGCGCTGGTCGTATCCTCATCTTAATAAAGGAACACTGCAGCCACTGCAGCCAGATTGCAGTCAGCAAGTTATGTGGTGGACTCGACTGCAGGCAGGGATTCGCGCACCACGCTGACCACTAACTAACTTTCAGTTCACCGTTCAGAGTGGTCCGCTGGTCGTTCTCAGAAGGACTGGTGGTCCACTGGCAGCCGGACGTCTCCTCCGAGCAAATCATGAAGCGCGTGGCCTCCACGAAGAGCCCGGTCGGTGGCTAGCTTGCAACTCTCGGCGTTGTGATGCGACCGCAAGCAAGGGATGCCAGCATATGCTGAAGTGCAACCGCCCGGCTCAGCCAAGTCGAAGAGATAAGGCCATTAGAGACTCCTGCGATGACCTGATAGAAGGCCTGATAGAAAGTCGTCGGGTTTTAGACATCCTGGCCAACAAGCGTCGGGATTAGGGCACGCCATAAGACAGGTCAGTTCCTTGGTCAAACATGACTCGAGTTGGCTGATCGCGATCGGGGCGTTCCTGGCGGATCGGGGCGATCGCGCCATCCCGTTATAGTGCCCTGCCTTATATGCCATGGATAACACAGACCATATCGTGCGTTATCCAAATATCCAAAATGCGATGCCCATCCCTTAATGGTACTCGATGACGCTTCCGTATACATGCATCTAATATGTATTTACAACTTGGCCTCCCCCCCAACCAGTCTCTGCCAGTCTCGCTCGCCAAATTCAATGTATCCCCCTTCCCCTGGAGGCAGCCAGTACAACCGGTCATTTTGTCCTTCCACCGCCTTGGTCCCTAACTTGGCCGGTTCGACTCCCTCGTCGCGCAGCGGTACCTTGTTCTGCTTGTGGTTGTGGATATGCGCTGAGTTCTGTACCAGGCGCAGGAACACTGGCACCGCATATCGCGGCAGTTGCGCCCTCGCGAATCTCGCCAGACCCTTCCAATCAAACCCGCCAGGACTTTGCGCCTCGGGGCTGAGCTGCAAAGCCGCGCAGCCGGCGCGCCCTTCGTGGTTGGGGACTAGCACGCCGTAGACGTTGGCTTCCTGGATGCCGGGATACTGCCCCAGCACCTGGGCCACTTCGGCCGTCGATCTACACCCGTCAGGTTAGCACTTGGCATAATGATCATCACCCGAAACAGGGATCATACACGTTCTCGCTCTTCCACCGAAAGGTATCGCCCAGCCGATCGAGGAAGTACCATCGACCATCCGAGTCCCGTCGCAGCGCATCGCCCGACCGGTACCACAAATCCCCCTTTTGCAGCACGTCCTGCATGAATTTCTTCTGCGTGGCCTGTTCATTCCGCCAGTACCCCTGGAAAGCCTTTTTGTCCGGCACGCGCACCAACATCTCCCCACCCTCTTCATACGCGGCCCGCTTGGCCAGTCCCGTCTTCGGATCGCGAACCGCATCCTCGGTGGTCGGATCAATCACCACCGGCACGTACGTATTGCGCAACGCCAACCGGAGCAGCAGCCCATGGTGTCCCACACACCCCGCGGTAAACGGCCCCCGATTGGCATTGAATAGTACGAAGATGCCCTCGGTGCTATTGAAGAACTCGCCGACTTCCGCCACCCCGAACCGCTCCCGGAACCGCTCCCACACGTCCGGCCGCAGCCCATTTCCGTACATCATGCGCACCCGATGCTGGCGATCCAGCGGCGAGGGTGGCGCCGCCAACAAGTACCGGACCACTTCACCCACATAGACAAACACGGTGGCTTTCGAATCACGGATATCGCGCCAGAAGCCGCGGACGCTGAACCGGGGTGCAATTGCAATGCTCGTGCCGCCGAGGAGGTTGCCCATCAGCGTAATGGCTGAGGTGCCATGGTAGAGCGGCATGGCGCCGTACCAGCGGTCCCCGTTGGGGCCGTCCGTGTTGTTCGTGCTGCTGCCCCGGACCCTCAGAACAGTGTACATCCGGGATGTCGTGAAAGCACAGCCTTTGGGGAGGCCGGTGGTCCCGGATGTGTAGAGAAGGATGGCCGGAGAGGACGGGGGCACGTTGTGGGCGAGCCGGCCATCCTCAGGGATGGAGGCGGGCAAGGCCAGCAGCTGGTTGGTGAGGGTGTCATTCACGGTGACCAGTTCCATGCCCAGTTCTTTCTCGAGGGTGGGCCTCCGCTCCTCCACCCGAGCGATGCATTCGGGGTCCGGGTCAACCAGGACCAGCTTGGCTCCGCTGATGGTGAGACAGTGCACCAAGGCATCACCGGCGAGAGAATAGTTGATGGCGGCAGGGGCACAGCCGATGCTCCAGAGACCCAGCCAGGCAAAAATAAACTCGACGCCGTTCTGCAAATAGAAGGCGACGAGGTCGCCTTTCTGCACGCCGCGGGAGCGGAAGAAATGGCCGTACCGCGCCGCAGCCGTCAGGGTCTCACGGTAGGTGCAAGAGCGTTCCCGGGTCCAGAGACAGTCCATGTCGGGGTATTTGGCCGCCGTCGCCGTGAACGCGAGCCACGGACTCAGCTGGCCCTGGGCGGCGGCCTTTTCCGTCTCGCGGAGGGCGCGCCGGGTGGCGCGGAGACTGGCGACATCGCGGGTGAGGTGAAACTTGGCGTCCAGATAGGCCGCTAGAGCAACGGCACCAGCAGTCGCTGCAAACGGTCAGTATGCGCTGTGATTTCAAACCGGGCTGGGGGGGGGGGATCACCTAAGGCCATGGTCGGCAGTGTTGAGCGCAAAAGCGTTGGGGAGGAAAGGCGCAGCGGCAATGGAGGCGGAAGATTTCAGGGAGGGTTTGGGCCTGGGAGAACTGGGGCTCTGGGAGGCGGATTGCCGACGACCCTCGGTTCAGCAGTCCTCCGCATTCAGCAGTGATGATCTGCTTCAAAAACAAATCAAGCGACTTCCAATAGCTTCCTGCGGGGTCGCCCCAGGTTGCAACCTCGGCTTGAATTCAACCACTGGCGGCATACTTCTTTTTTTCTGGAACGGGTGGGTCACGGAGATCCTCCACGACCCAACATTCAACTCAACCGACTCACACCCGCCCTACAGTAGTCTGCAGAACCTCCCCGTCGCCAAACACGTGTATCCATGCGGGTCCGTCGATCTACTCAAGGCGTGGTGACCTGTCAACCTGGGTGGCGGTTGGTCGGTGAGTCGGGATGCAAGGGGGAGGACGATACTGAGTATGGCTACAGAATGACCGCCAGAAGTCGGATCCATTCGCGGAACTACCACCTGCAGAGGGGTCTATCCTGCAAAGTCGCGAAACTCGCGGCCGGGCACCAATCGCTCATGCACCCCCGGTTCGCCAGTCCGATCGGTCTTCCACGCCCATGCCTCGTCTTTCTCCGGGCCGTTCGAAACCCCGTGCAACACGTTGACCACGTACTTGCCGATCGTCGGGAGGAACTTGTAGCAGTGGAAGGATCCCCCTACTGCGAAGTATAGGTGGGACAGCCGGCTGTCGGGATGGCGCGTGATGAGCGGATGTTGACTGGGCGAGATGGCATCCCAGCACAGGCGCCAGTAGTCCGGCTGGTGATGATTGTCCAAAATCTCCGGCAGACGCGGTCGGATGGCTCGGAGATGGTCGTCCTGCACCTCTTGGGGGACATGGGCTTGATCCGGCAGCGGGACGGAGATTTCATGACCTGAGACAGTGCGGATGGTGTTGGTGAACGAGGTGGCATTTGTGAATTTGAGGATCCCTTCGGCCGTGGGAGGAATCACCTCCCCTGGTATTGTTAGCCTGGCTCCCTGCTCGGCGTTCACAACAATTACCCACCTTGTCCCCCGTAGACCAGCACTGGCAGCTGTGAATAACGGGTTTTCTCCTCTGGCGAGAGCTGAAAGTGAGAGACAGTCACCCCGGCGGCCGACATCTGACGCTCCACCCGGTCTGCCTCGGGTAGATCCCACTCATCTTCCACAGATGACATGAGTTGACTCGTCCATGCCCCGGTCGCCAATATGATCTTCCTTGCGCGGTAGATGGTTCCATCGGCTGTCTTGACACCCTGAGCCCCCTGTTCATCGCACACGATCCGACGCGCCTCTCCGACTTCATACCGGACTCCTAGGCGGATGGCCTCTTTGGCCATCAGCTGCAAGGCCTTCCCTGCGTCCGCCCACCCGGCGGAAGAGTTATAGTAGTACGATCCGAACGGAGAGCAGTCAGTCCGCTCGAGGAGACCTCCCCAGGCCCGACGGACCTCGTCCTCAGTCATATCGATCAGGACGTCGCCGCGACCACAGTCACGGAAGTTCTTCCTGATCAAGGCAGGGACATCGCTGTCCTTTTCATCCATGGAGATCCATCCAGACGGGTGGTATACCCCAGAATCGCGAAAGAACGGCAGCGATTTCCAGGCGTCGATGGCCTCAAAACCGAGCGCGACGTATAGTGGGTTGGTGTAGTCCGCCCGGATGATCTTGTTGATGTCGGTGGAGGCTGCGGGGGTGGACGGGGGAGGGGCACGATCCAACAAGACAATATGCAGCGGCGGTCGGTCAAGGCGTTGAGCAAGGTGATAGGCAGTGCTGACGCCGAAAATTCCGGCACCGACGATAAGGAAGTCCGGGAGGTCATCCATGGCGGGCGTGGGGTGGGGGATGGCGAGGTGCCGGGAAGTGAGAAGTGAATGTTGAGCAGGTGAGGGGGGAGTGGATGGAAGGGCCGCTGGGAGGGGCATTCACCGGGTGGCTAGACTCCCGGTCGATGGTTGGTGCTCAGGCAATTAACACCAGTCCATCACGCGCCCGCTTCAGCTGTTATCGCGGATTCCCTGATGCGGGCTGAAGCCATGATGGCATAAGCATGAGGAGTGCCCCTCCTTGGCTCCTGATCACAGCATCCCTTCTTCTCTTCTTTTCTCCCGGCACTCTCCCCAGCATCATCCCATCGGCTCGTGCAGCAAAACCGCCTTGCACAGTGAACAGGTACCAGCCCATGCATGCCATGTTACTGTCCTTTGCTTCTTGTGCCCTTTCCTTCACAACTTCTTGCCCCCCCACAGATGCTCCGGAGCCCTTCACTGCTCCCTTGCAACGTACATCTTGACCGCGCTGCTCTCTTCTCTTCCTCCTCCGCTTCCTCTTATCCCTTTTCCTTTCTCCCGATCCCCGATGAATCTCATCTTACTTCCCGCGATCATGGCCTCCTCCCCTCTGCCCCAGTTGACTGACATTCTGAAGATATACCCTGCGGCCGATCATCACTGCTTCGGCAACTCCAACTACTACAACCGTCGCTGCAACAACTTGACAAGCCACCACAACCGGCAGGAAGCTCTCTGGCTCCTCGAACAGGGCACCCGCCAGCTCGCAGCCACCTCACTTGCATCCTTGGACAACATCCTCAACCAGCTCGCCCCTCTCCTCCTCTGTTCCCACCAGCACCGAGACCAGGCTGCGCGCTTGGTGGCCCAGTGGAAGGAGAAACTGCAGCGATACATAGACGGACGCTCGGCGGCAGCAGCACCTGCCACAATGAACAACCGAGTGCTCCACATCCCTGGGAACAGCGTTCTTACCACCGGCGGTGGCTTGGCTTTTTCGAACTTAACCACAACTCACGGTTCTGCTTCTTCATCTATGCTCGTCCTTCCACATGGCATGGTCGAGACGGGGCCCAGTCCGATCTACGGCCACCGTCAGGGACCTAGGGTGGAGATGAGTCGCCCCACGGTTAATGCAACTTCGGCTTCTGCAACGGCGACCTCTGCCAGGGCTGCATCCTCCCATGCTCACCCGCACAACGTCCACCCGCAGAACGACCACCCCCATAACGCCCACGCCCATCATCCCCACCCTCGCATGTCGTCCATCCACCCCGTCAGCGCCACCTTAATGACACCCGCTCAAGTTTATCCCCAGCAACCCGGCCCCCAGAGCGGGAGCGGATCCACCATGGTCAACTGCCCTGTGCCCAAACCCCCGGCAAAGCGCTCCGTCAAACCGCGGCCCGTGGACGGCGACTGCGGGATCTGTCTCTTGCCGTATTTTGATGAGAGTATCAAATACGATTCCTCCGAGGACGAAGAGATGGAAGACGCTGACGACGAGGAAGAGGCGTGGGAAGAAATGGATGGTAGGTTCTCTTCTCCCGACAGGTATACGATATAGTTGCTAATAAGACGGTGCAGGAGATGCCGAGTTATCCGGGCCCGACTACGATCATGAGCTGCTGGTGTGGTGTCGGGCGTTCTGCGGGACCAACTACCACCGGGCCTGCATGGAAAAGTGGATTGAGACTTTCGAGGTCCACGAGCCGACATGCCCAACCTGTCGGAACTATTGGATTTACTAGGGGGGTTCCATGACGGAAGTTGATGTTTCTCCGTGACGAAAGATCTGGGAAGGCGGGAGTTATGGCGTTCTGGCCGGGATATGAATCATGGGTTACTCAAGAGATACGATATGTTTTCCTAATGCAGCTAACGATATGTACAGCATGCGCTAATATATGCAACCTCTCTGCTTAAAGTCTGGCGGTTGGTTTGTCGCTAGCCTGGTTGTTCAACCAGCCCTGGATAGTCTCGACTAACCCATCAATCTCCTCGACAGTGTTGCCCGCATGCAGACAGATGCGCACGCGTTCCTGGCCGGCCGGGACGGTGGGCGACATGATGGCGTGGACGAGAAAGCCTTTGCGCTGACAAACGGTAGCCAGCTGGCGTGGCAGCGGACTGCGCAGGGAGAAGATCGGAGAGCGGGGGAAATGGTCGACCTCGAAAAGAGCGGGATCCCAAGACGCCAACTCCCCAAGACGAGTATGCAAGTATTGCACGAGGTGTTGTAGGTTCCGTTGAAGCTATGCACGTCAGCAGTATTCCCCCTATCCCCGGACAAGAACCCTACCTCTTCCGTCTCCCCCTCCGCCAGCATCTCATAAGCCGTCCGAATCAGCGCCAGGAACGGGAACCCAAGAGCCGTGGTGTAGATCAGACTCCGAGCATAATTGATAAGATACTGTTTCGTCACCTCATCACACAAAACAATAGCTTCATAAACCAGTTAGCCAACCCAATCCCCTCCCCAAACAACAAAAAAGGAATGGAAAGAAAGAAACTCACCCCCATGCGCCCCCAACGCCTTCCCAAACGTATGCACCCTAATAAACATCCTCTCCTCCACGCCCACCTCCTGCACCACCCCGACCCCCCTAGCCCCAAAAACCCCCGTCGCATGCGCCTCATCCACAACAAAATACCCATTCCCATTCCTCCCCAACAACCGATCCACAACCTCCACCATCTCCCTAATCGGCGCAACATCCCCATCCATACTATACAGCGACTCAATCACCACAAACACATTCCTCTCCCCCTTCGCAATCCCCCATCCAACTCCATCTCCCGTCTCAGCACCTCTTCCAACCCCACCACAGAACTATGCTCAAACGCTACCCTCTTCCCCGCCCTCGATAACCTCATCCCCTCCCGTGAACTCGCATGCACGTACTCATCATAGAGAATCAGATCCCCGGGCTGAGGGATACAGGATAGAACGCCGACGTTGGCATCATACCCCGAGTTGAAGAGTAACCCCGTCGGGGCATTGTGGAAGTTCGCGATGAAAGATTCGAGGGATTCAGCGTAGGGAGAGTTCCCTGCTAAGAGCCGGGATCCGCCGCTGGAGAAGGGGTAGAGTGGGGGGGCCTGCGATAGATGGGTTGTGTAGCGGGTGCGGAATTCTGGGGACGTGGAGAGGGAGAGGAAGTCGTTGGAACTGAAGTCGATTGAGGTTGTGGGGGGATGGTGAGACGGCGGAGGGAGAGCTTTGTTGAGCGGTTGTGTAGGGCCGAGTGGAGGGAGGTGTGGAGGGTTTTGGATTTGGATTTGGATTTGGATTGGGGTTTAGAGGGGGGCATGCTGGGTGTGAGGGGGTGGGTGATTCACGAGTTATTGTGAATTATGGAGGCAATTGGTTAGGGAGAAGGATAAAGGAAGGTTGTATGCGCTGGATAAATGGGGCAGATGTCTCATCTTGGGCGAGGCGGGCCATTATCATCATATATAGGAAGGAAGGATAGGATGGATTTTCCGCCGTGATTATCATGGAAGGAGCAGGGTGGATCAGGCGTGCCTGGCGGAGTTGGACGGGTTTGATCCGAGTCGTAAGTAGTAAGTCTAGTCCACTAAATACTAGGAGTTAGGACTAGGCAAGAGCGCTGGGGGGTTCGAATGGGCTCTAGCGTGGTTGACGGATTGATTGAATAATAAAAATAATCGTCAGCTCAACCGGTGGGGGCGCCTGGCTGCCTGGGTGGGATGCCTGGATCCCTGGCCCGGGCTGCCTGAGTGCCTCATTGCCTCGGCTATTTTGCCTTGCAGCCTCCCGCAGCTGTCACTTCTTATCTCTATACTTAGTACCATTTTCACTGCCCCCCTCATTGCAGCCACCTACAAAACCTTTCAGTCCCTTGGCTGCGGAGTCTTCGGTCCCCTGACCGTCTCTCTCCATCATGCCCCCTGTCGGCGCCGCTCTCTGGCGGTCTCTCCGCGCCCATCAAGTCTACGGTGCCAACACCGACGTCGGCAAGACTATTGTGTCGACCGTTCTTTGCAACGCAATTAATCAACAAAAGTCCGCTTCGCCTGCTGCTTTTCTCAAGCCTATCTCGACTGGTCCATTGGACGATGCAGATGACCGGTACGTGTTTGCTTCGCTGTTTCGCTTCCAATCGGAATGGAATCCACCCGTGCTCACCACCATCCTGCAGCCACATCCAACGCTACGCCACCGGCACGCTCACTAAATGTCTATATCAATTCGACGAGCCCGTCAGCCCACATATTGCGGCCAGGCAGAAGTTGCTGACGGTACGCACCCTAGCCAATGGCCAATTGGCCACGCTGACAGCAATTAGATCCCACGGGATGATGAAATCGTTTCTTCCGTCCACAAGACGCTGTCGGAGTGGGCGGGGAGGGGAGTTAATTTCGCCTTGGTTGAGACGGCGGGCGGCGTGCACTCGCCCGGCCCCAATGGCAATTCCCAGGCCGATTTGTACCGACCTCTGAGACTCCCCATTGTTCTGATTGCGGACTCCCGGTTGGGAGGCATTTCTTCGTCCATCTCGGCTTATGAGTCGCTATTGTTGCGCGGCTACGATGTGCATTCTGTTTTGCTGTTTCGTGATGATTATTACCAGAATCATGAGTATCTGCGCACTTACTTTCAGAAGAAGAGTATCCCCTTGGTGCCTCTTCCGCAGCCTCCGGCGCGACCGCAGTCGCAGGATGTGGACTCATTGGCTCGTGACGAGGAGGCTATGGCGAGGTACTACGAGCGGGTCGCACGAGGTAGTGAGGTGGGTGGGTTGCTGGAGGAACTGACGGCGAAGAATACGGAGCGCATCGAACGCTTGGAGGCTATGTCTGGTCGGGCTCATGATACGATTTGGTATCCGTTCACGCAGCATCATGGCATGGCCCCGAAGGATATCACGGTGATTGACTCGGCGTATGATGATTTCTTCCAGACTTATGCGCCAGAAAAGGCGTCGCAGGAGGGTGGACTGCGCGCGACGTTTGATGGCTCCGCCTCGTGGTGGACGCAGGGTCTGGGACATGGAAACCCCGACCTGGCACTCTCAGCTGCCTATGCGGCGGGTCGTTACGGACATGTCATGTTCCCTGGAAATATCCACGAACCGGCGCTGTCTTTGGCGGAGACTCTACTCGAGACCGTCGGAAACCCGCGTTTCCAAAAGGTTTTCTACACCGACAATGGCAGCACGGGCATGGAGGTCGCTATCAAGATGGGTCTGCGGGCGGCGTGTCATCGGTACGGCTGGGACGCCAGTCAGGAGCAGATTAGCATCCTGGGGCTCAAGGGGAGCTACCACGGCGACACAATCGGTGTGATGGACTGCTCCGAGCCGTCTACCTACAACAAAAAGGTGGAATGGTATCGCGGTCGCGGGTACTGGTTCGACTTCCCCCAGGTGCGCATGTCGCAGGGTGCCTGGAAGATCGACATGCCGGAGAGTCTCCAGGAGGCATTGGGTCCGGATCTCGAGTACTCGTCCTTGAACGCGGTGTTCGATCTGGAGGCGCGGGTCGCCTCGGAAGCCGGACAACGCTACAAAGAGTATATCCGCCGGACCATCGAGACCCTGGTTCAGGAACAGGGCATGAAGTTCGGGTCGGTTATTATGGAGCCGATTATTCTAGGCGCGGGTGGAATGCTTTTCTGGTGAGTTCCCTGTGGGTTGTGAGTCACCACTAAACCTAACCAATGCAGTGATCCCCTTTTCCAACGGTGTCTCGCCGATGTCGTCCGCGCCCATCCCGAGCTCTTCAGCGCCGACGCCACCCCAGGGAGGGGCGCGGGGTCGTGGTCGGGTCTCCCAATCATCTTCGACGAGGTGTTCACCGGGCTGTACCGTTTGGGCCGCCGATCGTCCGCGTCGTTCCTGGGGGTGGACGCCGACATCGCTGTCAACGCGAAGCTGCTGACGGGCGGGCTGGTGCCGCTGTGCACGACGCTGGCGAGCAACGAGGTATTTGAGGCGTTTTCGAGTCCGCACAAGAGCGATGCGCTGCTGCATGGCCACAGCTACACGGCACACGCGGTCGGGTGCCAGGTCGCGGTGGACTCGCTGCGGACGATGACGCAGATGGAGCAGGGTGGGGCTTGGAACAAGTACCGGCAGGATTGGCAGGATTGGCAGGCCGCGCCGGCGGACAGCAGCCCGGAGGTTTGGAGCGTGTGGTCGCACGGGCTGGTTCAGGAGCTGTCCCACGCGCCATCGGTGGAGGGGCTGTTTGCGCTGGGGACGGTGCTGAGTATTTCGCTAAAGGACACCCAGGGCGGAGGTGAGTGATCAGATAGATAGATCATCAGGGATGACCGATGATAGCCGCTAACATGTGCTGCAGGCTACACGTCGACAGCCGCGCAGGGGCTGCAGCAGCGTCTGGCTGCCGGTGGGGCTCAATTCCAGGTGCACTCACGGGTGCTGGGCAACGTGCTGTACCTGATGTCGAGTGTGACCTCGACACCCTCGGCATTGCGGGAGATTGAGGGAGTTCTGCGGGCAGCATTGCTGTAGTAGTGGAGATGATGGGGAATTACGCGAGGAGTGATTGGTTCTCCGGGTTTCTTCTTCCGCACATGGCTGCAAAATGGAATCGCTACGACATTCACGAATCTTATCTAGATATCTGCTGTACCGTTCGGAGTATCCTGTACTGTAGATACTAGATACATGAATAGTATTCTTATCTGGTGATCTTGCTGATCTTGGTACCTGTTCCTGTTTGGGTGCTGAACAATCCATTGTTCACCGACGGCCCGAACAGTGCGCTACCGGGGGTTCCGCCAATCAAGGGGAAGATAATGCTGACTGCCAGGCACCGAGTCCAGTGGCAGTGGAAAATCCATGGGAAGAGACAGGCAGGACAGGCCAGACGGGCGGACAGCTCCCTTGGTCCGATCCAGACCGGTGGGGAGCTCGGAGCACAGCAGGTTGGCGCGCCAGATCTGCATGTTGGCTGCAGCCAAGCCAGCCAACCAATTCCCTCCGAGTGATGGATCGCTTCAGTTCAGCAATGATGGGTGATCGACCACTTCATTCAGCATTCAGCATTGAGCTGTGAGCGAGAAGTGACAGAATGATGGGATCCGATCCGGGTGGCCCTGCTCCTGTTGACGGTTGAACCAGGCTCTGGTTGGGGTCAACAAGGCGCCCACCAGCAATGCTTAATTGCTCGGGAGAGCGGGGCAACACTGGCTGGGTGAGTAATCCCATTGCTGCCACTGCTGCAAGCACCGCACTAGTTCATCCCCTCCAGATGGTCACCGTGCTGCCCCGGTGAATGCCCCCCCCCCCTTCTCTCTCTCTATCTCCAGTCTCTAGTCTCTCCCTCTCACTCTCACCCGAGGTAGCCCTGGCTAGTCTGGAGCCATTGCCTCCCCTCTTTCTTCCCCAGTTGACATCCACTATTTCACCCATCATCTGCTTCCCCTCCCACCTCTCCCTCTCACCTCCCATCCACATACCCATACACATACACCCTCACACCACACACACACCATGTCGCTGCCTCTCCCCCGTACTCTCCCGGGGGCCCTCCTCCGCCGGTCCTATGGCACCGTGCAATCCACTCCCAGCGCTGGCGCCCTGGCCAGCCGGATCCCAGCCGCTCTCCGCGAAGCCACTGCTGCCACGGCACCACGCACAAACTGGACTCGCGAAGAGGTGCAACAAATCTACGAAACGCCTTTGAATCACCTCACTTATGCCGCGGTACCTACTTCCAATTCCCCCTTCCATCCCCCAACCTCACTAACACCAATTAGGCCGCCCTCCACCGCCGCTTCCACGACCCCTCCGCCATCCAAATGTGCACCCTCATGAACATCAAAACCGGCGGCTGTAGCGAAGACTGCAGCTACTGCGCCCAATCCAGCCGGTATGACACCGGCCTGAAAGCTACCAAAATGTCCCCCGTCGACGAAGTGCTTTCCGCCGCCCGTACCGCCAAAGCCAACGGTAGCACCCGGTTCTGCATGGGTGCCGCATGGCGCGACATGCGCGGGCGCAAAACCTCCCTCAAGAACGTCAAGTCCATGGTCTCGGGGATTCGCGGCATGGGAATGGAAGTCTGCGTTACTCTCGGCATGATTGATGAGTCACAAGCCAAGGAGTTGAAGGATGCGGGTCTTACGGCATACAACCATAACCTGGATACGTCGAGGGAGTTTTATCCCAGTATTATCACGACGAGATCATACGATGAGAGATTGAGGACGTTGCAGAATGTCCGCGATGCGGGGATTAACGTCTGCTCTGGGGGTATTCTGGGTCTTGGTGAGAAGGATGAGGATCGGGTAGGGTTGATTCATACGATGGGAAGTTTGGAGAAGCATCCTGAGAGTTTCCCGGTTAATGCTCTTGTTCCTATTCCTGGAACGCCATTGGGTGAGAGGAAGATGATTTCGTTCGATAAGATTCTCAGAACGGTGGCTACGGCGAGAATTGTTCTACCGGCTACGATTGTGCGTCTGGCCGCGGGGAGAATCTCGTTGAGCGAGGAGCAGCAGGTGCAGTGCTTTATGGCTGGTGCTAATGCGGTGTTCACGGGAGAGAAGATGTTGACTACAGATTGTAATGGGTGGGATGAGGACCGGGCCATGTTCGACAAGTGGGGATTCTACCCCATGAAGAGCTTCGAGGCGGAGCATTTGATCGAGGAGGGCAAGGAGGTGCCGGGGAAGGTTGAGGAGGTGGTCGAGGAAAAGGGTGCTGCGCAGGACGCAGTTAGGGCATAAACTTGTTTGAAGTTGTTCTGGTATATAAACAATATATCCACTCATCTGGTTGATGTAGTCCAGGAGCTGTGATTTTCTACTTTCCTTCCCAAATTCTATTCCCTACTATTCCTCCCCCTCCCCACCGAATCATGATCATGATCCCATCCAATACACACGGCCAGATATTGATATACATTACTACTCCCCAGTTTCTCAGAACATTTAAGCCCCCATAATACCAGAACACTCAACGCATAGTCCTTACCCCCCCCCTCTGAACCAAACAATACTATATCCTAAGACGTATAGTCATAACGGCATGCACATGCACATAGTACATACTATACATTTCTACTCCCTCCCTACATCCTATACATTCTATATCCTATACATTCTCCATTCCATCATCACGCTACATACCAGCCCTAAAACCATATCACCTATTTAGATACTATCAAATGCTAGTATCTTAGATCCTAACAAAACAAGTAATCAATAAACATCTACGTCTACATAGAATGAGCACACATTCCCAGAATTACTTTGGTAATCGATAATTATCTATATAAGTCGTTATATATCATTACGTTATAGTCCATAGATATCTAATTTATTTTGAATAGATAGGGGACGGGGATATGGACTGTGTGAAGTATATAGTTCAGTAGTAATAGTTGTAGTTATTAAATACAAAATCTAACACATAGTCATTGTGAAGTAATCGAATCCGCTCATATTTGGTTTGATAACGGTTGGGGGGATGTTTGCAAGTAGGAAGGAGAGGATAAAAAGCAAGAGCAGGTTGGATGGATGGGATTGGGGGATTTGCTTATATATAGTAAGAAGTTTTTTTTTTAGTTCTCTTTCTTTTTATGTATTATTGCAAGCCGGAGGTGGATTATGGGGATCTTTTGAATCATTGATATTTGTATACTAGTATCTCTATTTACGGGATGGAGGGGGTAGGTAGGGTGTGTGTGTTTGTGTGGAGATTAAGATAATGCAGGATTGTATTCCAGCTAGTAGCTGGGTGGAATGGGTACGGAGTAAGTACTGGTGGGGGTATAAGGGGGCTTATTTGAGATTGGGTGTTGGGTTACTTATTATTTCTGTTGGTATCATTTTCATATTATTACTCTGATGGGAAGTAGGTTCTAGAGATTGCAATCACTGACCTGATTGATTGATTGGTGCAGGTATGCAGATTGATGGAATGTCTGTTGGGGATAGTATCGTCTGGAGTGAGATTGGAGCTTTGTGTCTAACTGTGGTTAGTGGCAAACGTGCTTGTATAGCTGGGCCACCAGGAAAGGTGACTGACTGTATTTGGTTATTGACTATTACTACTACTAGTACATAACGAGTCACCTTCGCAGCAATACCATTTCAGCCCCAGATCTCCCGGTTTCTCTTTTGATATGCTTCTCTTAGCTAAGCAATTAAGTTAGTTAGTTAACTAGTTAACTAGTGTGTGATTGATAATCCAATAATTCGAAGACGGCTTGCCCAATCGGGGTACGAGTTCGACAATCCCGCATAAAATGCTCAAAGATTAATGTATCGGACCGTCGCTTTTCAAGAAGGAGCTTCAAAATATGCAACCCATCCTTGTCATTGTCCATGACGGTCTTTAATATGGGCCAGGTGATTTCCACCTTGTTACTTCGTTGCTCCAAGAGAACCTCCATAATCACCTTTCCTTGGTATCTGTTGTTCGCGACTGCGATGACCACATCCTCACTTATCATGATCTCATCGCTTTGTCGCCGAAGAAGAAGTTCAACCATCTTTCCTCCGTCTTTTGTGTTACCCGCTGCCTGTTCAAGGATGACCGAGAAAATTGCGATATCATCTCCATACTTGTCCAAGAATAGTGACATCAGGCCAGCGCTGAAAAACCGGGCCAGTAGCATAACGACTTCTGGATCGGGGATGGTAGTCTGCTTTGGACACTGTTTCAGTATACATTCCAGTATCTCTTCTCCGCAGTTATCTCCATTGCCCCATGTTGGAGAGAAATAACTTTCGGTGAATAGTTCAAGCAATGTAATGCCAAACCCCACCGCCAGGGTTCCAACAAGACGATCGGTGATGATAAAGCAATCGGGGTAATGCTGGATCAGGCAATTGATAATCATTTCTCTATGCCGTTTCGAGCATTCGGCTGCTATTGAGAAACGTTCGTTGGGTAACGTGGGTGCTTTTGTGCGACATTTTGAGCTATTATTGGAATGGTAGGTCAGTATCCGAACAAGACCTCGTGTCATGCTTATGCCGCTTGCGTGCTCTTCGAAAAGGCGGGACAACGCTTCTTCTGGACACCAGTTTCTTGCTGCGCTGAAAGAAATATCATTTGCGATCATGGCCCTGACTTTTCTTTCCTCTAGGAGACCTAAATCGCTATTGAAGTTGAAGCTTTGTACGAATGTCAAGAGACATCGAGCGTCGAGGATGTCTAAATTGGCCACGAACTGAGACATTCCGCTAAAATGGTTTGGGAATAGGTCATGATAGAAAAAGGAAAAAGCGACAGCGACAACTTGCGCTTCGGATTTATTGTAATCCACTTGTATTTCATTGGTGCTCTGCATGTCTGAGGCAATGCTAAGCAAGCCATATATCATATCTTTGGGATCTTTTGCTTCGCTGTGCCTGGATTTGCAAAGCAGTGTATGAAGATCTTGCCGTCTACTCCACCAAGAATGATTCCTTGCAGGGCCGGGCATTAGATCCAAGATGGCTTGACAGTGCGGCATTGGCTCGACTTCCGTAAGCAAGGGTCCCAGAGCGAAGAAAAGCGCTGACACCGACCGGCTGCCGCAGCAAACCAGAGCACTTCGAGCATTGGCAACTTCTTGCACAATCCATACTCGTCGGAACCAAGGCCGATCCAACAACAGCTTCATCCCTGTCTTCTGCATCTCCAATAGATCCGGGTGTCTACGACGCATAAGATATGACCATAGATCTCTCCAACGCTCATCTGTGAGCTTCCAGTTTCTGGACGATCCATGATGGAGACTTTCCTGTTCCAGCTCGTATAGGGAGTACAGAATAGCATTCGTCTCACTTGTTCCTGGACCCAACCAGAAGATGACTCGTTCCGCTCGAGAGTATATATTCCTCATTTGGTGAACCTGGTGGCCCCGCTCTCTGGTGTCGTTCTGGTTGATACACACAGCATCGACCCATAGAATTCGAGGCTCTGTTGGGTAACGCAGATGCGTAAGGGCGTCGAATAGATTGGTTGTGACAGGAAGCCATTTCCCGTCTATCTTAATTCGATTCGGCTTTTCGCCATCGCCCCAGGTATATGACAACGCTTCATAAGACAAAGCCTCATTGCCGTCAAACCAGGCCTGCATGAGGGTGCATTCTAGCTTATCGAACCATTCGCCGCCATATAACAGGAGAAGTCGAGCAGAGGGACCTTCGAGATTCAAGGGATCGTAATCGTAGGCGTCCATGTCGAGTCCTGTTCAAGATACAAACCACGGTGTGTATAGAAAAGCTCTAAACATGTGAGAAGCTTGCGTCGTTAGGTCGTAAGAGCCGTCCGTACTGTTACTAGAAACACAACAGTAAGCCGGCTCCGTTACTTGAATCACTGGCGAAGGGAAAGACATAGCGAGGTCTCAGCCTTGAAGCAAACATTGACAGGCGGGGTAAGGCTGAAGGAGGTGCGAGAGTGAGGCTAGGCCGAATTCCCTTTTATTGGCTCCTTTCGCACCGTCTCTCCAGCATGCAACGGTTAGTACTCCCTCCACATGTCCAGTAGGAGCACTTGGAAGAGACATCGATATATCCAGGCATCTGTTCAGTTAAAGACATGACTAATGCCGACCGAAGATATATTTTGGTGACCGGATCGAATGCAGGTGTTTTGGATGATCGAAATCCCATGTTTAATGAAACATATGGACTGATGATGGTAATAAAGATGCATTCACCCCTTTTGTATAGAGGCAAGAGGATCCGAATTCATCAACTTCGTAGGGTGTCTCCTCTATACAAGCCGTAGGATCCGTAGCTGTCGGACCATGCTACGGGAATCTCCCACTTTAGAGCAAGCCATTTGCCATTCAGTTTTAGACACATGAAGCGAGAGGTATTCGCGAATGCCTTGTCCCCATGATCGATCGATGTAATGCTGGCGAGAACTGCAAAGCCGTCCACACTATATTGATTATGTTGTCGAGGGATTTCATCTGCTGATTGCTGGTGCCTGAGTGGCATCATGTGGGTTCGTCCCACAGCAATTTCGGCGGGTTGTGTGGCATGTCGGTGGATCCGCAGCATTTCCATCGGATCTGGAACACCTGGTGCAGCGATGAAAAGTGTTAACCATAAAGTATAAACAGGTGAGCAAATCTCCGACCGTTATTTAGCTTCATTAGACTGGGGAATGGGGAATGGGGGAATGGGGATGGGGATGGGGGAAGTCGGAAGGAAGCCAGACGGGCCAGATCGCCATCGACCGCCGTCGTCAGCCGGGTGATGTAAGGCCCGTGATTGGCGGGCGGCAGGTCGGGAAGCTTGAATGGCCTCGCATCCTTACTCTTTTCATGCCCGCTTCTCCACGCTCTTCCCCTTTCTGCCTTCTGCCTGGGCGTACTCCGTCCATACCTCCATCCGCATTCCTCCTTCGCTTGCTTCCTCCTCTATCTCGATGCACTCCTTTTCATAAGGCACCATGCCGCTCCCCTTTCGGGATCAGTTCAAGCACGACAAATCTTCCTCTGGCAGGAAGTCTTCTCAGCAGCAGCGCTACACCCCTTTGCACGAGACCATCCCCGAGGAGGTCCATGACGACCGTCGCTACTCCGAAACCTTCTCCCTCTCTGACCTCTCCGATCCCGATGACGACACTCACAAGCTGCGCCGTGTCAACAACACCAAGTCCAGCCATGTCGACGCCTACAACCGCCGATCCACCGACGTCGAAGCTTATCTAGACAGTATTACCGAGGCGGAACAGGAGCTGCTGGCCGCAGCGAGGCAGTACGAACTCACCGACGATAGTGACGACCAGGACTACGTCGTCAAGAAAAAAGGGCATCGACGACGACCGTCCTTCAAGAGACATACCCCCCGCACCGGATGGCGGGCGTACTACTATTCCCGGTGGTTCTGGCGGACGCTGGTCGTCATCTTCGTCGCCCTGGGCATGATGGTGTGGGCATTTTTGAACGTGGCCTGGTCAGGGGATGACACTGAACGAGTGGGTTACACAGAGTTCGTGTGAAGCGTATGCTGACGGTAGTAGGACTTGACTCCGGCAGAGTCTTGGTTTCCGACTCCCAAGGGAGGAGCCCTCGAGGAATGGGCGGAAGATTACCGAAAGGCAGAGGCGCTGGTCCGAGAGATGACCCTCATGGAAAAGATCAACATTACAACGGGCATTGGCTGGCAGATGGGGCTTTGTGTCGGGAATACAGGTATACCATACCAGATGAACATGGATGATGCTGGATTATGCTGACAGCTTAGGCTCCGCGGAACTGGTCAAGTTCCCCTCGTTATGTCTCCAGGACGGCCCTCTCGGAATACGCTATGCGGACCTCATCTCGGCCTTTCCCGCCGGGATTACGACCGGAGCGACCTGGAATCGAGACCTGATACGGGATCGTGGTGTGGCTTTGGGACAGGAGGCTCGGATAAAGGGTGTCAACGTTCTGCTGGGTCCTTCCATGGGCTCCCTCGGTATGATGCCGGCAGGCGGCCGCAACTGGGAGTCGTTCGGTTCTGATCCTGTGCTGCAAGGTGTGGCTGCTGCGGAGACCATCCGTGGCATCCAGAGCAGCGGGGTCATGGCCACAGCCAAGCATTACATTCTGAACGAGCAGGAACACTTTCGACAGCCATTCGAGTGGGGCATCTCCACCGCCATGTCTTCGAATATCGGCGATCGCGCTCTGCACGAGGTATTTGTGTGGCCGTTTGCCGAAAGTATCCGGGCCGATGTCGCCAGCGTTATGTGTGCGTACCAAATGGTGAACAACAGCCACGCGTGTGAGAATAGCAAGTTGCTGAACGGCATTCTCAAGGACGAGCTGGGCTTCCAAGGATTCGTCCAGTCGGACTGGCTGGCGCAGCGGTCGGGCATTAATAGCGCCGTGGGTGGTCTGGACATGAGCATGCCAGGCGACGGTCTTCACTGGGCGGACGGCAAATCTTTATGGGGCCCCGAGTTGACACGGGCAGTGATGAACACGTCCGTCCCCATGGACCGATTGAACGACATGGTGACGCGTATTGTAGCGGCCTGGTACCATCTCGGCCAGGATCTGTGGGCACGTCCTCCTCCCGAGGGCGACGGTGGCCCCAATTTCTCGTCGTGGACCAACGACGAGGTTGGATGGTTCCACCAAGGGTCTCCCGACGATGAAGCCTTTGGTGTTGTGAACCGGTTTATTGATGCCCAGGGGCAAGGCGAGAGCGCGCACGCGATCATTGCCCGCAAGGTGGCAGCGGAGGGTATCGTATTGGTGAAGAACGACAAGAACATCCTCCCGTTGTCGCGCCGGCCTGCGAGCCCGTCCGGCGGTGCCTATCGGATAGGCGTGTATGGCGACGACGCTGGTCCGGCCGCCGGACCCAACGCCTGCCCCGACCGGGGATGCAACCAGGGAACCTTGGCCATGGGCTGGGGAAGCGGGACGGCGGAGTTTCCGTATCTGGTCAGTCCGCTGGCAGCGTTGGAGACTGCCTGGGAAACCGAGGTTGACATGCAGGCATACCTGCGGAATGCTGTGATGCCCGCGGATGCAGCGGACAAGGATTTGTGTCTGGTTTTCGCGAATGCCGACTCTGGCGAGGGATACATCGCCGCGGGCGGCATCAACGGCGACCGCACCAACCTGTTCTTGCAGAAGGGCGGCGATTCGTTGATCAAGACTGTCGCCAGCAGCTGTGGCGGGCCGACCGTGGTGGTGGTGCACGCGGTTGGGCCGGTGGTTGTCGAGTCCTGGATTGATCTTCCAGGAGTCGAAGCCGTCCTGTTCGCCCATATTCCCGGGCAAGAGAGTGGCAACGCGCTGGTGGACGTGATGTTCGGGGACGTCGATGCCAGCGGCCGGTTGCCCTACACGGTAGGAAAGAGCCTCGCCGACTATGGACCGGGCGCGCAGGTCCTGTACGAGCCCAATGCCCCGGTGCCCCAGGTGGACTTTAGCGATGGCCTGTACATCGATCACCGGTACTTCGACCGCCACAACATCACGCCCCGGTTTGAATTCGGCTTTGGACTATCGTACGCGACGTTCGAGCTGGGCGAGCTGCAGGTGAGCGCCCTACAGTCGAAATCGCGACTGCCGGCGTCGCGACCTCCTGCGACAGTCTCGCCGCCGGTGTACGATCCGGAACCGCCGCGGAACGAATCCATCTTTTTCCCACCTGGCTTCCATGCGGTGTCCAAATACATTTACCCGTATCTGCCATCGTTGCAGGGGACCACCCCTGTGAATTACACGCATTACCCGACGGGCTATGACAAGCCGCGACCGCTGTCGGAGGCCGGAGGTGGCATGGGCGGCAACCCATCGCTGTACGAGGAGATGGCGAAGGTGGAAGTGCAGGTGCGCAACACGGGGCCGCGGGAAGGCCAGACGGTGGTGCAGGTGTATGTGTCGTTTCCGGACGAGGTGACCGAAGAGGGCGACTGGGTGGAGGTGCACGACCAGAGTTCCAAGGTGAAGCTCGAGCGGCGGCCAGAGAGGATCGACTTTCCGGTGCGGGCGCTGCGCAACTTCACCAAGGTGGCCCTGGAGCCGGGGGAGGCACAGACGGTGGGGATGAGTCTGAGCAGGAAGGATCTGAGCTATTGGAGTGTGCGGCAGCAGAATTGGGTGATGCCAGAGGGAGATTTCGAAATCTGGGTGGGACAAAGTTCGCGGGATTTACCTTTGCGGGGGTACTACTAGCTCATCTTTCTTGTATATATTGTGGTATTGATGAATTGCTGTGACTGATAAAGTACATGTAGCTGAACTCCCAGCCTAAGGCGTTGCAAAGTGACTTGAAGCGCCATGTAATGCATTTGGAGATAGTACTCTAAATCTAGAAGAGTCTGTGAATGACCTGCAAAGGGCTCTACCAGGTTGTACCTCACTATGCAGAACCAACCCTAGGTAGGTATTCTGATGCTTCTGCCACAGTAATATCACATGGAAGGCCAATAATCTTGACGGCGAGGCCGAACATTAGCTTCTGCAGCCCATGTTTTTCTCTCTTCCCCTCCCAACAACCATAAGCATGAGATCATGCCAGCGGCAGCCAACCCCGCCGTGGAAACCCTCTCCGACGGTGCAACCCTACAATCGACTACGTGCTCATGTTGAGATGTCCAGTGGGAGATCACCCCGGATGACTGCACAGGGGGTCATCGAAGCATGCCACAGATATATGTGCAGTCAGTATAAGTATCTTTCCACCATTTTCACCACCCCTTGACCCTTCGCCTTGACCCTTCGCCTTGACCCTTCGCCTTGATCCTATACCCACACAAAGCACCACCACCTTGTCTCAGACAAACCAAGAGCAAAAATGAAAATCAACCTCCTCGCCCTCCTTCTAGCTACCATCTCCTTCCTCCCCCAAATCCACACCCAAGGGACATCCTCCTCGTCTGCCCCCGCCGCCTCATCCACCTCAACCGGCTTCACCGTGACCTCTGCCCGCTCCGGCTCCCCCATCCACCTCCTCCAACTAACCATCTTCTCGGGACGATTCTACCTAGGCGGTCGCACCTCATCGTACTGTCCCTCCGGCGTAGCCCAAGAAGGCGAATGTCCTCCTGGAAATGAAACCGTGTTGATCGGTGGAAACGGATTGGTACGTCCCTCCCCCCTTACCCCTCCCTCCCATCACCCCTCGTCCCCCCAAACTAACACATCATCGAATGAATGAAAACAGGCCGTAGCCGTCCCCGGCGGCCAACAAATCTACATCCTCCGCAGCGGCGCCCTAACCTTCACTCCTCCCCACAGCGCCTACATCCCCCCCGGCTCTGTCACCGGCCCCTTCACCTACACCCCCGGCTCCCCGGGCAGCTGGTCCTACACCTCCGGGTTCATGGCCTGTCCGGTACGCGGAAATACTACTACCTCGAGTAGTGTTTCTGTCAGACCGACGCCTACTTCCACCAAGCCTTCGGGATCTGTGACCCCGTCCCCGACGCCTGGGTCGGGGGGAGGCAGGTGGCAGGTTTATGCCTCTTGGAAAAATGCTTCGGTGCCTGGGGGTAATGTGGATGAGTGTTTGGGGTTTGATCCCATGGCTTATGCGTGGAGAGGGGGGAATGTGGCGGCTTGGGAGTATATCTAGTTGTTTTTTGGGGTTGGGTTGGGTTGGGTTGGGGGAAGGGGGAAGGGTAGTGGTTAGGGCTAGGGGTTTATGTTTGTTTTTGTATAAGCAATGATTCGTATTTTCAGGGGCTAGTTCAGTCACGTCAAGTCACTGACAATATCATGGAGTCCGTTAAATGGATTACTTTCATTGCAAGCGTCATACCATTAATATGTCAACCTCCTCATCGGTGAATAATCAACCATGTAGAAATCATGCATGTTATAATAGATAGCCCATTGTTTTCTCCCAATCAACCCGTTCTCCGAGTCTTTCATGTGAGAACATTTTCTTGGATGAGCAGAAACCGCAATCAAGTCATTCTCTCCTAATTACCACCTCACAAATATCATTGATTTCTATTTGAAGAATACATACACCTCACTTTCTACATAGTATCTATCACAAACAAAAAATACCACCCATGTTCATCCTACTATAACAGTATTTCGAACACCTCATATTAAAATCAAACCAGGCTAAGAAACCATAACAAAAGACCCGTGAATTACGACATCCTACAGTAAGAGTAAGGCGAGGCTCTTCCTTTATCATAGAGCGTTATCTCAATCTCATAGGTACACAAGCAGTCAGACCTGTTTTATTTACGTTGATGATGGATACTTGTTGTAAAGTGTAAGTATGGTTTGTATGGTAAAAAAAAAGTGATAAAAGTCATATTCATCCATATTCGTAAGATATTCAGTTCCAGCCTACTATATCCCACTTCCATATTTCCATCCATCCATACCCATCATGTGCAAATTACAAACCCATAAACACCCACCCCAACCCTAAAACAAATCACAACTTAGCAGCCGGTTCCGCCGCCCCCGCCGACGAAATCTCATTATACAACAAACTGGTCAAGAAATCCGCATATTCCTCGCCCGTCACCTGACCGGCAAAATACCTAGCGGCCAGTTGGAACTTGTTTCCTTGGGGTCCCTTGGAAGCGAGACTATCGGCTTGTTCTTGCAGGAGACGGAGAGCGTATGCCTTGTCGACTTTCTTGCCTTCGGCGGTGGTGATTCCGTGGTGCGTCCATTGCCAGAGTTGACTGCGGGAGACTTCGGCGGTGGCGGCATCTTCCTGGTTTGGGTATTAGTATGTATGTTAATTTAATTTGTTTGTTTGGGGGTGGAAAAGGGGGAATGGGAGGTGTACCATCAGAAAGTTAATCGGGATGCAGCCCACACCGCGAAGCCAGCCCTCCATGTAGGCAAGTCCGATGTTCAGGTTCTTGCGGATGCCCTCTTCGGTGATCTTGCCGGGGACGTTGGTGTTGAGGAGGTCGTTGGCGGTGATGTTGACGTCTTCGCGACGGACGAATAGCTGGTTCGGGGTCGGCATGTGCGTGTTGAAGACCTCGGATGCGATGGCTGCCAGAGCAGGGTGTGCCACCCAGGTGCCATCGTGGCCAGCACGCACTTCACGGAGCTTGTCGGCACGGACACTCTCCATGGCTTTGTCGTTGGCGGCGGCGTCGTTCTTAATGGGGATTTGAGCGGCCATGCCTCCCTGTCATTTCATATTAGCATTAACTGTCGGGTAGGTGTTGGGGGGAAGATAGGGGGGGCTACCATAGCATGAACTCCTCTGCGATGACACGTCTTAATCAACAACTTAACATAGGCATCCATGAACGGCACCGTCATGGTAACATCCGACCGATCGGGTAACACAAACCCGCTGTGTTTGCGGAACTTTTTGATAAACGAGAAAATGTAATCCCAGCGTCCACAGTTCAAACCAGAGCTATGTTCGCGGAGTTCGTAGATAATCTCATCCATTTCAAACGCCGCGGTGATGGTCTCGATGAGGACGGTACCACGGATCGTACCCCGGGGCATACCGATGTAATCCTGGGCGAGGTTGAAGACGTCGTTCCAGAGACGGGCTTCCAGGTGGGATTCCATTTTGGGGAGGTAGAAGTATGGCCCGAAGCCCCGTGCGACGAGCTCCTTGGCATTGTGGTAGAAGTACAGACCGAAGTCGAAGAGAGCGCCGGAGATGGGGGTTCCGTCGACGGTGAAGTGCTTCTCGTCGAGGTGCCAGCCGCGAGCGCGGGCAATGAGAGTGGGAAGGGTGCGGTCGGTGCGGAGTTTGTATTCTTTTGTGCCTTGGGTGAAGTCGACTTGCCTGCGGATGGCATCGTAGAGGTTGACTTGGCCGTTGATCATGTTCTCCCAGGTGGGGGCGCTCGAGTCTGCTCTTGTTAGTATATATTCCTCTGTGATGGGCGAAGAGGGGGAGGGGGGGATACCCTCGAAATCAGCCATGTAGGTCCACACATCCGAGTTCAATGCATTCACCACCATCTTCCGATCCGTAGGGCCAGTGATCTCGACTCTGCGATCGACCAGCCCCGGGGCCGGAGGTGCTCCCTTCCAGGCATCGTTCTCACGGATGTGCTTCGTCTCTGGCAGGAAATCAGGCAGATGTCCCTTGTCGATCTCGGCCTGGCGGTCGATGCGACGCTGCAGAAGAGCCTTGCGAGTGGGATTGAAGGTGCGGTGGAGGATGGCGAGGAAAGCGCAGGCGTCTTTGGTGAGGATCTTGCGGGCGTCGGCGTTGACAGAGCCGAGGATGACGACGTCCTTGAGTTGGGTCTCGACTTGAACCATCGTGTCTTATCTTATCTTATCCAGTGTTATCCAATGTCCGATCTGGGTATGGTTGGTATCCGATAGGCGCCAGTATGAAGAAGAGAACACAACAGACAACCTCTAAATCTAAGAAACAGGGACATTGGGAATGGGAGGGAGAGGATATAAGTATGTACACTGCACTACGTCAGAAGCCATTCACTACCGCGGTCCATTCCCTCTCGCCGACCCCGATAAGCCCTCGCTCGAACCCAAAATGAGGGTTGCAGCCACGTGACTTCCCCGCGGAAAACCCCAACTCGGCCGATTGAGGACTGCCCCGCCCGGGGCGCGCCGGCCACCGATTCCAACTGCATGATAAGGCGCCGCATTACTCGATCGATTCGCGCAGCCTATATCATGGTGGTCCCGCCATGGAGAGGACCGGGATTCTGGCTGCTGCTGGTCGGTGATGCTGGCGCAGGTGCAGCTGGAGGGCAGCTGGAGGGCAGCTGGAGGGCAGCAGCTGGACCGAGGGTATCGATAAGCTCCTAAACTCCCCGCAGGCCCGAGAGCCTTCCTCCCAACCGCGGTTCAACGTCACTCCTGTGGAGAGCTCCGTCCGTCCTGAGCTTCTCCTGCCCTCCGTTGGACCGATTTGTTCCGATTGTGGCGGCTGTGCAGGATGAGGATGTTTGATGCTGCGATGGAGTTGCTGTATCCCTGAATATATTTCAAACGGGTGATTGTTGCGGCAATTCTCGCACATGCTATACAAATGAAACAACTATCAACAGCTTCTAACACGTGTGAATGCATGTGACAATGTCACTCTAGCTTCCAGCTTCCTTCCGATCCAATTGCCTTCACCCACCCAAGTCAGCAACCTGTGGTCGGTCTGGACCAGACCAGAACCAGGCAGCGAAACAGTCTATGGTGGTCTGCCCGTACACAGCTCCTTCTATCCGGTCACACCGTCTCGATATACCGTCTCACCTCCCTGTCTATAGTCAGTCTTATATTCAGACCCAGACAAAGTACTCACCAATCCGTTACGGCCTCCTCCCACAAGCGCAGTTCATGTTCCCGCGTGCCCCCATAATGCTCCACAAATGCATCTCCGAAGACCTCCCGTGCGACACTGTCTTTGCGCATAAACGCCGTCGTGGCTTCCCGCAACGACTTGGCTAGTCTTACTCCCTTATCGCTGTCCCCTCCCATGTCCTCGCCTTTAGACAAAGGGGGCACAGGAATCTCCAGCTTCTTCTCCACACCCCGCCAGCCCAACGCGACTACTGCTGCCAGAACAAAATGCGGGTTGGCATCGGCTCCAGGCACACGTACCTCCAGCCGCGTCGCCTTCGGGCTCGCGGTGGGCGGCGTGATCAGCCGGACCGAGGCCGCCCGATGCTCCAGACCCCACGATACTGTAACTGGCGCCCAGAAGTTCTCCACCAACCGCTTGTAAGAGTTCACCGTGGGTGCTACCATGGGCATAATATCTGGAAGACCAGCAAGGACACCTGCCAGAAAGTGCCGTCCTAGGTCAGAGAGATGAGCTACATCCGGGTACGGGGGAGAGGGATCGGGGGTGTCGCGGAGAAAGGCGTTTTTCCCATCACTCGAGACCAGGGATATGTGCATGTGTCCGCTATTTCCAGGTAATCCCTCGCGTGGCTTGGCCATAAAAGACGGGGTGATGCCATGCTTAGTGCCGATGGATTTGACGACGTATCTACGGCGGTCAGCTTGATCCCGAGTAGCTGGATGCACTCACTTGAAGAGTCCGGCTTTGTCGGCCATCTCCCTGGCCTCTCCGAACTGTAGTGCCTGCTACTGTCAGCGAGGACCACAACCATCGCGCGCCACTCCTACCGCCTCATAGACCCCCGGACCGCTCTCTGTGTGCCATCCCTCGATCTCGCAGTTGAACTGCTCGCACGCATCAAAGACCCCATAGTAATAGTCTTGGTTGTGGATCGGGCGGGTCAGGCTGTATCCGAACATGCCCTCTGTGAGTGAGGGGAGGGACTCGACCGGGTTTTCTTTGAGGAAGGTGGCCGTGGACGACGCGTTACGCTCGGGGTTCGAGTGGGTTTCTGGCGCGCGGAACTGATAGAACTCATACTCCGCTATACAAGATGTCAGCATATTCCTAAAAGGAATGAAGCACACACCTCCTGCCATGGCCCGGTACCCGGCCGCCTCTGCCTTGCCCAGGGCGGACTTCAACAGTCCTCGCGGACAGGCGCAGACCGGTTCATTTGTGTCAGGATCAAAAAAGCTGACTAGAAAGAACGGAACGTTGTTTTCCCACGGAATGCGACGGAAGCTGGTGAGATCGGGGATGGCCACGAGATCACGATAGCCGTTTTCCTTGTTGCTGATGGCCAGTTCTTTGAAATACGTCCGGTCGTGCATATCCCAGCCAAAAATGACCGAGCAGAACCCAAAGCCATCGGCCACGATGGAGAGGAACTTCTTCTTGGAGACGAGCTTGCCGCGGAGCATGCCGTCGACGTCAACGCCGGCTAGCTTGACTCGCGTGTCATTCTGGAGGACGTGGGCGACGTTCTCAATGGTGACTTCGTAGGGAGGGGTAGCGTAGGACATGATGGTTAGTATGATGCTAGAGTACGGTCAACTCGACCAGTGTGCACCGTGTCGAGAGTGCTGACCGCAGCTGGCATCGAGGAAGGGGGATGCCAGTGACGCCAGCCACCGCTTATCGGGCGGCCTGCTTATCAGCCGGGCGTCACGGGGCATGGCTGATCCGGGACCCCGTGATTGGGATGATGCCATCCTTATCAGCTGCGGTCAGTGATGGGTAGATACCATTGGGTTGAGGCCATTGATTGATGAAATCCACTCCGTACAAGATTAACAGCTTGCTGCAGGCACACGAGCACGCTGCCAGCATGGTGGCCTGCGTGCCTGATCGTTATCGGAGGCATTAGATAAGCGGACCCACTGTCCCGCATTCCTGGCATCCCTGCCGTCATTGTCTCTCCAATTCCTGCTCTGCTCCAGCTGGGATCCTATCTAGTTATTGCTGCTGAGACGATAGACTTATTCCTCGTCAAGGTATCATCTCATATCCATCATCAATTGTCAGCAGGTATGTTGTTGCCAGAGTGCGACCATCCTCTCCGCTTACCCCGCACGAAGCACTGACGAACTAGATATGGCTGCTAGAGGACGTCTCCAAGGCAAGAATGCCATCATCACCGGCGCCGCAGGGTACGATCCCCAATACCTCTATCTATATATACTAACCAGCTGCAGAGGCATTGGCCTCGAAACTAGCATTCTCTTCGCCCGCGAAGGCGCCAACGTCCTCATGGCCGACATCTCCGCCCCCGCTCTCGAGAAAGCCATCGCTAAAGTGAAGGAGGTGGTTCCTACCGCGTCCCGGGTCGAAACTGTCAAGTGTGACGTGTCGAAGGAATCCGAAGTACAGGCCATGATCGAGTCCCAAGACAGCTGGGGTGGCACCGATGTCATCTTCAACAACGCTGGAATCATGCACGCGGATGATGCGGATGCCGTCGATACCCCCGAGAAGATCTGGGATCTCACGCAGAACATCAACGTCAAAGGGGTCTGGTTCGGGTGCAAGCATGCTGTGCTGAGTTTGCGCCGCCACAAGAAGACCAAGGGTAGCATCATCAACACGGCGAGTGTGGTCGCCTTGGTGGGCAGTGCCACGCCTCAGCTGGCATACACGGCTAGCAAGGGTGCCGTGCTAGCGTTGACGCGCGAACTGGCCATTGTGCATGCCCGGGAAGGATTCCGATTCAATGCCTTGTGTCCGGCTCCGTTGAAGTAAGTCTATTCCTGATAATAGGTATACTGACTAACAATTTAGCACTCCGCTGCTGCAAGACTGGCTGGGTGACGACAAGCCCAAGCGCTTCCGCCGCGAGGTGCATTTTCCCACGGGTCGCTTCGGGGAGGCAATTGAGCAGGCCCATGCTGTTGTTTTTCTGGCTAGTGATGAGAGCAGTTTCGTCAACGGTAGTGATTTTGTTGTCGATGGTGGAATGTCCAAGGTACGCCCGATGCTTTGCTTGTGGAGATATATACTAACCCCGCTAGGCTTATGTCACTCCGGAAGGACCTGCTACTGCTGCTCCGCAGAACTTGGGCCACTAATCCATGCTTCATATGTTTTGACTGCCGTGACGATAATGAAAGACTCGAGCGTGCTCTTAATGATAGCTATGTTATCTCCGCGAGGTGTGATCGTATCAGAACCAAGTAGTTTATTAATTCCCGGCGGGTCAGTCTACTGGTTTCCTGACCAATCATGGGAGAGTTGTCGGGTATCAAGCAGGATACTAATTTAGCCTGCTTTAGGGCCGTTTCTCCTGGCTGATTCTGGGGCTTATTTAGCCTGCGTTAGGTCCTGATGCCTTGAGGCTGATCCGTCGAATGTCTTCAGCCCGAAGGATTTAATCCCGTGCCGTACTGTCACTGCCCCTCATTCTTCCCCGGAATCTTCTTTTAACCTCGTCACCTGGTGCCTCAGTGAGTCCTGCAACATGACCCATTTATCAGCAACAGTACCTACAAAACAGCGGAAGAGGGCCTATGGAAAGAGGTCGAGAACGGGCTGCCGCTCCTGTCGGTGAGTACTCGCTCTCTGACACCTACCAAAATTCATTGCTTAAGCACAGTGCAGGGCACGTCGTGTCAAGTGCGACGAAACCCCTGGCGCATGTCAAAATTGTACGTCCAGCGGCTGGGCTTGCGGCGGGTACGACTCACACCGGTTGCCTCCTGCAGCCAGAGGAAAGGTGATGCCTCAGGTGACGGATGGCTTTCGTTGGGCCATGACCTCGGACGAGCGGCGATGTTTCTCATACTTTCAGCACCACACCATCCCCACCCTTCTCGAAATGTTCGATTCCCCATTGTGGAGAAAGCTGGTTCTTCAAATGAGTTACTCCGAGCCCGCTGTATACCACGCGGCGGTGGCCCTTAGTGCCGTTCATGAAGATGCAGAAGGACACGGGTTTCCCTTGCCTGGACAGGCCCGACAAGGCACCTGGCAGCAATTCGCCTTGGATCAATCCTTGCGATCGTTTGGTATATTGAATAGACGTCACTCGTCACAAGACCCGAAGTTGAGGGAGGTTATGCTACTTTGTTGTCTGCTTTATGTGTTCCTGGAGTTACTATCAGGACACCACGAGAATGCCTGCCGGCATTTACGGAGTGGCTTGCAAATCTTGAAAGAGGCCCGTGCTCATCGACAGCTCATCGGTGCGTCTGAATCGCCAGTCGAGACGTGCCTGGTGGCAGCATTCGCTGAGTTAGATATCCAGTCCCCCTTCGTCGGGGCACAGGGAATGGTCCTGTGTCTCGACGACGAGGTGGATCAATACTCCTGGCTGGCGAGCTTTCCATTTGGATTCCATAGTATTTTCGATGCGCAACGGGCTTTTGCTCCGTTCATGTATGGTGCCTACGGGTTCGTGGCGCAGTGTTGGCCCTTGACCGAGGAGCAGGTTATGGCCAATTACGATGCATTGCAGTCCGAGCAAAGACAACTTCTATCTCATCTGATTCGATTTGCAGACCTGTGTGAGCCCCTTTATGCGTCATACCTTCAACTGAGTCGGAAGGAACAGAGGGGGGTTGATATCATTCACGCCCACCAACGCCATATGGTCCTGGAAGTGAGTACCTGTCTTTTACCAAGACATAGTCCGGTCCGCGATTGCTTCACGCCTCATTACCGAGCACACTTGGGCGACCTCAAGTCGATCATCCGCAAGGCGCCCGAGTGCCCGAGTCTTTCTCTGTTTCCCAGTCTGCTTCCCTGTCTCTACGCCATTGTACTCAGTTGCCATGATTATGACGTTTGTCTGGAAGCAACCGAGGAACTGCATCGCTGGATACATTGTGAAGGGATGTTCAACTCGGCCTGGCTTGCTTTACAAGCGATCGAACATGTTAGACTGGACTTTTTGGAAGAGGAACTAAGCCTTGGATCTTCCTCACCGGATACATTTGCAACCGTCATGAATGAGGAGCGTAGTCATTTATGGTCACGGATAGAGGATATGCGATGGCGCATCACAAGAGGTCGACCAGGTTATTTGGATGAAGTCTTGCAGGCGAGCGAGTACATGAGGACGTGGGTTTGTGTGCGGGCACTTCAGATGCGAAAGGCTCGTCTTAATGAGTTGTTGTCTTGCTTGTAAATGACCTTTGCACAGCCTTCAATATACCATTACCCCTCTGCACATAACATGAACTACCAATAATCCTTCTCCTATATTAACCACACGAAATTTCCATCTATGACGATACTTGAGATTACCCGAATCAATCTAATTGAGACCATGACAGTTTTCCCTTCCAACATACCATAGAGGCCCGTTAGTCCTCGAAGCAACAATACTAACAGAATACCTTTTTTTTACCCGTAATATATCCCCTTTACCGATATGAGTATTATCAATAGACACTACCAGCCAGTATATGACAGAATTTCCCAACTAGACCAAAAGAGATACCTCTCAGGTTAGTGGAACAATTCCCCAAGGTGAATAGTTTCCAACAGTATACACAAGATCATCACCATCTCTTGATTCCTATTCCCATTCCAACAAATTGAATTTTATTAAACCAATCCCCTTCCCCAAAGTCCACCAGATACAATCCATAACCAAACCCACTAAAAACACCAATCAAAAGCACATCTTCCTCGCTTTTAATAAGTACTATATATTCTCATACGAGGCCAACCCCACACTATGTATCCTCATCGCTCCCCGATAAAGTCAACCCTGATACTCAGATATAAGTGATATTCCTGATGGATAATGACAAAACAGATGGTGTGGCTGATTTATCGTCCTACCACACCACACATCGCATAGTCAAAATACGTGGATTCGTAGCAGGTATCGTGACGATTGTTGGTTTTTTGGGAGCGAATTCGCGAGTGTTGGGACAGATTATCCGGTGTTGTTTAATATTGATAAGTGGGAGTTCGTAGTAAGGTCTAAATTAGCCACGTGAGTCTTTTCCAATTTATAAACTCGCTTTTGGTAGCTGATTCCGCTTTTGTGTATGAATGTATGAACGTCTAAGACATGGTAGAAAAGGTAGGTAGATATACAGCCGACTTGGGATCTTGATATCCGTGTGTTGTACTGTTGAATGCTTCTGTTTGACACCCAACAGAATGAGAGCTTGTTCTGATGTGGGTATTCGACTCGAGACAGCGTGTATTGTCTCTAGATCATTTGGTCATTGCGGGATCTTTGGCGCTGTCAGATTCCTTATTACTGATTTTTGGAGAATTGGCTTGGTTTCTTTCCTGAAGTTGAGGAATCAAGCCAACTGCTATGATGGATTGCATAGCGAGTTTGTTGTAGGGATATAGGGGTTTTGCTTTTGTGTTGTGCCAGGATCAATTGATCCTATATCGCATCGACCTGGGATACTCTCTCGGTGGATGATATTCCAGTGTGCATATGGGGATAGTAACAGAGACAGAGATATAACACCCACCCACCCATCAGTGGGTTTATCGTATTAAATCCCATAGGGGATATTTTAATGCTTGCAAGGTGACGATGTCATCCCGTTCTTTTCATTCCCTGGGATGTTTGCGGGGAAGCTCGTGAGCTCATCTTGTTGCTTCTTTGACCACTGTGGATCATTGCAGAGGGAAAAGGGTGTCCTGTTGTAATATACATAACATACACTCTCTCACTGACAAAGTCTCTTCAAAGGATGGATGTATCCATGTCCATATACAGGGCCATAGATTGGTTTTTCTGCGTACTTTATATTCTACCATGCTGATTCTGAGTGGATGCGTTTGCTAGCTCTATCCTCTCCTTTTGGTGTCCTTCGCTTCTGGTTCAGACCAGTGCCATGTTCAGATATAGCATGGATTAGATTTCGCCTCTGTGGGTTAGTTAGTCCGCGGCTTGTTGATGCTGTTCACCGTTGGTTGGGACAGGTTGGTGCTCTTAGTCGATGGAGGATGTTGGAATTTAGCTATGTGCTGTCATCGAGGTCTTCTCGATGCCGCCAACCACTGAGTTTGAAGTTGGTGGCTTGACAGGATCTGTTGGCTGGATCATACATTGCACATTGATGCAAGCCGTAGAGGAACATTTTGCAAGTTTTAGAGGCAGTGTGTCTAAGCCACCTGCTCCTCGACTTATTCAACCAGACAGATACCAGCGGCAGCTGCAAGACCGACATATAGTTAGATGTGCAGATGAGTCATCAAGACCAGTCCCTGTGCATACCACTGTTATGACCATATCATTCGCAGATATAGCTAGGGAATGGGCTAGTGTACACCACTCAGGTCAAGTTGATGTCGTAACCAGGAGTAATAGATAGACAAGCATCACGACCAGCAATTTCAGGAAACTGTCTCATTGAAAGCATCCATGGCTTTGTTGGAGGACTTTTATTTCGGGTAAGTGTCTGTGTGGTACCCCTCCGCTTTCTGTATGAAGCTGCTGGTAATGTTGTGGGGGATTGGAAATGTTATCTGGTTGCTTTGAGACCGGAGGTCTATAAATCTTGGGAGACGTTTTTTGGATCTCGAGGGAACAATGTGGCAAGTATAGCTGGACCGGTATATCTAAGAGTGCTTATAGGTATAGTACCCGGGCGTTTCCTCCTGTTGGTGACGTTTTTCCATTCCTTGGAAGAATAGCGCCTCGATGTCTTGTAAAGTCGTGCTTGTGAAGTTGGCGAGATGACGATAGAGATTTTTCATGCAGGGTTCGTTGTTTATATGGTACTGGGACAGTAGTGTTGAACCTGTCCATTGTTTGGATGTTTTGGTACCAACGGAATCAGTTGGAGAGTGAAATTGCGATTTTGTGAAGGCTTTCGGTGGGATATCATGCATGGTCGTTGTGGTATCCAACGCCACAGCTATATTCGGATGCTTTGATAACTTGGTGAGTTAGTGCTGGACTATCCTGGATTTTCCCCCATATGTGTAAAAGCTCGACAGAACAAGTAACACGTTTGACGAAGTGTCAGTCGTCCCATTGATTAGCCAACTGAGTATCATCGCTGGTGAAGTATAATGTATTTCGTAGTCAAGCTTTTGTCCGTGATGACTATCATGACGATGAACCGCATTTCATCCATCTGGATCCAGTCCAGCTGTGAGTTGTCAGACCAGCAAGACAAAGTGGTCCAAGTCATGATGGGTAGTTTGTACCATCAAGCTGTGGATGTCCAAAGGAAATGTCATATCGTCCACAGAACGTAGACAATCTTCCCAACTAATACAACCAGATGCTAGTCTTCGGCGTTATTTTTGTCATCTTTGGTGAGTGACCTACTCCAGTTCGCCTTCTAGTCCGTTTGAAACTGTTCAAATCATGCTGCATAACCCCCAGCGGTGAGAAACCCCATATGACCACAAGGTCTGAGCAGCGGCATCCAGCGACAGGATCAGTGTCAATAGCGATGATTACGCATCCTGGCGGTCGATCTTTTTCTGATTCAATACCACATAATCTCACAGGAGGTATTGTGCTGTTAGTAGATTGTTCTTTTTCCAGTAAATGTCAAAAGCTTGTACCCGCGAGAAGAATCATGGATCCAGATATCAGTAGTCTTCTTCCGTGGTGAAGTCTTTCCAGAAGCGAGGCTTCACATGGATCAGCCGGGTAATAAACCACAGACATATTATCTCTGAAGTGTGTTCTGGAATTTTCAAGACAGGAACACATTTTCAATGAGTTCGCTTCGTACACAGTCTCCCAATGAGCAGCTGCTTCCTTGATTCAAGTCTAGTTGCTGCCACGATGCTTTACCCACTCGTCATGGATCCTGTATCATGTTCAAAAGGCCTAAGTCCCAAGGCCGCTGCTAATTGAGGAGTACTACAACTCCAGGCGCTCATTAAAGCTTGATGTCGATGATCACACACCCATGTAGGTGTAAATCAGCCATTCTGTGTATATTCATGGCTTAGCTAGTTTTTTCTGAGGTATAGTCCCCTCGAGAACCGAGCGACGACGCCCAAGGGTGTTGCCAGCCCGTGTATCATGTCGATGGTCTATCAACCAAGAGAATGATCCCTCATATATCCATCGTTTTTATTTTCGTTTCGTGGAAGTATGATTGACGGGAAGCTGCGAACCATGATGTAGCTTCTTATCTAGCTGTCTCCATAGGTCACTCTGGTTCAGTGACAGATCCACAGTGACCATCCAGCCTGCTCATCGAACATAGACCGGCAATCCAATGGAAATCCTCCTCGTAAGTAGCCTAAGTTGTGTCTGTAGTTGGGTGCAACATGGACGGAAGAGCTGCATGGCCTCGTCGCTGCAGCACCTCGATTGACAAGGTGTTTTGTGTAGGTTGTGCTTGATGCTGTTTTATATATCGATTAGAGCGACACATCTTAGTCTTCCAATCGGAAGAGGGATAGTTACCGCTATGACGGCCCTCCGGGGCAATATTTCGAGTGTGGTTGGAAAACATTGTGCTTCGAATAGCTTTATGTGCAGATATAGCGATCCAAAAGACTTGGATAGTCTTTACCAATCTGTGAATGCATGGTAACATGTAGTGGATTATCCATGTCCCACCATAGTGTCGTATTCTACCATGGTGAGAGAGGTATCTCATTTAGCTCCGTGGTGAAGCCATATGCTTCTGCAAAGGCTGAACAGTATCGATGTTAGGAAAACCAGGGCTCTGTCCCATCCCTCTATGTTTCGTGGTAGCTCTCCATTAGGAAGTCAGTAAATGAATACAATATCCGTATCAGGCTTCCCCGTTGTACTCGCGAAGCGTATCGGAAAGCGCAACAGTCGTGCGTGGGGGACAGTGGGCCTTGTTGATAGAACACCTGGCTGATTAGGGCGCATGCTTGCGATGCTGTCTAACGAACAGGGTTGACACCTTCTTAGCCTGCCTAGGAGGAGAAGTATTAGGGATTCTTTGGCCGGTGGAGACGAAGCCTTTTCCTTAGCAGAGAACCCTTGATGACCTGCTTTCCGTTCCACGCAAGTCTCACAAAAAGCGAGAGTCGCAGCTGGTTGCCACACAGCTATTCCCCCTAATTCTAAGCTGGTATCGATTCTCATGCCCTCGGCACTTTTTTCATCCCCAGAGTCAGGAATATCAATGGCGTCCTCCGGAGAGACACCAGAAGACCATGCTAGAGAAGCACCCAGATCATAATAAGAAAAATGAGGAAGAGAAGGAACCCATTGGACCGGGACAGTATCATCCTCAATAAGGATCCTTTTTGCCCATCGTTCTAGCTTTTGAACTTTATCCCGGAGAGGACGGGCCACCTGCACGGGGGCAACTCAACCCGCTCCTCAGCAAGGCAGAGTTAGGCCTCTCGAACGATATCAATAAGATCCCAAGGCCACAGACGATGCAGGTCCCTTTGGAGAACCGAAGGGGTATCCCATGAGCAACAAGAGCCACGTGGAAGCGGCAAAGAGGTACGGAGAATATCCATGGGGTTATCGGTGTCGGAGGACAATCCTATCGGTCTCGGGTGGTAATGGTCGCTGATGAGAACCGTATGGTAAGCCTGTGGATTGTAGAAGGTGGCTTTAATTGATGCGTGGGGATTTGTGTAATTTTCTAGAAATCGTTCTCGATCTTGTTATGGTAGTCCCATCCGCTGATCATCCCAGATCCATAGACAGGGTTCAACGTGTCGAGCGAGTGATGCGCACCCATTTTTCATTGTATACTGTGAGATAAACCTCGTTCTCTAAACCACGATATACAACGTTGTACAGTCTTTATCTGAAGGAGCGGATTAATCCAGAAAATGAGACCTTTGAGATCCATGTGTCCATACCAGGAAGAGATCAATTTGTCCATGAGCATGGGATATCGAGTCAAGCTCATGGATGAATCAAGCAATATAGCTCATGACCACGCAGAGTTTCTGCAGAATAGCAAGTTGCAGTAATCTTTGTTGATTTGTGTGCTTCAAGCACCGCAAGACGCCTGTGTGGGTTATAGTTGGCCCACGACCTTCCTCTATGCCCAGCTGATTTGGGTACGTTTGCAGCATATCGTGGAGTTTCTCCATTTCTTTGAAGGATATACACACTTCCTAGGCTGTGATAAGCTCCACCAAGTCAGGAAATCTGTCGTATGTAGTCAAGGTATCGAACCAAAGACTGGCAATGAACCGGAAGATTTCGCTTTGTGTATTCGGAAAGATTATCACAAACGGTCTCACATAGTAGGGAGTGGCAATGACAGCATATGCAGGAATGAGTCCATGTTCAAACGCAGAATCCAGCCTCGGCTTTAATAGTACTCCGTAGCAGGGATCAAAAATATATATTAAGCCATGCAGCTAGTGCTTCGCGTTACGCATCCTAAAAGCGGGGTAGGGCCTATTAGAAGCCCCCAAATCTGGAGGAGAAGAGAAGAGATTACAAACGAAGAGAAGATGCAGCCACGAAGCAGAAAAGAACAGAAGCAAAGAGGGGCAATAAATAGGGCACAACCCGTGAAGTAATTCGGATTCACCCCAACTATAAACCAGTCACTTGCCGCATCTCGCCACTCAATCGAGAATGGAACGGGTCTGGGAATGAAATGGTGTAATCTTGATGAATTATGCTTAATTCTTTTCTATTAATTCCCCGGGATCGGGTCAGTGACACAACTCAACAATGTGATGCGTGCATGTTGTTGACTGACGTTGGGATCGGCAAATCCATCGTATGACGAATTCCCGATCATGCCATATCCGGTTACCTTACCATACCACCCGACCCCAACCCCAGAACTTAAGGGTGATCGGCAGATGGGCCCCTCCCCCCCCCCTATTATTATAAATACATCCAGCCATTCCCCAGGATTCATAGGGAGTATCCGCTTTGCAACAACCAACTGAATATTGATCGAATCATTCCCAAACCCTATTACTAAACATGAATCTCTCCGCTTCGTCTACCGGCTCGCAACGTCCCTTGATCAAGCGGCCTGCTTTGACTCCTGCGTTTAAGAAACCGAGTCGATGGTGAGTTTCTCGGCCTTGCTTGGTGTGTTGTGCGATGCTGATGAAGTTAGGTATCTTCCGTTGATGGGCGCTATAGCCCTTGGTATGTGCTGTGTTGCAAGAGGGGTTGGGTTGCCACTGTCTAACGTAATTAGGTTTCGGAGTCGTCAATTACTACCAAGACCAAGCCAAACATTACCACTACGATCGCGAAGAAGAAGAACGACTTCGAAAAAACCGGGCGCTGATGGATGCCTATGGTGAGAAGGAGACGGTGCAGGATATCGAACGGGCGCTGGTAGTCTACGATCTGCAGTGATGCTTATGACTGGTCGGGTTAGGGTATGGTTTATGATGGCGTTGATGGTGTTTGAGCGGATTATTAGCTCTCGGATGGGCTGGAGCTGGGAATTTCGGGGTTTATCTCTGTGAGATTGTGGCTGGAATGATTGAGGCTTTCGATTTATGATTAATGGCAATTCAAGAGAGCAAGCTGGTTATTGCGATCGTTGAATCACTTGGCAGTGCATTGGTGTCTAGTAGATGGCTGTGTAATTTGTTGAGTAACTTGGGCTGATTTGAGGAGAATTGCATCAGTGAAGAGGGTAATTGAATTCATAGTTCCCTTCACGTGCGTTCTGGGATGCTGTGGGAATCATACTAGTCGAGGATACCGCACATGCATGTAGTGAAGCCCAACGAGGGCCTGATCACTTCCAAATCTCAAGAGAGACTTTGCTGCACTAATTGCTGATCAGTAAGTCAGGATCCGGGTGAGAAATCATCCGGGACATGCGAGGATATAAACTGTCCGAGGTAAATATGACCTGTCACCTACACATGGGATGCCACGTAATGTTAATGAGCGTATGTGTGAGATTCAAGAGACTTTCGAAAAGTAGTACGCTGTCGATACAGCCAAATTATTACATTGGTATATCGAATTCTAATGGTAGACGATGTTCCCTACAGGATATGAACTTGGTAGGTATTAAAATCAGCACCAAAGTCATCCTGCAGCTCCAGTGGTGGACACCCCACCAAATGAAGCTCATCATCCACATGATCCTGTCGTAACAGCGCCTCTACTTCATCGACACTGCATCCCAATACTCGCTGAAGACGAACACAGGGCTTGAACCAAACATCGAGTAGACCCCATAACAGCCATGTAGGAGCCCTCATCTCCACAGTATCACTATGGCGTCTTCGGGCTTGATAATAGAGGCGGACAATTTCGTTCCATTGTCCATCATTGTATATCTCCCAATGTCCCTGCAGGTTTGCGAGCGATGTGGGGAAATCACTGGGAATACAGTCGGCAAAGACATCAGAGTCGTACTGCGTAGAATACTCAGAGATGGAAAATAAACCCCAAGGGGAATATTGGAGACGCATGAGCACTTCTGGGAATGTTAATTCGAAGAAACCGTCAGAGACCCGTGCATGAGAGGAAGGGTGCACGCATGATAGATAGGAGGTGTGGAATAATGGAGATGTGTATCCCTCTTGCATGGCACGAAATAGAGGCCAAATATCCCAGAATGTTTTCAAGTCGGGGAAGAATGTCAACAAGTTGCGCATGAGTGGTTTGTTCCTGTAATAGTTCAGCTTTTCATGGTCTGTCGGGCTTTCGAGCCTTGTGCGCATATTCGCTAGCTCGTCAGGAACACTGGTCACTGCCAGATGGAGAATTGACCCGACGCGCTGTTGGAACGCAAAATATAAGTGTATATCACATCCGACCAGACTGTATGTCTTTGGATTGTCCAACTGGCGTAGAATCATATAGATGACAGGTGTATCGTCAGTGTTTGGCAAGAGAACGAAAAGATGGTCCCGCAGTGGTTCGAGAACAGTATCCAACTGGAGCTCGGAGGCCAGGTAAATAGAGGCGACCTCTCCTTGGAACTCATAGAGAGCAACGGAATTGACGTGTTGAATAAGGTGCGGTGTTGAACGGAGAGCGCAGATGTGCGTCAAGCAGATGGACAATGCTCCAGTGTGGGCATGCACGATGATATCCTGGTCCCAAGGTCGCCGTTCGCAGACGTCTGCGACCCAGTAAGAAGTACGACAATTGTCCCAAAATGCTTTGAGATCTGAATCATAACCTGTTGATGTCAGGCGGTGAATGGAGCTTGCCAACTCGTCGGCTGTGGGGGTCCGGACTGTAAATAAGGACGGCCAATGCTTGCTGCGGCCCCAATCAGGAACCCAGGAGGGTTGGGATGCGGTTGTTGACAGGCCTGGTGCGATTAGGAACAAGATGACCCTTTTTTCCCGGATGATTGAGAAGGCAAACATGCCAATGAGGAGGTGTTGGACCGAAATACTGTAGTCCGGAACAAGTGTAGCGAGATCCTCCAAATCATCTGGAAATAGGCCGACTACCCCGAACACTTTGTCGCGTGGGTCAGATGCCTCCGAGCGTCCCGTCAGGGAGAAAAGATCCTGTGTGCCACGTACAGGAAGAGCACCATTCGTCATATGTTCCACCCAGGGGGCGTTAGAAGACTGCCAGCCCCAGACCCGCTGTGACAGACGAGGCATTGTGCGCGAGTCGACCCAGAACTCCGTATCACCCAGACGGAAGATGATGCGGTGGGGTAGAACCAACTCCTGGATCACCCAAATGCGACTGAAATATTTGCGTTGAAGAATCTCATGGGGTTGGATAGCAGGCTGCGTCGAGGCTTCTAAGTCCTGGAGCAGACGACGAGAAGGACGACCCTTGGACGGGCTAACCAGATCATTGCCCAAATAGACAAGTACTCGAGAGCACTGCTCATAAATGCGTTTCATATTGGCCACCTGTTGCCCTCGCTCAGTATCATCCCGTTGATTGATGCAGAGTGCATCGACCCAGATTGTGCGTGCTCCATCAGGAAAGCGCATGGTCTTGAGCATTTCCCAGCAGTTCTTGGTCTGAAGCATGAGGTCCCAGTGAGGACCAACGAAGACCGGACAACAGAGCGTATAGTCGCCATCCTCGCCGCCCCACATGTATGATACGGTCTCGTAGTCGAGACAGCCTGCTAAAATCTGCCTGCCTAGAGAAATGTGAATCGGGGCGTTTTCCTCTCCAGGAGACAGATCAGCCAACCGAATTTCCTCCGGGGAGAGCCTCGCTCCATAGATCACGGTGTTGGAATCGGAGGTCCGGCTCGACAGATCCGATTGATGGACATTGGGTCCAGCAGTTGAGTCTTCAGGGCGAAAGTAAGGTACTGATGGGGGCCACCTCAGGTTCAGCTGACCAGGAGGCTCATCGGGGGGAATTGGTGGTGGTGCGCAACTGTCCACCGTTGAAGATATCCAATCTTGCCAGTTGCAATGGTGGCCACATCCCCGGCAGTGCGGGATTCCTCCGTCGATGACCACGTCCGGGGTGACACAGGATGGTGGGTGCCAACGACTCATGGGGAGAGGATGAGGATGAGGATGGGAAAAGACCAACGACGTGCGGGGTAAGACAAGAAGCAGCTGCGCTAAGGATGCAAGCTGGAGCCAATGAAGTAGTCGCGTCAAGCGCTTATCTTGAGATGTTTCCCTCATATCGACGCACTGCAAAATGGGAGCCACTTTTTGATAGCAGAATCTTGAGTGCAATCCCATCTGTTATGATTGCATCTAAAAACCTAGGGTTTGATCCAGCCAGGGGCTACAGCCACATCAGCATCTACGGGGTCACACGGTGCACGCTCTATTGTCTATACGGCGCTTGAAGGAAGAGAAGAAATCTTGGCAAATGTCGTCAGTGTCTGATTGATGCTGATTGCTAGAATACATCAAGAAGACGAGATTCCACGAAGGGCTGGTAGTGGCTCTGCGTAGGACTCCCAGACACGCAGGCGTGATTAGTGTGCCTGTAGCGCCCAGAATCCCTCCTAAAACCCCTGAGTATGAACCTCACAGAAATTGACAAAGAGTTATCACATCCATGAGACTATATAACGACCAGAAGGATCACCCTAGACCTGTCTACCTGACGCCTTAGGCATCAATCAGATTCCAAAATATTAAGGCATTAAGGCACCAGGGCACCAATCAATGCTTCCGCCAGATGTCCGTGTACAGCATCGAAGTAAGCAACTAGCGAATTCAATCTTTAACACCTGATCCAACTCCCCCTCAAGGAACTCCCTTAATCCATATCCCAATGAAGAAATGCAAGGTTCGAGACAGTTGTATCTGGCTGACGGTCAGCACTAACAGTGACGCTTACAAATGAGGCCCAATCAGATACCGCATCTTGTACCAATCAGGTACGATGAACCAGCCAGGACTAATATAACATAGTAGCCGATGGATGGTAGTGTAGCTTGGCGCTACAAGTTTCATGAACCATATTTCGAGGGAAGTTGTCTGACCCGAGTGATGGTTCATAACGGAAGATGCCTAAACAGGGTGAGTGGTTGGATACGTACTGTGTCGATGCCATCATGGAAGGTGGGACGAGTGAAGGAACAAAGATGTGTGCGAGGTACAACGATAATATGTTAAGTTTATACCAGTAGGCCAAAACGGAAATCCGCTGGCCATCTGGAGAACAGACGGAACGAAGACTCTGTGTCCCAACATAATATCACTGGGTAGATGCACCAGACCGAGGTAATTGGGTAGCTGCATCAAGTAATATCGATTCTGCAGACCTGTTTGAAAAGCTAACTATGAAATCTATCTAAGATGAGATGCTTGAACCGCATCAGAACAACTGCATTGGGACCCCAGTACCCCCCAATAGCTTCCACTCATCCTCGTGGATTCTGCAATCGATAACCTGGACACGCTCCCAGCCCACGAGGTCGCCATCCTCTCTCAATTGCTCAACTGCCATGAGCATCGTGATGATCCATTTATCTTCATCCGAGCCCCTTTCCCCCGTCAAAGCCACGAAATGCAGGATCCAATCTTTATGATGCTTTTCCCGCCAGCCACGATCTAACCATATATGTGCTAAGGGTGTGATGCTCCTCCCGGCATCATGGACCTCGCGTCTAGCCGTGTCCCCATCACCCAAATCCCTGGATAACACCAGCCCCTCCATAACATCAGTTGAGGAAACTGGCCCTTCATCAGGGGCGGCCTTCCGACGAAACACAGGATACAGCCCGTTCGTGCCGTCTGACTCAGTGAAGAAATCACCAATGCGCATTCGCGCACAGCTAACATATACGTGTAGACATGGACGTTCCCAGAAAACGCCCCTGCAGCTTGTGGGAAAGCCAAACTCATGCTGGTGATTCCGGTGGATTGGCTTGCGAGGATATTGACATGGCCGATGCCAGTGGGGAAACTCGACCATCTGACATGTGTGCACCCTCCCAGTGAGTGTTCGATCAAATGAGACTCGGTCGTTCCACCCCAGCCAGGACCAGCTGGGGAACTCTGTATTACGGAGGTGGGGGTGATGTCGATCCGTACGCCAGCAGATGGTTTGATCAAAGGCATACAGGGGCAGGCCGTACCAAATGGTCCAGGGTTGATTCCCGACTAAGCCTTGATACCCTCGGGAGATGGCCCTGAAAGCATCTCTGCGAACCATGTCCTTTGTGAAGTCTCGCTGAGAATAATCTTCAACGGCGGAGAGATAGGAGTCGAGTCCATGACTTCGATTGCACAGCACGCCACCGACAGTGCTTACCTGAGCTTTCTTGTTGCCCCGCGAAGTGATCAGGGTACCCGTTGTGTTGTATGTACCCTCTTGGCACTGCATGAAGATTCCCTGGGAGGTGAACAGAATAGCTCTGTGAGAGAATACCATTTCCTGATAGGACCATGCACGCCTCATCCATGGCGAGACTGTGAGCAGAGCTTCAAGGGATTCCGCCGAGTCCACGGTCGAAAGCGCATGCGGCCCAACGGATGATTCTTGCAGGAGTCGTTGACTGGCAGTTTTAGCAGAGACGGCAGCCAGAAGGACTTTGGCACCGGCATATATCAGGTTCATTCGTAGACTATGAAACTTCGTATCACGCGGAGCGTCGTGCATGATACAGAGCGAATCCGCCCAGAGATACCTCTCCTTAAGCGCCTGGCACACAGTGATCCCGTCTTGGACCACGCTGGCTACTCGAAAAATCAAGGCATCTAGGCCTCCAGGCCTCATGAGAGTTGCGCTGGTTTGTTTATTAAGCTGAATGTTATCTTCCCCTTTCAAAACATAACCTACTGCAATATAGGAGCAGTGTTCCGGGGCATCAACAACACAGCGCCGATCGATGTCAATCAATCTAAACGCTGTTTTCGGAATGCTACGCCACTGGAAAGGAAGCGCTGCGCATTCTGCATGATCGATGCTTCCCTCACATTGCCCCAGCCATTCTTTGATCGGAGCAAATCGGCTTTCAATCTCTGTGAACTCCGACGAGCCGACGCCAGGTGGCAATTCAGGGAGTTCATCGGCCGGGCGGTCTGTGGACATTGACGAGGTGAGACTAGGTGGCGAATCAGGGTCTACAATGACCATGGGGTCGGTTGACGATATTGGATCCGGTGAGTGATGAGATGCGGGATTTGAGATGGACGATGGACTGTTCTCTCTACTAGAAACGCTGTCCTCCTTCTCGCCCCACGGACACTGGAGCTCAGCGTACCAGAGAGTCACATATAGATAGCGCACATCGAGCCATGCTAATTTATTCCACGAGCTGGTTGATCTAAGTGGCAAGGTCCCATTAGTGTGCAATAATCAATAGAGACGAGGACGTACCGGATTTGAAAGGAATCCGGTGCTAGCAAGTGTGCTCGACATCATATGCTTTACTCTCGGTGTCGATAGAGGTCTGACCGGAGCCACTGGAAAGGGTCAAGTAATCGCAACGCTCCTGAGCAAAGCCATTGAAGATGATTCCTTGTCGCTCATCAGCAATCGGGGGAGTGATGTTTCTATAGGTGGAGTCAGGGCCACATATGAGGACGTCTGCAGCCTCAAAGATCATTGGGGCTTCCTCAACCAGCTTCGGCCAGGCAGACAACCACTGCTCTGACTCCCAGTCCACCTCGTAGGAATGTGTGTAACTATACTGGTTACTTCGAGCAGGGCTGGCTTTTCGACCTACTTACCGCATTGTGCCGTAACGTTGAAATAGATGCAGTTTCCTAAGATATGGTTGGAATTAACCTCTGGGTGAATGATTGTCTTGGCTGAAAATGGTGAACAGGGTGTGTAGAGAACGCTTAATGATGGTTGGAGAGTTGATGATGCAGGAGAAGAAAAATGAGAGATGGGAAATGGGAAGTTGGGTGGGAGTGGTGAACAACGGCAGGAGCAACACTGGCCCTTGACCTACACGCACTGACACCCCATTCTAGACCTGTCATTGGTACCGTATAATGCAGGGTTACACACTGATTATCGGAGAGCTCGCTGATATCGCTTTCAGTAAGGATATATGCGGGATGTTAATTGCTGGGTGTATTGCCGCGAACACGCGAAGGTCATGGAGGGTATGCTCAAGGTACAATAGGAAATGGTAGCGATGTGAATTAGCCCACCATACGAGGGATATTCCTATATTCCACTGCTAGGTACCGCAAAGAAATATGCGCTCACGATCCGGTGATGCAATGGACACCAAGTTTGCTTTCTTCATCAGGCTGCCATGTCAGGACCCTTGACTTCATACCTGCCAGCTTCTTCTCGACAATGAACTGCATCTCCTCTTTCTGCTTATCATCAAGCAACTCGATTCTTTTTTTCCACGAGTCCTCGGGTGTTGTTGTGGACCCAAAGAAGCGTTCGTCTAGTTTCTGCCAGAAAATCGCATCAAAAGCAAAGCTCTTCCGGACAGCATAACTGACCCAGAAATCTCCGCTCTGCCAACTCTGCCGCATAGGCCCTGAGAGTCTCCGGTCCTCGCTCAAGCGTCCAGAGTCAATGAGTGTGTCTTCACGTGCAATCAATACCTTCAGGAACGTCTTCAGACGATAGTCATAGATCCCCGTCCACTCTTCCAGGCCGCCTGGCCAATACTCTGGCTGTTCGAGTAGCAACCACCACGGTGGAGCGGATGAGAATTCGGCCGGTGCCGCGTAGGTGAATTCCCAGTCGATCACTCCGACGATTTGCAAATCCGCATTCAAGAGGACATTCGAGGGACGAAGATCATCACACCATAGTCTGAACGAGCCTGATTCGGGGTGTTGAGTAGGTGAAGTTAGGCGACGATCGCCTGAGAGCTTACGAAACAGTTGCCTGGCGATGTATTTGCGCCGACAATCGGTGTCCGACTCAATCGCGTCATTACGCTGGTGTGTCAGATGATCAATGTGTAGCTCAGCGAGGGCATCGTAGTAGGATGAGGCGGTCTCGAAGGTGCCATGTGGCAGACTTGACCGGGGCAGAGTCCCGAGACGTACTAACTCGTTCATATGGATGGACAGCGGCTGACGTGTCACTTGGTAGGTAAATTCATCCACTCTCTCCAATGACCCAATACGATCGAAGGATAACCGGTTCAGTTGAAGCAATATATCGGCAAGCTGCCCATATAGCATCTCCAGCTTCGCAGGATCGATATTTGGATCAAGACGTGGGCGGTCTTCTATGGTGAGTCCCGGCATGTTCAAAACCCTGCTCATGTTTGACTCATGATCGATATACTCCATGATAATGAAGGGACTCATCCCAGGGGGACTTTCTTCTGCCGTACCCCAGTGCAGGATAAATGGTACGGGGATAGAAGTGTGGTCCTGGATATATCGAATGGCTGCGACTTCATTGCGAATCTTCTCTTCCGGGAACATGGTCGCTCCGGGTTTAGCGAACCGAATGATGGCAGAGCCGCCATCAGCATACTTCATCCGGAAGGAGATTTGAAATAGCCAGCTTTGGGATCGCCCAGTTCTTCGGGCACGCCGCTTCGGTGCTTCACGATGAGATTACCGATGGCCCGGAATGTGTCTTCGTCAGCAAGAAGCCAGTCCACCCAGCTATCTGTGATTCTTTCGCTTTCTTCCCATGCGACATCGTCAAAGTGCATGCGGGATTTCATCTTGTGCTATCTGATGCATCAGAGGGGTATGAGCTGCTGTTGGAGCGGGTGAGGAAGGGAAAAGGCGGAGGGGCAGCAAATTATCACCGAAATGCATGGTGCATTAGCGCTTAATCCAGCCAGTCATGGCATCCCATTTTCATCCCCTGTCTACTGCACGCTCTATACACTTCAATGATCAAAACCAATCGTGAGATACACTTATGTCAATTGAGTAATTCCACAATATCAACTACCCAATATTAAACAGCTTCCTAGCTTGATATCAATTAGTCCAACTTGGTCGGCCAACCCCAGGACAGTAACTGACGTCAGTGTAGATCCAACCCCAGTATATCACTCATCCAAACGTAAGGCCTAAAATAGAATGACAATCATAAAGATCTCTCTGTATACATCCCAGAAGGCTTTATGTGAGGTCACAAACCCTCCCTGTCCCACTCCGTCGGTCCCATCGGTCCCATCGGCCTTACCGGCCATACCGGCCCCATCGGTCCTATCGGTATATCCCCCCAACCCAACACCATCACCACTACCACCTATAAAAACACACCAAATCCACTCTCTACGACAATCCACTCCCATCAATAAACTACTCCCAATCCATCTCGAATCCCCTACGCAGAATCACCAGAAAGAAAGACACCAATGTCCTCCCTCAAAATCCTCATCACCGGCGCCGGCATCGCCGGCACAACCCTCGCCTACTTCCTCTCCCAACTCCCGCAATCCCATTCCATCACTGTTCTCGAACGATCCCCAATTCTCCGCGCAACAGGACTACAAATCGACCTCCGGGGTCCCGGAATCCAAGTCCTCCGAGCTATGGGTCTCGAGGAGGAATTCCGCGCTATCAGTGTCCCGGAACAAGGGTTGGGGCTGGTGGATGGGAAGGGACGGCGGTGGGGGTATTTCCCTGTGAAGATGGGGGCGACGGGGAAGGGGTTGCAGAGTTTTACGACGGAGTGGGAGGTTATGAGGGGGGATTTGACGAGGATGATTTATGGGGAGAGTTTTAGGGAGGGTAATGTGAGGTATGTTTTTGGGGTTTGGGTTGAGGGGATTCAGGAGATGGGAGAAGGGGATGGGGTGGAGGTGGTGTTTTCGGATGGAAGGAAGGAGAGGTTTGATCTTGTGATTGGGGCTGATGGGTTGGGGTCCAAGACGAGAGGGCTGATGCTTGGGGTAGATGGGGATGGAAGGGTTGGCGTTCATGAACTGGGTGTTTATGCTGGGTACTTGACGGTGAAGAAGGAGATGAAGGAAGGGGAGGGGTATGATGCCATGGCTTATATCGCGACCAAAGGACGAGGGATTATGACGCGTCGGCATGAGAAGAATCGGTACCTGGCTTATCTCTTCTGCAGGGCGGAGGGAGGGGAGTTGCAGCGAGGAAGGAAAGGGGATTTTGAGAAGGAGAAGCAGGTCCTGACCAAGGCTTTTCGCGGGGCGGGGTGGCAGACGGAGGAGATCCTTCGAGGTATGGACGAGGCAGATGATTTTTATTGTGAGCGCATGGGAGTGGTCAATTTGGATCGGTGGTCGAGAGGCCGCGTTGTGTTGGTGGGAGATGCGGCGTACTGTCCCTCTGCGATGACCGGGATGGGTACGTCTTGTGCTATGACAGGGGCTTATGTCCTTGCGGGGGAAATTGGGAGGGTGTGTGGCAGGGGAGCCAGAGTGACGAAGGACGATATCGAGACTGCTCTGGCAAGGTACGAGGAAAAGATGAGGCCGTTCATGAATCATGTTCAGAGGGGGCTCTTGGACAACAATGATTACATGGGGAAGTTCCCTTCGTCGGCATTTGGGGTTGGTGTCATGTATGTTTTGTTTGCGGTGGTTTCTTTCCTCAGGTTGGATGTCCTCGCCAAGTGGGTGTTGCGAGAGGATACGAATGGCTGGGAGCTGCCAGAGTATCCGGAATTGATGAGGAAGTGATACCAGGGCATCTCATGCTAATCTCTTTGTTTGGGATATTGTGGATAGTGTGCTTGAAGGCGAAGTTGGAATAGTTTCAATTGTACAACGGATCTTTGATTGAGAATGTGATCCCTCTTATGTCCCGAAGTCTTACTTCGCTCTTGATCATCAGTAGCACGACCGAGCACTTGCTTACCACTGTGAAAGGACCTGAAAGTCGGAAAAGTCAAAGTCAAGCTCCCCATCATTCATCCAGTCGAAATTGTCATCTAAATTCACCACCCCTTCCAGCGAGGACACCATAGCATCTGTCCCGGATTGACCCTCCGGACTCGTCGCATCTGGTACCTTGGCAGCCATCTCCTTCAGGATAGCATGGCATTCATCCACACTCTCATTAAGAGATTTCGAGATTGCCTCCTTCTCGGGCAACCTAGCCAGATGAGCCTCTGCCTGGGCCATCATCATCCTGAAAAAGACATAAATCTTGACATTCGTTTCTCCGTGGCGGATTCTATCCTTGGCGTGTTGCACCACGGAGCGAGCATCTCGCAGCAAGTTCTCCTGACGTGCAAGGTCTCTTTTCCTCGCAAACATTGAGCTCTCCGCTTCCCGGTCTGAGCCAAAATCAAGAAAAATGAGCATTGCTCCCCGTGTCACGATATCGCGAAACATTCCACCGCCGCAGCAAAGTACGCGGCTATAGAGATCATCTTCGAGGAGTGAGACGATATCCAACGCCGCCTCAACACCGACGTGGCGAGAGTATGTGTAGAGAGGATTTACCTTTGCCTTGATGGCATATTGGTAGTGAAGGCATAAGGAAAAGCGACGGATCAAGTGACTACACAGGCTGGTTGCGAATTTTGTCCGGGGATCTGAGACAGCTTGGTCGATTGCAATGGCAACGTCACGACAAGTTAAGGCGAGTTCGTTTCCTATTTCGAGGATCTGATCGTAGGATGGTTGTTCCAGGAGACTGTTGATGATTCTGGTGGCACGAAGTCGGAGGGAAATTGATTTGGACAATATTGGCTGGAAATTGATGACCTTTTCGCTACTATTCTCGTCACCTGCAATGTTGGGGTCCTTGTCGCTCGGCGGCTGAGTAGTCCAATCCCCAATGGCAATCATCGGCAACATCCCCGAGTCCAATGCTGCCTGCACATTAAATTCCAGTATGGCGTACCAGAGTTGTCGACGGGTTTCCCTTCGCTTAGGGCTCATCTCGCCCATGAATGTTGGGTCTTGATGCAATCCCATCTGCATGGCCATTCTCAGCAACGAGCCCGCCGAAATCCAAATCAGATCGGCTCCAACTCGGTTTACTTGACGGGCAAGGAGGAGAAGGCAGTGAACTTGGATGCCTCTCAAAGTTAAGCGATCCTTCTCCAGCGGTGCAGAGAGCCATGTCTGGGCGGTATGGATCCACGTGTGGGCCTTTGCAGCCACGTCGTTGCGGGCATCGATGTTCTCAAAGAAAGGTCCGGCAATGGCAACAACGAGGAGAGCTTGGAGCAGAATGGAACTTTCCGAGCCTTTAGGATTTATAAGCGAGTTCTCATATTCGGCCATAAACGATGAATAGTGAAGGACTCGATAGCATGTTTCAAATGTGGTAAAGTAGAGCCGAATCGATTCATTAACCACTTGGAGGTCGGGAAGCGAATGATAAATTTCCGCAGGGAGAGAGCCACGACTTGGATATTGGCTTTTGATTCTCCGGCCTAATATCTTGCACTGGGTGATTCTGTCCGTGATGCTGTTCAGAGGACCGTGACTCGGATGTTGGATGATTGCCTCGTACAGGTCTCCAATGGGCTGCAGGACAGACAAAGTCTCCAACTTTGACATGTTGTTAGTAAATTCTTTACTTCAAAGTGAGAAGCCTACCTGAGAGAACGTGTTCATCCAATGGCCGTTCCCGAATACCCTCGTCTTCGAGATGGTGCCTTGTATGTGTGTTGTTGCAGTGCGGGACGGGGCCTCAGGCGAATGGGTGACTTCAGGGGGATTGCTAATCTGAACTCCATCTGCTCGCTGGGGGCTGCCACTGCTGCTGACAGGATTCGATGTCTCTCGAGCAAGACGCGCATAACGATTCTCCTCGTACACACAGATTGCAGCTATATTCTGAGCCACGCACTGTCTGCATGGCTTGGCTCGGTCGCATCGGACTTTTCGTTGACGACACGGGGCACATGAATGGGGAGTGCGTCTGCGTTTTCTTGGAGCTGATCGAGATGGACCAGTCATTGTGATGAAACAGAGGTTGGAGGATGATGCTGACGGACATGCCGGCCGAAGGAGGCGGGACGGCAACACGTGACCGTCAGCATGGTGAGCACATGACAGTGGTTGAAAGCTTTCCAGTTGCTACTTTCCATAGTGATGTTTTTCTGTGCAACTTAGTATGTCCCTAACTCCTATCTTGACAGTAAGCCAGGGAAGATAAAGCAAGATGCATTGCGAAATTCCGCGACCCGAATACGAATGCCGGTCCAATATATATTTACGGCAAGTCGGTCTACTACACTTCAATGGTTATCGCGAAATGGATGATGATATATCTATGTTAATTTGACTCTTAGTCTAATATAAGTAGGCAACCACGAATCAATTGAGACAAGGATTAAATGTGTGAAGACTGATGCTCAGTGGCGATCATGCGTGCCTGCAACTGCCGATAGTGTATAGGTGCGACTACTAGTACTGATGAGCTCTGGACTACCATTTCATCTTCCAATTCCATCCCTTTATCTTAATCCTGACCCATAAAAACGACAAAAAAGCACCCACATAGCTGAGCCCCGCAAAAAGGGCGGTTCCCCAATACCTTTCCTTCCCGGTAGCAGTTGCGGCATCGAGCAGGCCTCCACCGATAGGCAGACTCGCCAGGACCCCAAAGGCCACTACCGTAAAGCAACTGGCATAGTATCGTCCATACTCCTGCGTTTCACACAGTTGACCCAGGCAGATTGGCGTTAAGCTGACATTCGAACCGCTGAAAAAGCCGAACAGTATAACAAAAACCACCAAGAGTGCTGCACCGTCCAGACCGGGGATGAGGATGTCTGGAAGCCAGAAACAAAGAACCGATACTGTGCAGAAGAACAGCGAGACTATCATGGTATTATAGCGACCAAATCGATCGGCGAGATCACCCGCCACATAGCGCCCAACGCATGACGCCGCGTTCAGGATGGCGAGAAGCTGATATGCAAAGGCCGAGGATCCCGATAAAGCCTCGTTCTGGGCCAAGTGCTGTCGATCGATGTAATAGCTCGGTACGTATGTAATGGGAATGAAATAGGCGAGATCAGTAAGTAAGACACCGGCAGTTGTAAGTGCCATGGCCCCTGTGCCATCCAGAAATATTTTATAGTCGGGTAATGTATCTCGCCAGGTAGTTTCAGTTCCTTTGCGTGGGGGAACTCTGCTCCGGCAGAATGCCACACTGATGATGCAGAGTACAAGGAGAATAAATGCGAGTATCCGTATTGACCATCCCCAGCCAACCTGGGGTAACAGTGAGTGTATCATGAGGGGAAATAGGACACCGCCAAAGCCACCTCCTATAAAGGCGATACCACTGGCGAGCCCACGACGCTCCATGAACCAATGAGCAACACAGCCCATTGATGGAGTGAGAAGCAGAGATGAACCGATGCCGGTCAAGATGGAGAAGGACAAGAAGATCTGGTAGTACTCTGTTTTGTTATTAGTAAGGCAAGAACTCCATCGACGATAATCTAAGCAGACTGTTGCGGGACAGGAATCCTACCGGTACAGACACTGAGTGCAAAAATGCCACCTAATGTGCAGATAGTGCCGGCGATTATCAATGCCCGCGGTCCCATTGCATCAAAGGTCGGTCCGATCTGCACGCCACACACCCAATTTACGAAAGCATAGACGGAGAAGATCCAACCAAGGGTCGATGGTGAATCATTCGGCAAGACAATGTTTGAGACGACAGCTTCAAATACACCCACTGTGTTATAAATACCGAGGGATGCTGTCAAGCCACACCATGCTCCCAATACTACCAACCAGGCATCGCGGCCACCCTCGGGATAGGTGATCACGGTGTCGGCGGGCGCTGAGTTCGCCGGTGGGGTATGGTGCTCTGATAGTTTTTCCAAATCAGAGAAGGAAAGAGTATCCTTGGTATCGACGACCGTTTCCGTGCTATCACCAGTATCCGTGATATCCATAGCGGCCAAGCTTCTGTCGGACATGATCACGAAAGTCCTGTTGCTAGCAGGGAGAAAGAACCCAACTGGTGCTGCCTTTAGTTCAAGGCCGTTTATTTTATCACTGAAAAAGATATCTTCTGAAGGTAGGGAATTGTCTGAAGGTGTAAAACATAATGCCATTGAACAGGAAGGATGACGATACAGACACTGAACTCGTAGTAACCAATCAGAGACAAGCACTGGCATTGAACTCAATATAGCCAATCATCAGAAAGGATTGGAGAATATCCACTGCGCTAAGCCATAGGCGGAAAAAAGCTGCCCCCAAGGCGGTCAGGGGGTAGCTGGCAGAATGTGGGAACGACGTCACTGTCTTCCCTTTCCTTCCCTTCTGCTCACCATTGACTCATTTGTACAGTTGCAAATTCTGATGCCAACAATATGCAGACACAAACACCGAGCACGTCAACGTGCTCAAGCATGTATCAGACCCCCCACTCCCGCTGGACTGCTTTGTCCCACCGCGCCCCCGCAACTCACTCGTCCTTCATCTACGGCGTCAAGTCCACCAAGATCTACTGCCGCCCCACCTGTCCCGCTCGTCTTGCCCGAAGAGCCAATATTATCTTCTACGACACAGCAGATCAAGCGCAACGCGACGGCTTCCGTCCATGCAAACGATGCAAGCCAGATACTGCGGGATTTGCTGGAGAGAGGGAGGAGGTGGTCACCAAGGTCATAGCGCTGTTACGAATACAAAAAAATGACAGGATGATGAGACGAGGGGTGAAGGAACTTGCAAAAGAAGTCGGAGTATCGACCAGCTATCTCTGCCGAGTGTTCAAGAAAACGATGGGAATTACAATAGGGAGTTACATGACAGAGTTTGAGAAGGAGGCTAGTGGGAATGAGACCGAGACTGAAATCTCAATTCAACCGCTTGAAAGGTTTATGCCAGGGGTGGTGGTTGCCGGAACCGATCTCTACACGCCACCTATCTTAGCGAACGGCCCTGCAGTGCCGATTGATGAATCTGAAGGTGGGTTGAGAGAGGGTGTGGGAAACCTTCAAGACGCTTTGGACTTCAATCTGGACGAATGGTTTTGGTTTGACGAGTTTTGGAATCAAGGTTCAACTACAACCAGCGTCTGATGATGTGCCGTGGCGGTGGCTTAGTCGTTGATCACGGGTACTGCCATACCTCTATCCTGGCGGTTTATACCATGGCTAGTCTCACGCTAGCTGAACACGACTTATCCGGTAGGAAAATATATCTCTAGCCTGACATATCGAACCATTCGGCGTTATGCTGCTTTAGCGAGCTGCATTCCGCTATACCGAGGAGGATAAGGCGCTAGTACAAATAGCTCAGGGAGCAGTACATATGAAGCATGTCTGAATCTTATGTAGTAAGATTGCAGCAAGGCGCACGGTCCTCAGATGAAGACGGACATTCCTTGCGGGTATGTGCCAGAACCGGGATATGCTTCGTCAAGTTACAGTTTGCGTGAACGAGCCAAGCAAATTTTAGAGAGTGAGTGAGTACATGCTAAGGGACACACTCGTAACGGCCTACGAATTACCTTCCATAACAGGAAAATGTTGAAGGTTGGGTGATACGATGTCAAATGTCGTTAAATTGATGGAAGATATCCAGAGGCCGGTGCGCGGACCATGGCTGATCGGGAACGATTGCCAGTGTTCCATATGAACTCGTATTGGCCAGTCAGAGCCAACCAATAGACGTTAGAGTTCAAGGCTTCCAAGCCAAGGACAATATGCTACAATAAGGCTCACCACATACGAGCTCTGCCTGTGTGTTGTACTCTATCTGACCAATTGGCAACATATGAGATAGAGGTCAATGCATAGCCGTCAGTCAGAGCTACCGGTTAGTTTTCTTTCTCTGAGAAGCTTAAATGAGGTATACTGATATAAACAAGGCAGAAAGCTCGATTGGGAAATTGGTTATTGTGGTGCATATGGCGACTGGGTAGTACGCCTTGTTCTTCTACCATGTCTTCACAGCCCGTACAATCCCAAGGAAAATAGGGTAGGACCTGTGGAGAAATGCCTCATTCACAATCAAGGATTTACAAGACTCTTGGTCTTTGCTACATGCCAAGGACAGAGAGTATGGAACGGGTTACGAGAGAGCGCCTATAAAGTCGTCTAGATTGTTCAGCATGCTGGCATCATACGCACCTTGATTGCTAATCTCGTCAGAGAAATGGTGAACTTGCAATCTTCCTTGTGATAGTTATAGGCTGACAACCTCATTGTGATACTTTGTCATGGCTCTCTCAATGTTGGATTATAGTCACTTTACTTCTGGGTCTTGGGACAAGCGTGAGAAGTTCGCCCATGATCTCCTTGGCAGTTTTGAAAGGACTGGCTTCGCGAAGATTAGAGCCCATCCCTTTAGTGCACAGGAATTGGAAGAGCTCTTCACCTGGGTAAGACACACTTGATTGTACTCATTTAGCTAGTACAGAAGTAACCCCTTCCAGAGCCACAAATTCTTCGACCAGCCATTGAATGAGAAAAATGAAATTCCCAATGAACCAGGACCCAGGCCTATGCGTGGTTACACGCCATGGAGAGTCGAGGAAGTTGGAAAACTTCACCACGATCCTAAAATCAGGAAAATAATTGACTCCAAGGTGCGTCTGACTATCGCTTCGCAATCCTCGTCAATTCAACTAACCACCATAACATCCAGGAGCACTTCGACCAAGGTCCCCAATACGATACAGAGTTCCCCAACAAATGGCCCACCGCACCTCAGCTATCAGGCTTTCAGCCCTTCATGGAGGCATTTTATCGCAAGTGCGACAACATCTGTCTGACCTTGATAGAGGCACTCGAGGTCGCCTGGGGTATCGAGGATGGGTCGCTCGTCGCGCGCTGTGTGCCCAGCTCCACCGATCTCCGACTGACCCACTATCCAGCGATTCCAGTCGAGGAGATGCATTCCGAACGTACCAGTCGAATTGCGCCCCATACCGACTTTGGACCCATCACACTCTTATTCCAAGATAGCACTGGTGGCCTCGAAATTGAAGACCGAACAAACCCGGTCCCTAATTCATTTGTTCCACTGCCGCCGACTGATATATCCGAAATGATCGTCAATGTCGGGGACACCTTAACCCGGTGGACTAACGGGAAGATAACCGGCGGTGTTCATAGAGTCACTACTCCCGAGACAATGAAGAATGAAAACGGCCTGATCATCCCATCCCGAATGTCCATGGCCTATCTCTTCAAGGCCGGGCGTAATGTCTCTGTCGGACCATTGCCGAAGTTCGTTTCGTCCGCGATGCCAGCGCAGTATCCCGACATGACGGCTCTGGAATTCCAACGATGGCGAAACAGCATTGTCTACAGCCTCGACGAGAAGAAATATCCAGACCTGGTCGATAAACTAGCCCGCGTACGTGGCCACTGCAACGGCGGCGTAGGCCGAACGGGGTGTTCAAAAAATATTAAATAGAAAGCAACTGAGTTATTGCTAGAATGATGATATCAACGTTAGCTAGTATTGAATTATTGAAGTTGCAGTATTAAGTCTACTTAGTCACTTGCCTCATTGGAAGAATACGTACGTCAGCAAAGTTGTAACATCTCTATGTACTGTTAGTAAGGAAAAATACCGATACTAATACTAATACAGCACTATTTACACCCATCCCATTCAACTACCCCAACCCTCCACCCCCAAATCTAAAGGAAGGTTTTGTTGACATACAAGGACGGACTTTCATCAAGCTGTATTTTTAGCTGCTAGTCGAAGAATGCGAAGGCTTTCGATGTCAAGGGATATATTAAGGGATTTGCTTTGGGACAGGGGTACGGCAATGAAACGGAGAGAAGTAGACAATTCCATTTAAAAAACTGAACTAGACACCGAAATACGGGGAGGACCATTCACTCACTCCATCGCTTGCCTAACTGCTCCACCACAAGTTCCACCACACTCATAACCGTCGTCTTCGCATCCATCAACATCAAGAACGGCACGTCGACATCCATCGAGCTAAAGATATACTGTCGCAGCTCCGCAGCTAGCATACTGTCCATACCATAATTACCTAGTGAGACCTTTAGATCGAGTCTGGGCAGCGGCAACAGGATGATATTGGACATCTTCTTGGCGATGGCCTGCGTCACCGCGGTGCGCAGCTGCGCCTCATCGCCCGAGACTAGCGCTGTCTGAATGACCGACGCTGGGGTGTTGATTGCCCCCTCGGACTGGGCCGCCCGGCGTTGCAATGCGCTCGTCAACACAGAGAACCGCGGGTCATCCAAGCACTGCCAGAACCCCGTGTACCCCTGTTTTCGATGTTCCTGCAGGCCGGTATCCTCGATCCCGGTAAGGATGTGGCATTGCGAGAGGGGATCACGCATCGTCTGATGCTGCTCTGACGATAGGGCGATATCGATCACCTGGAGGACCTCATGCTCGGGAAGTGGCCGGATGCCCTTGCGGAGCAGGAGGTCGCCAATGTCACTGTGCTCGTGAAGATAGCCAATCTCGGAGATGCTACCCAGACCTAGGGAGATAGCGCGAAGGCCGAGACTGTAACGATAGCGTGCAAAGACGTCCAGAAAGTGGTTGGCCGCACAGTAGTTGCCCTCGGTGGCCGTCCCAAGTTGTCCAGCAATGGAGCTCGTCAGAAGAAAAAAGTCCAAGTCAGCCTCGCAGCCGAGCTTGCCCAGGGCGTGGTGGAGATTCCAGGTGCCACGGACCTTGGCCTGCGTTCCCGTGAGCCAGTTCTCGCGAGGCATGTACTTGAAAATGGCCTCGTGGAGGCCCATGGCCGCCTGGACGACTCCTCCCAGAGGTGCGTCCGCCATGGCTGTCGCTACCGCACGCTCGACGTCGTCGGAAAGGCTCACGTCGCCTGTCATAACGGTACAATGTGCCCCAGCCTGCTCGAGCTGTTCCACCATAAGTCGGGCAGCAGGTTTGGCCAGTCCCGTGCGGCCCAGAAAGACGAAGCGGCGGGCACCACGACTCATCATCCACCGCGAGAGACTCCGGCCCAGTCCACCCAGGCAGCCGACCAGCAGGTAGGACTTGGCCGGGGAAAAGGTTGTGCTGAACCGCTCGGGCACGACAGGCACCATCTGCGTTGGGTCTTCAAACGAGATGACGATCTTGCCCATCCGCTTGGCATTGTTGAAGTGATTAAAGGCGGCAGTCAGGTCGCGCACGGGAAAGACGGTTAAGGGCTGGATGGGCTTGACATGACCGGCACGGAGAAGACTCATCACGCGGCTAAGGAGCCTAGGCGTCAACTGACGCGCCATCCCCGTCGAGGTTGATTCGCCTAGCATCCCCAGATCGAAGGCCGTGAAGGTGGTCCCGCGGAGCAGGGTCCGCATGTCAAGCCGACCACTATCGAGGATGTCGCGTTTGCCGATTTCGACGAACCGTCCCCATTCTGCGAGACATTCCCAACTCTCATGGAGGAGGTCACCCACCAGCGAATTCAGGACCACGTCTACTCCGCGGCCCTGCGTGTGGGTTTGGATTTGGGCCGCAAATTCTGTGGACCGGGAGGAGAAGACATTCTCTGGCCGGAGCCCAAAGCGTTCAACCAGGAAATGCTTCTTCTCCGCAGTGCCAACGGTGGCGTAAATCTCACCCGCTCCAAGGTGCTGGGCGAGTTGGATCGTGGCCATCCCGACGGCGCCAGCGGCTGAGTGGATGAGGATTGACTCGCCCTGCTCCAGATGAGCGCGGTGCTCCAGCGCGTATACGGCTGTGACGAAGGCTACCAAGACACCGGCCATAATAGACAAGTCCTCGCTCTCCTGCAGCTTCACACAGCTCCACGCTGGGACGGCTTCATAGGGGCTGAAATGGCCGTTGTACATAACTGCGACACGGTCCCCAACGGTGAATGATGATTCATCCCGTACCTTGTCGCCCACGTCCACGATGTGCCCCGTCAACTCGAAGCCGCAGGTGGCATCTTTTGTGGGGACTCGGCCGGTCAATGCGTAGACATCTTTGGCATTGAGGCCGAAACAAGCCACCTTGACGAGGACGTGGTCCGTGGCGAGGGGACCCAAGGGTGGCCGGCGCACGAACTGGGCCGTGCTGAGCGGACCGGCCTCTGGCACCGACAAAGAGGCGTTTCCAGCTTGGGAGAGCGGCGTGGGGCATGCGATGTTGTCCTGTCGAATCTGGAAGTGTCGATTCAGTTGCTCATCGGGCACAATGCGGCTGATCAGGAGGTGCGAGCCATCGCGGATGAACTCACAGTCGACCGATCCCTCCTGACGTACAATTCGCATGATATCGTGGGAGAGTACTGCCACCTCTGTAGCCGGATCCAGCTGCAACGAGACGATCTTCATCATGGGCTGCTCGATGACGAGGGCCCGAGCCAACCCGATGAAGAGGGACTGCGTGGGATCGAATCCCTTGTGAACGCCGCACCCTGTAATCCAAACTAAATGGGCAGCATGTTCGATGATCTGTTTCAAAGCGTCAAACTCCTCCGATGTTGGGTCCGCCAGAACAGATCGGTGCAGCTCGATGGTAGAGACAACCAAGGTTTGTGGCGTAATGGGAGACGAGCAGGCAAGGAGATTATACAGCGAGAGGGCCTGCACTGACAGTCCAGAATCCGCGCTCAAGTATTCAGCCAACTGTGAGTCAACCGATTCAGCACCGATGAGAATGATCTGGGAAAATGTAGGAGTGAACTTGACGACGGGACGGAGAACCTGTACACGATGCGTGCTATCAGTCAATGGCAGATGAGAACCAGCCAACAAAGACACAATTGCGGTGTTAGGCCCCAGGAAGAACGTGCGGTCGTTAGTATGTGAGCCTAGTTGGTCAGCCACTGCCATGCCATCCCCCAAGATGCACAACCCAAACTGATCGTCCGGCGTGGCCTTGCGGAAAGGCACGGAGGAAAGTTCCAACGGCGCACTGTAGGTACGAATGTCTGCAACCTCTAGCATCCCATCCAGACCTATCCTTCCCAATGAAAAAGTTTCAAATCGTCGATGAACCTGCACGGCATCTAGCACCTCCACCAAGCATAAGGCTACGAGGGGGAGATCCGTCGTGAGGGATAGAATCCGACAGTCCGGCTGCTTGTGCACTATTAGATTCAGGGCTGCGAGAAACCGCGCGTGAGCCTCAAATCCCCCCAGGTTAGTCACGGCGAGGACCCGGGTCAGAGCAGACGAGAAGGCCGAGTCGTCGGGGATTTGGGTAATGTCGGGCTTCCAGTTCACGCGCCCAATGGGATAGCGGGCCTCCCTGCGCTTCGGCCCTACGAAGGTGGTCATTTCAACATCGGTGAACTGGGCCACTGGTGCCTGTCGATGGTCTACTAAAGCCGCGGTCACATGGTGTTTGTTGAAATTGGTCACCGTGGATATGGCACAAATGCTGCCTCCGTCGTCGGCGGCCTTGGAGGCCAAGCGCATGCGGATCTCCCCGAGGTGTGTTGGAACCCGGGACACCATCCCTTGAATTGATCCACCATTGCATGCAATGGCACCAACCTGAAGAATTGTATCCAGCAGGACTGGGTGCAGGAAATATCGGGGGTGAGGCTGAGCGCCGCCAGGGATATCTGGGGCCAACGTCTGGGTTCGGGCTTCGGCATATAAGACCCCCTTGCAATCCGGCGTTTGGATATCATACATTTGTTGGAAGGTGGGACCATACTCGAGACCCAGCTGGGCACTAGTTCCATACCACAGATGGCGAGATTGAGGTGTCAGGTCGCAATTAGATGATGGGATCGAGTAAGTTGAATCGGGGGTGGAGTCAAGCCGGATCAGCCCCTTGGCCCGGATGGCATAGGAGCTATCCTCAAAGATGGTCGAGATCTGAAACTCCCACCAGTGCATGGAGCTCCGGACGTTGGAGAGCGGCAGCCGGCGAAGCTCCGTGAACAGCTCGACGGAGCCCTCATCCTCCAAGGGAAGCGCCTTCACCAAGGCCACATCGCGAAGCACGACACACTCGTGGCCCAAGTCCACCCCCGCAGGTAAGCCTTTTTGCACCAGGGCCTCTAGGGCCATTGCAATATAGCCCGTGGCCGGAAAAACAGCTGTATCGCCCAGTCTATGTTCTCGTAGCCAGGGTACGTGATCGAGACACAAGAGGTTGCGCCACGAGAACGAGGTCGGACTTCCCCCAGGGACCTCGGCCCCAAGGAGCTCATGTCGGGGATGTTGGCGATGGCGGCTCTCCCGGCTCGTTCGTGATTCGTTCCACAGTGGTTCCGCATAGTGCCAGGCATAGGTCGGCAGATCGTAGATAAATCTGGAGTTCCGATCGTGGGGGTAACTGACGAGAAGTTTGGAAAAGTCCACCTTGAATCCCTGCACGAAGAGACGACCGATGAGGTTAAGGAGGGCCACCGCGGAGTCCTGGCCACGATCGAGCGAGCTCACGTACGACGCGGACTGTCCCAATGTCTGCATAATTGGAAGCTTCAAGGCCGCGTGTGGTCCAATTTCAACCCATGAAGGATGCTTGACCAGTTCGGAGAGACCCGTTAGACCTTCGCAGAACCGCACCGGAGACTCCAGGTTAGATCGCCAGTAGGTCGTGGTGCGAGCTAGCTGGTACTCCAAGGGCTTGCAAAAGACGGTGGAGTACATTGGTATCTGGTGGGAAACAACGGTGGTGGACTCGTCTCTGGAAAAAATGGCGGCCTCGACTAGGAGCTGCTCATAGCCTTTGCCAACGCTCGCCATATGGTGTGAATGATACGCTTTCCCATCCGTCTTCAATATCCGGGCAAAGATGCCGTCGGCCTGGAGAGCAGCAATGATGGTCTCGATACCTTCCCGGTCACCACTAATCGTCACACTCGATGGTGAGTTGATACACGCCACTTGGATGGTGGCAGAAAGGTCGAGCTGCGTGATCCAGTCCAGTGCGGCCTTGGGGTTTAAACCAATAGCGGCCATGGCCCCGGACGGGGCTTGCTGTGTCACGGCGTACCCCCTGTAATAGGCGAGGATGATGGCTTCGCGAGTCGACAACAGACCTGCTGCGTAGGCAGCTGCTATCTCGCCTGAGGAGTGCCCGATCACTGCCTCAGCTCGGATGGACCAAGATCGCAACAGCGTTACCAGACCAATCTGAACGGCAGTGGTGATCGGTTGCGCAAATGCCGCCTGGTTGATTGGGCAGCAGTCCGAGTCATCTAACAAGATGTCGAAGATGCGCCAGTCCGGAGGATGTGGAAGACTGCTGAGGTCCGCATCCAGCTGACGGACCGTGTCGGCAAATGTGGGAAAGTGCAGCAATTGACGGGCCATGCCTTTCCACTGAGCGCCTTGTCCGGTAAATACGAAGGCCAACTTATCATCCACCAGCCCGCGGCCGGTTGTGGACAGTCGGAGGTTATCGACGTTGATATCTTGTGACATGGTCTTCGGGTGGGCAATCACGTAGCCACGGCGCGCCAGGTGAGATCGCCTTTCACCCAGTGTATAAGCAAGGTCTTGCAAGGATACAGCGGACAGGTTCAAGTGCGATAATCGTTCAACCCGACCTTCAAGAGACCGGAGATGGTTCGCAGAGAAGGGGAGTAGATACGGAAGGGCAAATTCGCCCAGCGACTGGTCCCCTGCTCCCGTTGTCCAGCCATTCGTATAGGAGACTTGATTCGGAAGACAGGTGGCTTCTTCCAGGATAGCATGAGCATTTGCACCGCCATAACCAAAGGAACTGACGCTGATGCGGTGAGGATGCCGGCCAGGGGATTGCGGAAAGGAGGACATGCGAGTGACAACCTCAACCCCCCATTCCTTGGCTCGAATTGCTGGATTGATGTTTTTGACGCCGATGGTGGCCGGGATTTTCTTGTGCTCTAACGCCAAGGTTGCTTTAATCAGGCTGGACAAGCCACTAGTCGCTTCGCCATGACCAAGGTTCGGCTTCACTGAGCCAAGCAGCGTCGCAGATGCCCGTTGGTATTTACGGAAGACTCGGGATAGGGCTTCCACTTCGACCGGGTCTCCAACCTTGGTGCCGGTTCCATGCGTTTCCACGTAGGCCGTTTGGCCTGGGTCCAATCCTGCTCTTGCATAGGCCTTGCGAACGACGGCCTCCTGGCCATCAATGCTAGGCTGTGCAATGCCAGGGGTGCGACCGTTGCTGTTAGTAGCAGTTCCACGGATGATCGATCGGACAACGTCGTGATTCCGAATGGCGTCGTCCAGTCGTTTGATGTATATCGCGTTGACGCCATCGGCACGGGCATACCTATCATGTCCCGTACCGTATCAGTCATTCATCACATTAAGGGGAAGGAAGATGAACTCAGGAAACTCACCCATCAGCCGAGGCATCAAAGGTGTGACACTGAGACGTTGGCGAAAGAACCCCTCCCTGGGAAACGGCAATGTGTAGGTCAGGAGATTGAATCAGGTTGACGCCCGCAACAACCGCAGCATCGCAATCGCCATTCTGTAACGCTGTACAAGCGAGGTGAAGGGCATAAAGGGACGAGGAACACGCCGTGTCCAATGTACAACTCGGACCTTTCAGATTGAAAACATGGCTGATGCGGTTCCCGAGGATGGTGACCCCCATCCCCTGATGGCTATGCAGGGTCAAGCTATTCGGATCCTTCGTCTGCAGGGCAATGTAGTCATGTGAGAACGATGCCACTGCTCATTTGGTGAGTGGGTTGCTTGATGCGTTGTATCGGAGATCGATGAAACAGGGACTCACTATAGACTCCCACATTGGCTCCGGAGACCTCATCCAGGGTCACTCCGGCACTCTCCAAGCTTTCGAACACAACCTCGAGTACCTTCCGCTGCTGAGGGTCCATGACGGCCGCCTCCCGATTACTAATCCCAAAGAACTCATTGTCAAAGTTTCGAATGTCTTCGCGCAGAAAATATCCGCCCCAGGGACGTGTGGTTGCTGGCTCATCGCTGCCGCCAATATAGCTCGCATTGTTGAAACGGCTTTTGGGGACCTCGCCTAAACCGGAGCGTCCTTCTGCCAGAAAGTCCCAGAGATGGGAAGGACTGGAAATGTCGCCCGGAAGCCGGCAGCCTGGGACGAATTGGGGTTCCAGTCAGCCGCCGATGCAGGTTGGCAGGCGCCGGATCATGGATGCGCACTTACCGATCCCGACTATGGCAATGGGGATGCTTCTTTCCACCCCAACCGAGGGGGGCAGGTGAACCCCTAGAGCGGATGGGCAACCTGGCGGATCCATTGCTCAATCTCTGGCTTATTGCTGTGAAACCGGGCTTTCTCCGATGGGGTGCGTATATATACTAGGTGGAATGGAAATGGCAGCCTTGCTGTTGACGCAGTTGGGGAAGAGATGAATGCGAGGCATCCGCTTCAATGCCTCCTGCGCAATGCGCCCGATGCGCTACTGATGACGGGCAGCCACATCTGAGGTACCACGCAGAGCTGCACGCATATGTTTGCTTGCTGAGTGGACGGCAAATAAGAAGCAGAAGACCCGGATGGAGGGAAAAAACTCTGCAGTTACACAACCGTCCCATAAGCAAACAATCCTCAGACAGAAGACGTCTTCACCGCAATAAACATGGCAAGCCAGTCACCATCCAACCACTAACAGTCCGTCTGTACGAACAGCCAGGATCACCTGCAGGTATTGCTGAATATGCTTAGCCCCCTGATGATCATCATTTCGCCTGCACATCAGCTGCAGCTGGTGCTGGAATGAGGAGAACAGAAACATAGCCACAGTCAGCGCGTCGACACAGGGCGTAAAGTGCCCTGGCCGTAGGATTGCTGCAAATATCACCGGATGACGCCCAGGCTACTGGGAACGGCATCTCGGGATACAGGACCTGGCTACCAGCGCATCACCAGCAAGTGAAATGCGGCACAAGGGACAGCATAGTGGAGTCAGCATGGCAGGTATCCGGTAGTGTTTGTTCACGGCCCGCGACGTGTCGTTAAAGGACCCTTGAGACTGCATGAGTCGGGGCTATACAGCAACCGCTTGCGAGATCATCATCGTCTCATATCATGCGAGCTCCCATTCGATCACCCGTAGTGTCTAATTATAACTGGATTGGGGTTGACAAGTCTAAGGGCTAGGATCTGAATGCCTACTTTACCTCTCGCACATGGATGACATGCTCTCTCACAATTCCCCTACATTTGGTGACTCCCGCATATGGCACTCCAAGTCCCCGACAACACGCCCGACCGTGGGCAGGGCGTTGTGCCCCTATCAATCACTCTAATTGTCCTCACAACGTTTTTCACTTTCTTCCGGGTCCTCAGCAAGTTTCTAGCCCACCAGGCCTGGTGGTGGGATGACCTCTTTGCCCTTATCGCACTGGTATGTGTTGTCAACGTCCACCCATCCATATCGTGTCCTAAACCTCGCTCACTCGTCCCAGCCGCTGCAACTAGTTACCCTCTCTCTCAGCTTCGTGTGGCGAAACATTGGTCTCGGCTACCACGAGGACGCTGTGGCCACTCTCAATCCCGAGTACATCACCGCCGGTGTCCGGTACCTCTATATATCGACCTTCCTCTTCGGTGGCTCCATCTGCGCGCCAAAAATCTCGGCCGTGTTTTTCTACGCCCGGGTTTTTCGTTCCACCAACCGCTCATTCCGTATCCACCTCTGGATTGTGGGTGGGCTTACATCGGGCTGGCTGCTAGCAGGCTGGATCGCGGCCATTCTCGAATGTCGCCCTGTCGCCAAGGTCTGGAACCCTACTCTACCGGGCACATGTATCGCCCTGTACCCATGGTACCTGTCAACCGCCATCCTTTCGTCTATGATTGACCTCTACATTTTGTTCCTCCCCATTCCCATGATCTGGGGCCTACAGGCCAGTGTGAGGCGCCGCATCTACCTGTTAGCTGCGTTTATGCTGGCTTACTCAGTCATCGTGGTGTCCCTTGGCCGGCTGGCCGCTGTTGTCCATGTCCTGCCCTCCATGAGCAAAGACATTACCTGGAAATTCATGGGGTATTTCTACTGGACTACACTTGAGGGGTCGATTTCCATCATTTCCATCAACGTCCCCAGCTGCATCGCTCTGGTACAAGCCCTGCGACAGCGCCGGCGGACATCAGTGGGAACTAAACCGACCAGTCTTCCGACCCCGAGTTCTGGGGTACGTAAAGCCGCCAGCTTTCGGGTCATGTCATGGCAAAGGGAACCCACTACTCGTGGGAGTGTCGACGGTCTGGTTTCAGATACGCAGGCCTGCGAGACGGAATATGAGTTCCGGCAGGACATGGACATTTCACTTGGCGAGATCCTTATCCAAACCGACATCCGGGTCAGCAGTAACATGTAACGACGGAGGGTAACTTGGTGGCGAGTTTATTGTATGATTCTGCACCATCTGGCAGTTACAGCTGCGGGCATGTCACTGTAAACTCCTCCGGTTGCTTATGTCTTCATGTGCATCTCTGCCCTCTGCTTATTTATTTGTTTATGTTTCGATCTTTATTTCCTCTTTTCCGCTGTTCTTCCTTTCCGTCTGTTATCCTTTTCTCTCTTCCTGCTTTAACCATCAGATGTCCCCTGCGCACCACGAAAGCCAATGAACACAATGACCAGTGAACGAAACCCTAACATGTCAAGCTGGCATACAAATGCCACAGAACTCTTTCCCCTTTATCCCCCTGCGAATAACGCCCCTGCCACACATGACCGTCCCACAATTCACCACTACCCCAGTACACATCTACATATATCATCCTTTGCAACACATATACCATTACTAAACCCAAGCACAACATCATACATTGTCCTATCTCACCGCCCCCAACCCCATCCAAAAATCACCTAACGCCCACTCCGCACCTCCAAAAGTCCATCCCCATCAACACCCAACACTTCCATCCCAGTAACCCACCACCAAAAAACCCCAACCCTAACACCCCCTCCTCCCCAAAACCACCTCATCCAGATACACCACCCCGCGATCATTCTCATTATCCTCCCCATCACACTCCGCCCCCACCGTCAAAACATCACTTCCCCACCTAGCCGTGAAATTCCCCTCACCGCCGTCCAACTCCCACTCGGATCAATCTCCGCCGATGCAATGACTCCACTCGTTGCATTTGACCCCGTGTAGGCAGTCACAGTACAGTCCTCGATTCCCCTGGATACGGGGACTTTCACTTCGATGGAGAAATCGTAGGCGGTGTTGCGGGTTAGGTTTGTGAGGGTTTGGGAGATTGTGGTTTGGGGGTTGTCGTTGTTGGGTTGGGTGGTTAGGTTTCTGGGGTGGTTAGTGCGGTGCTTGGGGTGTGGGGAAAGGGGAAAAGGGGGCTGACAAGGAGTATGTGCCATCATAGGCGGGAGTCCCGTTAGTTACTCGAACGAAACTGGGGTCGTTGGTGTACCAGGGGGAGAGGGAGCCGGATTCGAAGGATGGGTTGGTGAGGATGTTGCAGGTTGAGAGGGACATGATTGACTGCTGCTTAGGCTTGGGTGTGAGATTCTTGGATAGATGAAGGGAATAATTGGGATGGATTAGGATGGAGCTCTGGGTGGGAAGTATGGTTAAAAGAGGGGTTGTGTTATATGTATGACTGACTGCTAGATGATAATAGGGTTATCTGGATCGACAGGATCAGATTGATGTCATCCGGCTGGTACATCCGAGGCTATTTTGGGATTCTAGGGTTTTCGGGGGCTGTATTCCGGGTGACGCTATTGGTTAGATTTCGAGTACTTTTGAACGACGAGAATGGTCTTGTTAGATAGGAAATTTAAACATCGGGGTTAAGAATATATTTCCTCGGTTGGTAGAGCTGGTCCGGATTATTTGAACATCAGTCGCACCGGAAATGACTACAGCGTCATCACGTGATGTAGCAATCATGATGCGAAAGTTGCATGTTGTATTAGGTTGACTTAAGCTCAGACACATGTCAAAGGGTTTCCGTTTCACTGCTGGTCTGCAGAAGTAATATGGTGGTCCAGAGGTTTAAAATCCGACGGGGTAGTCGTAGTATCCCCAACTGCATTATATATGTCTGCTGGAAGAAAATCGAATACGGACCGGTCAAAGGCTCAGGGCATTGTGCTATCACATGACTGCCATTGTAGCAAATAACGATGAGGACTAACTAAATTAGTGATTCATGAATGCCACATGTCAGACTATACATGATGATGTCATTACAATGCATCGGTCGTATCACGTGCTTGAAGATACGAAAATCTCCGATATCCGGGCTCAAGTGAATAAATACCGAGATTCGATATAGCAATCTCCGAAGCTAAGAGTATGGCTATAAAGCTTATTATCTTTTCTTGTTGACGAGTGTCTTCACGCTATTGCGAAGGCTAAGCTCATGACATATGCTGTTGGGATCCCCGATGGGCTCCCACGCCGGTAGGCAACGTAGGGTCACGTGACGCTCCTCCCTACACCGCTAGTTAGTCCATATAGATGGCCTACGAGGCCCCTAGCTAGATCATCATCCATCGAATTCTACACGGTTGAATCGCCTTAGTAGCCACTCCAACATATGCTTATCTCCAACCAAACCACAGTCGAAAGATCAAAAGGGTTTAAACTCCGCAAGCTACGGTCACTGTGGAGCCGCAGACGCGTCGGTCCGTGGGGCAACAGCGATGAAGAGGATCCAACCACGCGGATCCGGATGGATTGTAGTATCGGAGATGTTGATCCCCCGCAGACACCTGGTAGGGAATTGAACCCATGATCAGTTATGATTTCAAGTGACAATGATTATTTCGAGGAGTCAAACGGTTATTAAGATCTAGGTTTTGACTGATTCCCCGGGGAAGTCTATTATCGTGATTTTTAATCATCGACTAAAATATACCCGCAACCTCGGGGGTGAGGGCGGGATTAAGCTTAGGATCTGCAGGGGAAAGCCGGCTTGACGAAACATCTCCTGCGTCATGTTCGAAGGATCAAAATTTATTAGGATTCGTCATGAGTCGTATCAGATCAGAGCAGTCCCGACGGGCTCCCGTGGTTGCTTTGATGATCGATGCGCCAGAGGCAGTTATAAATGTCTGCTGCCGTGCCATATCGAATAGAGCAGAGCATTGCTGAAATTACCCTTTTCCACTGAACATGGGTCTCAAATTTGGCCTTGCCGTCGGTGCTTCCCTTCTTACCGTGGCTAGTGCGCAGTTCAAGTGCAGTCTACCGGCGGGTGACATTTGCGCGTATGAAAATGCCACTACCTATCAGGCAGTCAATGCCCCCAATTGCACCACCCGTGGACTTCAGGCATTTGTGAACAGGCTCCCGGGTCTGAATGGGAGCGCCTTGACTGTTCCCTATGCTTTCTACATTGATAGTAATGCAACCTTGGAGGAGTTCACCGATTATGTCGGTGCTTCGGCCTTCACGACCAATATCCCGGCTGTGTGTGCTTTTCGAGTGAATGGCACTAATGCAGATGGTGCCAGTTGGGGTCTGGGTGCCCTTCTTCCCACCCATTTCAATGGTAGCATGATGTAAGTATTGTCGTTATATTCCTGCAATTCAAGCAATTGAGCATCACTAACTGCTACTAGGATGGCTGCCCCAGATTCTGGGTTGTCATGGGGCGTGGCGAGTGCAGGGCTCAAATACGCTTTTGCTACCTTCGCCACCAACTCGGGCCATGACGAGCCTGACTACGTTCCGGGCTGGGAGACCCCAGAGGGTCTCATCGATTGGAGCCACCGAGCCCTGCATTTGTCCACTCTCACTGCCAAAGCAATTGTGAAAGCATGGTACAATGTGGAACCCACATACAGCTACATCACTGGGTGCGGTGAAGGAGGTCGGCAAATCATGAAGTCAATTCAGACATACCCAGATGATTACGATGGTGCGATGGCCGGTGCTCCGACTTGGTGGATGACGCACCAGGCTTTCTACAGCGTCAAGCAGGAGACCCTCGGCGCTCCTGGTTCCAAATCTTCGATCCCGGAATCGTTGTATTCCGTCATCGGCGAGGAGGTCCTTCGTCAGTGCGATCCCCAGGACGGCCTCACAGACTCAATCATCTCCAGACCTCAAGGCTGCTTCTTCAACGCCGAAGCTCTCGCCTGCAACAGCACCCACACAACCGACTGTCTGACCCCGCCGCAGCTGGACACAGTCCAGAAAATCTACAGCGACTGGGTCACCTTCGATCAGGATCTCATCTATCCCCGCGCATGGTACGGTAGCGAACCCACCTGGAACTCTACCTTCGGCCGCTCTTCGGGATCATGGTACATTGAGAACGTTCTTGGCTTCAAGAACTTCACAGCCCAGGACTTGACCTATGAACTTATCGCAGAAGCAGATGCCCGTGATTCTGTTCACGCCAACGCAGACGAATTTGACCTGTCGCCGTTCTTCAACAGAGGTGGAAAGTTCTTCCACTGGCATGGCATGTCCGACTCGTTTGTCTCACCGGGAGCGAGCGTATACTACCATAACCAGGCTACATACGCTGCATTGGAGAAGGGAATTGACATTGATCAACATTATCAACTCTACCTGATTCCTGGCCTGGAGTACCCTCCCCCTCCCTTACATATCCCTCTCAAAGGCAAAAACTAAGGAAATATACAGACACTGCACCGGAACCCCCGACTGCATGGCAGCCCTATGGTACCTCGCCGGTCCCTACCAAGCTGGGAACTTCTTCAACTTTACGCCCGCCAATGTCGTCGACAACTACGTCCATGACTCATTCCTCACTCTTATCAGCTGGGTAGAGGGTAGTCATGCGCCGTCGTATATGGTCACAACTGATTTCAAGGATAACGTGGATCCTACTACGCTCTTGGATAACCGGAAAATATGCCCGTAAGTTATCCACACCAGTGGGATTAGAATACCGTTAACTGAGAATATAGATACCCGAGACAAGCGAACTGGACTCAGACTGGTGTTTCGACACATGAGGACTATTGGGATTGTATTTATGTGTAATCACCACGATGGAGTAGCCTGGGATTTCATCGGTTGTATAATGACATATAATGTCGAATTTCTCATCGTAGTACACATTCCTAACTTAGAAGGGCAAGTGCCTGAAATACCCCATCACAAATCAAGATGAGAAAGCTGCAGTATCATACAATACTGAATCAGACAAAAAGAGGAAAGAAGCTAGAATAACCTACGCAAACTGTAGCAATCACATCCCCACAGACTCACCTTCATTCAAATTCCACCGACGCCACCAAGCCGGATTCCATTCCCATTCCTCATCGGTAGGGCCAAAGTCTCCGACGAAGTATCTACATATAGATTCTGTTATCAGAAGAGTCACAAACCAATATAAAAACAAAATCATGACTAACACTTTACCAACACTTTCATCCCAAACCAGATGATTAAGACATCTGTCTAACCATTCCCGGACCCCGCAAGAAGTCATAGCGCTATTCATTATTTAAACCGTTAGCCATAAGACACTCTTCGCAGACATTTGCAACATCCCTATAGGGTTATTACGCATGGAGCTCTTAGGGGATTGCTGACATATAAGCCACTTTGAAAGCCTCGCGGACCGCCTCCTTCTTCTTGGGATGGAGGTTGTAGAAAACCCCCTCGCCCATGCATTTAGTCCCCAGCGGGACCCCAGGAACCTTTGTAAACCCCAAAAAGAATGTATAACCCCCCGGAACCCAGCTATACGGGTCTTGTTTCTCTTCCAAGGTGCCTAGAAAGGCGGGGGTATGCTGACAGTTCCCCTCCTGCAGACGAGAATACGCCGATAGCAAATCCCTGGTTATGAGAGAATCATTCTCGGTGGCTTGAAGGGCTCGAATGTCTGGTGCTGCGAATTCTGTTCCTTCAAAGGGGATCTGTAGAAACATTACGACAATAGCTTGGCAGTTGGTGTCATCGACATTCTCGCAAAGAAAGTCGATGCGAGTGTTGGGAACTCCACCCTCGTCTTTCGATTCCTCCTCGTCCATCTCAACCGGTTGTTCTTTTAGCTTTTCGATGGGGCGCCACTCGGAGATCACATCGTTGGTCAGGGTGATGGTGCGGGTCATCATGTTGGGAAGCATCCAAGTTCTCTGGGGTTGCATCTTGATGAGAGGGTGGGTGATCAAGCATTTGTCCAAGGTGGGAGGAGCTTGACGCGTGATGTTGTAAGTATATCCGTGTGGCGTAACACAAACGTGTGGCTATTGTGGCAGAATTCCCGCCGCCTGCGCTGTTTTCCGCTACCTCGGGCGCCAAGACTGATAGCCATGCTTGCCTTAGGCTCCAGTGCAATGGGTGACTTCGGATTCAGTCACTGGGGATGCGGAAGGTGAATAATGGTGCACAGACAAAAGATAGGACTCACTATCAGGGTGACCTTCTGTAGTCATAGCTTCGGCTGCCCCACCCCCGCGGTCACCTGCCGCATTGGATACGAACCTTCCCAAACTACGAAGTAGGTGCACATCACTCCGCACTGAGCTCTTCAGGGTTATAATACATGCCAGACAGCCATCAAGGGAGAATGAGTAGTTTTTGTCACTGATTTTTGTACTCCTGGAACTGCCAACATGACTTCCACAACACCCACCTTGAACGACCCCTCCCTATTGGTCGGGAAGAATTACATCAACGGACAGTGGGTCAAGGCGGCCTCAGGCAAACGATTTGATGTCACAGGTACACCATCCAACCGCTGTATCTCTCCATCAATTAACCATTCCCAGATCCCGCCAGTGGAAACATCCTCGGATCCTGTCCCGAGTCAGGCAGCGTCGATGCCGAGAAAGCAATTCGAGTTGCATCTGCTGCATTACCCTCATGGCGTTCCCGGACCGGTCGCAACCGCAGCCGGATTCTACGTCGGTGGTATGAATTAATCCTCGAGAACAAAGAGGACCTGTCTCGGCTCATCACCTTGGAGAATGGCAAGGCCAAGGCGGATGCCACGGGGGAAGTTCTTCTTGCAGCTAGCTTCCTTGAGTGGTTTGCGGAGGAGGCGGCACGGATCTACGGCGATGTTATTCCCCACAGTCAGCCTGGATTCCGGGTTTCGGTTTTGAAAGAGCCTGTCGGGGTTTGTGGTCTTATTACACCGTAGGTTGCATCTTTGTTGGTTCTTACTAAAACTGGTTGATGCTGATAATGAATGTTTAGATGGAATTTCCCCGCTGCCATGGTCATCCGGAAGCTGGCCCCTGCCCTAGCTGCCGGCTGCACAGTGGTTCTGAAAACAGCTGGTGAAACACCGTTTACTGCCAATGCCTTGCTACAGCTGGGTGAGAGGGCTGGTGTGCCTGCAGGTGTCATCAACAGTGTGAATGCCCTGAACAATACCCCTGAAATTGGACGGGTGCTCTGTGCCTCGGATGTAGTGCGCAAGATGTCTTTTACGGGGTCCACCCGAGTGGGAAAGCTGCTCATGCAACAGTCGAGCAATACGTTGAAGAAGCTTAGTTTGGAGCTTGGAGGAAATGCCCCATTTATTGTGTTTGAAGATGCAGACCTCGACATTGCCGTGGACGCTGCCATTACTAGCAAGTTCAAATCTTCCGGTCAGACCTGTGTGTGCTCGAACCGGATTTTTGTTCAGAAGAGCATCTATCCTGAGTTCATTCGACGGCTAAAAGATGCTGTTGGCAAGTTCCAACTGGGCCATGGGTCTGATGCGAAGACGACACATGGGCCGTTGATCACGTCTGGTGCAGCAGAGAGAGTCGCCAGTTTGGTAGACGATGCCGTCCAGCGTGGCGCAAGAGTAGAGATTGGTGGTCACCGTCGGGGCGATCTAGGTAAGTGCATCAAGCTATCTATCAACAGCACCTACTAATTGGTTTCAGGGCCAAACTTCTTCGAACCCACCATCATCACCAATGTCACCCCGGATATGCGAGTGGTGAGTGAAGAGATCTTTGGCCCTGTGGCACCAATCTTTTCGTTCGACACGGAGGATGAAGTGATCGCTATATCCAACAATTGCGATGTCGGGCTGGCTTCATACATCTTTACACGTGATGTGACGCGTGCCAATCGAGTATCGGAACTGTTGCAGTTTGGCATGGTCGCAATCAACGCCGGTGTGGTGTCTGACGCCGCCAGTCCGTGAGTTCCCCCATCTCCCCCAGGTTTCTTGGAGTCATTCATTGATCTTTATATAGCTTCGGAGGTATCAAGCATTCGGGCATTGGTCGGGAAGGCAGTAAATACGGGATCGAGGACTATCTGCAGACGAAGACGGTGGTTACTGGGAATATCCATGTGATGCATAAATCACTTCTATAGGGTTCAGCAGAAGATCAAATAATCCAACATCACCAACAAAAAAGTCAGGGATGAGGCCCAGAATATGTAACGCAAACCATGGACTTGAAATATAAAATCTTTGTGGACCATTATACTAGTCCTTGACAGTCATATTGTAAGCCTGAGCCTCACGATATATTCAGCGTAAACGAATTTGCTATTCGTGCAGGGCGACAAGACGAACCATCCAAACTTTCTCGCATAAATAACACTTGCAATTATTAGGCCAGAGATACCAGGTTCTGTGATTGCAGATTCACCTGTTGTGACAACCACTCTACTTTCGCAGGGCAACAAAACCCAGTCATGTGATCGGGATGCCTCCAGCAAAGCAGACATAAAATCTCCCCACTGAATGCAGTCTAACCAAACAGTAGCTCTTCCAACCAACCCATTCGATTTCGTCGAACAGCATATTTCCCAACTTTGAGATTTAATTCGAATGTTGACGAATCTAGCTCTCTAAAATCCCAGTAAATCGAAATGGAATGCCAAGTGGGAAAACCTTCCCCGGCACTGCCAGATTCGATACGTCAAGCACGGGCCACCCGATAAGCTTGCCGCACGGGAGAGTGACGTCGATAAGATCCGCCACGTTGCCGGGGAGACTTGCCACGCCCGGGATCTCCTGCCTTGGCATCCCGGCTGATGGGCCAAATGGCAAGACATAGTAAGCCCTGGCGTTCGGTCAAATCATATGTTATGAATGAGTACCAATCTAATCTGGACAGTAATTAGTCATATACATACTCTTGACTCTGATCTCTTCTGTTTCCAGACCAGCCCTGTACCCTTACATCTCCCAACCACGGGTATATACATTCCAACCCCATCCATCCACCCTATACCACTACCACCAACACCACCACCATGTCCCCCAAACCCGACTCCCCCAATACCAGTACCACCAACGACCCTCTCACCCTCCCCGAAGTAGAACACGCCGCCAAAGCCCGCCTCCCATCGCACATCTACGAATTCTACGCCTCCGGATCCGACCAACAAAATGCCCTCGCCCGCAACGAAAAAGCCTTCGACCGGTACCCTGCCCCCAATCCCCCCCCCAACAACCCTCACTAACCCCCCAACCAGCCTCTTCATCCGCCCCCGGGTCCTACTCGACGTCTCCAAAATCGACACCACCACCACAATCCTAGGCCACAAAACCGCCCTCCCCATCGGCATCGCCCCAAGCGCCATGCAGCGGCTCGCAGGCGGCGAAGGCGAAATGGATATTGCAGCTGCAGCCGCAAAAATGAAATTGAATATGACGCTATCTTCTCAATCAACTACCTCGTTAGAGGATGTTGCTGCGACCCGCAAGTATATGAAACCAGAGGCAGGGGGGTTAGCTCCCCCGCCGTTCTGGATGCAGATTTATCTGTATGAGGATGTGAGGAAGAGTGTGGGGCTTATTCGGAGGGCGGAAGGTAAGCTATACATACACTTATTTCTTATATATAGGTAAAGTGGAGGTGTGCAGTGCTGATAGGTAGTGAATGGTGATAGCGGCGGGGTATCAATCCCTTGTTTTGACAGTTGACACGCCCGTATTGGGTAATCGGCTCGCGGAACGACGTACCGCGGTTGTGTTACCGGAGGGAATGTCACTTCCTAATCTGGTTGATCCCTCAACAGCTACATCAGCACCGAAATCGAGATCCCAACCAAGCATAAACCGCCAACTAATGAATGCCCGCACCGCCCTCGAAGCGGAACATCTGCGTCTCACCGCGGGAAACAAAATGCATAGCGCAAGTCTGACCTGGTCGACCACAATCCCGTTTCTCCGGAGTGTGACGAAAATGAAACTCATTCTTAAGGGGATAATGACACCTGAGGATGCAAAACTGGCTGTACAGCACGGTGTCGACGGAATTATTGTGTCGAATCACGGCGGGAGACAGCTCGATGCGACGTGTTCGACTATCGAGGCGTTGCCGGAGATAGTGGATGCGGTGGGGGGAGCCATTCCGGTGATTTTGGATGGTGGGGTGCGCTCGGGGGCGGATGTGTTTAAGGCGTTGGCGTTGGGGCCGATTTTGTGTTGATTGGGAGGCCGGTGTTGTGGGGGTTGGCGGTTAAGGGGAGGGAGGGGGTGGAGTTGGTGATGGATATTTTGGAGAGAGAGTTGAGTAGGACGATGGCGTTGGCGGGGGTTAAGGGGGTGGGGGAGATTAGGGGGGAGAGGATGGGAAGGGGAGGGGGAGGGAGAGGTTGGGGGTTGTGAGGGAGGGGGGGTTTGGGGTGAGTAAGCTGTGAGTTGTCAGTTGTGGATTCGGGGGTTGGGTTGGATACTATATATGTTTTGGGGTATTTGTGGTTTGGGTATGTACTAGTAGTTGGGGATAAAAATGGGGAGGGGAATGTGAATTGAAGATTGAACATGCCTCTCGTATAGGTGGTATCTGATGGTGGTGGGTGTACCCGCTGGGTTGTATCAGTAAGTTTCCATCTTGAATGCAGATTATCCGATAGCAGGGTGTTCTTAGAAATAGGTTCGGTCTATTGGTAAGAATTTAGATTGCCGGTCGGATGACCTTCTTTGTGGTTTAATACGGGGAAGGTCGAGCGAGGTGGTCTGGATCGGGATTCTGGGCGGTTCTAGGGGTTTTCAAGGAGGGTCTGTGGATAATTAGGTGGCACTTGTACTGGAAAAAGGGTGAGCTTCTTGTGTCTGTGGATGGGTCGTGCCTTAATACCTGATGGGATTTGCTATGGAAAGGCTTGTGGCCGGGTTGGGTGGATCGGTCGGTGGGTAATGGTAGATATTGTGTGAGTAGAAGATTCAGTGTGTAGGTCGAAATGGCTATCATTTCATAATCAATCAAGAAGACCTTACGCTACGAGCACGAGGAGTGACCAGACTACGTATGAGAGAAATCCGCAGCGATCAAACAGACCCTCATTGCATCAGATGATACCCAACTAGCACTGCTGCCCAGCAACCTTAGCCATATACTCCTCATACTCCTTAATATTAGTCACCCCCTTAGGCATACCATTCACCTGCAGACCCTGCTCATCCATCAGGCCCGCCCGAATCTCCATGGTCTTTTTCCACGACGGCCGATCTACCATGCGCTTATGCCACGCCTGAACATTCGGGTATCCTGCGAGGGGATCCTCTCCTGGGGCTGTAAGCAGCACCATATCGAGACGGGCATTCCAAGGGAGGAATGCCAGGTCGGCGAATGTACATTTATCGCCCACGAGCCAGGTCTTGCCCTCCAAGAGTGTATTGAAAACGCTCAGCAGACGGTGGACTTCTTTGGTGTAGCGATCGATCGCGGAGGGCAACTTTTCGGGATGGAGAGTGTTGAACCTGGAAGAGGGAACGGTTAGGGTTGGGGATAATGGTGCTGTAAGAGAGTAGGGTGACGAACCATCCGCATTGTCCGAAGTATGGACCCTGACGCTCATTTGAAAATGCAGATATTGGTTGAGGAGATGTTTCTCGTTGAGGGAGTCGTAGGTGAGTTTCTTTTCGGTGTCGTAGACTTCCTCTAGATATTGAATGATAGCTCCGGACTCCCAGAGGGTAAGGTTCGTGTTGGGGTCGACAATTGCTGTGTGGTATAGTTAGGTGGTTGAATTGTGCATAGGTGGCCAGCCGGGCTCAATGGAATCGGGGAGAATGCAGTGGTCACTAACCTGGGACACGACCATTGGGGTTGATGTCGATGAATGGGGGCTTTTTGACATCGTCGAACTTGAAAGATTCAATGACGTAGGGAACCTGCAATTCTTCCAGAATAGTAATGACCTGGATGCAGTGGGCATACGTTAGTTCTGCATTCATGCAAGTGATTGCCACTGGCTCTGACCTTCCAGGCATTGGGACCGGGAGCTACCGCACACATTAGCAGACCACAGGAGTAAACAATCACAGATGGACGGGATTGCGTGGCATAGAATAACAAGGGTCGGCTTACGGGTCAACCAGACGGTGATGGGCTTGGTCATGGTGTCTGCTTGGTGCTGAGATGATAGCTTGGAGGAATATCACACTGCAGGATTGTGTAGGGAGTGATGGCCTGGTAGAATGGAATTGTGGGAGGCTCGTTGATATATCCTGTTCGACTGACATTATTTGGGCATCGGGGCGGGGTGTTGCCCTCCGCGGCAGCCGCCAGCAAACCGGGTGTAATGCTTGTTTAGTGGGAACAAAATCAGACAAGGCTGTCGTTTCTTTGTTCGATCCTTGTCTAGTTTCATGCTCCTGTCCGGAAAGCTGCCCCGTGGGCGTTGTTTGCTCAGTTTTGGGGCGGATGCACATCGACTAGCATTTGCTTAGTGCTTATCAACGCCACAAATATTCCACGCGGATTGATCGACCATGAAGAGAGTACCCCATGGGTCATCGGTTGATTGGTCAGGAACAGGGGTCAAGATTGTTGGTTCCGTAGCGCGACGTGTATGGTACGCCCGGGTATTGGTCACCGACGAAAGATACGGATACAACCGGATACAAACATTATGTTGTTGCTTGCTTGGGGCTGTGGTGCTGACTGCACCAATTTAGATAGAGAAGACTGGATTCAAAGATGTAACAGAATTGAAAAGCAAGTATTACTCGCTGCTAGCAACGTGTGTCCCCAAAGACGATAACGACTAACAGCAGTGGGTCCCAAGACTACTATCATATTAGCCCTGGATGAACAAAGACAAATTCATGTGATACAGTGTTACCGGGTCAGTCACCACCCCCCCACCTGGAAATCGTGCTCATCCAGAATTTCCCATCATCGCCGCAAGATGCCGGCCAGCACATGCCCAGCTCCCAGATCCCCACCGAAGTGCCTATCTATACACCCCTTTGAATGGACGTGATATGTGGTAGGCATGCAGAGCATAATACTTGTCATTCTCGGGATAAACTGTATCATCCAACGACCGACTATAACTTCCCACGCAGATGAGCATATTCACCTGGGTCTTCGGTAGCATACAAGATCGATCCCACGACGCCAAATTCGCATTCGGATCATACTCATCGGACTATCGACATTGTTGGGATAACCTCTACCTTCCACATCAGTAGCATACCAGGATATATCTTTTTGTCTATGTGGTCGAGGCTTTGGCGGGAACTAAGTGTCGGTGACCACTTGGCAACTGACCCCTATATAGTATGGAGACTCCTTCTATAGCATGATGGACAGGACCCGGCAGCGTGAGTACAATCCATAGAGAATTTGCAACCACAGGTGTTACATTCATAGATTGCTCTCTTTGCTTGTTGGCTCTTTGCCTGATCATATTGAACTTGGAAGAGATCACACCCAAAACCAACCGTTTCCCGCAGCGCCCGCTTGAATTCTTCTTCCTGCATAAAGGTATCAATATGTTGCATGGCTATGTTGACTAGAGGGTCTCGAATGCCTCTATCCGTCGGCATTGTGGTCGTGTATGCTTCCTTGATTGCGGAAACAAAGGCATCACTTTTCCAGTCCCTTTTGACATCCTTCACAAATGTGCGTTTGGCCGCGTCTTTAAGGCCGGGGATCTCGTATTTGTCTCCGATCCGGTAGGCTTTCACGTGGAAGAGTAGTGGAGGGATGGTGTCGGATCTGGGGGTGTAGCTGAATCCGTACATGAAGCGGAGCATTTCCTCGATGATCGCGGGATCGTCGTCATGGAGGTCAATGAGGTTTTCTTTGGTCTCCTGGATAGGTTAGCGCAGTTATTATGCTGTAAAATCACTATGACTTACTTTCCATGGACGTTGAAACATGCGGGAAAAATGATTAGACTGGGATCCAAGAATTATCTTGTGTGCTTTGAACTCGCGATCCTTGGTCACAATAGTCATATCCGACAGGAAGGAGGAATCAAAGTATCTGCTTCTTTCAGCATAGCAATCAATTGAGCAAAATCGGGCACGAACTGCCGGGGACTCGGGGGAATATCCTCCCGTGGGACAGTATCATCACTCATCGTGGCGATACCGCTGTGGTTTGAACGAAGTTGCAGGAGGAGAAGTTGGTGGTGGGGGGAGATTCTAAGGAATATTGTAGACCCGAAACGTGACTTAAATACTCGTCATAGGGCGGATGAACCCCCCAACGCATACGTAGTTCTTTGCGAAAAGGTACGGTTTTGGATCGTATTATGATTCTAGACCTTTCAAATTCCACCAAACCCACCCACCGCAACCGCCCTGTCCCCCGCATTATCCAGTCCCCCAACATTTATTCATGGTGTTTTGAACTGGTTCTGATTATAAGAAAGGAATGACTGTGCATGACTACAGTATATGTCTTGTTCCTTTTTTCTCTGTTTCTATTTCATTCGGTCAGGATATAATCCACGATCTTCCGGTTGCTTACAGGAAATATATATAACCCGACACAACAACCAAAGCCAGGGCCTAAGTTCGATAAACAACATCAAAACTCAACAAATAAATATTCCAACCTCAAGCCTTCCACCAACAATAGCGATCAAAACAGAAAATAGAAGAATAAAACCCACAACCCACGCAAACCTCAAATCCCCCCAACCAACCCATCCACATCCACACGCACCACCCCCTCACCTCCCCCACCGTCTCCTCCCACACCCTCCCCCGCACCACCCGTCCCCTCTCACTCCCCACCAACCCCGCAAACGGCCCCAATCTACAATCACTCAAATACCTCCCATCCGACTCCTCCCCCGCCAACACAACCGCATGAACCAGCGTCCTCGCCCCCATCGCCGTCGACCTCCCCACCACCCGTTTCACACCAGCAAGCACCCTCCCAAACACTCCCCCAGCCGAACGATGTAACTCCGACCCGTAGCAGAACCCAGGGTTAACGAGGTTAAGAATCGCCCCCGTTGATCGCTGCGCGGCGGATCGATGGTTGGTATACAACTCGACGAAGAAGAGCTGGTAGAGTAGTTTGGACGTGTAGTATCTATCTCCCATATCGAAGTTGGAGTCATTGTCTAGGGCTGAGAGGAGGGTGGTTTGGGATGTGGTTGATATCTCGGCTTCGGTGAATTTAGCCCATGCGGCTGTTTCGCTGCTTACTATTGAGAGGACTGGGCGGGGGGAGTGGGGGTTGTTTGTTGCTTGGGTGTCGAGGATGGGGAGGAGGAGGAGGGTTAGTAGGGCTGTGCTGAGCCAGTTTATCTGGATGGTGGATTCGTGGGAGGTTGATGGGTTGAGGGTGTAGGTGAAGTTGGCGATGCCGGCGTTGAGGAGGATGAAGTCGAAGGTGAGGGTGGAGGATTTGACGCGGGAAATGAAGGAGATTATGCTGGGGTAGTTCGCCATGTCTAGTTCCCAGATCTCGATGGTGGGGGGTTTAGTTGTGGGGGGGAGTGAGGCGAGGAGGGATTTCCGGGCGGCTTCGCCTTTGGGGATGTTTCGGACGGCGAGGATTAGGTGGGAGAGACCGAGGTGTAAGAGTTGAACGGAGGCTTGGTAGCCTAGACCGGTGTTGGAGCCGGTGATGATTCCGGTTTTGTTGTCGAGGGAGGTGCTGGATGGGGCTTTGGGGGGGCAGACTAGGAATTGCCGGTAGAGGAAGCCGGGGTAAGAGTTGTAGAAGGTCATTTTGATTGTTCAGGCGGATGGATGGGAGTGAGATGATGGGAGGGAGGGAGGTGTCATCTTGGTGTTTATATGTGTTTGGGATGGGCTGAGATGTAGCAGGAGGAGTATAGTAAACTGACAGTGCCGTTCCAGTGCCACGTGGGGTGCAATCGACGGTGCCGTTCCAGGCTCTGATTGGCAGCCTGGGAACGCCAAGGCCCGGAAGGATTGCCGAATTGACGGTGCCGTTCCAAAAGCTGATTGGTCAATTGTATGGCCGAACACACTCAGACAGATCCACCCGGACGAACTGATCAAACAGTCAAACATCAACCGGAAATACGTTAATGCAATGAACCTCGGTACAACGTCATTTATGCTCCAGATTGCTAAGCGCGATGACCTCATGACAAATCAACTGTGGAGCCATATCAAACCACTACACTTAAATCCTGCAGACCCCTGTCAGCACTCAATTCCTCGATCAACCAATCACCCAGATACCAAGACATACACAATGAGTCTCCCTACCACATTTAAGGCCGCCGTGGTCCCTGAACCCCATGCCCAACATACCATCGCGGACCGCTGTCTCCCCGCGTTGGAATCCAACCAAGTCGCCATCAAGATCACTGCCACGGCCGTCAACCCCGTGGACTGGAAGATTCGCGACTATAATGTTTTCCTGAAGGAATATCCCGCCGTGCTGGGCTCCGACGCTGCCGGTGAGATTGTCGCCACGGGGTCAAATGTGTCCACCCATGCCGTCGGCGACCGGGTCTTCTTCCAAGGTATCATTGGAAACTACCCCGCCTCGACTTTCCAGCAATACTGCATCATGCCTGCTGAACTCGTCTCCAAGACCCCCGCCAACATCTCCGACGACCAGGCCGCTGGAATTAGCCTGGCTTCTATCGCAGTGGTGACTGGTTTCTATGATCAGACCGGCCACGCAATTGCCCCGGCACCGTGGGCAGAGAACGGCACCGAGGCTGGTAAGGGCAAAGCCATTGCCATTATTGGCGGTTCGTCGAGTGTAGGACAGTACGCGATCCAATTTGCGCGGTTGTCCGGCTTTGACCGCATTATCACGAATGCCAGTGCCGCGCATCACGAGTTCTTGAAGAGCCTTGGCGCGCATGTGGTGCTTGATCGGAAGACTGCCACAGCCGAAGAGTTTGTGGCTGCTGCTGGCGATTTGCCGTTGAGTTATGTATATGATTCGATTTCGGTCAAGGAGACGCAGAAGCTTGGCGTTGAGATTGGACAGGCGAGCAAGGGTGCGGCCAACCGGGTTGTGACCGTGCAGTTTGTCGATCAGGAGGCCGCGCAGCTGGGTCAGTCGAAGGAGCCCAAGGTCGAGATTAAGCAGATTCTGGGACTGGGAAGTTCTCCCGCTTTGAGGCATTTGAGTGAGCCGTTTGCTAAGGCTATTGGTGGTGGGTATGGATGGATCGCCAAGGGTTTGTTTGTGCCGAACCGGGTGCGCTTGATCCAGGGTGGTATTGGTGCTGTCGAGGAGGCGTTGAAGACGAACAAGGACGGTGTGTCAGGAGAGAAGGTTGTCTTCCGTCCTAACGATGCTTAGGTGTTTGTTGATGGGAATACTTTCTGGTATATAATGTTTGTATAGTAGTGGAGTAAATATATATGATCAGTACTACCAAGTCATACTCCATGATGATCGATATGGTAGAAAAGCCCGTAGCTCTGGCTGGTCAAGACACTGTGAAGAGCATTGATCATGGAATAACAGGTATATTTTGGTTATTTATTGTTAAGATACGGTCTTCATTCCGTCTGTTCTCCGTATGGCTAGCGGTATATCATTCTAGCGTACTGGTAAGAACGTGACATTTATCATCTGATATGACATACAATGTTAATATCTACTGCTTCATCCTTCAGAAGGGGAGGGGGGTGAAGAAGTAACTAGCTAGAATATTCTTAGAACATATATAGTCGGACTGTAGATCTGGATCAAGTCTCGCATTTCAGGGTGTTTGGCAGAGCTCTTTGAAAGCCCTTGATTGAACCGTTCAAAGGCACTTGTTTGGACCCTTAAAAAACGCCTGGTTAGGTGCTCTGGAGGGAGTTGTTTATATATACTTAATAAAGGACTTTGCGAGTGCTTGGTTAGATCCTTTAGAAGACGCTTAATAGAATTCTTCAGTAGCGCTAGACTTCTTTAACCATACAGAAATCCTTAATCACATTCTTCTAAAGATACCTTACTCAATACTTACGAAGGAGCTTCACCACGGCCTTCGGCTGTCCACAGGCCATGACCTAGTTTGTAGTTGAGGTATTAAGAATAATTCGGGTACTTACTTTCCAGTAATTAAAAGTCCTACTCGAGGCCTTATTTAAGGCTCTGATGAAAGCTCTAAGTCTCTACATAGTTCTCTGTATAAAGTCTTGTGTGAAGCACTGTATGCAGCCCTGGATGAAGTTCTATATAAGGCCATATATGGAATATTGGATAAAGCCCTGTGTGAAGCGTTGTATAACTTACAGTCTTGGATAAGGTCCTATACGATGCCCTGTACGCGATATATTATTAAGAATGTAGCCTGACTGATGTGGCTGTATCAACAACATGGCATGATGTCACAGACTGTGAGTCACTCCTTAGGTCACATTAACATCACTATTGTCACTATATTCACAGTTTATATCTAATATTCATGACTATCTTTCTCTAGATTTCCTGCCATTCTTCAACTCTTCTTTCCCTCCTCCCCAACTACCCTCCCCACCAATAGCACCTCCCCTCTCTTTCTTTCTAACCATTATCGCTGAGTCTTGGACCCACGCCTCTTTCCTAAGCACATTCCCACCATCACTTCTAAACGCAAACACTGAGGGAGCACTACCACATCCACCGACACATGCTGATCTTCTGACACCATCTTGACGTGTCGGTAACCTTCCTAATCCACCCAAGGCTCTGGAACCTGTTTTCGAACATCTGGAAATCCATAGAAAATGGCACCGCTCACGGTCGAGGACTTCCGGCACACGTTGGCGGCCGCGACTACACCCACGTGTACTCGCTTACTGTCCGATGGGAGCTTGATGACACGGAAGCAGCTGAGGACGCCTTGAACTTCCAGAGGATGCTGCAAGAATTAAATGTTGCACCTGCCAGCGAGCACATCATTCTGCACCTGGACTCGAGCCCCGGACGAACCTTCCAACAAGCCCTCCTAGACTTTATCGAAAATTCCGTCGCCAAGTCGGACAGCGAACATAATCTAATCATACTTCACTATGCCGGCCATGGCATGATGAAGGGGGGAAGTCTCACCTGGGCTGAGACTAGTTGGGCGAAGAAACTCCTGAATGCGGATACTTGTCTGCTCAATTATATCAACGACGCGGTCATTTCGGACTCCGACCGTCTCGATGTTTTGTTAATTCTCGACTGTTGTTATGGCCACGGGGCCACTCGGGCTCCCACCCTCCCACGTAGGGTGGTGGAGGTGATAGCTGCCACGAGTACACGAACGCCCTTGACAGGATTGGCCCCCAACAATACCTTGACTGCCAAAATCGCAGCGGAAATTACTCGCCGAAGGCGGAGTGGTCACCGTCATGTTGAATTCACCGACGTCTTTCAAAGTTTGAAGTCGCGTGGGGACACCATCCGTCCTACTCATAGTTTGCTGGTCGGAGTTGCTTCTGTCCTTTTGCCCCTTAACGGACCAGGAAACATTGACCCCGCCAGTATTCCCCCGACTACACAGCATTGTTTAGCGTGAGTGTCTCGCAAGACCTGACGACGGATGAACTGAGGTAGCTGAGCGCATGGGTGCGCAATCTCCCGCGTTCTACCGGCTTGACCATCGAGAGAGTCTATCGAACCCAGTCAATGTGCTTGATTATGCGCTCGGCTCTGTCGGTCTATGCAAAGTTGCACGGGTTGGAAGGTTATGCTTTGATCGCCGAAAATTCCAGCCCACCTCTCAATCTGAATGGTCTCCTGCAACCTAGTCCGTGCTCCACTGCACCCAAGAAGGAGAATTTCGGATTCGGTGGGGGGAAATGAGGATTTTCTTTCCAAATGTTATCGGGTTCTTCGGTGTGGCAGACGTCCCTTTTGTTAGAAAAACAAATTTTCTTTTTTTATTGCCAGAGCTTGCTTCTTTGCTGGTTCCCGGTTCGGGTCCAAGGGGATTGGGTGTGCGACAAGCAGAAGTAGGAGATGAGAGCGCGGTTAGTTTTCGGACAAAGATAGCTTCAAAATATGCATCACCATTAGTCAAGAAATCTCTTAGTTGTGAATCCACAAGTTTACATTGATTGAAGAAATCAGCAATTTCATTGATATAGCAGAAAAACCAGCAGCTTTCACATGACAAGATGTTGAAACCGCTTTGTGCATGGTGCAGCAGCAATATCATGCCTCCCAAAGAGAGAAATAGTACATACGACCACAGGGTGTGGAAAACAGGGCTTCCCGTCCGCTCAGCCGTACTTAAGCCACACGCCGGGAGGTTAGTAGTTGGGTGGGTGACCACCAGCGAATCCCTTCTGTTGTATGTTTTTATGCCTTTTATGCTCTCTTTTGTGCTTCTTTTGTTTCTTTTTTGCACTCTTTGAACATCGCACCTCTCCTTCATCTGAGCCGCAAGCCATTATTGGTCGTCCCCTTCGGAGTTATGCTGCCTTCGGACCTCGATTTGAAGCTTTATGTGAATGTGTCGCATTGTGCTTGTCAGGTGCTAATGTTAAAGAGCAAACAATACTCATTAAACAGATTGTTTCACATCAATGTCGGGATGAAGCCTTGGGACCGAAGTCCACTCTGCCCTATTGAGATCTTGGGCTGCTTGCTACCTCTCTTCTCATCCTTGATGACAAATATGTCTATATCGATCGAAATGCTGTCATTGGGCCATATGGATCGTAGATTGGTTCTCGAAAATGCCTAGCAGCACAGACTGTTGCTAAGAGCACTGGCGATGGAAGGGCATAACAGAACCCCATGCAAGGGGTGAATCCTGTGACAGTGATAGCCCTGATACTTACCCGGGTTGGACAGATACGAATCGTGCTCAACAAAGGGAGGCTTGATCTTGAATAAGGGACTAAGTACACCCTGTCTTCAAGGCTTAGGGGTATTAATAAGGTTAAGCCCGGCAAGTGAGATATCTTCGGTAGCCCTTTAGCAGTGGGTTTGTGGGAAGCTTCTGCTAGGAAAGAGATCCGTGGGGCGATCCTCTACCGGGCTCGTCTGAATCAATGACTACGATACCATCTCCGGTCCCGGAAACGTTTATTCCATAACCATCACTGTGAAAGGGGTGCCACAGACCCCTTGAGTGGGCGGCTCGTACCGAACCAAGGAGCCATGATCACCCACATCGTCCCAAGGTAGGCCTGAGACAGTTGTTTGCAGCCCGGCTTGGCAAGAATGTTGCTATCGGAAGGCTTTAAAGCAGGGGGGGCCAGCGACTGACACAATAATAGAAGACAATGATTGCACACTCCACAGCATCTGATGAGTTGGACATTCCATCTGGCAATTTTCCTGGGGTACTACGCTTCCTGCGTGAACGGGTCTCCATGGGTCGATCTGGGTTATTCTCGCTACCGGGGGGTGCGACTACCTGTTGGGGCTGATGAGTATCTTGGTATGCGATATGCAGCACCTCCCCTTGGTGAAAAAAGATTTCGGGCACCGGAAGAGCCGGTCAAAACATCATCCATCCAGGATGCCTTCGAGGTAAGCAATTCCCTTCCCATTGCCCTCGCAATGGGTGTTGATGTTAAGCTATGGTTTAGTTTGGACCAACGTGCATTGGCGTTGGAGAGGAGATCAGCCCACTCGTGGGAGAAGACTGTCTGTTCATCAACGTGTTCACATTATCCCACGCAAGCCCCCACTCCAAGTTACCGGTCTGGGTGCATATTCAAGGTGGCGGCTACGCGTCCAATTCTAATGCCAACTTCAACGGTACGAAAGTTGTTCAGCAATCGGGTTACGATCTCGTCTTTGTCAACTTCAACTACCGCGTCGGAGCCTTGGGGTTCCTAGCCAGCGAAGAGGTGCGGCAGGATGGAAATCTGAATGTGGGATTGTTGGACCAGCGACAGGCTCAATCCTGGGTGCAGCAACATATAAGCAAGGTGGGTCAAGGCTGAACCTGCCATGCACACGCTCTGACCTGCTATAGTTTGGCGGGGATTCAGACCATGTTATCGTCCATGGCGATTCAGCAGGTGCAGGATCCGTAGCCCATCATATGACAGCATATGGAGCCCGTGACGACGGACTCTTCGCTGCTGCAATTCTCGAGTCGCCGTTCTGGCCCACGCTGCGCACAGTCGCAGAGATGGAATTCCAGTACGCGCGATTGGTGGATCGCGTGGGTTGCTCTGGTGCAGCTTCTGCATTAGCATGTCTTCGATCCATGAACCTAACAACATTGAAGAAAGGCAATGTGGTAGATTCATTTCCCGGAGCTGCCCAGGACCCACCACCGCTGTGGTATTTTCTGCCTGTCATTGATGGCACAATAGTACGAGACCAGTTGTCAACACTCTTTGATCGCGGCGAGATGTTCAAAGTTCCACTACTCGTGGGTGATGATACAAACGAGGGATCGACCTTTGCCTACAACGCTGCCAACGCATCGGATATGTCGCGATTTCTCAGCGCCAACTACCTAGGCCTGTCATCTCCCAGCATGGTCACCATTCATAATGCGTGTCCTCGTATGCGTCCGGTGCCTGATCATGCTGCCTATTTCCCGTCCGCGTCTGCTGCGTATGGCGATGCCGCCTTTACATGTCCTGGTAATCATATCGCAGCTGCGATGGCCAACGGCTCCCTACCCAGCAGGGTCTGGAGCTACAGATACAACGTCCGATCCCCAGAGCTGATCGAAGAAGGCCTAGGCGTACCTCATATCTTCGAGCTCAGTGCCATGTTTGGTGTGGGCTTCGCCGGTGATAGCGAGATCGCGAGTTACAGCGGCATCAATCCAAATGTAGTCACCACAGTGATGAACTATTGGATTAGTTTCGTGAAGGCGATGGACCCTAATCCCCGCAGAAACAGCAACGCACCCTACTGGGATTCGTGGAGGCCGGGCTCGGCCAGACGGCTCAAGATTCAGACAAATGCTACTGGAATGGAAGCAATACCGCAGCTTCAGACAGATCGGTGTTTCATGTGGAAGGACCTGGCGCTGGAGATGGAAGTCTAGTCTGGTCATGATGACAAGCGGTGTGCCTCAGTCCCGAGTCTACACGTCTATAGACCTCGGTCTTGGTTTGAGCTCCTATCACTCAAGGCACGTTGAGGCCACACAAGCAATCAATCGTATAATTCTTATACCCAAGATAGCAACTAGCCATCTTAGTATGAACATGACAGTTTCACGGTACCCTATGTGACCTGAATGCTAAACATATATGATGGTGGCTTGCGACTTGGCGGAGGAATATGGGATCACTCTAAAGAATACAGTCTATCACAAAGAGAGGCCGCCAAACCACCCAATGGCCAGTAAATCGTGTGTTTTTCCTGAAATCTCAAGTGTACGATAACAAAAATTCCTTGCTAACAGATTAACACATAGACCTAGTATTGATCCCCACTTTCTCACTGGGTGCATATACCTTGCAATATTTATAATCTAAATCCTACACCTCACAAGGCCATAAACTCCACCGCCGTAGCAATATTCTTCTTCAACTCCTCAACTGCCACGCCCAGAAGCTTCGTCTCATTCCCCGAGATCTCCCCAATAGGAAGCGCCCTATTCGCACCCTCCCTCCCAAACTCCACCTTAACAGCAAAATAATCCACCCCCAGCTGATCCGCAATCTCCCTCCCCCCCACAATCCCAGGCAAATAAACATACGCCTCCTCCGTCACACTCTCCCCATTCCGCGCCTTAACGAGACCCTGCACGAACCGGAACCCCGCATACGCCATGCAGGTGGTCGCACTCCCAGCGCCCTGCTTGCTCTTGACGATTTCGTCGCCACCGAATTGCACTCCTGTCATACCAGTTCAGTATCCCTATACTTAAACCAGAGGATGGATACATACGATTAATAACCCCCGCCAAAACCTCCCCACTCAAATTCACCGGTGGCTCGGCCTGACTATACAGTGGGAGGATAGTAGCTCCGCTGTGGCCGCCCACCACAGGGACCTTGAAGTCCTTAGGGCTGGCCCCGTTGCCCAGGGCGTGTGCGACGAAGGTCGAAGCCCGGACAACGTCTAGGGTGGTGACGCCGAATAGACGGGTAGGGTTAAACACACCGGCCTTTTTCAAGGCCTCGGCTGCGATGGGGAGAGTGCTGTTGACGGGGTTCGTCACCACACAGCATGTTGCGGATGGGCAGGTGGCTGCGACTGAGGTGAAGATGTCGCGGATGATGCTGGCGTTGGTCTGATTACTTTTAGTTAGGTGTTTTGGTTGTGGGGTGGGTGTAGTGGGATATTTAGTTACCTTGAATAGATCTAAACACAGTCAGTTAATTTAGCTATCTTAGGCGTTACATGAGGATGCATCTACTCTACTTACCATCTCGAGTCATCCCCGGCTTTCTAGCAATACCAGCCGTAACGACAACGATATCAGCGCCGGTAAGAGCTTTCTTAAGCCCGGAGTCTTCAGCGAGGTAGCCCGTGACGTTTGCCCGGGTGTCAATGTGCATGAGGTCTGTGGCGATGCCAGGGACGTGCACGAGATCGTACAGGGAGATTTCATCGAACAGGTCGCTCTTTCCGCAGAGATTCAGTATAGTGTATGGCTTTGGATCCGGAAGGGAATACTGACCGTCTTGCAAAGAAGACTGAGCGGAGTCCCGATTTGGCCAGCGGCTCCGACGAGGGTGATCTTGACCATTTTGGATGGGTATTCTTGGAGTAGTAAGATGAAGTTTGCTGTGTGGTATACAGTGAGAGAGGATTAGATGTCTGTACTTCGGTATGGTCTGGAGCTTCTTAAGGCTTTTGAGTCTCTTGGTGTTCGGCCTATTACTCATGGATCAATTGAGCCACCCTCCTGGAATAAGGTTTCGTGTGGTGATGCGGCGCAAAGTTCAGCCACAATATTGTGGGTTTGCTCGGTCTCGGGTGGGGGATCGCCTGAATGATGTCCCGCGGGTGATTGATGCCCGGGAGAAAGTATGTCAATGACGTCGGAGTTGGCATCGCCAAGATTGGTGTAACTTGACGGATTGAGTCATAGGTTTGGAATGAGGGGTAAATCATCCTAGAGAAAAAGGTGATTAGTGTCTTGCGGGGAGAAGACATGAATGTGAATCTTTGTATTAACAGCGTTCCATTCTATCGAAGGTACGCCAGGACTATTCTACGATAGAAATCGCTCCCCAGATATAGATAGTTGGTGCTGGAAGAAGGTCTGGATACCGGTGTCATGAATGCTCCATGGACCGTGAAAAAACAAGGAATTCAAGGCTACAGTAGTCAGTCATAACAATATTCAAGAAGGTGTCGAATATGCAGTATGACATATCCCGAGTCACCAACCCTAATTCACATTCTTCGGTAAATGCGCCACAGTTGTCTGGATTCTGGCACATCATTGTACCGACTCCCGAGTGGCCAATTGCGGCAAATCATTCTTCAAGACCCAGTACCATCAAGTTTACACGCCCTATACTTTCAACCGATGCCAACATCACCCACGTGATTTAGATCATAAGCCATCTATTCAACTCTCGAAAGTATAAAATTTCACATAGACATCTACTTCCTTGCTGCATACCGAGGAAGCATCAAACAAAGCACAATGGCCAGCAACGGAGTCCAGAAGTACAAGATAGCCAGCATTGGCGCAGATGGCATCGGCCCGGTAAGTCAACCTAATTCGCACTCTCCACTACAGCATGGAATCCTAACTCCATCCAGGAGGTCGTCAACGCCACGATCCACGTCCTCAAGGCGATGCAAGGCATTCTCAACACCTTCGAGCTCGAATTCACCGAGCTCGACTGGGGCACAGCACGGTACAAGAAAACCGGCCGATACATGCCCGAGGATGGTCTGGACATCTTGAGGAAATTCGATGCCGGACTGTTCGGCGCCGTCGGTGCACCTGGTCCGTTATTTCCGTATTCATAGACAACCCTGGACTTTATACTGAGAAATGGCCTTTTCTGCAGATGTCCCCGATCACATCTCACTATGGCAACTCCTCCTGGCTATTCGCGGCCCCATGCAACTCTGGGCCAATGTCCGTCCCGTGAAGAACTTCCCTAATGTACCTTCGCCTCTATCCGGCGTCAAAGACGGGGATATTGACTGGGTGTTGGTCCGCGAAAACAGCGAGGGAGAGTACTGTGGACAAGGGGGACGGACTCATCGGGGCCAGCCGTGGGAGGCCGCCACGGAGCTGTCGATATTCACCCGTGTGGGGGTGGAGCGTATCATGCGGTTTGCGTTTGATGTTGCGCGGAGTCGGCCGCGGAAGTTGCTTACCGTGGTTACGAAGAGCAATGCGATGCGCAATGGGATGGTGTTGTGGGATGAGGTCGCTTTGGAGGTTTCGAAGGAGTATCCCGATGTTAAGTGGGATAAGGTTCTCGTGGATGCGATGACTGTTCGGATGGTCAATAACCCCAAGTCCCTGGATACAATTGTGGGGACCAACTTGCATATGGATATTATATCTGATTTGGCGGCTGCGCTGGGTGGGTCGATTGGGATCGCGCCGTCTAGTAACTTGGACCCGACTCGCAAGAATCCTTCCCTTTTTGAGCCGGTTCATGGAAGCGCGTTTGATATCACTGGAAAGGGGATTGCGAATCCGGTGGCGACGCTGTGGTCGGCTTCGGAGATGTTGCTGTGGTTGGGAGAGAAGACGGCAGCGGATATCTTGCTGCAGGCTACGGAGCAGACTTGTAGTCTGGGAATCTGTACCCCGGATCTCGGTGGAAAGGCGAGTACTGTTGAGGTTGCTGAGGCGGTTATTGCTCAGATTAGAAAGATTGCGGGGAGTGCTTAGATAGATTTGTTTGGTAGGATAATGATGGGGGAGAATAGTGGCAGGTTGGGGAATCATATTATGGATGCCTCTGATGACATATTTATCTGTACCCAGGTTGATCGTATCACAACGCTTAACATATATACGAAAGGGAAAGGAATATGAAATAAGAGAAATTGTAGCACAGCAAACGGATGTATGAGAAGCAGTGATATACAGAGCAGAGGTAAAGCTGGGAGGGAATAGCAATGCCGTTGATGCCAATATGGCTTCACCACAAGTTTTTGTTGTGAAGTTAAGTAAGTTTGGTTTCTACTTCATGCGGTGCCATAACTTTGAGGAGGAGAGCAGATTCCGGGTGGGGAGAAATAAATATATAAACAGTCAGGCTGACTGTTGCTAGCAATACCCACATGAAGTGTTCTAGTAAGTACTGTGCTCATTCCCCCAATATCAACATGTACCAACCCCCTAAACCTTCTCAACATGTACCACAGATGTCTTTGCTGGCGAGTTATCAGTCTCCCCACTCCCCATCCTCAATCCACGAGCATAACCAGGGACTTGCCACCAATGATCCGGATCCGAGAACAACTCATCCATTTCCTCCAGAGACCTACAATTCGTCTCAGGAAACAGAAAGTACACCAACACAGCAACACCAACCCCGACAACCGCATAAACGATATAATACTTCCACCGGATGGTGACCAACGCGATTGGAGAAATCTCCGCAATAACAAAATTAAACAACCAATGAGTCGCGGTCCCGATAGCAGCCAGATGTATGCGCAGATCCTGCGGCGCAATCTCTGCGCTGTAAAGGAAATTGGCTCCCAGAAATCCCAGGGGGAAGAAAGCCATAAAGGAAAAGAGAAAAAAGGTCGCCGCCACTGAAGCACCAAACGTGTCGCGGTGGTCAATGGCCCAGACACTACCAGCCAGCCCGGCCATGGATAAGCCCATGCCTAGGCCGGCGCTGATGAACAGGGGCTTACGGCCGTAGCGGTCCACAGTGAGGTAGGCTGAGGTAGCGGCGACGATTTTCCATGTCAAGACGCCGGCATTAAGTAATGCGGCTTTCTTCTCCCCTAGACCAAGAGATTCCTTGAAGATTGTGGACCCGTAGTAGGAGATGACATTGGCACCGGTCATTTGGGCGCAGAAGTTGATGCCGATAGCAAGGCACATGCGGTAGAGTAGACGCTGGGGGCCGGGTTTGAGCAGATCAATAAAGCCACGTTCCGACTGGGAGGTTTGTTGAAGAAGGCTAGAGATGTTGTTGATTTCCGCTCGGATCACTTCCTCGTTGGTGTCATCTCGAGATAGTTTTCGCATCACCTCGTGGGCTTCGGCCAGGCGGCCTTTACTGATCAGCCAGCGGGGAGATTCGGGAAAGAATGGTGTAAAACTCATGATCATGAGAGTGAACACAACCGGCACAGCTAGAGGGAACCGCCAGGCTACCTCACTGGTATTTATAAACGAGAAGCCAACATTGACCCACCCCGCGGCAGCAACCCCAGAAGCAATGAAGATGCCGATGATAACAACATTCTTCCCACGGCTCTTCGGCGCAGTGCATTCGCTCTGCCACACCGGCACCACCGCGTTCACTCCACCATTGCCAATGCCGGAGATAACACGGCCGACGACGAGCTGACCGAGACTGAACGACGAACTCTGGATGATTTGACCAATGGCTGCGATGACAGCCGCGATTATAAGGGACTTTCGACGACCGAGTCGGTTGCCGACCTGTGTGATGCCCAGGGAGCCAATGAGACATCCGATGGTGTATATGGCGACAACGGTGCCTTGGGTCTTTGCGTTCGTGGCTTGGACGTTCCCGGTCGTGGTACTGGTATTTATCTCGGGGAAATGGCGAATGAAGGAGGGATAGTTGAGAACGCCACCCATGTTGGACTGGTTGTAGCCGAACAATAAGAACGAAGGGACCACTATAAGGCAGACACGGGTTCGAGCGAGCCCTGTGCCAGTGAGACTGAATAGGCCCATGTCTGCTGGATGTCTGGAAATGGTTGGCAAGGGGTCTCCTGAAGGACTTGGTGGATGAGAGGATTTAGGATGATACAAGAAGGATAAGGCCACAAGTCAAAAGCAATACCGTCCAAGACTTGACATATTTGAAACTTGAGACAGTGTCTGTGAAATGAAAGGGGTAGACAGCAGCCCCAGGATTTAAAAGGGAAGACATAGCGGTCTGACCGCAGGAATAGCAGGGGGTTGTGATCTTCCCCATAATATCAGTTGACAAGCATTATGGCTCCACTTTCCTCCCCAGACTCTGGCATGGATGTTGCGTCAAGGCACCTTTGCGGGGGATCAAGTCAGCAGGACCAAGCTACGTACCCCATATATCGGCCTGACATTCTTCGGTTAAACGTTTCCCAGTACTGCTGATTTCCATGGTTAGGGCACAGCGGGCGCGGTATCATGTTTAGCCGCAGGTTCTCCCGCCAACAATTGCCGCCCGTCAACCCTCATCCACAAGCCACCTTGATTTCCAACACTGCACCAAACCATCCATGGAAGTGGGTCCGGGTTAGAATCGATCATTAAATACCGTCTAAGTTCCTGGGAAATTGGAATATGACAGTAGTACGAGATTTATCCCTCTCTATCACAATGACATCCCTTAAGCCATTCGTTCTGTTCTTCAACCCTGTCAGACATGCAGGTAGCTTCTATACGAAGCTGCAGGAAGTCGCCCATACAGAGGTGGTGACCAGTAAGACCCGGGACGAGTTCTTCCGGGATCTCCAAGACAAGTACAAGAACATTTTCGCCATTTATCGAACTTCCGCTAGTGGTGCAGTGAGTCTTATCGATGCCCTTGAGATGAAGTTTGGTACTGTATGAGCACTGTTAACGCACCTCCAGGTCGCAGGTAAATTCGACAAGGAACTCATTGACAGATTGCCGCCTACATGCAAATACATCTGCCACAATGGCGCCGGTATGCCTATTCCTAAATCTATCCAATCTTGACTAATCTTGACTGATCCTTGAAAGGCTACGATCCCATTGACACCAAAGCCTGCGACGACAAGGGCATCATCGTAACCAATGCTCCTGATCCCGTCACCGACGCTACGGCAGATCTCGCCATCTTTCTTCTCCTGGGAGCATTGCGCCAACTGAACCCCGCCATGTCTGCCCTTCGCGCAGGCAAGTTTAAAGCCGGAGTCGACTTCGGCCATGACCCCCAGGGCAAAACCCTCGGGATCCTCGGAATGGGTCGCATCGGGCGTGCCATAAAGGCCCGCTGTGACCCGTTCGGCTTGAAGACTGTCTATCATAACCGCAATCCCTTGTCGGCAGAGCAAGCTGCCGGAGCAGAGTATGTGTCGTTTGACAAGCTCATTGAGGAGAGTGATATCATCAGCGTGAATGTGCCGTTGAATGCCAACACGAAGTATCTGATCGATGCTGCGGAGATTGCTAGGATGAAGCCGGGTGTGGTTATTATCAATACGGCGCGTGGGGCGATTATTAATGAAGCTGCTATGGCGGATGCTTTGGAGAGGGGTCATATTGGTGCGGTTGGGTTGGATGTTTATGAGCGGGAGCCGGAGATTAATGAGAAGTTGCTGAAACAGCCTCGTGCTCTGATGGTTCCTCACGTGGGTACGCATACTACGGAGACGCTGGCGAAGATGGAGGCTTGGGCTATGGAGAATGTGAGAAGGGCTATTGTTGGGGAGGCTTTGTTGTCGCCGGTTCCGGAGCATAGAGGGCTTTGTTAGGGGGGATATGACCAGCTGCCTTGTCTCTTCTGTCATATATTTTGCAAATAGAATACAGCTTTGTTATGCTTGTGTAAGAGTATTATCATGGTTTTTTCAGCATAAGGTGCTCGGTCTTCGTGGTTTTCCTGCATTCGATTTGAGATGAGGATCTGATATTTCTTAGATTGATACTGATCTTGGGTTCTGGGGATGGATCCTAGCTAGAGCCGAGTCAAGTTTTGAAAGTACTCGCTAACCATGTCTACAGCATCCAATACAGCTAACGAGCTGGGTCTAAACTAAGCAACTTGGTTGACTGCACATTTAACGTGATTTCATGTCAGCGGTTACTCTTGTCAAAGTATATCGACAGAATATATATATTCGTTACTTCTGCTTTACGTACAAGCAGATTGGATGTCCATTTCAATGAAGATGACTTTACAGCTCTTTTTTATGTTCATCAGGTGGTGGTCGTCTCTCTCTCATAATTGCATCACCTAACAGGTTCATGGTCCTCTCAACGTATCTTCTGGGCCTTGTGACGTTGAAACCACCACCATTCGGATCCGGAAATGTTTTCCGCATGTGACACATTCCACACTTCCGGTGTGACAGACATTGCGGTATGCTGAAGATCTTTCCCTTTTGCTTCGTTGCAGCATGTTGTGGCGTTCAATGCTTAGCTGAACACCAACCACAGCAGCGTTAACTGAGGGTCCAATTGAGTTCGCTACTGCTTCGTCATGATTTGAAGTGACAGTGGATCACATTGCTAAAAGAAAACGGCATCTCTGCAGTCAGCCTCTGCGGACGGATAACAGGATCCACCAAATTTGACATTTCCGTGGTACTTCCTGCGTCAGGTAGCAGCAACCAAGGGTTGGGTTCCACCCGTTTGCGGTTCCGCGGGAGATTACTACATGCTGACGGGACATGATCAATGTCGCTTTTTCAGCTCTCCTTTTGCATGGAGGAATGTACTCAATGTCAATCACGGTACAGCCTGTGGCATGCAAATTATTCTGAAGCCATTCGACGCATTCCAAATGCCATATAACTACCATACTCATTCCTTGTCCATGACAATGAAGCTGAACAACGCACTGCCATGCTGCCTCTGAAGATATTGCCTATTATCACCCATACGAACCCATTGTGACTGACACCATGGAAGGTCGTGTGTCATGATGCAAGACCCTTGATCTTCGGATAGCTGAGTCTCGCACCACGGCGGTTGACCAATCACTGGCCTTGCCCATCGAATAGCATCCGATAGCGGCAATACTACAGTTTGGTATGACATGTCTCATTCACTCTTCAGTGGGGCATTCCGCATCCGACCACACTTAAAAGCGCAGACGGAGTTGGAGTCTCCGGACGGAAGAACAATCGGAACTGCAATGGCACCCGAGTCAGTTCTCTTATATCGAGCCCTGTCCCCCCGCCGGCTTAATAAGATCTGTGTGATATAGCAGCACTGAAAGGTCACTATGGGCATCTCTTTGCTTCTCTGCGCGGCAGCAACTGCCATTCCAGCCCTGGCCCAGGGCGCAGGCCGCGAGTTAGAGAGATCTCCCATGCGAGCTCTGCAGCAACCCGATGGACACAATGCTACAAATTGGCCTTGGAGACCTCTGCCATGGGGCGAGATAAACTTCATCCATACCACTGATTCACACGGATTCCTTGAAGGACATCTAAATGAGGTTGATTACGGTGCCGACTGGGGAGACTTTGTCTCTTTTGTGGAACGCATGCGTGACAAGGCTGATCAATACAACGTTGATCTTCTGGTCGTGGACACTGGTATATTCCTTATTCCTCTATAATATATCCGGAGCACTTCGGCTGGTAGCTAATTAGTTGACAAGGGGACCTTGTGAACGGCAACGGGCTCAGCGATATTACAGACCCTGGAGGGCAAGTATCGAATAAGTTGTTCAGGAATGTGGAGTACGACCTACTCACGATTGGTAACAACGACCTCTACATCAATGAGACCACCAAGCAAGTACAAAAAGACATTGCAAGTATTTATGGCGACCGCTATATTACCACCAATGTCGACGTGGTTCTTGATGGTAAGAACATCTCCGTCGGACACAGATACCGCTACTTCACAACCAAACACGGCCTCCGAGTGCTGGCATTCGGGATGACAGTTCAAGACTTCCATCGCCCGGACTTCATTACTGTTCAAAATGCCTCCACGGTTTGGAATAAACCCTGGTTTAAAGAGGCAATCAGCAAAGAGGCGGATCTCTATGTCCTTCTTGGACACGCGGATGTCGATGAGCCCTGCCAATTTGCCAAGCCCACAAAATACAATGCGACAGAAAATCCTATGATCTGCATGAAGGACTGGTTGCGGCAGAACAAACCGGATATTCCCGTCCAGATCTTGGGCGGCCACACACACGCCCGGAAATTCAAATGTTACGACGGTGCATCATCAGGTCTGGAATCGGGACGCTACGCAGACACAGTGGGATGGCTTGCCCTTGGTGACGTGGCATCAGACACCTGGAATGGATCGAAGACGATCAGCGGAGTTGATATGCCCACCAGGACATGTTCTCCACCCAGTGCCACCAGCAGAGAGGCTGACTCGACGAAAATCGTTCACCTCGACCGTCGCTACCTCGACTTCAACCGCAAGACCTTTGCGTATCATTCCATAGGAGGAAACGACTGGACTGTCCTTGATCAACTCGACACCCCTCTCGGACGGAAAACGACTGATGATATCACTAATGTTCGAAACTACCTGAACCTGACAACGGTGCTTGGCTGCGCTCCCCAGTCATATTACATCTGGGCAGAAAACTTCGACTGTCCGAGCAACATCTACACCATGGTCAAAGCGGCTTTAAATGCAACGGTGATATCTGACAGGGAGAACATTCCGGAAGACTCCCCCAGGCTGATCCTAATGGGCACTGGCGGGATTCGGTATGATCTATTCAAGGGTCCATTCTCCGTCGGCGATGCATACACCGTTAGCCCATACCCAGATTCATTCCGGTTCATCCCCAATGTCAAGTACAGCATCGCTAGTCAACTCCTCACCAAGTTGAACGAAAAGGACCCGTGCCCACCCAAGGACAGTTGCATATACAAGCGCCCTTCATCTTTCCCCGACCCGTACAGTGAGCCTTTCAATCAGCAGCCACTCATGGACCCTGAACCGAGCAAACTTAACCCCGGCCACGTGACGGTAGATGACTTCGGGAACTGCACTAAAGCCGTGGACAGTCCTGATTGCGGGGACGACACGCAGCACTCGTCACAGATTGAGTACCAGTGTCTCCCGAATACTATTCAAGCCGAGTTCAATATCGGCAAGACCCCGCCAGACACGGTCAACCTGGTGTTTGTTAGTGATCGCGAAACTACCATCCTTGGTTTAGACATCATCAAGGATGCGGGATATGATAAGTCTGATGTTGATGATTACATGGATCCCTCGTTCACAACAAGAGACTTTCTGCAGAAATATGCCCAGATTGCGTGGAATGATAACTCTACCGAGTGCGGTATCGGGCGATGATGGATGGGAGAGGTGGATTTTCCGGATGCGCGTTGATCTTTACTGCTGTGTGCAAAGCTACGCACAGATGCATGTGTCTGATGTTAGCACGTAAGGTGCAATGAAAAGTTCTTGCTGTATACTTGAATCAGTATTGGGCTCGACTTGACTTATATCTCACATTTTGCGGCTAGGATATGATATATCACAAACTAACTTATGCATCCATACCCTCCTTTTCCTCTTCACCAACCCAACGTAACGCTCACACCCCAGTATTTCCTCCTCACATATGTATACCCACCAAATCCACCTACAATCTAATACTATCACACAATACATCTTCCCATCCTTGAACCACATCTAGGAACTCAAAAGCCTGAAACTATTTCCTCACAACCCCAAATCCTCTACCACGGTCTCTGATATCAACCTTTCCCACCACGCACAGACCAGCTGAACCCCACCCCATAATAAAAGGAATAAATCACCTATCCCAATCCATACCCCACCTTCCCAAAATCTCAAAACCCACATAATCAATCCAACCCCCTTGCCCGAACCCGTACCCTGACTGGCCTATCAGGCGGTAAATTCCCCATCAACGAAAACCTCTCATCCGGCCTCACTTCCTCCACGACCTCCTTATCAAGCACCTCAATCTCAAACCCCCGAATCATCAACGCAAGTGTGAATATAATCCCCTGCTTTGCGAAATGTCGTCCAGGACAGATGGTGCCTCCCCCTCCATACGGGAAAAAGTAATCCTGTAACTCGGAGGTGATTACCTTTGCATGAGAGTCCTCGGTCGCGGTGTAAGTGGGTGGATTTTCGCGGATCATGGATGTGAGCTGTGGGTTTGAGGGGCGGATAGGTCCACTAAGCTCATCATCGGGGTAAGAGAGGAATCGCTCAGGGTAGAAAGTAGTGACTGGGTGTTCTCGCTCGGCGTTGTTTGGTAATAAGGCCCCTTCGTTCCAGAAGGTATTGTCGTAGTGCGCTGTGAAGTTATATGCCATTAGGGAATTTGATTTCTGGAATGTATAGTTTGAGATAGTAGTGTTTGGGGCTTTCGGCTGCCGCATTATGGCCACTGCTGTGCTGTATCGGAGGGATTCGAGGTACAGGGAATTTAATAGGGGTATTGTGGATAGGGATTGCCGGTTGAATGCCAGGCTGTTTGGTGTGGAGTGTGGGGATATTGCGGAGAGGATACGGGGTGTTAGGGTTTTGTTGCTCGGGTGCAGGGTGGACAGGATGGGCCAGATGGTTGCGGCGGTAGAGTTGGATATTGATCTTTTTCTATCTTTAGTTATTTGTTCGGTAATCAGGGAGGGGGGAAAGGGAGGGGGAGGAGGAATACGCTCGAATAAGACCCAGATCCTGAACGACTCTGCCTTCTGGGGACATATCGCGCCAGATATGTCTTCGGGAGGTCATGAGGCTCAGGCCGTGAATGTGATCCCATCCTGCTTCGGGGTCAGGGGGCGGTGATTCTGCAAGACGGGTATGCCATGCGCGAATATGAGCGAGCATTTTATCTCGACTTGCTCGCGCCTTTGGGATTAGCAAGGTCGGTAGTCCTTTGAAGAGACTCGGAAGTTGTCGGTCAAACTCCCAGAAATCATGCATCAGGTCCGGAGCTACATTAAAAATCTCCTCCCCGCAGAGAGCGTACATCTGTGCGCGGGAGAGTTCGTCTCGTACGAAGGTATATAGGTCTGGTAGTTCGACCCAGTTTGTCCATTGGGCTCGTTTCCGCTCGATGGATTTGGTCAGTTGGGTGGCTGTTATGTCTGCAAAGGTTTCTAGGGTCGTTCCACTGAGCAGTATGTGTAGAGCGCGGTGGTCTTCTTGACTTGGGTTGGTGTCGTTCGTGTCGAAGTATAGATGGAGGTCGGTTTCTGGCATTCCGAAATTGTCTCGCAGGTGTTTGATGATTAGGGGTGTTTGGGTTAGGGCTCGGGATTTGAGCATCTTGGTGGCGGTGCCGTCGCTGTGGGGCATGTAGGTGATTTTCTGACCGGCTATGGAGAGAGAAATGGGGGAGGGACCGAATATTTGGCTAGAGATGTGAGTGCATGTTTGGGCACTGGGGGTGGGGATGGGGGACGTACCGGAGGGTGATTAGGTATTGGTGAGAGTTGAAAAGGAAGGGGATGGTGTTTCGGAGGACGGGAATCCAGTAGGGGGCTGAGGGGATGGATGGTCCATCTTCATCCTGGGAAATTCTGGGACGGAAATATATGGTTGTACAGATGAAGATTGTGCAGAAGAGGACCAGCAGTGCTGCTAGGCCTGGATAGCTTGCTTCGTAAAGTAGATTGTCCAATGTCATGTCGAAGTATTTCGCTATGTTGCTACTGAAGTGGTAGTGCGATATTGAACAGTAGAGAGTCAGTAAGAGAGCAGAACTTGTTAGTGATCTAGTGTCTTCTTTGATTATCTGAGTAGAATGCCTAGACTTGGCTGATGTGAGACATCTGCTGGTTAGGTTTCGGGGTATCGACAGTCCCAAGCAATATCGGCACGCCTTGAAACGGGGCAGCCGGATCGGCGAAGATGCTTTGGGCCACGCCGCATTGCTGACAGATATGGCCGATGGGATGTATAGCTTTGGCAACGTCAATGATTAGGTGATACCAAGACTGTTGCTTTACCGAGACTACGAACTGAGCAATTGATCCTCACTGGCCGGACAAGCATCCGAACCTGGCCTTGTGAGCTGGTTAGGGCTAGCTACTACTTGGAGAATGGGACATGAAAATTGTCGGTCTTTGGGTGGTGCGTTGTCTTGAACGGGCCTGTTATCTATTCGACGTAGAGGAATGCTCCTACCGCTATGATAATCAAGGTAGATGGTAGTTGAATGTGAATTGTCTCCATATATATCTTACTCACAACCATACAATTAGACATAACTCCAACTAAACCAAAGCACAACTAATTCTTCACCCTCATCCCCGCCTCAATCGGACTCGAAATATCCCTAAGAACATAAATCTGCCCATAAATGTCCGTGACATCGCAAAAATACCGAACAATCCGCGCCCGACGACTCCCCAGCATCGCCTCCTCTGGTTTCTTTCCCTCGCGCATCGCCACCTCAAGCTGCTTGAAGCTCTGCTTCCAGCATTCCCGCTCATACTGCGCCAGCTGAAAAACCTCCGCCTTCTTGGCACTCTCATCCTTATCCTGACTGCCAAACTCAGCAAAATGGACCGAGTTCAAATTACCCTCGTCGCGGTCCCGAGCCCAAGACCCAAGATCATTATACATACGACACATGCAGCCCAAATGAGCACAAACATCTTCAGCGAGGTACTTTTCCGTCCCTGTAGAGAAGCAATCGCGGTTGGTGGATGTGGTCAAAGCTGCGCCCATTAGACAGTTGGAGTATGCGAAACAGAACGGACAGGCGATGTGGTATGACGAGACGTTGTGGACCCAGTTGTAAAAGGAGAGACCCATGGAGGCTGACGTGCCTTGATTTTTGAACTGATCGCTGTCTTCGATCTGTGCTGATTGAGCAAGCAGATAGCCTTGGGTTTCGCGTTGGAGGGCATCACGGTCCCAGGGACTTGCTGCCCGGATGATTGGGTTGCCCATGATGACTTTGACGAATTGGCGGAGCAGGTCGAATATTTCGTGATCAGTCGACGGAGGAAGGTGATTATTCTCTTGGGTGTAGAGAATGTCGTTGTCTCCTTCTACATCCGCGGTACCCTGTGCCACTGCAGTTCGGATGAGCTGGCAAAGCTCTGGTATGCGGCCCTGGAAGGCAGGAGCGACGACTGCTTCCATGAACTCATCTACCTGATATGTATAAAAGGATAGAGCCATCATCTCATACAAATATGAGGGAGACACATGAAACCGCGCCCGGTTATTACAGCTCGTCCAAGTAAATGGGATGATGGCCGGATAGGTGCCGCCCTTGACCATATCCCGTGGAAGGATTTCCAATACGGAGATACCCAGCAATGGCTGGAAAAGAAGTGCTTCAATCATCGAGGCTTGCAATTCTGCGTCTGGAAGCCACTGCAGCAGTGGCGTCTTTTGGAATAGCTTCACCCGTTTGGCGATATCTGCCGGAATGCTGGCTAACGAGGAACCCACTGATATGTCGCGAGGACTGCGAGCAGACTTTAGTGCTGCCAATACGTATGTCTCCGTCAAGGTGAGTGATGTGTAGCTAACTTTGTCCGACCAGAGGTATGTGAGGGAATCAGTGCGCGTCGAGGAGAGGAATGCAACACCCTTTTCAATAGCGGTCTCCACCCATTCACGAATGGGATCAAAAAATGACACGCATCGGGCCTCTGCGAGAAGTAACGTTGCGTAAGCGGTTTTCTCAACTGACTGCTCCCAAGATCCATTGCTTTCTTGGTCCAACAACGGGCGCAGGCACGCTTGAAACAGAACAATGGGGACTTTGGGGTCAATGTGAAATTTTAACCCGCCTTGTTCAACGAGGAACAAGAGGTGCACTAGAGACTCTACCAAGAGCAGGGATGAATAAAGATGGCTGGTGTTCTGTCATACGATCAGTGGATGGTATCTTAACCTGTGGAGTAATCATACCCATTTATCCCCTAAGCCATTATCAGCGTTCCACCACCACTTAGACAAGAACCCCACAATCTTGGATATTTGTGCGGCATAGTACGAGGGATTTGGCTGATGCAGAAGAGCTTGCAAGACATTGCAGTTAGCACTGAAGCTCGGGTCTCTTTCTCCGGGATAGGTGCGGAAGTGAGTGGGCTGCTCAAAACCCTCGATCATTCTCTGAACAGAGTTGTTGACAGGGTGTCCGAGCATGCTGAGCACGGTGATGCCCTTGGCTGTGTCGTCGACGTCGGCTAGGATTCCTGGCACTACATAGGATTGTTAGCGGGTGTCAATGACCCAGAGCTCAGTCACTTACTCAATCCGATCACTCCATTTCCTCCTTCGTATCCATCCACAATCACTTTGACCATTTTCCCTAGCTCGGGACAGTTCAGGTCAGATGACGAGAAGCCGACTCTCAGCAGCGTCGACAATGTCTTACATGCATCGTCAGAAGTGAACATCACCAAACAAACCAGGGGAGGTATACCCAAGTATATTCAAAATGCGTAGTCGGAAAAACACCAGGCACACCCCCACTACTCCTCCCAGCAGACCCCTCAATAGCATGACGAAGATATGCCTCGGCCTCATCATCCCACTTCGAACAATGCATGAGATACGCCGCAGTTGAAGACGGAGAAGCGAACATCGACCCCAACACCTTATGCTGCGCCAGCCTATCAAAATCGACTCGGCCAATCAAAGCCTCCAACGAATGGGTTATGGTAGAGCGTGAAGTACTATACAGCACCTCTGGATTGAAGCGAGACATTTTCGCATCGTGGATCTTCATCAATGCTTCCTTGCCTCGGAAGTCGAACTCGAAACCATGACTTTCGAGCATTTTGAGGATAGACGGGACAATGATCTCGAACCCGACGTTGTTCGTTGTTGAAACGTCCCATGTTGTCAAACGAGAACGTAAGGCCGTGACGCCGTGGGTAATCCGCGTATCAAGATCTTTAGGATCGTGAGCAAGTTGAAGAGGATTATCACGATGCTCTCTCAGGGACAGTAATGCTGTTGCCGTATTCAGGACTCCATCAATCGGAGCTTGCAACTCGTTTGCCCAGCTCCCGTCCTCAGCTTGTGTGCCAAGAAGGTACTCGAATGATTGGGGAAACAGCCATTGTTTCTGACCATCAATGGTCTTCGTGACGAGAGATACCCAGGCTGTATCGTATACAGTGCAGGTTAGGGTTCCGAAGCCGTACTTTTCGTCAGAGGACCGGACTGTCTTCTCGAGCAGCGATCGTGCCTCGCTGACTAGTTCGTTGTCGGATGAGATGGAGCCCATTTTACTTGTTGCGGAACAATGAAGAAGCTAGTTACTACTGTGAAATTGAATCAAAGAAGGATGGTAGTTAACAATCTGTCATCTTGTTGTGGTTTTATGGTATGCTTTAGACAATTCTATAGGGGACGTACTTAGGCCTAGTACTCCCAGACAGGGACGAGACATGATTGGTGCGTCGAAACTCTATATCCCCGATCTTAACCCTGGTTGTCGGCTGTCCCGATGCTGCAATCAGGCTTACCATCGGACAGTCCCAAGCAGGTAGCCCCGGTGCCACGGCGTCATAGATGTTAGGTCTCCGACCGAGGTCCACGTGTATCGGCAGGCAACGTGTGGGTGAGTAGCTTGGCCGAGGATACCTTTCCTGGGCACAGGTGAGAGTGTACACAATAGACGTAGCCTACTGGTAGACCTTGGTGACATTGTGTAATTTGTAGCGGGAAACAAAGTCCATTTTAGAGTGGACTATAATCTGCAATCACTCCGAATAGCACAGTTGGTATATAGATAGCATTGCGAATTTATAACCTCGAACCCTACTCATCACCCGGCTCCACGCTTCGAAACATATTACCGGCACACTGAGACACGCCACATAGAAACAATGTTGAATTATCCCCCTCCCACATCCCTCCCCAAGAAACCCCCCAAATTTTACTAGATATGCTAAAGCTCCCCCATCCTCTCCACCAACTCCAACAACCCCCCACTCCTCCCCTCCCCCAGTTCCAAATCCAACCCCCTAACCTCCCCCCTGACTTTCTCCACCAGTGCGCCAATAACCCCCCTCGTATACTCCAAACTCCCCATCCTTTGCATCATCCCCACCGCATACCTCTTCACCTGGACAATCTCCGTCCTCTGCTTCAATATTCCTAATAACTCCCCATTCTCTTTATCTTTCTGAATACAATGAATCACCGGAAAGGAAAACTTCCCTTCTGTCAAATCCTCCGCAAACCCTTTCTTGTCTGTGTAGCTTTTATTACAGAGATTCCGGTAATCATCGACGATTTGGAATAGGATCCCTAAGGTATTCACCAATAGGATAATCCTGGCGGTAGGTGTAGGAGGGGGTGATCGTGATTGTGTCTGCATAAGCCTCACAGCGAGCCGAAACAGCGCGGAAGTTTTGTTGCTTGTCATTTCGAGATATTCCGCCTCCGTTGGGCAGGTGTATGTATCCTACCATTAATCCCCAGCTTTAGCTATCTTTCCGAATAAAGCCAAGGAGGGGGTGGGGTTGTAATGCTTACCCTCCAAAACAAATCCATCCCCTGCCCTCTATGCAAACACACCATCTCCTCCCCATAAACCCTCACCGCCTCCTCACTCCCCAGTTTCATAACCTCCCCCAAGGCAAGAAAATACACATAATTCGCCGAATTAATCGTCTGCGGCTCACCGAATACCGCATGTGCGACTGGTTGTCCTCTTCGCAGGGTAGAATGATCTTGGATATCGTCGATGAGAAGCGACGCCGTGTGAAGCATGGTGATGATGTTGGTGATGGTTGTTAGGGCTTCGGGGGGGATGTGCAGGTATTCGTTGAAGGCGAGGAGGAGTTGAGAACGGAAGTTCTTGCCCGGTTGCGTGGAGAGGTAGGTGTAGGGTACTAGGATGGTGGTTTCTTTGGTGGGGGTCCAGGTTGCGGGGGGTGGGAGGGGGGTTGTTTGTTGGGTGGAAGGTGGGTGGTTGGGGATGGTGGGGGGGAGTGGATGTGGTTTGGGGTGCTGGCGTCGCCCATGGTGGTTTGTGGGGGATGATTGAGGTAGGTGTGGTGGATTGGTAGATTGGATGGAGGGAAGAAGATTGTGATGTGGGCTCAGGGTATTACTTTGCTTATTGTACAGAGCTGTATGAAGAGGATGCAGAGCTATCATATAAACTACGCTGTTCTCGGAGAGCCGAGTTGGTAAGGACTTTGGATTATTCCTGGCCAGACGGGTCGTGATGGTCGGCAACTTGCTATATTGTCGGGCGCCTGGGTTACTCGATTTGGCGGCCGATCTGATCTATTGTTGGAACTATTCACCTTGGGATTGTCCCACTAACCTAAGAGCTATCTCTTTTGGTCTATTTGGGAAATTCTATCATCTATGCCCATTGGGGGTTCCGGGGTTTCATGAATGGGTACCTCCGATAGGCTCAATCATCGTGAGACTTTTGCAGTCTAGACACGTTGATGCAGTCAGCAGGCGATGTCCGAGGGAAGGTTATCGTAGAGTTGTTTCCGAAGGGATCAGGATCAGAATCCTGATCAGGATCCTCCGATGTAAGCATTGTCGTGGGTGAAAGTATAGTCGCGTCAGATTACGTAGTATGGTGGCCTATGACTTCTTTTGCGAGGGATTATCGTAGTATGATGGCAATACTGGTTTTGCGAGCGTGGCCTGGAAAGTAACCAGACCGCCACTGATATCAAGGTTCACGGATGGACATTTGTTTGGTGTAGAAGCCAACCTCAAAGAGGTCTGAGATCCAATTGGAATACGTAGGTCTTTTCCATAGGGATCTAGTGCACATGTTAGGAGATTGGGATTTTGTAAATCTGTATCGGAGTCCAATTATGCATCGCTCCCACGGTTTATTCTCTGACAACTATTTCAAGCCTGGTGGTAGATTCGCACAAGGGGGTGTAATATTGCTAGGGATTAGAAAGGATGTCTTTGGGAAAGATAGCCTTTCCAATCGAATACACCGAGGGGGGGTTGCAAAGCGTATGAATAGATATTACAGCTCGATGAGACAGGCAGGCTTTCAAATCAAAGTCCATTCCAACAGTGGAAGCAAATATAGTCGCTTGTTCCGGAACCCTCGCATTGAAAAGCCAGAACATCAAAACAAAGCGACGCTAAATATCATCCAATCTAAAATCTAGTGGGCAGTCTCTTGGCGTCTGAGATGTCGTCCCCTGTAAGACGAAATAAAACTAACAATAAGTATCAGTCACTCTTAGAGTCAGGAGACGGGTCATACCGGACAATTCTGCACGCGACCGAGCACACTGCCAATAAAAAGCAGTGGATCGCAAATATGATCGCGATAATAACAAGTGGGACCGAGCTGAGGCCAAGGTTCAGTTGTGACACCAATGCAATACTCACGATTGCGGCCATGGCAGCCTCAGACCATGAGCAATTGAAGAGAGAGCCCGAGGAAGGTTGAGACGGTTGAGGTGTGGGATCATCTCCAACGTATGCCGATGGATCACGGGTCTGCCGGAAAATAGGTTCCATTGTCAAGTTATTCACGTGATGTTATGAGTTTAATGTTTTCTGGATGCCTGCTCATGGAGGGTAAGCGCTGGTTTTGTACGGTTAGTGAAATCCATCCAGGAAGGAGGTTGACTGAGGGATTGGAATTTCCCAACTCCTGCATTGGGGGAGGCCGAACAAACGATACAATCAATGTTGGAAGGTAACGACATTGCATCGGAGATCGCAGGAATCAGGTGCATCGTCAGGCCCCCTGACCACCCATGACCCGGGCCGTATCTTCCCCACATCAATTCTGCTGGTTCCGGAGGGCCCGACTGGGGCGTCGGCTGGATCCGGTGGGGATTGCTTGGCTCCCGCCCCACGAGGCTGGCGCCGTTCCATCTGCGCCTCGTGAGTGGAACCGTACCAGTCATGCATGTCCTGAGAACCACGCTTCCCCGATGGCAAGAGGGGTTCCTTGATGAAACGATCGAATATAGTCGTATTAATAATCTGATAATGTCACTAGGCTCATCATAGGCGATAGGGATATGCTGTCGAGCCGCGGCAACCCCCGTGAAAGGTGGCCTAACCCTAGGCATGTGCTTATGTCATCAGGCTACCTCTTGGGGGAAGATGACAAGGCTGTAGGACTAGGGATGGAGCTTTAATGATCAGAACCTCGGAGGTCGTCGTATCAAGATTGCAAGCTACGGATATCATGTTTTGCACGCTCAAATACAACGAGACCGACGATCGCTCCTCACTGGAGAGAACATCTCCGCCATTTCTGAAGCCAAAACGAAACCTGGGAAAGGTGGCATGCAGAAATTGTAGATCGAGCAAGGTAAGCTCTACACGGTTTGTACCAGGAGGTCACTCACATGACGATAGCTCAAATGCACGGGCGAGCCTGAAGGGTGTCGACGCTGCGAGGCTCGCAAGATCCCCTGCAGTTATTCAGGGACAGCACAATCTCGCGGCAGAGATACCAGAAGTATCCCTGACAAAAATAAGGGCTTGCTGGCTGAAGGGGAGCGACATGCGCTGGATGTGTCTATGGACAATCTTCAGAAGCAGACATACGATCACCAGTACCCGACTGTTACCCTTGCTGAGCTAGAGTCCTTGTGTTCACTAGACTCATGGGACACATCGGACTCATTTGAAGCGACTCAGGGAAGCACAGTCGGGCTTGACGGCGTGCCAATCCTACAGAACACAATGTCAGGGGAACCGCTGCTTTACATGGACAGCCCAAATCCCTTCTTTGCGACAGAATGGTCAATGGTTGGGTCCTCGTCACCATCGGTATCCCCATACTCTTTTGACCACAATTTCACGGTCCCAGTCGGAAAGGACACACCCCAGCCCGCGGTCTTTGTTGCCGGCGCAAAGCATGACCACTCCTGCTTCACACCGGCAGTCCAAATATATGAGATGATTGAGGTCAATCTCGTCTGGGGCCCAAAGCGCGGTCATAGAGATGCGACCGGTGATATCCTCGAGCACCTCAAGCTAGCTTTAGTCGCTTGCGAGTCCTTACTAGAGTGCAAGCAATGCACCATGCGACACGAATACGTCATGCTCTTGATTTCCATGTGTCGAAAAATAGCTGGGACATTGGAGTCTGTCTATCATCGACCCCACCTTGCATCCACTCCACAGAGGGACTCAAACTACCCACGACAGGGTCCGTCATCGGCTGACAGAATACCACTGCTCAGGCCGTCGTGGACCTCAGGGTCAGCGGGCTCGGACACCGGGCTCATGGAGACCAGTGGCAGCGATGGCAGCAATACAAGTAGTCCGTGGGATCAGTCACCTCAAGCTCACGGGCTCAAGGGCTGGTGTCTGGACGCCGATGACCAACATGTCATGCTCCGAAGCCTCCTCCGAGCCCGGGCAGCAAGGTTGGATGCATTTGTAACTAGATTGGACAAAGTGGTCCCCGAAGAAGGCTGGCCAGCACATAGGGGAGGGACTCGGGAGTTGCAGGAACGCGTGAAGCGTATTCTGTCTCTGTAGAATTTCTTTCAACGAATCATAAATGTGCCGGTTGTCGTCTACACACGCTCGGGAGTAAACCCTCTAGGTCTGCATATGTCTGACCCTGATCACTGCAGTAGGCTGTCGTTCCAAGCGACAATGACGGAACACTGTACAGCCACTGCCCATCCTCGTACTTACGAATAAAGCCAGTAGGTGATATGGCAGGCAGTCGCTCTTCTTCATGATAGCCACTTAGCGATCGAACGATATTCATACATGCTGAATCGGGTATTCCGACCCATGATTCATTTTTTGGCGTTCCACGGAACAGTGTCCACGCAGTCGTGCCTTATATGGCCCAGGCAACGGTTTCGCGAGTCAAATGCAGGATCATACTTTCGGGCTTCGACAAATCCGGCAACCCGACGTGTCTGACAGGCGGCCATCAGGCTCTGGCCAAGCAGGTCGCTTGCTAGTAAATCTTCCCATCGCCAGATCAGCTTGCCCAAAGCCCCTTCGTAATGAGTGGCATAAGGTGGTCGTAGTTTTCCTTGTGAATTCCATCCATCTCTTCACCTCCAGTCAAGGACTCCTAAGACAACAATCAGTAACCATCACACGGCTTCCACACCATCACCATGATTGAACAAATCTTCACCGGCATTGTGCCCACGGCATCGCTACTCAAGCTACCCCAGAATGGTGTGGTTGAGACCCAGTTTGGGCTGCTCCTTCCCCTCGCTCTGCTCGCTTGGGTCGTCTACATGCTCAGGTCCATCGGGACGCGAAGCGTCAAAGCCCCAATGGTCGGTCACCGATCTGTACTGGAGCCCGCGTGGCTTGTAGGCTATCGGTTCACAACACAAGGCAGGAGTATGCTCCGAGCAGGATACAAAAATGTGAGCTCCTCCAGTCCTAAGAGATCCCTGCTAACCCGACACCTAGTTCCGAGACAAGATCTTCAAAGTCCGCTGCAATGGCCTTGAAGTGGTCCTCCTCCCCAATCGATATATCGATGAACTCCGCAATGTCCCAGAGGAAAAGGTTAGCCCACCTAAAGCACTTTTCACCAAAGGACTGGGTCACTACGTTGGTATGAACATCATCATGGAAAGCCGCTTGCACGTGCACATTGTTCAACAACGGTTAACTCCAAACTTGGTCTCAATAATGCCCCAGCTGCAGCAGGAGCTAGAGTTTGCCTTGGAAGCAGAGCTTCCCGATTGTCGTACCGACGAATGGGTATCGGTCAACGTACAGGATCTTCTGGCACGTCTCGTCGGTCGGCTGTCTGCCCGTGTGCTTGCAGGCCCGGAGCTTTGCCGAAAAGAAGAGTGGCTGTCTGCGAGCGTGAAGCATAGCGGGCATGCGTTTGCAACCTCCATGACGCTCCGTATGTTCCCTGGATGGTTGCGCCCGATCGTAGCGCCCATGATCCCGTTCTACTGGCGTGCACGGTCGGATCTTGCCACAGCCAAACGCCTGGTCGGGGCTCTCGTTGAGCGCCGACGAGCGACCGAGGCGCAGCAAGGAACTGCGTATGAGAAGCCGAATGATCTCCTGCAATGGATGATGGACGAGGCTACCGGGACTGATGCATTTCCGCACAAACTAGCCCATCGGCTGCTATTTGTGAGCGACGCCTCCGTCCTGACAACCGGCATCCTAACCACGCATTTCCTGCTCGACCTTTGCGCCCACCCACAGTATCTCAAACCACTTCTGGCCGAAATCACACACGTGTTGCGCGAGGGCGGTAATTTTCAGAGGACGATGGTTCACAAGATGGTACACCTGGATAGCTTTCTCAAAGAGTCTCAGCGGATGAACACAACCTTCCTAAGTAAGTCAAACGGTACATGGAACACTTAACGATAGCGACTGACTGAACAGTGACATTCGACCGCGTGCTGAATACCCCAATAACGCTCTCCGATGGAATCAAACTCCCAAAAGACACTCATGTTGCGATGCCGACGGACGCAATGCTCCACGACCCAACTTATCTCCCCGGCGGCGGCGATCCCGACAGCTTCGACCCCTTCCGCTATGCACGGTTGCGGCAGAAGCCAGAGAATGCCCACCGGTATCAGCTGGCGATGACTGACTCGACCAGTCTGCCATTTGGCCACGGAAAGCACGCTTGCCCGGGACGCTTCTTTGCCAGCAGCGAGGCGAAGCTGCTCCTGTGCAACCTGCTTCTTCGGTTCGAGATCCGCTTGCCGGATGGGCAGACGCGTCCGGACAACTTGCTAGTGGCTGAGAATCTTGTCCCTGACCCCGCAGCGAGGCTACTCTTCCGCAAGCGCGCTGTTGGAGATGAGCTCTCCCGGAATCTTCGCACCCTTGGAGCATGATCTTTTGTCAGTCATGGGAAGAAAGAGACGAAGGGAAAGGGTATATGACTGATGGTTGATGTAGCACATGTATGGGTCTGAAGGTTCGTGGATTTAGGATTCAGTCATATAGCAAAGACAATTTTAGTCGACCTGCTTCAACACAATGGTGATGAAGTTAAGAGGGGTGGGGTGGTAGAGCCTAGGCGGAATGTGCAGGCACTAGACCCAATACAGAAAGCACCTGATCTACTGTAACGGCGGCCAACGCTACTCATCACACCTTCCTTCATTTATTAGTTTGCAGACATGAAGAGTTGCTACCGACCATGTATAGAATCAAATCATTGTCAATGTGGATTGGTTTTTTGAGGTTTCCCTGGGCGTGGTGACTATGAAGGGAATGCACACCCAAAATATATAATTTCAATGCAAAACTCGGAGCCACACCAAAATAAATGATTTCTTCCTCAGAGGCACTTGTATTATGATGTCAGTACAGTACTATTCATTATATCGCTCTGAGTTCAAGTTATTCATTTTCCCACTGTCTGTCACAGTCCATCGGTAGAACGATATTCCACCCCAACCAAAACTCTCCAGCGGTGTAGGACCCGCTTGCTATGATCCAGATCAAACATCCGAGAGTTTTCGAAAGTACGTTTCATCGTCCTCCGCAGACGGCTTATAACCCCTATCTCAAATGTTAGAAGCATGCACCACGTCAGGAGTCAGTAATGCCGTCGGGGGAAATACCAGAGCTTTGAGAAAGTACTCCATCATACCTGCCTCATCTTTCATCCATTCTACATGATACGGTTGCATAGAATCTGGCGTAAGTGTCTGAGCGTAGGTAAAGTCAATCCAGAGAACTCGGTCCGAGCCTTCCTGGACCATCATATTGCGTGGATACGGATCCCCATGGTAGATACCTGCACGATGGATCTCGAGTAGGATGTGATGGAGCTGCTGGACACGATTTTCTGAGAATTTGGACAGTGCTATTGGGCACAGGTTGGGTATGTACTCAAGCAGAACTGCATTGGGACGTAGACGGTCATCCAGGAAATCATCGAGATGGGGTGACCATTCCAAAGGGTGAACCGCTCTACTATGCCATAAAAGCGAGGGACATACTCTTGATCGCACAGACCGCGTTCGTGGAGTCGTGCAAACGCGACACTTTCGCATTTGAATGGGTCGATTTCGCGGGTTGGGGGGTCTGTCGGGGATGGCTCGGTTGAGTGATACTAGATTGGTTGCGCATGTTAGTGGGAGCTGGCGGGAATTGAAGGAATAACGGGGATACTCACTACTTTCAGGATACACTCTTTACCGTGCCACAAGGTGTGAAAGATCGAGGAATCATCTGATCTTCCAATTTGATTGATGAAAGAGATCTCCGACAGTTCCAGTTCAACGCTCGTCATGGCCGCGAATTAGAAGCTTCTGGACAGGAAGTGAGGATTGAACAATAAAAGCAGTATATAATACAAGCACGAGGAAGGTCAAGGGACAGCCCAAACGGCTTGGAATATGAGCCCCCCAGCAAGCTGACCGGGTAGTCCCTACCGACGATTATTGGCTATACGGAGCTTTCCTGGAATGTAGGCCACCGAACCGCCTATCACCATTTTTGGTGTTTCAAATCTTGTGATTAGGTAGGACTATCTCCGCTCATTGATGTTGAAAACCATCGTATAGAGGAGATAGTAGTAGTGGTAGTGGTGGTAGTAGTAGTAGTAGTAGTAGTAGTAGTAGTAGTAGTAGTAGTATTTAACATCTAGCGGAAGGCCTGGCGCCTACCAGACCTTCCTGAGACCTCCCATAGGGTATAGAAACGTGCCAAGCCATGGATCTATATACAAAGAACCACGAAGACAATTTCAGGTATACACAGCACTGGACACACCAGTTGACTAGTTGCGCCCCCGACCTGTAGAACGCTTCGCAGGTAAGTGAGTTGTCCCTGAATTACAGAGTCAGGCAGGCACCGGGCAAGCCGGGCAAGTAAGACCACAAGACCTGGAAATAGTGATTGTCCTGGCGAGGTCCACAGTTAGCACAAGGCCGGGGGGCCGCGGGGAGTAGAGAGATAAGGGTTAGCAGGGCGGGATAAAAAGAGGGAATAAAATATAGACAGGACATGCTACCAGGTACAGAACTTCAAATAGAAGCCCATTACCTGCAGCAGGCCCCGGAAGCCCTCCGGGGTCAGCGTCATATGGAGGATATGCAGCACCAGAAAGCATATTAATCCACTGTCTAGGGGTGCGATGAAAAATATCCGAGTGAGTGCAATTTTTCCTTGATATAGTTATTCGGAAAGAATATATGGATCTAAGATGGTTCGAGAGTTTGTGATATTTCTGCAAATAAACGTTCATTGGGGCGAAAGCCTTGGTATGGACAGTTAAGCCTGGTGTAACAGTTCAATCCCTCACATTGGACTAGGCAGCGCCTTCCAGTGGGCAGCCTAAGCAACATCATAAACCCAAGCCGTGCCACTAGCGATCGCCGCCAAAAAGACATGATACATAAATCTGACCTTACTTGGAAAAATGGTAACATTGTCTAAGCCACTCAGGCCCTCCATAACAATGTGTAAAAGGGGCCTGTGCTGACGATGACGGTTTAGTGAGCGGAACGTATTGTCTATTGTGTATGCATTGTTTGCATGAGGAGGGAGAGCTGGCTATTGCACATAGTGAGGGTCAATTTGTTAGGAGATGAACGTGCACGTGAAAGATGCACTTCAAGAATAGGGTCCATAGACAACGAAACCTCTAAGCACTCGACGATGTTTTTCCATCGATCTAATCAGGCCGCCCGGCCTGGGCGATACGGGCCCTTCTGAGGGGGCACCCGATGATTGTAACTGTCCATCTCATCCGACAAGCTCGTAAGCTCATATTCCACTTCCAATCCCCTAGCTTCCAGCTCGAGATACCCAGGCGCGAAAAGCTCCAGCTCCAGCGCCCAGTGTTCTCGGGAATACGGGACATGAAGTTCTCCTCGTTGCGTCGAGGAATTCACAATGTCGACTATGGGCAAATCCATGTTCAGCCTGTGATAAGGAGGAAACTTTGGTCAGTGGGATTTGTTCTCTCGGCAGGGACAGATTTTGATTTCTTACGGATCACAACCAAGATGATAATAGGAGTGTTCATCAATCAGTCTTTCCAACGGCCATCCTAGCATGTGGTGAGTTGACATCTCCGCGCCCATGTGCCATGGTCGCAAACGCGTCGAGGACTTGACTTGCCCATTTGACTGAAACGAAAACAAGGCAAGCCTTCCGGTTTTTAGGGTATCCTGATCAATAACTGTATATATCTGACCTATAGCCGCGAGGAACACCGTTCCCGTCCGCGTCACTGACAGATAGCGGAAGTCAGCGGTTTCGAGGTAATAGAGCGATATAAAATTCTCGGACGATGGATATCGAGCAAGATCCGGGTATTGAGCAGGGATACTGGGATGCGGGGCACTGGGGTCATAGCTGAAGGGATGTGATGGGGCCCAATTTTCATGGATATACAGCAGGATCAAGAGTTTGGTTAGATGGGTATAATTCTTCGCATGGTCCTTGTCTCGGTTCACTGGCGCAAAACAGATGAAGTTCTTCGGTCGAGAACGGCTTCGGTGGAGAAGTGAGGGAGGATAATGCAGAGCTGATGGTGGAAGAGGCGCACGTGAATAATATGACTGGACAATCCTTAGCCAAAATTGAATGTTTCTCGATGAACCTGGATTGTTATTCACATCAATCATATATTCTTCATGGACAGGGGCAATTGGGTGTAGAAACCTGGACAAATAGACACCATCCCTTGGATGCCTCGGCCATTTCCTCGTAATCTAGTCCCGGGCCATTGTCTAGGTGAATTTGTGTGGGGATACCTCCAGGCCAGAGATCTTGGGGTGGATATAGTGGAGTGAGCATGATTTGGGGTTATATAGGTAACGGAAAGTGGGTTAGAGAGGGTGGTGGCAAACCACGACCAGGACGGAAAACCAGGATCGGATTATTGTAAACCCTTTGTGGGGCTAGTGGGTATCATTGGGTCGTTGACGATGGGTCCGACCAGCCGATGTTGGATGGTGGAGTATGGAGTACTACTAATCCAACATCCAACATATTGAGTATGTGCATCAGTCTATCATAGACCGCCAATCCGACGTGGGCTCTCACGAAAGATCCAGATAGGGACAATCGTTCGGGTCTTCGAAGAACTCGCCCCCCAACCTCTTGATCAACTCACAACGCTCCTCCATATCCCTCGCATTATAGAGGATCGCCGCGCCCCTCTTCCACGCCTCACCGTACGTGATGTGCAACACCCAGACGCCACCCGCGGCAGGCCAGCCAACCTTTGTATATGGATCACTGTCCTCGGGGCCCTCCACCGTGAACCAAAAGTCATCATCATGATATTTCACCCAGGTCGCGCCTAGATGTCGCACTATCCAAGAACCTGGCATCAGTACCCCGCTAGACTCGGTTTAGTAGGAATAGAGCACGTAATCCGAGCACAGTGAGCATCCTCCTTTGCCTGCCACTCCGGATCAGATTCCGGCGGATGTCTCGTGACATTAAATCGATCAAGCCCCAGGAAGTCAAGTTCGATCCCAAGGCAATCGTCCAGCCGATAGTATCCGCCCTTGGACGGATAGCCATAGACTCTGGTCCCTGGACCAGTGCCAAATGCTGCCCAGGACTGTCGCTCGGGCGGAGGGCTCGGAATACAATCGATGATGTCTTTTTCGGGTGCCGGGTTATCTGGCAGTGGAATAATTATAGGGGTGTTTAATTGATGGAGAATAATGGTGCGAATTATAAGTATACATGAAAGCATCACGCAGGGGATTAATATGGCCAGAATGCGACGCATAGTGGAGAACGGGGATGGGTAGTCGGGGGTTGACACTGCAGCAAACAGCGGGCATGCGGGCCTTTTTATAAGCTTTAGCCTGATGGGAAGAGATGATTTGATCCGTGCTATCCGCGGGATGCGCATTGGTCAGGTACTTCACATCCCTGCATCTCTAACCCGGTTGCCCGGAAGGAAACACAAGAGCGGGCGGGATTGGCCCCCCACTGCGCTAGATAGCCCTAACCACAAAGCTAACCTTGATACGCTCTAGATTCTCGCGATCAGTACCTCCTAAATTGTTATGATTGGTGGGCAGGGGCCGAGTTATCTCATCCAATCCAAAAGGGTCTCTACACGGCCTAGTGCTATCTCGGTAACGATATCTTCTACCCAGCCGGTGCCGGCACTATGTGTGGCACCAGGACTTTGGTACTAGGTTTCAAAAATAAGATGTACTAACCCAAAGGAGTGATTGTTGCGGTTGTAATCTTTTCATTTTCTTTTTTTTCTTTCTTTTTTTTTTTTTTTTTTTTTTTTTGTGTTGAAAACACGGAGTGAACTATTGCATCATTAACTTGTAAGAATGAGCTGCTATTCTGCTGCCCCAGGCTATATATGACGGTGATGGTGTACATTGTTTCCTAATTGGTATACCAAGAATTACACTGTTGGAATAAAGGAATACTTCAACGGATTCTCTCTGCTCAGGGTCCGATGCATTCTATAAAGGCTGTTATGATCAATTCCGAGGGAGCTGCGCCTATATACAGAGATTTGAACCATTTCGAAACTATGATAATTGGTTTGGATTCCCATGAAGGGTATCTTCGATTCCTAGAATGATATATACCTTTTCGCGGCACAGTGACGAAAAGTCTCTTAGTGTAGTGGGGGCGCTCGTGTCTATATATGTTGCTGAGGTCATCTCTCCTTACTTAGATCTCACTTGATTTCTCGCGCACCCAGGATCATCTTTATTCCAGCCTACTGTGTCGAACGCTGGGTGCTGCGAAGCATGACGCCGTTCATTCATCCGGCTGATATGACGTGTTATGTCATATCGCAACCAAATTTTCCTATACGCGTCCGGTATAACTGTAGCAGTCGAGAATCTGTCAGATTGCAATAAGTCCTATGTGAGGAGAGGTACGCATCCATTGAATCGCCCAGCAATTTCCTCTACCGACTCCCGATGAACTTGGAATTGCCGACAGCGTGGTATCTTGAACAGTCCTCATCATTTTGCCGTTTTCTACGTCGCAGCAACGTCAGGGCCAAGTGAAAGGTCATCAAAACCGGCTTATCCCCATCGTCATTACGATTTAAGAATGACGGACACCCACCTCATTCGTCCAGACTTTTCTCTGCTTCAACACATTTTCCCCGTATATATATCCATATCCTGGCCGGTTCTTTTACCTTCCGCTTTCCGCGACCTTGAGGTAAAAAAGGGGATACCATCTAGTTTATTGTCCCCATTATGCCTTTGGATTTAACCCCCCAAAACATCACATCTTCTTCAAAAAACCAGGTCTCTGCTACAACATGGAACAACCTCCCAGTTCTCAATATTCCTCACACCTCGTCCAGCAGATCCTCAACGAGATCGCCCAGAGAGTCCTAACAATCCGAGACCATACTGAGCTAGTCTTCAAAGATATCAACCCAGTAAATGGCTTGATCCTCTGCCGTAGGTTTGTGGAAAATGCCAATGTTGAGAGGATCCACACCCAGTAACTGGATCCCCAAACAGATATCCATATCATTTGTCCTGACAACGACAAATTAGAACAACCTAGAATTCAAAAACACGCACCCTCTGCGTACGCCTCAGGAACCCCTCCTTGCACGGCATCCAGCAGCAGTGGGGGAAAAATTCCAACATCGACTGGGTGTGCGATGGTCGTATGACGCGTGATGAGGGTTACAGGATGATGGGAATTGGTGTTGGTACAAGTACGCCAAAGACCATGCCCCACAAATCATCCACGCTGATTCATCACTCCAGGATTCGAGGGCTTCACGGGATATATATTATCTTCCGACCAGCCGGATCTCTACGTGGCTGGATATTGGGAAAGCATCCCAAGCATTGTTGTTGAAGCCGGGTGGAGCGGAAGCGGGGATAGACTCCAGGCGGCAAAGGATCTCTGGCTCAGGGGTACATCAGAGGTTCAAGTTGTTGTACTCTTGATATGGAGTAAGACGTTGAATAACAAAGTGGAGGGTATTGCGGAAGTATGGAGTCGAGCTGGCGAGGGTGGTCTTGCTGCTCGTCGTTTGGTAAGACAGTCATCTTGAGGTTTTGTCAGTTGAAGCTAATGTACTGTGCTAGGCTATATTCCCTGAACAGAATCCTCTCCCTTATGACGATCGCATCGAGTTCACAAAAGGTCAATTGATAGGACTGAATACTCCTATCTCGGAACCAAACACGGTTCTGTCCCTTGAGATGTCACAGCTGCGAACGCTTGCTGAATTTGTTATCACACTAGAATTTGGAATGTCCCCAGCATGATAAAGGTGATGCCGGCTCAGGTTGTTACAATTCGCTGAGATTTATCCATACTAATTTCTATTCATGACCCGGGTGAAGGATATATAAGGCATGGCCAAAGTCTAGCTGAGTGGGTATTAGATTGCACAACAACCACAATAAAGCCATATATGGACCATGATTATCCCAATTCATTCTCCCTTAGAGAATGGCGAATGGGATTATGACTATCAAAATTGCTTGTCGAGCTTCTCCATTGCTACTATCCCACAATCATGACTTGCTTCATATATGTGAGTGGAGACCAGATCATAACGTGTATTCAGGGTGTAGGTCCGAATCGAGTACTGTGTTGAAAATTACTTCAAAGTACTAAGTGAGGTCGTCTACTTGTGATTTAGGAGAGCCTGGTAAAGGTCTTTCAATGCGCTTGACAGAGGTCTTTAGAGGCGCTTTATTAGGCCCTTCAGAAGCGCTTGGTTAAGGCTTTTAGAAGTACTTGACATAGCCCTTTCCCAGCGCTTCGTTCAGTTCTTTAGAAAGTGTTTGATGGAGTCCATAATCAGCACATAAATTATTCACTTATGCAAGATACCTTTAACGACATGCTTTTAGAAATGTGTTGCTGGATGGTTAATAAAACGCTTCGCAATGCTTTGGACTTGGCGCTTCCCATAGGCCAGTACCTAGTATTTATCTTATTACTCCGCCTTCTAAATCAGACTGACACATCCTAAGCATTACCAACTGACCAATACCCTTATTACACCGTATCGAAGTGACCTGAAACGGTACTACCATAACTTGCTGAACATGCAATCAGTTTTCAGTCTAACATGCCGAAAGTTTGATACCACAGCTCATCATCCCCCAGACTAAAAGAGTGGGACTGGATCGAAGGTCATGTCGAGTTAAATGAAGAGTTGGTATCAGGAAGGGGTAAGACCCATCTTCCGTACCAGAACCCTTTCGGCAAATAATCGTAGGTCTGAAATTTCAAGTGAGAGCATGCTGTCAGGGTTCGTGATAGCAATATCAGGGCCGAATAATTGCCTCTTTGTGAACTCGATACGGTCGTAGCTTGGAAGAGGATCTGGTGTAGGAAATATTACCTAGGGCTTAAGATTAGTTCCGGACTGAATAAGAGCAAATAAGGAATAAATCATACAAGCTGATGAACAGCAAGGTTCTCTTGATTACCACGCCTCCAGAGCTCTGCTAATCCTTTCACTTTCCCATTCAGGACCTTGGTTCATTTTAGAAGTATAACGAGCCCAACTTCCGTTGTACCTTTCAACCATAAATCTTTATCGGCTCGTAGATTAGGGAAAGACTCCGACCATCCCGGTTCAATAACAATTGATGGCATGTCGCTTACATCTCCACGGAGATATAGATCAGGTTGCTTTACCTTTGAGGCATAAGTGCCAGTAAATCCGGTGAAATTTAATCAAAATTATGAGCCTGCTCGAAGCTGGTGAGCAGTGCAGGTCATACCTGTGTTGACACCAATTCCCATCTCTTTGCCTTCAAGGGCAGTCAACAGACCATCTTGCATCCAGCGACCGTAAGCGTGGATTACCCAGCGCTGACACGCATCATGAAGCTCGGATGGCATGTTTCGTACCCAAAGAGTTCGGTACGTGAGTAGTCGACTCTGATTCATTGTTCAATATCAGCCAGAACGGCTTGTTTGGTGACTGCCTTCTGCCAACAATCCACAAACTAACAAGCCGTCCTCGGAGAAGATATCTTCATAGACATTCTCAATCAACTCACTGGATGTTTGGATGCTTTGTAAAGCTCGCTAAATATAGGCCGAGAACTCCTCTTCTGTGAAGCCTGAGAGCTTGGAACAGCTTTATGTGATGCTTGAAAGTGAGGAACCGGGGGATGTGGCATTTTGAAAGATCAATGCGAAGGAAGCGGGGCTTTACGCTGAAGGTCTGGCCGTTGGTAGGCTATGAATGCAGATGAGTGAACACAGACTGAGGTTGAATGAAGGTGGGTAGTGATAAATGAGTGAAGAAACAAAAAGGATTCCGACAGATAGCATGCGCGGCTATTTATATATTGTGTTGGAGTGGCTACTAAGGCGATTCAACCGTGTAGAATGAGATGGATGATGATCTAGCTAGGGGCCTCGTAGGCCATCTATATGGACTAACTAGCGGTGTAGGGAGGAGCGTCACGTGACCCTACGTTGCCTACCGGCGTGGGAGTCCATCGGGGATCCCAACATATTGTGCCTCAGGGAATTATAAGGCCAGGATCCGGTAGGTGCATACCACAGATCAGGCAAGAGCTTCCACCAGGAAGGTGAATGATTCAATGAATTCATTCCCTCACCAGGCAGCTACCACGTCCACCTGCTCTGCCTCTACCATGATATTGCATCCTGCCGTGAATCCAAATGGGAAGCCCGCAGCTGGGGCGTGGTATATTTGGTCTGTGCAGGACTGTCAGCGCTGGACGTCTCCGGTCTTATACTGCGAGCAGATAGTTGGCTCTAACTGGCCAGTTGTATACTGTCATCGGCAATCCTCACGTGACCCGGTCACATTGGCCACGGTGTTGTTGTCATTTCATCCTGCATAGGCAGAAGCCCTCTAACCAGTCAGCTAATACAACTCGGCTTCTTCTGCTTCACGTTACCAACAGGCTATGAGCCCAGAAGCTAGTTTCGCATTCAATCCAGAACCACAAAGACTGCAGGTTTGAGTCCGGTTCTGATCAACCCGAGACATATTTGTGGTTGGCTGTATAGAGTCTTAATCCCACATACACCTGACAGTCGGTCCGAGAGGGCAATATTAGGAGATGACTTTAGTTGTGTCTCTTCTCCAGAAGGCAGAGGTATATCGTTTTGGTTTACTGGTATGAGATTGATGTATACTGATGATAGATAAAATGAAGAACTTGATGGTCCCAGCTAAGGAGGGGCTACGAAGGGATATTTATACTGCGAGATCAGGATCTAACGGAACTGGCCGTTCGAGCTGTTCCGTAGGATTGCTGATAGTCTCCGGTTGCCCAAATGGGACCGCCCGTGAGGCTATCACAAGGTATGATCCGCTTTGCGGAAACCTCACCGAGGAACCGGCGCTCACGTGATCTGAGAGAATCAGATAATGCGGGACCTTAGGCGCAACAAGAACCTTTCATTGAATAAGCATAAATGTGACCCACTCCTCCCTTGAAAGGCATTCCCTAATATAATGAACTAGGCCCTGGCCTGCGGATGATTGGAGGTTGACCTTCTCGGTTTTTCAATATTTTGCTCTTGGTATGTAGATGCAGTGAATGTTGAAGTGGAAAATAATAAGAATTGGGTGGGATTTATTTATCTCTTTTATTTGATAGTCGTACTTTGCGTCTAGTGGAGCTGGTTGTTCGCATTAAATAGACATTTTGTGTTGGAAGATAAGAGGAATTCATGTTTGGTAGTGAAGTTTAAGGAGGATATTGTCAAAAAGACATATTGAATCACATCTATCCCTAGTATGCTTATAGATTTGACTTCATAGTAAGATTAGAATCTGTGCAAATTGCCTAGGGAAATTGCAGATGTGCCACCCATTGGCAGTACCACACTAGGGGCAGGTAATCACATGTTGGGACAACTGTTGACCATTCATTCAGAATGGAAAATGTCCCCTATCATCAGCACGGTCAAATCATGTTAAACACTCAAAGCCCCAAACCCAAACCCATACCCAAAAGATCTATCATCATCTTTAGGCCCCTCCACAGCAGCTTCCAGATTGTCACAAAGAAACTTATGGTCGTACTTGGAAACATTAATTTCTCCCCTCCAAATAGAATCTAACCTCTCCTTTTGCAGGTGACGGACAATGACCTTATCGCAATGCAGCCGCAATTTATACGTCGCGGTATACCGGTCTTCAAATTTTGAAAAGCTGGGCTGCCATTGTGGGTAGCGTCGGAAATACTTTCCCGTCCAGAGGGTAAGTGTGAATAGCTGGGAGACTTCGATCCCGGACTGTTTTCTTTGTTCGAAGAAGTTATCTCCGAGGGCTTGGACCGATTTGTAGTTGATGGTGGGTTTGATGGGATTCTTGATGTCGGCGAGGCCTAGTTCGAAGTGGATGGAGAGGTCTCTTAGGTTTTTGAAGCCTTTTGCGAGGTGGTGGAGGATATAATCTGGCTGTTCATGGTTAGGTTGGGTCGTTTTAGGGGGGAGGGGCTGTGTGACATACCCACTGATTTTCTCCTCTGTTGACGCACACTTTGAGGGATTTAAGATTGGGACAGTGAAGGTCCAGATGTTCAAGTTCCTGCGCTGTAGGTGCTCGTCGCTGAGCCTGGCTGTGGGCGAGCTCGTCTTCATGCAAACACAGAGTAGATAGATTGCGGTGGTTGGCAATAGCCTCAATGGAGCATCGGTGCCCTTTCAGCTCGAGGGTTTCGAGCGAGTTGAACGATAAAAGAAGCTCGTCGAGTCCCGCCATATCAGGGAAACTGTCCCCCGCCCACGCAGACACTTTAAGGGTAGTGAGGCGGGTCGCATACCCTGCTAGACGGCCAAGGACGCCAGTGGTGGTATCTGGTCCTACAGCCAGCGACGATAATCTTTCCCATTGGACGCCATCACGCCAATACTCCCATTCTTGGTCTCCGATGCAGTACCCATCGAAAGAAAGATGCTGCAGCGGGGGAAACGTCTCTTCTCCAGTAAGCTGGAAGGAAGTGACTCTGTCATGTCTTGGCGCCAGGATGACACAACCCCCATAGATCCCTGATACCTCAAGCGAAAATGAGCGAAGATTTGGACAGTTGAAAAACAATTGTTGGATTGTGAGTAGTCTCCGGGTTGGGTCTTTTGGCTTGATATATGGGTTGACATTTGCGGAGAGAGTGGAGACGCAGGGCAGGGTTTGGTCTGCAAATGTACAAGTTTCACTTTCTCCGCTTTGTCGCAGTAGCAGAAGCTCTGGCTTAGCGGGGTGGTTGCAGATGGTGTGAGCTAGGAGGTCTGACTGAAGTTTCGGGATCGCGAGGGTGATGCGTCGAAGGTTCGGCAGACGGGCGATCAGCTTGATCAGGTAGTCGTCAGTCTGGAGTCGATGGACCGAGTCCTGGCTAAAGGAGCCAGCGGGGTATGAAATGTTGACTTCTTGCACCAAGGCACGGAGAGCATCGTTTCTGTCGTCTCCTAGCCGGGACAGTAGAAGGGCATGCCCTTTTAGGGGGGGCTGTTCTTCATCGTATTCCTTGAAGCGCGGCCGCCGCACTGGGCAAGGGTCCTGCCATTCAATAAGATGAATAGATCGGTACAGGAGAGGTGTTGCGATCAGGTTGAATGCCTGAGAGACTAAGCAGAAATTCTTCAGGTCGCGGATAGCTAAAAGGTCGAAAATGAGTCGCCATACATCCAAAGTTAGGTGATATTGGGTAAGCATTGCCTTTGTCGAAGAAAGGGTGTCGCAATAAATCAAGTACACTGTCAGTTGGGCTGATGGATGTTGCGACTGGTCTCTCCAGGCAGCAATGCTGGACAAGAGGCAAGGCTGAGTTCTGGTGCAAATCGGCCAAGATGACACACAGCTGGGCCGGACAGCAAGGGAGCTAGACCTAAAACAGTCATTGCAAGTAGTAGTCCGGTACTAATCTTCATTATCTGAAATAATTCCGGCATAATACATATGAGAACTTCGAGGTCATATAGAGGAAATTGACCATAGCCATCACATAGTCTCAAGGGAGTCCTGTCTGTTGTTGCAAACTGTCCTAAACTATGCAACGAGCAGCGTGCACTATACACGTGACCGGCCGATATAGGAACGGCTGTGACGGCTGCCACGTGACCAAATCTGCTGTATGGCTGCCAGTGGCTATGCTCAGGTTATGGCAATGAAACACTACAGTGAAAATCATATCTCGCAGTATCATATCCCGTAGCCCTGTCTGGCAATATCGAAACAGAGATACAGACAGCTAATCGATAATGCTTCGCGCTGCTGTAGAAACAAAAGACATTTCTTTGTATAATCATGCGACTGGGTTGCAAAAGTGTCGAACATACCACAAAGAAAATTTTACTGGCCACTTGATATTATTGCTTATAGTATCTAGTTGTTGTATCTTGATTATAGTAGTTTGTCAACATGCAGGTCCGCTAACGTGAACTACGTGGAGCTCGGGTAAACCGAACAATGGAGAGCATATGGCTTACTTGGATCAAGAAGCCATGTGGCCCATCCATATTTCCACTTGAGCTGTCTCTCGCAATTCAATAATCCCCTTGCCAAATCCCTCCATATGCTGAAATGGCTGGAGGTTCACCCCTGGCTGGTAAGCTTACTCTGGTTACCGAGAAGAGATATACAGTCAACTCTATTACCTTGAAGCCCCCGGGTTCATGGTCCATCGCCTCATCCATCTATTGCAGCCTTTGGGCACCCAGGCCCTGATGCTGGGCTTGCCTGGCTGAAGGCTTTACGAGGGGACGTGGAATACCAGATATAGGAGCTTCCATTTGTGGCTCAACTTACGAACTCTCTGTATCTTGGTGATACGTCTGTCCAGTAGGCATCCGAGTCCATTTTTAAGTATGCCGTTGGCCGGCCCGCTCGCATCACTTACGATCGTCAGGATGGCGCATGGCAGGAAGTTGGGGACGGTGGAGGGGGTGCTGGTGGTGCTGGTGGTGCTGGCGGTGGCCGTCGTCGCCGCCGTGGTTATCTTCCTGGCCGTCGTCGCCATGGTGGTGTGGGGGGAGAGGGAGGGGGAGGGGGAGGGGGAGGGGGAGGAGATGGTGATGGTGGTGCTGGTGCTGGTGCTGGTGCTGGTATTGGTGGGGATGCTGGGGGCGCTGGGGTTGCCGGGGGTGCCGGGGTGGTCAAGGCCGTGGTGGGGGAGGCGGAGGGCGAGGAAATGGTGATCGTGGTGGCAGACAGGGTCCAGGCTCTGGGTCGGATGATGATATGATTGTTGTAGGTTAGCTTTTTGTAATCAATTATTAAATATACATTACGATTACCTGCACAAACCTTCTCCGGGGTGGCGCAATGCTCACCCAAGTATGACCGTAGTTAAACCGGCTGTCATATAATTCCGAGGTATGACGTACAAGAATAAATTTTTTGCCAGGAACTTTTCGTAAGAACAGACTATTCTCCTCATGAGTCAGATCACTTCCACCTTCCATGGCTTCGGGGACAGGATATCGATGTAAAAACCCGGCAAGGGACATCCTTGATTTTGATTCCAGCGGTCTTCCATGTGATTCCACCGGCATATTGACATTACCAAGAGAGTCGAGAAGCAGGGCGTCCATGAACCCCCTGGCTAGTCGATTCCCCCTTGAAATCCTTCAAGAGATTCTCCTCGACCTGGATCTAGCCAGCTTGGGGATGCTACGTCTAGTGGACACGGTATCTGAATGTCTAGTCGACTCGCTTCCCGCATACTCACTGTTGAAGGCTCATGCCAGTGAAGCCCTCTGTCTCATGTACGAGATGAGATGTACCTCCTATTTCTCCATCCGAAAGCTCTTCAGCGAGTTTTGCAATCCCCGCTGTCTGACCTGTTCCGATTTCGGGCCCTTCCTATACATCCCGAATTTCACCCGTTGCTGCTATAAATGCAATTTCACCCGACACTCATATGAACTGGCTCGAGTGTCCGACATCCGCTTCCGTTTCGGTCTCAGCGAGAAAGACCTACAACCCATCCCCATCATTTACAACCTATCACAGCCCCTAGTTCGCCTAGCGCGCATCGCTCCAGCAAGAGCCTTAGGGAAAAGGATCCATGGCAGCAAGGAAGAAATGGACCGCGCATACGAAGAGCGTGTGGCGGAACACCGGAAGAGCTATGAGCGTCGGATGGAACAATGGGAAAACGACAACAGACAAGGAATACACAGGGCCCGACCCCGGTTCCGACCCGTTCGTCAACAACTGGGCATTGAAAACGATGAGACATGTTTGTGCTTAAATGCCACGGTCCCATTCCCGTACTGGGATCGCAAAACGCCGACTTTGGAGCCGGGGACCTACTGTCGGGCTTGCACCCATCACTAGGAAGAAGGCATGGTGAGCGACTGGACAGACCCGGATGAGGTCTGGCATGCACACCCTCCGAGCAGAGAGGCATATTATCGAGCGTTTTTGGAGGATGATTTGCCTGAGCATTTTCGAACCTGTACTGCATTGAAGCGGAACTATGACCTTGAAAGCAGCTATGTGTGGCCGGATGATTATAGGAGGGAAAGGATTGATTTTATTGTGAGGCCTAAGGATACGCCTGATCTGGGATGATGGATCAAGTTCATTCTCTCTGCTCATGACATCGATGTGGATCAGGTTTACTTTTCAAGGGGATGATCAGTGGATCTGCGCACAGGAGCTGTTAAGACTTGCTACTTTTTTAGAATCTTTCCGAATACATCAGTGGGTCATTATAATGTCTCCACTTGCTAGATGAGGAATAGCTCACTTCAGACCCTGAGTGCCTGGGGCCACATATAACTCATGCCTCAGGCACCATGTCAGCATGGTACACTTTATCAGTCTACCTCACAATACAGCCTCATTAGCCCACTGGAAGTACAGTGTATGGCATAAGACTTCTGATTAAAACAAAGAGATATCCACAGTCTTACTAGTGTACTCGATTTTTGACTGCGGTACGCCTACGGTCTTCGTCATACCCGCCCGAAATATATAACTGGGCTCACCTCCCCCTCAACTCCGACACAACACCTGCCCGGAGACATGAATCATGCTCATAGTTTCATGTACCTTGCGTCTACGCATGTCAATAATTATTCATCTATACTTCCCTCGCAAATACAGGCCAATCACTTGATATCTTTTAGAGATCCCCCACCAGATCCTACAATCATAAGATCGGGTCCCGCCGGCAATCCTTCGCGCCCTGTGGATGACAACCCATTCCTAAATTAGGCCCCAGAGCGGGACCTGATAAATCCCTCAACGAGCCTAATCAAACCTCGATTAAAAGCTAGATATGCCCTCCCGGCTTAATCTCCGCCGGATATATAATCTTGAACTCGATCTCACCTACCTACACCTCTGCACCAACACTACCAACACCAATCCCAACACAACACACCAAACCATGGACGAAATCTCACCCATCGACCCTGAAAGCCCACCAGATAACCAAAACACCACCCCTCCCGCAACAACAATCACCCCCCTCCAGTTCGACCCACCACCCCCCCAACGCTCCACCCTCCGCACAACAAGCATAATCCTCATTCTTTGCGTATAACTCCCCTCCAACCCCCAACCTTACACCCACTAACATTAAGACCTACAGCTAACCCTCTTCATCTCCGCCCTCGACCAAACCATAATCTCCACCACCATCCCCACAATCACCAAATCCCTCAACTCCGCAGCAGGGTACACCTGGATCGGCGCCTCCTACCTCCTCGCCATCTGCGCCGCCAACCCCATCTGGATCCGAATCAGCGACATCTGGGGGCGAAAGCCCGCCCTCCTCTCCACAATCGTCATCTTCGCGATTGGAAGTCTTCTCGCCGCGACCAGCAGGACAATGGCGATGTTGATCGCCGGACGCGCAGTGCAGGGACTCTCAGGTGGGGGACTCATGGCGCTGGTGAACATCGTGATCTCGGATTTGTTTAGTATGCGCCATCGAGCACTGTATATTAGTGCTACCGCTTTGGTATGGGTGTTGGCTGGGACCACGGGGCCGGTGATTGGCGGGGCCTTGGCAGAGTTTGTGGGGTGGAGGTGGTGTTTTTGGATAAATTTGCCGGTTTGTGGGGTTGCGTTTATCATCGTGCTTTTATTTTTGGACCTACACAACCCGCGTACGAATCTCTCGGAGGGATTGAAAGCGGTTGATTGGTTGGGGGGTATTTCCATCCTTGCTGTCATTCTGCTTCTTCTCCTAGGGTTGGATTTCGGGGGTGTGAGTTTCGCTTGGTCTAGTGCGACGGTCATATGCATGATTGTTGTGGGGACGGTACTGATAGGTATGTTTTTGTTTGTGGAGAGAAAGGTGGCGCGGTATCCGCTCATGCATCTCGGGGTATTCAACCATTGGGAGAATGTAGCCGTGATACTTGTGGCCGCGGCACATAGTATGGCTACGCGAGGAGCGGAGTATTATCTCCCGTTTTACTTCCAGTCTGTGAAGGGGGCGAGTCCCACGCGGAGCGGGGTGTTGGTGTTACCTATGATGATTGCCGCGTCGGTGAGTGATGTTGTTGTTGGGGTGGTTGTGCATAAGACGGGCCGGTATCGAGAGGTTATTTGGTTGGGAAGTGTGGTGTTGACGCTGGGGACGGGGTTGTATGTTCTGCTTGGTGTGGATACCTCGCTTGCGGAGATTATAGTGTTTCAGGTGGTTGGTGGGGTGGGATTATCGTTGTTGTTGTCGACGCCGATGTTGGCGATACAGAATACGGTGAGGCAGGGGGACGTTGCGGTGGCGACGGCGACGTTGGGGTTTGTGAGGAGTATTGCGACGTCGTTGGCGGTGGTTATAGGGGGGGTGGTGTTTCAGGATAGTATGGCGATGAGGAAGGGGGGGTTGGTGGAGGCGGGGCTGGATGCGGAGTTGGTGGGGTTGTTTGGCGGGGAGGATGCGGCGGCGAATGTGGATGTTATTGGGAGTATTGGGGATGTAGGGCAGCAGAGGGCGGTCAGGGAGGCGTATGCGTGCAGTATTAGGAATATGTTTGTTTTGTATACTGCGGCTGCGGCGGTGGGGGTGTTGGCGGCGCCGTGGGTGAGGCAGAGGGTTATGAGTGGGGAGCATACGGAGACGAAGACGGGGGTGGAGAATATGAGGGAGAGGGGGAAGGAGTGAACTGTTGAGAATTGTGGGTTGTTTTATTTGTGAGATTGATTGGAGGTATATACAGAAGAGGCGTGGAAAGAACGAATAATTTCAGCAGTCAAAGTTGGGGTCTAGGATCGACAGAAATCTTGTAGAAGTGAATGTGAGAATATGATGACTGACTACCAAATACATAGGAAAATTTGGATGAGGCAAGACTCTCAGCGATCATTAACTCGATCTCTCTGTGCAGCCACCCGCTGATCACGCAAATGCTTCTGGAACTGGACAGTCATCTTCAGCACGCGCTTTATGTGCGCCAGCTTTAGTTTGCCCCCATAGTTGTCATCGGATTTGGCCAGCGCTCGAGCTGACGAGACGATGTTCCCTAAACAGACAGATCAGCTATGTGCCTTAGTTAGTGTGTGACAGTTGACGCACGTATTTGACGTCCATCGACCTCTTCATCGAATTCTTCCTCAATCCAGTTCCTCATTTCTCGCAAGTCTGCTATCTCTTTCGGACGCTCATTTATGAACTGTAAGAATAGTTGACGTAATTCGTCGAGCTGCATGTTGTTGTAGCGCATTGCTAGGTGCACTCGAGATTGGACGGCGACGTCGAAAGTCTTGATCCGGTTGGTTGTTAGGATTAAGATGCCGTCATAATATTCGAGGATGCGGAGGAACACTGAGGAAGTTAGACTGAACGGGTCCAATTTCGAGTGGCTTACCTGTCACTAGAGAATTGCGGTTTAGATCCCCCTTGTCCGTTCCTCGAGATTCCAGAAAGACGTCTGCTTCGTCACTGTAATATAGGTTAGTATAGGTATTGCGGAGAGGCAGGGGTGAACAACGAATGGGAACGCTGCAACATACAACAACAAAATAGCCTCCCACTTTGAAGCCAAACTGAACACCTGTGCCAGCTTGCTTTCTACCTGGTCGGGCTTCAATCCAATGTCACTAACGCTCACAGCAAAAAGAGGCTTTCCGGTTGCCTGGGCCACGCTTTCTACATTATATCAGTATTCGCACGCTTCTTGCGGAACGTCTTTACATACCTGCTGTTGATGTTTTGCCGACACCCGGGGGACCTATACAATGTTAGTGGGGGTATACGAGGACAGGAGGTGTACTACCATGAAGAAGGATGACAAGACCTCCTCCCTTCCCCTCAAACCAGTCATCATTACCCACCTTGCCCCCATCCTCCGCCTTCTTCTTCTTCTCATGATTAGCAACAAGGCTTTTGATCAGCTTCTTGGAAGTCTCTTCCATGATCAACTTGTCAAACGCATCCATCCGAATCTTCTGTTTAATCTCATGCACGCAGTCGACCGGCATCTGAACCCATTTCTTCGATTTCATGCTGTATCCCAAGAACCTGGCCGGACAGATAATAAACTGATCTTCGTCAAAGTCATCGGTAGCCTCGACATCGTCGTAGTTGAACTTCATCATGTTCTTCAGCTCCCTAGATTTCCTACACTCTGAACAAGTGCATTCATAGATGTTGTCGGTAATTTCCAAGTCCCCCATCGGAGCTATGTCATCAGCCGCAGCATATTGGATGAATGATCGATGGTCCACGATGACCGGCCCGGTGAGCTACTAACATTAGACAAGAATTTGAGCAGTAGGGTCAACACTTGCCCGAGTCGACCGATTCCCACTCTGATCAACGGTTTCCAGCCCGCTGTTACTATTCGCGTCGAACTGCTAATGTCGGTTAGCGGCTGACAGACTACCAGTCTATTGGCCTACATTTGAGTTGTTGGGAACGAGGTCATATCCTGCCTCCTTACTAATTATCGGACCATCGCAGTAGAACAGTTGGGAGCCTTTCCGTGCGACACAAAATTCACGAAACTTTTCACCTCGTTTTCGGAGGGTTTGGCGAAGCTCATGCACCGCGGGATTGCCATTTCTGTCCATGTAGTTTTTCAAAGGGTAAAACTTGAGCGTGTTAATAGCCTTGGCGCCGGTATACTTGTCAATTTGGAGAGTTGCGGAAACGCGATTGAAGGTTTCCCCGTTCCAGTCATAAGACCAGCAGGTCAGACTAAAGTAACTCTTATCCGTTCCATTTCGCGCCCGGTAATCCTCATAAGTATATTCGCGAGCGATAAAGACCTGGGGACAGTCGAAGACGACATGTGAATAAACCATTTCACCCGGAGGAAACAGAGTCCACAGATATTCGAACGGAATCTCGGCATTCTTGGACCACTGATCTCGCTTCTGAAAATACGATTCCAGCTCAGAGGTTGACCTAACCCTCTCGAGTAGCAGTTGCAAGTCTGCAGCGTCGACATTCGGACTTTCAGCATCTCCAGCGCTCGCCGCTTCCTCCAACTTGTCCCAATCCCAGACCAGAATGTCAAACTTGTCGGAGAAGCTGTTGTAGCTGGTCACGGAGGATGGTCGACAGGTACTCTTGATGAGATTCTCCAAGCCCGGAGAGCTGATGATAGCATTCGAGCCGGTGTACTTTTTGGTCTCATCGAATGATCTCCGCCAGGTGAATGCGTACGGTAAGCTCGGCTCTGATCCTTTGTTCGTGGGAGGTAGATTCGAAGGCACGTCTTCGAACACGCCTTTCTCCTCGTTATAACGTGAATCCAGAAGCCTGATTCTGGGATTTCCATCCGTCCCCTCCTCTTCCTTCTTCACTGGTTCTGCCTCTTTGTCCTTGGTCTCGTTCGTCTCCGTGGCCTGTAGACAGTAGTTAGAACACTCAACACCGATATCAGTTCCTTAAGCGATCTTTGGAGTTGACATACGGCGGTCGGGGTGGCTTCAATAGAGTTGTTCTCCTTCTCAGGCTCAGTAGCCACGGACGGTCCCGGTTCCTTTACCTCGGCAGTGACATTTGACGCGACCAGCTTCTCCAACTGCGCAATCCTTTGCTCCAGTAGACTGATATACTTTCTCTCCAAGGATTGTACCTCATCGCTACCAACCGCGGAATCCCCCATGGCGAAGATGTCCGTCCACGTTGGCCAAAAGAGTCGCGGCACCCGACCGGAGGAGGCTTCGTAATAAGCCTGGAGAAGTGCATAGCAGAAGGAGTCGATAGCTTATCAATAGGATGCACAGGAACGTGGTGGAGGGGCACGGGATGTCGGGGGCGGATAACCGCCCCAGGATCGCGATCCCTGTCTTCTTTCCGTCTTATCATTCATTCCTCGGCGTAGCCTGTGGCTTTCTGCTTACTTTTATTGCGTTGGGCGGCATATTCTGCCAACTCATTTAGCAATGGTGTGTTGAATCCTTCGACTATGCAGTTCCTCTAGCTGACGGTCGACAAAGGCAGTTCCCGTCGAATCACAGAGACAGAAAGGGGAATAAACCGAGGGGGGAGAAGTGGGAAGCACCTCTTGTTCTGAACCCACGCTTGGATGCGTGGGGGCGGGAACCGCACCGCCCCATTTGCTGCTGGTTGCTCCCAAGTGTGAGCAGGATGCGCCTGCAGAAATCGCGCCTTATCTCCCCCAGCTAAGGTGGGCTGTGCCTGGTGGGTTACCTTTCCTCAGAATAGTGTGTCGTTTCTCATCTGGCTCGAGTGGACAATCTTACTCCTAGAGCCCAACCTCTCCAGCCCAACCTCAGTCAGCCGAACGATATTCCGTCATGCTCCCGATGAACCGCGAGTCTCCCAACACATTAGATAAATTCTTCGATGGGGAAGAATACACCAGCAAGGACAAGTACGTGAAGACACGCATGCCATTAGCACCTTGTCTAATCCCCGCGATCTTCAAGCCCCGTTTTGCAGCGCACCCAGAATTTCCGTTCAACCCAGCTCAAGTTCTGGCGGAGGGTGCGAAACACCCTACGCAAGGGTGATCAGGAGAAAGTCGACCAGGCTGTAGAAGACTATAATGTCGAGTACAGTATTGCAGGTCTAGAGCGTTTGGTGAGCGAATACCTCCCGACAGTAGACACCGCCAAAGAGAAGCTTGACGAGCGGCGCCAACAACGCGATAAGATACTTTCTACACGTGTTCAACGATTTGTAAACACATTCTCTGCTTTCTTGAGTTGTTACTCGCAGGTTATGACCATTATGATTGCGGTCGATACCCAGTTTGGAGGAGTCGCAGTCCAGGCCTTATCGATCCTTCTTGTGGCAAGTTTCTAGCCCTTGCACTTTGCTACGATGCTTATAGTCAAATAGGTTGCAGTCAACAAGCAGAAAAGTGAAGACCAAATAGAAGGCTTACTGGCAAACTTTAAGAATGCTTTCCCACGTCTTCAAGGCCTCCGGAATATATACCCAACACCAAGAATGCAGGAACTCATCGCCAAAGTCTACACGGATGTTCTTAGCTTTTCTGAAATGGCAGTTGAGTACTACCAGAAGCCAGCTTTAGGTAATATCATTGAAGAACATATTCGCAGTGTGCTGATTACCGGCAGAACGACTGTGGCAAGCCGTCGCCAAGCCTCCCGAGATGGGAGTGAAGATAGCCGCCGACGGGATTGTGGCGGAGCTGGCAGAAGTGAAGGAGGAACGAGACTACCTGCTCAACCAACGTGTTTATCGTTTGGAGCAGCGTGTCGCGGCGCTGACGACGATGGCCGAGGATGGGCAGAAACGGACTACGGCGATTGAGGGAAAGGTGTCGACCATAGGAAAGGGTGAGAACGGATACCTTATACACTACTACTTCCTATCCTCTGTTCCTGCGTATCTGACCAGATCTAGATATTGTCCAGATGCAGCAAAATGAGAGCCAGGATCTACTGGCAAGTCTACGACAAGCGCTTGTCCCGGACGACTTCTCTCATGAACAGCACTTGGAAGAATATCAGTCTCAACTGCAGGCTCGTTTCAGATACGGTTGTGGAATCAAGGACATAGCGACCAACAGATTATACCAATCCTGGAGACAAAGCGACCAATCTCGAACCCTCATCCTGCGGGGTCGCACAGCACAGACGAATTCCCCATTGTCCTGGCTCAGCTCTGCAGCTGTCGAATTGGTTGAGAGTCTCCGCACAGAAGAAGGCGACTCTGTAATGATTGCTTACTATTTCTGCCGACGTGAAGGCATGGAGGATGACCATATGCATACCGCACTTGCTCGCATGGTTTATCATCTCTTCAAGATGCGACCGGCTATGTTGAAAGATCGCCAAACCTACCAAGCATGGGTGGATATACTCGAAAGTACCAAGTGGCAAAAGAAAGACATCAAAACAGCGTGCGAACTGTTCGTCAGTGTACTGGATCAACTGGATCGGGTCTACCTAATATTAGACAGACCAGAGACATGCAAGGCCGGCGATCCCGGGCTTTCGAGGATACTCGAGGAGTCACAGCGCTCAGCGTGCGTCTTGAAAACCTTCGTTGTTGTTGACAAGGATACAGCCGATCGGGGTGAGGTTGAGAGCTGGAAGGAATCTGCCCGTGCCAAAACATTGGATATCATCGATCTTGACCAGTAGCTTGTTCCCTGACTACCATGTTTTGGAATCATGCACATCATTGTACTGTGTTGTATAAGCCTCCAGTTTATATCATCCATTCTTCTCGCATTCTGTCCCTTGTCTTGTCCAACGGGGCATTTCCATAAAGTTCTTACACCTAAAGCGGTTATTAGGCAACATCCTCCCAAGCAGGAAAGTTCCATCGGTAACTTCCATAATTACTCCCATGAAAAAACTTCACGCCTATAAAGCCCGTCCCGTGAAGAATTTTAACTCCATCCATCTATCGACTTGAAATGCGACCTTCCATCCTCCCATCAAAAGCTCCCATCAAATACAATTCAACGACAACCACTCACCACCAACCCACCCACGGCCCCCTCCTCCACCCACCGACACAAACCCCCCAATGTCCGGAACACTAGACCTCTACATAACCATCTACGAGGAAGAAAACCGCCCCTCCCACTGGGCCCTTTTCTTCGACGACGGCTCTCTAAATGACAAAACCCTCCTAAGCGTCAAATACGACCACCGCTCGCATCTCAAATTCCACACCGAAACCCGAAACCCGCGAATCTTATATAACCAAGACGAACTCATCCTAGTGGGCACCTTCAACGCCACTGATATCAGCAAAGTCAATGCTATTGCACGGGGCATCAGACCCGAGGATCTTCACATCGATCGGCTTAATTGTATTAGATATGTGAGAGATGTTTTGGATACGTTGGAGGTGAATAGAATTGTGGGGAATGAAGTGGTGTATTGGATACAGAAGTCTTTTATTAGGGCGAGGATGGAGAAGGGAGAGGTTGATTATGAGGTTGAGTGTTTGGTGAGGAAGAGGAGGAGGGATACCCCTGTTGTTATTACGTATGGGGATCGGGGGTAGGGAGGTGTTTGAGATGGGTTACGCCCGGGAAATTAGAGCTATATAAGTTAGATCTCGATTGGTAGGATAGGTTGAAGTGTTCAGACATTTGCTGCGGGGTAGAGTACACATTGGGACGCTGCACGGTTCTCTGATTTATTCTCTGATTTATTCTACCATGAAGGGATGGAGACCCGGAGATCCACCACCGATTGATTGATTGATTATTGCCTTATCCCCGAAGGTAGACTCTTCAGAGTACTCCTTCCGAGTCGCCGATGGCCGGCCAGGTCACGACTGTAGATTATATATACATAGAATGCAGACCCTTCAGCACCGTACTCCCTCGATCATCACAAAACTCCCTCCATATCAACCAACCCTTCGTAGATTCACCAGTTGTGCCCACTCTTTCGTAGATGGTTCGCATGAGGAGACCCACCACCGATAACCCGATTCCTGGTATTGGTGTCATCGGGAATTTCCACCGGGAGGGAAAAAGACTAAGATTATTCGGAGCGCATTACTGATTTGTTTAGATGATGTTGTGGGTTGATCTAATACATGCATAACTATGCTAGCCTTAGCATCATCCGGACCGTATCATTAGGGATTCATAGTGTTCGATCGATTGACGGCCTAATCGGGATTACACAAGGATAGGGTCGGTCGCGGGTCAGGCCGGAAACCTGCCGTCGCGGTCGGGTTGTGCCGAGCTCGAGGAGGATTGGTATTGGATGGTAGGCCGAATACATTGTGCAGTGGTCTTGGGATGGGCAAGATGGTACCGAGAGCTAGGGAATAGGAGGACAGAGAAATCAGGGAGATCAAGGAGTCCGATAGGCTCACCAATGTTGACTGAGGTCTTTTGAAGGACGCGTGATGTATAATTTCGGATTCCTTCCCAGATTGTTATGGATCGTCATATGTAGAAATGCCTTGGTAGGACAAATAGTTAAACTGACGTGTTCAAAAAGAAGGGATGGGGGCGGGGGGGTGGAAAGCAGCGATTACCAAATTTACGCCAAAATAGGTATTCTATCCTTGTCCATGATAAGAAAAATTGCAGCAACGCGAGAAAAACATGCAACAGGTCACCCCCGGCGTGCGGCTTAAGTACGGCTGAGCGGACGGGAAGCCCTGTTCTCCCTCCACACCCTGTGGTCGTATGTACTACTCACTGCGTTTCCTTGAAATACATGGTGCAACTCTGGCTCTTCCTGTAGATCGGAGTTTCTGATATGAATTGATTTTCAGTCGTTCCCTTCAAACTGCCAAAGTCCTCAAGTTGGTTAACTTTTCCACGAGCCCCAAAGAGAATTGAAGAACAAACCGCTTATTCCTTGCTTTTCAACATCTTATTCTGAACCTCGTAGGAGATATAAGCTACTAGTTATCGTGGATCGGCTCAATTACTTGGTTGTTACTTGAACCACGCCGAGTCAGATCTAGGCCCAAGTCCATGCGCAACCCAGAGAACGTGCACTCCCAGGTACATAGTAGTACTCTGGGGACGCTTTTTCCCTCTGCACTCATCGCCATGCGCGATATATGTCTCTTTGTCTACTTGACGGTGAGTGACTTTGACACCTACCGGACTCTACTTTTAGAAGGTCGGGTAAGGTCGGGATTAAACCATGTGCCCGAAATAGGGTTGCTGAGATTCATGATTTTTTGACCCGTTGCAGCAATATTGAAATATTGCAAGGCTCAGGCCGTTCAAATTCTTTCAATCACGTGATAATAATGGATCCTTGACTGACTAATCAATAAAAAAAATTGCGGGTATTCGTTGACACGGTTAGTGGGGCGCCAGAAACGGCTCCCATTGCACCGCCCGCCTGCCGCCCGCCACCGCCTGCCACCCCGGGGCCTGTCCCTACCCAATCGAGAAAGATGCGAATTCGTATTTTAGTCTAGTGGGGAAACCAACACAAGGCGGATGGGTCAGCGTATGAATATACTACTACTCATCTGTGGCTCCGCCGTCGTCAACTTACACGGAATATTGTGGCCTTCGGCCCAGAACTATGTCTTTTAACGTACTGAGATTTAGAGGCCCTCTGCATTTCTTTTGCCGATGACAATCCGGCAGACTGTTCATAAGGACTTCAAGTTATGAAGGCAGCTACTGTATAAACCATGATCCTGCATTTACTTGAGAATTTTTCAATTATTACATTACTGCCAGTCCATATTATTCCTTCATGCGTAGGCATGCAATTCCTCTCACCTTCATTATTAGACAATACAAAGTCGTTTTCGCTTGTGCAGTTCTCTACATGGATGCCTCCCGGGTGACTTCACCCGCCTTTTCATAGGTCGGTGATTCAGTTTCGAGCAGTGAAAGTCAATGATCAGGGCCCGTCCCAGCTCGGCGTTCCACAGAATATTGTCCGACCGGAGGTCCTGGTGTGAGACTCCCAAGGAACAGATCTCCTTCTCAGACCTCGCAATCTCACGTGTGATCGTAGTATCACGCTCTATCTTATGTATGGGCTCACCCCCCCAGGCCATGATAAGCATGTGGCAGATCTCGCCAGCTCCATGTACGAAGTAGGATTTGGCCAAATCGATTGCCCCCAGAAAAACAGGAACAGCAGAAGCCTGTGCTTGGTCGAGTACACGGTATACGACTTCCTCACGTTTGACCTCCTCCCACCGTCGGGGAGTTGTTCCTTTACCGACCATAGTATATCCATATGCCGTACAAGTAACTTTAAATGGGACTCCCGATGCGCCACAACCCCCCATTGGTGTACAGTCTCGGTCGATATTTTCATCTAGTTGCTGTTTGAGTTGCTTGATCAGCGTTTTAGCATTGATGGGGTGTTGGCTGCTGTCCCCCCCCTGTCGGTGGAGCATGATATTTGGGCAATTAACATCCAGCTGACCACCTCGTTGCAGGCTACGTAGACATTTCTGGGTGCAAAACTGTGCGGTATGCTGCTGACCTTGGCTGCCGATCGGGGTATATTGATCTCCCGCCAGATGTGCTGATCGTTGAGGAGATGGAGACGAAGAAGAGGATGCAACCTGACTGAAGCCACGCTTCCTTCCTCCTGGAGCTTGATCTGCGTCAGAGTCAGAATCATGACGTGATGTCAGATTCGGCGACGCGCAGCTAGCTCGAGACCGGGTGGGTATTCGACGGGTGCCGGCAGGGGATGGAGCAGGAGACGAAGACGGTATATATTCTGATGTAGTAGATTCGGAGCTCGTATACTCCGATACTGTATATTGTGAATCAGGTGGGTTTTGTTGCAATTCCGATTCCGGGATCTGGGAACGTGTATGATCGAAACTTGTCTTCCATTTTGGCAGCTTCTTTGTAGCATTCCGCCACTCCTGGTCACGATATTGTGAGCGGAAACTCATGAGGCATAAACACAATACCCGAGCAACAGCTGTTAGCGGCTGTTGTAGATAACTCAGTTCATCATCCAGGTTAACTTCCATGTTGGGTTCACAGAGATGATAGTATAAGGTTTCCGGATTATCATAGGGGACCCGCAGCAAAACCAATGCAAATCCATTAGTCAGATATGAGTACTCGAGCCCTTCCTGGAGCATAACATGATACTCCTGAACCACAGCCGAGCCGGTTAGCCAGGCCGCATTATATCTCAGTTTCTCGGGCCCCTCCGTGGGAACAGAGTCCGGTCTAACCACTTCATCCCAGAACTGCATCGGTCGCAAACCCGCTCGAAGATTCTCCACAGATAGTTTATGAGGCGGCTTGTACTCAACTGTCATAATAGTTGTATTCTTATCACTGTCGACACGGTGGATGCAATATTGATCCGGTCGGGAATTCGCTGATTTATCCGTTTTAGATTGGTCGGCGTCAACCGCATCGAGAGCATTTGCGTGATTATCGAACTGAATTCCATGACCTAACTGAAATTCCTCTCGAGCAGCACGTATCCTGCAGAGTTCCGCGATAATATCACGGACATGGTTCTCCACCCCGAATCTCTCATAGCTTTGCAGATCCTGCTCACTGCTCATAGCTCTCTTCTTGAACTCTTCCCCAAACCCCTTTAGGACAGTACGCGACGGAAACACTTGTGCAGCAGGTTGTCCAGGCGGTGCTAAATAGGTACAAACAGAGTGATAGATCTCTTGCTGTATGGCTGTGCACTCGGTCCAAGGCAGAAGTTGCAGCGGACAACGCTTCCCCTTAGGCGCCGGAATCGTTCCCGTCGTAGAACGGGACGGACTTTCAACTCTCAGGCATAGAGAAGTATAGTTGTGGCAGTATCGAATTAGCTCTGCAAAGGTGGTTCGTCGTGTTTGCTCTCTTTCCTGGTCCCTTTCCTGCTCTGCTTGTCGTTGGCGTTCCTCAGCTTGTCGTTCGCGTTCCTCTGCTTGTCGTTCGCGTTCCTCTGCTTGTTTCCTAAGCTCTGCCTCCCGCTGGCGTTCCTCCTCTGCCCTCAAATAGAGCGCTTGGTAGTCGGGTGGGCTGCTGTTTTCCATTTGCTTGATGGGGTTTATCAAAAAGTGTTCATTCGGTTGACGATCAACTAGGCGGGTATGCGGAGAGGTCGCCGTAACATATCAGCTTGGCCTCGGTCGGTCCCGGTCTTATTTTTTGCCGTTCCAGCCAATCATAATTGGTGGCTCTGCGGGCTCGGAAACGATGAGAAGTTCAATACGTGATAAGATATACGCACAGTCACGTGGCCTGTGTATATCTTCCTAACGGGCCGATGAATAAACCCCGAAAAAGCCGAGGGAAAGAAGGCCCTGGGGAGAAGCATCCCTGAGGTGGAAATTCCCTGAGGGAAAAAATCCCCTGAGGGGAAAGAAGGCCCTGGGGGAAAACGTTCCTGGGGTGAAAAGCCCCTGAGGGAAAGAAGGCCCTAGGGGAAAAATGTCCGTTTGGGAAAGGACCCTAATGAGTACCGGCGGCAACGGCCAAAAAGCGCAAAGAAATCGTGTGAGGATCCATTTTACGAAGCTTTCTCGTCGGGTGTGGGTAACTGCCGCTTCTGGAGTGTGGAGTAACCTTAACCATC